GTTATCGTACACAATATGATGTTCCTACGAAACAAGTCGTTCTTCAAATTGACGAGGTCCGACCAGAAGATGCTGGTCAGTATGCGGTAGTTGCAGCCAACCCAATCGGTCAAGAAACAACCGTAGGCTCGTTGACAGTTGTACCAGAACGGACAGGTGAAGAGAAGCGTCCATTAGGACAACCACAAGGCAAAACGCCACGACCTGTGGAAGTAGCACCTGGTGTTGATTTTCAACCAACGGATACAACACCGGCTGCTCTGAAGGAGAATCGTGGTCCGCGCGTCATGGTGCCATTGAAGGATGGTGATACTAAGGAAACTATGCCTTTAGTGTTAACGGCAACAATTGATGCAGGCTCGCCAATGTCGACGGTAAGATTTTACTAAAGCGGCATGTAGGTCTATCATACAGAAGGTAGTCAACATAGATAATAAACACTATATATGAATATAATGTGTAGTTCACTTAAATGAAATCACATCCTTTGTGGCAGGAAGTGGAATAAGCGTTAAATTTATTTCGTGTCTCTTTTCAGCTGACCTGGTTCAAAAATGGTCAACCACTAGTTGCTGGTGATCGATTCATCACGAAGTATGATGTCGTGCCAAAGATTCTTACGCTGGAAATACTCAATGCACGACCTGAAGATCAGGGAACATACACAGTGCAAGCAAAGAATCCTCTTGGTGCTGATGAAACAAGCGCAAAAGTCACAGTTCGACCACTGACGAACACCGATGCTCAAGAATTCGCCCAGCCAAAACCGCTTCAAGTCACTGCACCGCAACCCACTCAACAGGACCTGAAACAACCACAGGCACCAAAAGTTGTGAAACCGTTGGAGAACATCGAAGCACCTAAAGGGTCACCGGTTTTATTCCGTGCCACCATCACTGGCAAACCTACACCTACAGTAAGATCGTCTGAGAAATAAATCCATATATTGACTCCTTCATTTTTCTTCGTTCGCAGTTCACATGGTTTAAAGATAACAAGCCACTGCAGGCGTCACCTCGTTATCGTACACAGTACGATGTTCCTACAAATCAAGTTCTATTACAGATCGATGAAGTTCGACCTGAGGATGTGGGCAAATATGCTGTTGTCGCAGCCAATCCAGTAGGTCAAGAGACGTCTGCGGCTTCACTCACCATAGCCCCTGAGAGCACTGGTGAAGAGAAGCCTCTTTCTAGTCAACCACCGAGCAAAACACCACGACCAGTAGAAATGACACCAGGCGTTGATTTTGAACCAATGGATACAACACCACTGCAACCGGAAGAAACACACGCACCACGAGTTATCGTGCCGTTGAAAGACCGCGAAACAAAAGAGACTATGCCTGCTATTCTCTCCACCACTATCGATCTTGGATCACCAAATGCGAAGGTAAGCACCCATGATGATAGGTACTATCTTCGTTTCGAAACGATAGACAACGTATCTCTACTTTTCATGAATACAATGATCGCCGGCATTTCAACGATTTCTCTGTTTTCAGTTCACCTGGTTCAAGAATGGTCAACCACTTGTCGCCGGTGATCGATTTATCACTAAATACGACGTTGTACCGAAGATACTCACTTTGGAAATCCTCGATGTACATCCTGAGGACCAAGGAACATATACCGTTCGTGCTACAAATCCAGTTGGAACCGATGAGACTACGGCCAAATTAATCGTAAAGCAATTGACAAACACTGATGTTCAAGCATTCACACAGCCGAAACCGCTTGAAGTAACTGCACCGCAGCCAACTCGGGAAGACATGCAACAACCGCAGCCACCGAAAGTAGTCAAACCGTTGGAGAACGTCCAGGCACCGAAAGGATCGCCGATCCTTCTCCGTGCCACTATTGTCGGAAAACCCACACCTACAGTAAGCATCCTTGTATAGCTGACTTCTATTGCAAAAAGTACGGTTTCGGTTTTAGTTCACATGGTTCAAAGATAACAAACCATTGCAAGTATCGCCTCGTTACCGAACACAATACGATATTCCTACAAAACAAGTTGTTCTTCAAATCGATGAGGTTCGACCAGAAGATGCTGGTCAGTACACAGTAGTTGCTGCCAATCCAGCTGGTCGAGATACAACCACCAGTTCTCTTACTGTTATACCAGAGCGCAATGGCGAAGACAAGCGTCCTTCTGGGCAACCACAAAGCAAATCGCCCCGACCCGTAGAAATGGCGCCCGGTGTCGACTATCAACCGACCAATGTGTCACCATTAGCACCAGAAGACAATCGTGCTCCGCGAGTATTAGTACCATTAGAGAATAAGGAAACGAAGGAAAGTATGCCTGTTATTTTCTCAACCACGATCGATACTGGCTCACCTACAGCAACAGTAAGATTTGCTTCGTTGTTTTATTAATGGTAACTCGATTTCTTGTAGTTTACATGGTTTAAAAATGGCCAACCGCTCGTCGCTGGTGATCGATTCATCACAAAATATGATGTCATACCTAAGCGTCTCACGCTGGAAATACTCAATGCACGACCAGAAGACCAAGGAACTTACACAGTACAAGCAACGAATCCATTTGGTACTGATGAAACCACGGCCAAATTAGCCGTGAAACCATTAACAAATACTGATGCGCAAGAATTTGGTCAACCTAAACCTTTGGAAGTGACTGCACCGAAAGCATCTCAACAAGACATGCAACAGCCGAAACCGCCGAAAGTCATTGTGCCATTGGAAGATGCTGAAGTTAGCAAAGGTTCACCAGTGCTACTTCGCACGACCATCACTGGAAAACCGACACCGAAAGTAAGAATATTCTGCTAGAGACGTGAACTTTGTACAGTATTCGTTCATATTTAGTTCACGTGGTTCAAAGAAAACAAGCCTTTGCAAGCTTCGCCCCGTTACAGAACACAGTACGATGCTCCTACAAATCAAGTGGTTCTGCAAATAGACGAAGCTCGGCCTGAAGACGTTGGACAATATCGTGTCGTCGCAACTAACCCAGTAGGCGAAGATTCCACAGGCGGCAAACTGACATTGATACCAGAGAAAGTTGGCGAAGACACATCACATACTGTACCGATGGATAAGAAACGTGGACTCGGAAAACCGCAAGGAAAGACACCTCGACCTGTGGAAATGGTGCCCGGTTTGGACTTCCAGCCGAGCACATCGTCACCAGCAGGTCCAGAAGAGAATCGACCACCACGCGTACTAATTCCCTTGACTGAAGGCGATGTCAAGGAAACAATGCCTGCTTTACTAACAGCCACCATAGATGCAGGTTCACCACTCGCAACGGTAAGCAGTCGGTTAGATGTTTGCAACAGGCTTGAATAAGCACCGAGGAATATATATTTCTGAGCTTCTTTCACTTCTTATTGGTCTTACAAAATGAAACCTCACTGCTCTATAAACTAGACACTCTGAAGTGTATCTCTCTAAAAAAAACTATACAGGAATTTACGAACACAAATATTGCATGATTTTATTTCTTACAGTTCACATGGTTCAAAAATGGACAACCACTCGTTGCTGGTGATCGTTTTATCACCAAGTATGATGTCGTACCAAAGACGGTCACTCTGGAAATTCTCGATGCACGACCTGAGGATCAGGGAACGTACACACTACGTGCTGCAAACCCAATTGGCACTGATGAAACCACAACCAAATTAACCGTGAAACCATCGACAAATACCGATGCACAGCAATTCGCTCAACCTAAGCCATTGCAAGTGACAGCACCGCAACCAACTCAACAAGATCTGCAACAGCCGCAACCACCGAAAGTCATTACACCCATAGAAGATGCAGAAGTAGTTCAAGGATCACCAGCCCTACTACGTGCCACCGTCACTGGAAAACCGACACCAACAGTAAGAACTGAAAATAATAGATATCACTCTTTTGTAGAAAAACATTGTCTATCTAGTTCACTTGGTTCAAAGACGGTAAACCACTACAGGCATCACCTCGACTTAGAACGCGGTATGACGCACCGACCAATCAAGTCCTTCTTCAGATCAACGATGTTCAACCGGAAGACGTCGGCCAGTACCTAGTGGTTGCTACGAATCCGGCAGGCGAAGACTCCACGGGTGGGAAAGTGAACTTAATACCCGAAAAGAGTGGCGAAGACACTTCAGACACGGTTCCTACTGGACTAGGACAGCCACAAGGCAAAACACCACGACCATTGAAAGTGGTGCCAGGTCTAGACTTCAAACCGGAGAGCGCCATACCTGACGAAAATCGACCGCCACGCGTGATTATACCACTCAAGGATGGTGATGTTAAACAGACTATGCCAGCTTTACTCACAACCACAATTGATGCTGGTTCACCCACAGCAACGGTAAGCGTGGATTCCTTATTCACGGAGAATGATTCCTTTTGTGTAGTTCACATGGTTCAAGAATGGTCAACCTCTGGTTGCTGGTGATCGTTTTATCACCAAGTATGATGTTGTACCAAAGACACTGACATTGGAAATACTCAACGTGCAACCGGAGGACCAGGGCGCCTACACGGTTCGAGCAACAAATCCCGTGGGTAGTGATGAAACGACAGCGAAGCTAACAGTTAAACCACTGACGAATGCTGACGCTCAAGATTTCGCACAACCAAAACCGCTAGAAGTAAGTGCACCGAAACCAACTCAACAAGAGATGCAACAGCCACAACCGCCGAAAGTTATCGTGCCGTTGAAGGACGCTGACGTACGAAAGGGATCACCAGCTCTTCTTCGTGCTACTATCACTGGAAAACCGACACCAACAGTAAGCGTTCTACTACAGTGAATAGTGAACTATTGTAAGCATTCCTTCATTTCTAGTTCACTTGGTTCAAGGACGGTAAACCACTTCAGGCATCACCTCGACTTAGAACGCGGTATGACGCACCGACCAATCAAGTGCTTCTTCAGATCAACGATGTTCAACCGGAAGACGTCGGTCAGTATCTTGTGCTTGCCACAAATCCGGCTGGCCAGGATTCGACTGCTGGTAAAGTGAACTTGATACCAGATAAGGGAGGGGACGAGACTTCTGGTGTTGTGCCGACGGAGAAGAATCGTGGATTAGGGAAACCACAGGGTAAAACACCACGACCATTGAAAGTAGTACCTGGTCTGGATTTTCAACCAACAAGTCCCGCGCCAGAACAGAACAGGCCACCGCGCGTTATTGTACCTCTAAAAGATGGTGAGATCAAAGAAACTATGCCCGTGGTACTGAGTGCTATGATCGACGGTGGTTCACCCATGGCTAAAGTAAGTTGCCGTAAATTGATGAAATGGTTCGCAGTGCTGAAGATTTCATTTCTAGTTTACTTGGTTCAAGAACGATCAGCCATTGGTTGGAGACCATCGGTTTATCACCCGATACGATGTGAAGCCAAAGATCGTTACGCTAGAAATCCTTAACGCACGACCCGAAGATCAAGGAACGTATACCGTTCGTGCTACAAATCCAATTGGAAGCGATGAAACAACGGCTAAACTAGCCGTTAAACCGTTAACAAATGCTGATACGCAAGGATTCTCTCAACCAAAACCATTGCAGGTACCCGCACCACAACCAACTGAGCAAGAGATGCAACAACCGCAACCGCCGAAAGTCATCGTACCATTGAAAGATTTAACTGTACGAAAAGGCTCTCCAGTATTATTGCGAGCTACTATCGTTGGTAAACCTACCCCAACCGTAAGAATTTCTTTCCTTCTTTGAGTTTCGGAGGATAATTTGCCACTTTGTTTCATCGTTAGTTTGCCTGGTTCAAAGATGGCCAACCATTACAAGCGTCGCCTCGTTTCCGAGTACGCTACGATGCCCCAACAAAACAAGCTCTTCTTCAAATCGATGAAGTACGGCCTGAAGATGTTGGACAGTATCTGGTACTTGCGACAAATCCGGCCGGACAAGATTCCACAGGTGGCTCTGTCAGCTTGATACCGGAGAAGGGAGGCGACGAGACTTCCGGTGTTGTACCAGCGGAGAAGAATCGTGGACTAGGAAAACCACAAGGCAAGATACCGCGACCGTTGAAGATCGTGCCTGGTGTTGATTTTCCACCAGAGATAGCTCCAGATCAAGCACGTAAATTGAAACCTGTAACACCTGCAACGAAAGCTGAGAAGGCCATACCACTAGAACAAATGAGACCGCCACGTGTCATTGTGCCATTGAAAGATAGCGAGTTTGAAGAATTGATGCCAGTACTGCTCACAGCAACGATCGATGCTGGCTTGCCAATTGCATCGGTGAGTAACTCTTCTGAAATTCAATGGTTGACATCATGTTAATGATTTGTGCTCTCTTCTAGTTTGTTTGGCTGAAGAATGGACAACCACTTCTGGAAGGTAACAGATATACTACGAAATACGATCTACCGAACCGAACTATAACCTTACAAATCCTTGCGTCGCGTCCTGACGATCAAGGTGTTTACACTGTTCGTGCAACTAATCCAGTTGGTAGCGACGAAACATCGTGCAAGTTAACCGTTCGACCTGTCGCATCAATCGATACACGACCATTCATCGATGCTGATCGTTTTCGTCCATTGGAAAATCGACCATATTCAGGTCCACATACTAGTGACGAAAAACAACCACTTCGTCCTCCTAAAGTACTCATACCAATGAATAACCTTCAACTGAAGGAATATGAACCTATTGTACTGAAAAGTATCATCGACGCTGGTTATCCTATGGGTAAATTTACATGGCTCAAGGATGGACAACCATTACCGGCTTCAAATCGATATCGTACAAATTATGACATCAATACACGTACTGCATCGTTATTTATCGATGCTGCACGTCCAGCAACGGACACAGGCCCATATACGGTTCATGTGGAAAATCCTGTCGGTAAAGATGAAACAACTGGTGTAGTCAATGTTGAACCAACGCCAGCGATCGATGATCGACCATTCGTTCCACCCAGCAGATTTGGCAAACTTGAGCCACCTGCACGCACAGCCGGCATGGGTCCTCGCGGTCCCATTCTTCAACCAGATGAAACAGGCAGAGATCGTGAAAATATGCCACCATGGATTCGTTTAGTCAAAGGTCTAGAAGATCAAGTCATTGATGAATCTAAAGCAGCACATCTTGTGTGTATGGTTGATGCACATCCAGCCGCCACCGTAAATACGCATAACTGTTTAGTTCTTTTTCTAACAATATTACAAAAAATTAATTTGATGTTTAGATCAACTGGTTTAAAGATGATCATCCCCTCGTTGTATCGCAACGCTTCATGCCTGAATATGACAGCAAAACTGGTGTTGTTCGTCTTTCGATCTATCCTGTCTATGCAGCTGACTCAGGACCATACACAATGGTTGCTCGTAATATAGCTGGAGAAGTAACAACAAAATGTACATTACGAATTGAACCCACTGTTGGTGTGGAAGAAAATCCGCTGGTGAAATTTGCTGGTCTTCGCAAGACACCACAGCAACCATCGACAGCTGGTTCTGAGCCTTCGCACAAGCCAGTTCTACCTGACGAAGGACAAAAACCATACTTCATTAAAGTTCCAGTCGATCGAGAAGTGCCAGAAGGACAATTAGTTCGTCTTGATTACATACCAGCAGGACGTCCTGAGCCAAGCTTAACATGGTTTCGTAATGGTTTACCATTACAACCCAACGATGCTGATCATCATGATGTAGTCAATGAAGGTGGTGTTCATTCATTGCTTGTACACAATCCGAAATTAGGACCAACTGTTGAATATACCTGTGTGGCGAAGAACAAATATGGCGAAGCACCATTTACTGTTCATCTTAGTGTCGTTCGTACGTTGACTTATGATATATAAAAATGACTTGAGAATATTATCGACTTTTCATTTCCTTTTAGCACGCAATGCCAATATTGCTCCTTACTTTATCGAACAACTTTACAATATCATTATCATCGAAGGTCAAGATGCACAACTGGATGCTTCTGCAGAAGGTTTTCCTGAACCAAAAGTTGCCTGGGAGAAAGAGGGTAAACCTCTTACTCCGAACAAAGAATACAAGTAAGAAAGCTCATTTCTAATAAACTCCTACTTTTCACCAAACCGTCTCGTTTGATCATCGTTAGAGTTGAATTCGAAGGAGCGAAAACAACATTATACATACGAAATGCTAAGATGATTGATGCTGGCTGGTATCAATGTACGGCAACTAGTCCTGCAGGAACCGCAGTTACCAAATGTAAAGTTACAGTTATTCGTATGTATTTCATTGTTGATACATTCACCGAGTTGCACTCCGCCATTTTCCTCTATTAGCATTATCTGAAGCTAGTCAATATGCAAAAGAACTACCACAATTCGGACCTCAAACGTTATCTAAACTACCAACGTATGTTGTAATTCAATGTAAAATAGATCGTATATGTGTGTTTATTTAGTTTACCGCAAGAAGACATTCGATCGAAATACATGACTGTTCCAGCCAAACCAGCGGAGATCAAACCGGAAGAATTATACAAGTTACCAAAACGACCTAAGAAAGCCGATAATCCTCTCGAAGAAGCGAAACGGTAAGTTTCCTGAGCAATCTTGTCGAACTTCCAAACTAATGCTCTTTTTCTTTCGAACTCGTAGACGCGGTGTTAAAGTTTTACCTGATGAAGTTTTGAATACTCTTCAAAAGAGTCTAGAAGAATATCCCGAAGAAGAAATGTATAGCAAAGATCGTCCACAACCACCAAAGTTCAAAGTTCATCTCAAATCTCATCTGAATCTCAACGAAGACGATGTATGCATATTCGAAGCCAAACTCATACCTGTTCGAGATCCGATGATGCGAGTACAATGGTTTAAAAATGGAAAACTACTTCATCATGGTAGGAAAGATCATTTTGTAGAAGCGAAATGTTTGTATGTTTGTCTGAATAGCATCAAGAATTATTCCTCGATATGACTTTGCTGATGTTTCACTTGAATTTCTGTGGACGTTTGCTGAAGATGATGGTATTTACGAGTGTGTCGCTACTAATCCTTATGGAGAAGATCGCACACGTGCTGAATTGAAATGTCGTCCGAAACGATCAATTATCTACAATACGCAATTGCCCGAAGGCATGGAAGGTGTATCCAAATTACAGATGTTGGAAGATGAAATGAGATATACAGCAAGTATGATTGGTTTGGAAGAAAAAGTTCAAGAAAAAGAACCGAAAGCGCCAGAATTTATCATGCCATTAGAAAATATATCGGTGGATGAAGGTGATAATGCTAAGTTCATTGCTAAAGTTGATGGTCATCCACGTCCACGATTGACATGGTCAATCAACGGCGCTGATATTGCNAGAAAAGGAACTAATCTATTATATTAGTCCCAACCATCGTCGCGAGTGTCGATTACGTGAGAAGTGACGATCAAATTATGTAAACATTTGATGACGTCATCCCGAAAAAAGCTAGAGAATATGTTTGTACGTATAATATATACTCACACGCACACACATCTACATCAATGCAGCCTCCTCAAACTCGATATCCGCACGTTCTTTATCTTCTCGAGGACAAGAAGAAGAAGAAGGAGAAAAACACTGTAAAACGAGAAAATAGATTGATAGGACGAACAAATTATGTTACAGAGACGATCAGGGTTATTTCTCTTACTCCTTCTATTTATGTCTATAATCATTAAAAAAACACCCCAAATACCTTCGTATCACCCTTTAAAATAACAAAAATCTGTAAGATTATTAATTCGGCATATTCAGATACATAGTTCGTTGATTTTATTACCCACAGTGAGAATAAGAGAACGCAAAGGAGAAAAAAAGAGTCCTATCAAACAGACAAATAGACTATTTTTCGATCTTGTATTGTATTTGCGTGCGGATAGAGAGAAAAAGCGGGAGAGAAAGAAGACAGACGGGTTGTATCGTCACAAGCAAACCGAATCGAACTATGTCAATAGTGGTAGTAGCAGTGGTAGTAATCATAATAGTAGCAACATTCATGTTGATTGTATATGTTCGACACGTACAATAATCGTGTGATGAATGAAATACATGCCGAATGCGACGACGCTTTTTCTCTCTCTAATGTATGATGGATGATTTAGTTTCTTTTTCTATTCCTTTAGATCTTTTCTTTTGATTTGAAAAAGAAAGCAAAGCATCGCCTATTGCATTCCTGTCGATAATGATGCCTATTCTGGATCAAAGTCCAGGCCATCATCATCATGGTCATGGCCATCAAGTATTCTATCATCAGCAGCCTGTGCCAGAACAAGCTGGTAAAATGCAATTGACTCTTATCTTACCGAATGGCGTACCATCAGTGATTAATGTTGATGCAAAGTAATTGATTTAATTGAGTCAAACACGATTATGACAATCAAATCGTGTTATTTTGCTTCGTTTTAGCACACCAATGATGGATTTATTGGTGCAAGCAGCTTCATTGAATAAACTTAGCCCGAGCGGACACTCACTCGTTGTTCTCGATTCTAATCAGCATATGATTCATTTCAAGCCTAATCAAACCGTTGGACAAATCGGTATGTCGTTCGAAAGTTCTTTGAGAAGAAAAAGAGCTAATTAGTTTCTAATCGAAATCTTTTAGTGAGAGGCTGTCAACTGCCACAAGTCAATGGTAATATTACTGAACTTTTATTTGACGATTCTATGATAGAATATTTGTAGGTTCATCAACAATTAGTCTACTTCCTAAAGAGATCTCTCAATCACACCCGTCATCGAAGAAGAAAGCTCAACCATTTGAAGTACGTTCGACTTTGATTACATTTTAATCGACAATTCATTTCTTTCTGCTTTTTTTCTAAAGATAACCGTTCGTCTACAAGTGAATCTTCCAGATGCTCAAAAGATCCTATTACGTGTCGATCCAACATTGCCATTACATGAAATTAAAGAACAAATATGTAAACAAAAGAGATATGTCGATTCAAATCGTTACACGCTACGTCTACCACATAAACTTGACGAGCCGCTATTACTTGGACTCTCTTTGGCAGAATATAAAACCAATGAGATCACTTTAGTGCGTCTGAAACATGGTACATTTCTCTTTCGATAGAAATACAACTTCTTACGATTGACTTGATCTTTAGATTCAACGACGACTACAAATCAAATTCAATCATTCGATCGTCTCTATCGCACACGTTCAGAAAGTCAACCGCCACGAGATCTAATGCAAGAAGTTCAACAAGAACATCAGGAGTTAATCAACAGCAAACATGTAATATCCTTTTTATTATACCATTATGATCTTCTATCTTCATCTTTTTCTTGTAGCGTCCAGCAAGTGTTCAATTGAATCCTCTGCAAGGTCAAAATACGAGTTCATTTCCAACGCGTCCGACACATCCAAAGACGTCTCATACGTCTCTTCATGCTTATTGGAACGATCCTAACTTCGATACACAATCTCAAACATCGAATTGTTCATCGACAACCAAGAAACGACAGGCACCAAGACCACCGGACCATGTTAGTCCAACTCTTAACGAACAATCTCAACAGTTAGAACATCATCAAAGTCAAGAGTCGTTAACCGAAAGTTTAAATGGAACAAAACACAAACGTAAAGCTCCGATTTCACCCCACACCACTACTTCTCAAGAAGAAGAAGCTAACGGAGACCAACAAGTTAAAACCGACAACGAATCACAACCACACACAGATGAGCAACATATTGAATGCGTTCGCGTTCAGGAATCGACTTCTTCAATAACACAAACTCAAGAACAGATTCATTCGGAATTGCAATCATCATCTACACCTATTTACTCCCAAATACAGAAAACTAAAGAAGGAACACCCAACGAGCCTCACTATTCAACGGTTAAATCATCACCTACACAGCCGGTCCCACCACGCGAAGATCATGCTAAAACGACACCGTCGAACTATGGCGTCGAGGAAATTGTTCAAGCCGGAATTGCCGAACGTCCGACTAGATCAGCTAGCAAACCATCGAAAAAAACCAAGTCAACCGATGGTCTAACTAAAATCATCACCGATCACAATGAACGGGCACAAATCTATCAAGCAAATGAAAAACAAGCGGAAAACGTTTCGTATTTTCGTGTGGCAAAAAGTCGACATGGTAAATTCGAAACTGATAATCAAGGTTTCGTCAATACTACGTCAAATGTTTTCGATTCAACAACCGATCAAAAACAAATACAGAATACAGATGAAAATGATCAATCGCAAATTCTCGATGCCGAACAACTAGCAGTATTATTGAATAGTAACGAAAAACCACCCACGCCCATTCAGGTTTGTTCTTGTCAATCCTTGCAATCCAATTATCTCGCTTGTTTTCGTCTATTCTAGCTTGAAGTGACTCAGCGCACGACACATATTTCTGTAAGTAGAAGAACAGTATTGTTTACAATGGAATTATTGCATGAATCTTCTTTTCATCTAGGTAACTGTGGAAAGCGATCGAAAACAAATCATTACTCGAGCTTCACCAGTACCTCAGCAAAGTTCTTCAACTCCACCAGCAGTAGCACCGAAACCATCAGGAAAAACCATTACTGAATATCGTACTGTTCGACGTATTGGTCAAGATGGTGAAACAACAACAACGACAACCGTACGAACGGAAACAGTCCCATCAGAACTAACAGACAATGTCGATCAAACAACTTCACTCACACCGGATCAATCAAGTCAACAACCTCATGACATGGACAATTCGAACAAACAATAATTTCAAATATTTCTTTAGAACTAGTCAAATTATTACTTAACCGCTTATCTCTTTCCGGTGCTTACTAACGCTTACAAAACAAATTATTCTTGAATTGAGAACAGTGACTATCATCGAATATTAATCTCGAACAAATCTATCATTCACTTCTGTATAATCAATCATATCTGTCTTCTTTTCGAGCATTTCCCTATTCTCCTTACAATTATACTTGTTGTATGTGTCTCTTCTTTTCCTCATTTGTATATGTCTCTCAATATGTGTTCTATGTAGTTAATACAATGAGTAAGTTTTTATGTGTTTATATTTCGAATTCTTTCTTTCTTTCTTTCTTTCTTTTGAAAGAGGAAGAAATATATAATCTTACCCGTTCTATTACACTAACACACATCTCATTTGATCCTACCGGTGCCTGGATAATGATTTCAGCAGATTAGGCTTATTAGAATATAAATAGTACAACTAAAATGTGGCAAAGATATTAATACATTTGTTCTACTATGTCAAGGTCTATGTCAGAATAAATGACACGTTTAGCTAAAGACCTTAACAGACGAAACTGAATAATCGATTCGATGTTGCTGCACACCAACACTCCTAAGTCGCTTGGATACTCATGTTTTCTTCAAGAGCTAATTTCAACTACCCATGTCAATATTTTTGAATCGTCTCCGTGCAATTCTTTTTCCTAACAATTAACCATTGACAAATAGACAGATATGTTAATATGTGTCAATTGTGTTGATGTTTGTCATTGTCTAACACATCGACTCGATCGAAGTAAACTACTAGACAGAAACAATACGATTTCCGTTCAAAACAGTTTCATACCACCAATGAATATTTTCTAATCTTGTTAATTCGGACTACGGAAGTTCCGTTGACGTGATAAGCATTCTATTTCAACAAAAGAAAAAAGAAACATCGTATTCAACGGATAGTCTTCGAATCATTTACAAATCAGTTTTCTGGTCTAACTTATCAAGTGATACATTCGATGAAATCATGAAAAGTACAGGCTTGTTTTATTCTCATATGAACAATATCATGACGATTTTTTTCTTTAGTGGTAACACCATATCCGAAACAGACGGCTGACACGTGTACATCTCTTTACAATTCATCATCTATTGCAATCAATGGTAATGATTTCGAATGCAAAGTCATCGCACTACACTTGATTGTTGCCTAGATTCGTATTGTCCTGCACTCTTCGATCGGATCGCATGTTGGCCACCGACAGAGCCAGGTTTTCTTCAGAAGATTCCTTGTCCCAGTAGTGTTTTTCCCAATGCTAGTTCCGACGGTATAGATCTATCATCAGCACGATAGTATCAACTAATTAACAGCGTTTGTTGCTTTTTTTAGCATATGCAACACGTTTGTGCACAAATGAATCGCGATGGGAGGAGAAAAGTTACTATGGTTTTTGCATTGGTTGCTCGCCAGCTGAGTTAACCAATTCGGTAGAAGAATACTTTTGAGAAAAAACAAACCTTTATGTCTACACTTGACCTTTCTTAAACACTTCAGAATGCAACAAACGCTTTTTCATTACCTCCAACGTACGTAATCATACGTCGGTATTTTGTTGTTTGTGCAAATGGTCTTTCAATAGTTTTACTCGCTTGCGGAATCCTCATTCTACTTGGCAACAGGTTTGTGTACTTCTCGGGAACAGTATTCCTTGACTTCAATTGCCTTTTATTTCTTCAGTCGCCTTCGACGATGTTCTCGAAATATTCTGCATGTGAATATCTTTCTTGTTTTCCTCATTCGATCTATCATTCAAATCATTGCCGAACTGCGAATGAGTCGCGGATACTTCGACCATAATGTGTTCTATCGAACAGATGCATGCAATCGAACGTCAATATATTTCAAAGAAGATCAAGTAAAATCATCTCGCACGAGAAAAGTCTTTTTGTAAATAAATCAAACCATTTAGCTGCTGGATTGTAAACTATTTACTATTTTGATGAACTATATCAATACGAGCGTTTCACATTGGTTCGTTTTCTGCGAAGCATTGTATCTCTTTCGTCTTCTACGCGCAAAAGCGTATAAAGATCGAGTTCGATGGTACATCTTAACTGGTTGGTGTAAGTCACTTCGCTGTTGTTACCCATAAAGAAGCAATGTTCTCGATTTTTCGGTTTATTTTTCTAGTGGCACCGTTGATTTTAACTATCGTCACTTATACAACACGATATAAAACAAAAACTAATCTAGTCACTTGCTGGTTCGAGCCATCAACATACGATTGGATTCTTCATGGGCCAAATATCATTCTACAGATTGTAAGATTGATCTGATACATAGAGCACTGATTCGCTTATTCTGTTTAGTTTAATTTCATCATATTCATTTATATATGCGTCTTACTTGCCCGAAAACTAAATAAAACTTATCGAACAGCTGCTTTTTCTGATAAACGACGTTTTGCCAAATATAGGTAAGACAATTTGAAACTCAAATGGAACCACATCTCTTTATTTTGATTTGTAGTCGACTGACTCGTTCGACGTTGATTCTGCTACCTGTTTTTGGTATTCATTATTTCCTATTTTCGTGGAATACAAAGCCACTGTTAATTCACAATTTAATTCTCATCCATCTAACTGTACATACAGTTTCATTATCCTTACAAGTAAAAACTCTATCAGCGAGGCTTCTATGTATATAGTCATATGTTTATTTGTTTCGAAAGGGTTTAATCGTCGCGTTGATCTACACGTTGATTAACTCGGAAGTGCAACGCGAAATGTTTCGAAGTTTTGATCGATGTCTTGTTAGAAACAACACAGGCTGGCAAAAGCCACAATTCTTTCGCAACTACATGAGTAAATTAGACAACGAACGCCTCTGTTCACTTGGCTATGGTGTGCGTTCAACACCTGTTCAATACCGACAGAAATCGCAACTAGTCGGAACGGTACGATATTACCGTTGTACGAACCAACATAAATATAGTTTAAGTAATCCTAGTCGACAGGATTCGTTCAGTACTGCAGCGGCTATCGCTCAAGAACTATCTCTAGTAAATCCGACATTGAATCATCGACAATCACTAGTGAACGTACAGAATAATCCGATTTGTTCTGTACAACAAGAGAAATAATCGTTTAGTTACGAATTAGTTTTGATGTTGTTTTTGTGTTGAGAAATAAAAATTCATTTTCAGACAAAACATTTTTCTTGTTTATATCAAAAAATTGATAATACATTATTTTGCATATACATAGACAGATTTATGTACAAAAATAACAATGCGATATGAATAGAAATTTACATGATAAAAAACACGCACATATCTGACAGAATGTTTAAATATTAAAAAAGACGCAAAAGAAGGATTTGCATGTCATATTAGTTCGCGAAAAGTAATAGTGACATTGTCGGAAGTAATGTCTGTGATTGTAATTTTCGTTTTTTCATCACCTTTGGGTGGGTACCAGTAATCAACAGTCGCGGGCGCAGTCGGAGTGATGTTTTTCTCTTCTTCTTCCTCTTCCTCGTCATCATTAATTTGATCTTCTTTATCTGATGTATCATGCTTGACGGATGATACATCATCAGTTTGATCTCGAGAGGATTTCTTCGGTGATGAAGTACGTCGAGTAATTGATTTGTTCTGTTTTCTATAACTATCAATCAATGATTTATCGAGAATATTACTTTCTGGTTCCCAAGAGTTGTGACTTCGATCGTAATGTTTCCATTTGACTAAATATTCAGTTCGGCCCTAACGACAAACGAAATATGGAATTCTGTTGTTTGGAAGAAGTCGATTTACTTTTCGTCGGCGTCGTTTGAGTAATCGTTCAACTGTATAAGTTCGATTTAACGATTCTTCTCGTCGTTTATTGGCTAAGATCACTGCCGATGTTTTCTTATTTGCGGACATGACCGATTGCTTTCCTATTGTATATTTGTCTAAAAGAAAGAAAGAAAAAAAGAATGATAATCCTTGTTGTTCATCATCAAGGACGACGAATGAAAAAAAAGCAATAAAATAGCTATATATGTATATATACGTATGTATGTGTATAAAAAAAAGGACATGAGAACAGAAAAGAATAAACTCTATCAGTATATTCATTGAAATATATCTGAGAAGAAAAACCAAAACCAATCAATTAAGATTGGGCTTGAGCCACAGTTGATTCATTAGGTTGCGCTTGTTTCGTCGTTGAGTTGTTTGTAGTGGAATTCAATCTTAAGCGGTGAGAGTTCATCGACGATGTTGTCATTTGAGACTGTTTACGTTGAGCAGCCAATGTTGCTTCAATAGCACTAAAACGTCGAAATGCTTCGTTAATTAAATTTAATGATTGTAATCGTGTTGGCACAGATAATGGTTGAGTAAAATCATTTGGCAGCGTGGCCGAATAACTAGTTGGACTGTTGATGTTTGTTGGTAGTTGCTGTTCAGTGGTGGAAGATGGAGAACCAGGAATAACGATACGAGTAAAATCAGTTGCAGATGACAGAGAAGGAGGTTTCGGTGTTGAAGGAGTCGAGATACCATTCATATGACCATGTAAAGACGATGGGACTTTGTAGTGACCGTTGGTTAAACCTAGAAAATGAATTTTAGATTATATGAGAGCATGGGGTTACGTACCTTGTCTTTGCACTGAATTATGTATTGGTGTTGCACCGGAAGCTGCCGCTTCGGATAAGATACTTTTCATTCGACTACTATTTACAACTGGTGTGCCTTTCAAAGCTGCATTCGTTGAATTGAGAGTTCTTTCTGTATTGGTTTTGTGTAGAACATCAAGTTCTTCACGCAAATCTCGTGTTTCATCACGTAGTCTTTGCACCGTTTCTGTCAGCTAGAAAAATAAGAGAGAGAGACTGATATGAGAAGTATCGAACTTTCATTTCGTACTTGTTGTTTTTCGTCAAGTTCGTTTTCGAGCAAAGCATTTTGTTCTAATGCACGATTAAGTTGCGTTTCAAATGTTGACAAACTATCTAGTAATGTTCGTTTACCTAAAACAAGAGAATCTCGTGGTAAAATGTTGAATAAATCATTGTCCTTACTTCGTTCTAGATCGTCATTAGTTTGTTCTAATTCCCTGATATAAGTTGTTAGTTTTTCATTGAGATTTTTACAAGCATTCAATTCTTCTTGTAATTGATCGAAGCGTTTATCGAACTGTTTGATTGTTTGTTCATTTCGTTCTCGATATTGTTCATTTTGCGTACGTTCGACGAATAATTCTTGCTGTAAACGATGCGTTTGACTATCTAATTGCTTCAATTGGACTTCTAATTCTTGCTCGTAGTTCAATGACGATTGTTGGTATTCATCGAATTCATTTTCTAAGCGTTCAAAACGTGTGCGATATTCGATATAACGTTCCAATGCTTCTTCGTATGTACTGGGTTCATTATCATTTGCCATTGATCTGAGGAAAAATCCGAAACGGATTTCTAGAATAGAAAAAAAATGAAGCACATTGTTGCTTATGTGTACATATATATGTTATTTGTTTGTTTGTTTTTCACGCATGCTGGATTTAGAAGAAATAAACACTTAAAATAATAAGATAACACGAACAAAAGACAATGTATAGTCTAAAGATACAACAGTAAGTCGAGATACAGAGAGAAGAGCCGAAAAAAGAAGGAGAAAATCTTAAGCGATGACAATGTTATTGAAAAGAAATTTAATGCTGTGGGTTCTTTATTGGTTCCGTTGGTGGTTTGATACGAAAACAGTGAATGCCTAAGAAATCACAAAGCTCTTGACAAACTTTGACGTTGTACCGAAGTAGATCGTATAAACTATAAAGCTAAAACGAGAGAAAAGAAAGTATTGATAAGTTTCAGTGTGATTTATCTTTCTCATCATATATTGATACGATGTCGAAACTAAACCCTCGATGTTTACTTTCATACCCAGATCTATTCATATATCACCAGACGTCTGCGATCGAATTCCTTCAGTGTTTATTATGAACTTAACTCGATCGATAGAATCATTCACAGGTTCTATGACTGATTCTATCGGGATCAATCGACCTTGATAGTCAAGATATTCTCAAATTAAAAATATAGGAATTACTCTGAAGGTTAGAATTCATTCGTAATAACACATTTATATCAAACTTACTAGAAAGAACCAGAGAAAAACATGTTCATCAATCAATAAATTGAAATATTGATTAATACAGACAGCTAGTGGACCAATATAGGCTGTATCCCATTTATTCAATGAACTTCTTGACATGTGTGCTACCTAGAGAGGAAGAGAGAACACACCTGATGATGAGAAAATGAACGTAATCAAATCGACGTACAATTAAACGATTAGTAATTTTGGAAAAGACAATGCCATAACAAAGTAAATGAAGAGATGTATGTTCTTCCAGAACATGAGAAGTTGAATAGTTGGAAGCGATAGTAGCAAGAAATAGAAGTAAACCAATTGGCCAAGCGGGAAATATGATGCTAGTGCCCTGAAATTCATATTTGAATACAGATAAATCTGAAATCTTTTTTTTTCTTACAGCCACCGAGGAAAAATTTCGTCCACAGCCACCTCGCGATACCAAACGAATGTTATTGAACGAACTCCATACTGTCGAACCAATCATTAAAAGGGCAACTAGAATGCGATACTCAACCTGTAAGTAGGGTATCTATTAAACAAAAAGACACAGAAATGCATATGATCGACAAGATTTGTTCGTCTATCATACCGATTTCGACCAAAATGATGGTGATAATGTACTGATCATATACACAGTAATAAAAGAGAATTGTGCTTCAGTACAATCGAGTCTAAAGTGGAAGACAATAGAAGATATACCGATGGAATTGAAAGAAGAAGTTTTTTTTTTCAAATTACTTTCCAAATACAAGTTTGCCCGAAACGTAAGTCTGCCAATGGGCACAGTAGAAGGCAAAGAACGAGAGCATACACGAAAAATACATAAGCCATGGATAAACACCAAGTTGTACAGCACAGCAACAGGCAATTGTTACAAATACTGAAATTTAGATGAAGATGAACATTGAATTGAAATGTTTTCAGCAAAATTTCCTACCAGCTGATACAGAATCACAACCGTGGTCAAAAAGTTCACCTAATGGTGACTGAGAGTTCGTTCGACGTGCTTGTTTACCGTCAATAGCGTCAAGTGATTGATAGAAGAACAAGCCCAATGCAGTAAAAAAATAAATCCAGGAGGAACACTATCCGAGAAAAAAAAACAAAGATGAATACAAAAACAAAGGCGAATCAAATCGATACAAACCTGTTCTTTGGCACCATTTGTTTCGATCATGAGTAGAACACTTGTTCCTATATTTAGTGCTAAACCGACAATAGTCAGTAAATTTGGTGCCACCCATAATGGACAAAATTCCACAAGCCACTTCCAAAATTCTTGCATAAATGGATCGAATAATGTAATACCTTCCGATGCATATTTATGTTCTTTTAGACGCTTCAATTCTTGTTCGGTTAACACTTCCGGCATCCGGCGAACAGCCTCTTTAGCATTATTTTGTAGTTTATCTCGTTTTTCTTTCAATTGTTGAATATTGTCACGAATAAGTGCCGATGGACTTCGGTCGAAAGGTCGATTGGGCGTCGTCATCGTTAATCTAAAACGAACAAGTATACTCTCGGAATATCACATGGCAGTAAAGTATCAAACTTTTGCCTCCCAGATGACTCATCGTGCATGTTTTTTTCTTCTTTTCAACATGGCACGCAAGTCAAACGGGTAAGAATATGAAAAAAAACAAGAACACACACGGAAAAAAGATAAAGAAAGTTCTATGCATGCATACGTAAATATAACAAAAAAAACAACGAAACGAAAAACAAATACTGTCTCAAGGTTACTCATTACCACCTACGGCGTACGATAGACGTTGAATGGTGATGGAAGAGAATTTGATATTAGTGGTAAAGCATTAATTTCGAAGGAAAAAAAAGCGAATTTGATTAAAGAATGATGAAACGTCATTTCGAGCAAAAAAGAAGGGAGAATTTTTCGATATCACATAACATTTGATCACATATGAATCATTTCTATGCTTTTGTTAGTATTAAACATCAAGTAAATGCATTGATGAATTGTTTGATCGCTTTAATCTTATAGGTATTAGTTCATAGAAATCTTCTAACGAGTAAATCGATGTCCAATCGATATTTGTTGGAGTATACCAAAGAATCCGACGATTAACTAAATCAACTAAGTTCTGTGCCCATCCAAATGAAAATGGACTCGAAAACGGTGACTTGAAATATTTATACCGCCAGAAATTAATCCGTTCGTTGGTTGTGAATCCGAATGCTACCTGAAAGAGAAAAATACTTGTGCCTATCAACGACAATATTTATCTTGATCGTTACTTGGAACAGGATAGTGAGACAAAGTCCGCTAATCCAAATGATGTGTAGCAAGGCAAGTGCTGTAAACCAAACAGCAGATGGTGCACAGGAAAAAACATGGAAGAACGATTCCGATTCGAAGATATGACAATGATTTTTGAAAACTAATGGAGACAACGGCGAAGTTTCACTTTTAAATTTATCAAGTAAAAAAAAGAACTTACATAGATAAGCGCCATGCAAAAAGAATCCAAGGCAAATTGGTGTAAAAAATACGAAACCAGTAAAGTAGCGCATGTTTTTCTCACCGACGCAATTATCGATCCACTAGAAAAGCACAAGTGTTTAGATTTTTCATCCATTGGCAGAATACAAAATGGATTGTCATAATTAATATTTCTAACAAAACACAAGTACTCCGATGTTATTTTGCTTTTCCTTCACCAAAGCGTGTTTTTTTCCGTTGTGTGTTCCGATATCGAGATTGCTTCGACAGAAAGTCTAACGTTCATCCATTAGTCGGCGTACGATTCCCATATTTATCGAAAAGACTGATGTGAAGAAGCTTTTTTCTCTTCTTTTTAAACTCCGTCTGAGTATTATGTTACACATCACGGCATGTTCAATGAGTGCAATTTTATCATAATTATATGAAGATGAAAGAAACCTACCGGACAATGATGATCGAATTTTGCAACACATCTGCGACATTCGCGACAATGTTTCGATCTCAATGGTCGTCGGGCTAAACACCACGTGCAATAAGTTTCGAAATCAAACGCATTCTTCTCTACTAATTGAATAATCATCTAAATCAAACAAAAACATTCTTGAAAAGATTTTTACAACAAAACAGATGTGACATACGCGATTCTGATGTTCACGGTTGCTTGGAATAAAACCTGGATCACATTTTTGTGAATAATAGTAATTACTCCATGAAAAATAAGTAAATATAACAAGAGCGATAAAAGAGAACGACACGACATGCACATCTAAATATTCATCAAATATATTGAAAGAAGAGCAATTGAAGAAAAATCTTACAAGGAAGAAAATAATAGAGGTAATATGCGTAGAGACAGAATATAGATGCTTGTGCAGCTGCAATCGGTAGATTTCTTCCAACATGTTCATCAAAAAACAACCTAGAATTCAAAAACAATCAATTTTCCGAATGTATCAACGTTCTTTCACATTCCAACTTACATCATGTATCCGTATGACATGAAAACAAGTCCAAGTATGATAATTCCTTTGTGTACAAACCATATGGATAACTCCAGCACGAATGGAATCAATATCAGCACTAGATATGGAAAGAGTTTCGTTCCCAGACGGCGAATAGCTCGGTCCAATTGAAATATTTTGGGTAGATCATTATTTGAAAAAGTTAACTGGCTAAGAAGAAATATCAAACGACGTGTTTGTGAAGATTTGCCTGCAAGCTCATAAATATCTTCATTCTACAAAATTCATTAATCGATCAAACATTCTCGAAGATAGAAGATCAACATACATCAGCATTGCGTATATTCGTTTTAGCATTACACTCAAGAAGTGTCCGAATCGCTTCAGGATTATTTCCTGCGACAGCGTAGTGCAGAGCAGTATATTTGTTATTTGAATTTTGTTCGTTAATGGAAGCACCGAGCCTGATAAGAAATGTAGAATCTATATTTCTCTCGAAAAATTACATACCGAATTAGTAGTTGAGTTGGATCGCGACTAAAAGTACAAAGTCAATTCATATTTTACAATCTCATATTTGGCATTACAATTTAGCTTTATGAGCGGCATGCATCAACGGTGTCATTCCAGATTTATCAGGTAAGTTTATGTCTTGACCTTTAGCTGCCAAGTAAGCAACGATTGGTGTGTGTCCAAATATACTAGCTAAGTGTATGCATGAAAAACCTAAATAACATGAAACCAGATATTGCAAATCCATCTTTGATTGATTGGTTTAGTTACCTTCGCCGTCTACTGCAGTAGGATCTGCTCCGTTTGCAAGAAGAAAGATGATCATTTCTAATTTCCCATCGCGAACAGCCCATTGTAATGGAGTTGATTTCAATGCTCCACCGAAAACATCGCTTTTCGCTCCTTTGCTAAGAAGATATTTGGCGATTTCGACTCGATTATTGATTGCAGCCCAATGAAGTAAAGTTATATTTTCATTCAATGGTGCCGACGCAAGTGAAGGATCAGCATCGATTAACTCGGTGACACGATCGAGAAAACCATATTGTACAGCACTACATATTTTCAATAAATTCTTGTCTTGTATGTAAATATTTTCCTTACGTTACGATATCGGCTGTGTGTGAATCAGGTACTGAAGAATTTACCGTTGTTGTCGAGTCATCATTGGAAACTTTTAACGATTTGCTCGCGTTTCCATTCGATGTATTTGACTAAAATCAAAAAATATAGGCATGAAATTGCTCTAGTTGTACAAATCTCAGGTAAATTACTTCGTTCGATTTCATGTTTGTGTGACTAAAACGTTGTTTTCTGTTGTGTTGTCATCTCAACTTAGTGATTCTTTTGTTACGAAGGAGAGAGAGACAGACAGAAAAAAGCACTACAATGCTAATCTTTAGAGATGATGAATCATTCTAGTTGACAAAAAAGAACAAATAAAATCGATTCATTCATTGACAATGAACAGTGCAATGATTTTTTTTAATGTCCTGAAATTCAAAAAATGACGTGAAAGAAAAAATCGAACGATTTTCTGTCAACAAAGAAAAATAATCGGATTGATTGATTTTTGCCTTATAGAGGACACTAATGTATCTAAATAAACATTCCTTGCTGTTTGTATCCAATAGCAAAAGAACATTCGAACGATGATGCGGAACAAAGAACATTACCATTACCAATAATCTAATAAGCAGAAAATGTTAATGGACGTCATTTAAATATGTTTAATCTTCTATGAAATGAAAGACATGCAGTCACTGATAAATGAATATTCAAATAGAATCAACTGGAGAGACTAGACAATGGTTATAAGTTGACTTCAAGTACTTTATATTTATGTATATGACATTCGTGGCAGGATTGAGTGGACATGTTCAAAAAATTGAACATCGTTATTCACAGCCCGGATGATTCGTCTTTAAAGAGTGTGGCATATCAAATTTAGCACCTTTCAGTACTGCGGATCGGTTTTCTTGTAATCTGTAAGTAAACGGCAAGTACAAGAACGTTCTTTACGCTTTATGGAGATTAGCGGCATATGTGGTTTCAATCAGTAATTAAAACTAATTAGGAAATAGCTGGTTATCAATAGAATTGACGATAAACAGCCGTCATTCTCATCTGGTAAGGCCAGTAGATGGCGTGAGTTTACAATGAATAAGTGTTCGCGAAAGACAGCCAATCGAATGACGATCTTTTATTTACTGTAGAAATGTGCGTCTTCCATGGATGACGAAAGATAACCTCCTATTCTTTTTTTCAATAATTTCATATCATTACTACGAAGATTTCGTACTGCTGGTCCGCAACGGTGATTTAATTTCTTCATATACTCCGGTGCTTGTGTTTTCTCACCTTGTCGAACTGCGTACTGCAGCATTCGGATCAACTTCTCGAAAGATATCTTTCTTGCTTCATCGACTATATCAAATTTCGCAAGTAATTCGAAGATTTCACGATCAGTCACTGAGATTCCCAAACCTTTCCGTAAGAAAATCGGCAGAGTGGCAACAGTTAACTTCTCATCTTGATCATCATCGAATTTACTTGAAAAATCACGAAGAAATACGCTCAGTATTTTATGAAAGACAACAGAGAAGTAAATTACCTGAACCTTTGTTGGATATCAGTCAAGGTGAAGACATCGTGTTTGATCAGACGAGTAAGAGCAAACACAAATTCATGAAAGTCAATCTTTTGATCATTATTCAGATCGAATGCGTTGATTATATCATAACATTCGTCATTCGTTTTTTTGAAATTTAAGGCATTGAGTATTCGTCGTAATTCGTCGAATTCGATGAATTGATCTGCATTCAGATCGAAAAATGAGAAGGCATTGATGATACTCGAAACCGTTTCAGACATTAGACGTGGCGGTACCGTATTGATAAGTTTATTAGAAATTTTCTGATGATGATACGATGATTGAGCAGTCGACTGTTCTTTCATAGAAATATTTCGGTCAATCATGATCTTGTTTGTTTTCTATTTTAGATTGTTTGAAAAAAGGAAAGTAGATAATGTCATATCAACAGCCGCCATCATCGTAAGTCATTTTTCTCTCTAATCAATTTGTTAGAATACGAAAAATTTCGATCTCTGACCGATACTTTCAATTACTGTTTGTTTTCTATTTTAGTGGACCCAACAATCAATTACCGCCCTTTGGTAAACTGATTTCCTGCTTCTTATTGATTATAGTATATATTTTCGTGTGTCTTTTTAGATTGGTCGCTACCCGGTAGAAATTTTGGTAATGGTCCTCCACCACTAATGGGCATTCCAACTCGAGTTCGTTTCTTTTATTCATAAAACTAAATTGAATGTTTTTGTTATATTTCGAATAGGATGAAGTTCGATTGCCATCGACTATGGAGCGTGTTTTGAAATTCCGTGATAACCAACACGAAGAAGATCGTGTTACTAGATTACATAGTGGCGGCCATGGTGGTGGTCATCAGACTGATTCAGGTATTGAGCAGAATGATGAGTATGATGATGAAGAATCTGACGATGAAACAACTGCTCAGAATGGTCTCTCACGAAAAACGAAGAAAGAAATTGAAAAGCGACGTCGACGTCGAGCGAAAAAGAAAAACAAATCCACAACAGCAACGATCGCTCCTGTTGCTCCGCCACCGCCAGCACAACCAGCAAAATCATCGGAATCCTCTTCGAAAGACTCAGACAAAAAGAAGAAAAAGAAACAGGAGCCTGCTGATGACGAGGATCAAACTAATGTTGAAATTGAATACGTTCCCGAAGATCTTCCCGTCAAACGCGGTGACGGTTATTATTCTCATTTTGTTAAAGTATTCGAGAACTTCAAATTAGACCAAAATGGTGGCGAAAATGGCGAATATTACTATGATAAATACGGAAAAAAGATTATGGGACCAAAAGTTCTTCAGCCCCGTGATAAAACAAATCTCGAAGAAAACGAAGACGATGAAGACAGCGACGACGAGACTAATAACGATAAAAAGAACAAAGATGGCGACGATGAGGAACAAAATAAGAAGAAATCCAAAAAGCAATTAAAACGAGAAACACGTCTGAGTGTTGCTCAATTAAAACAATTGGTCATTCGACCTGATGTCGTCGAAATGTTCGATGTTACCGCCAAAGACCCCAAACTACTTGTGCATCTCAAAGTAAGTTGTAAGAATTGGTGTATAAATTCTCTTCACCTTTGTGTTTTTCTTAAGGCCACACGAAATACGGTGCCCGTCCCACGTCATTGGTGTGCGAAACGCAAATATCTACAAGGAAAACGTGGTATTGAGAAGCCACCATTTCAATTGCCTGATTTCATTCGTCGTACGGGTATTATGGAAATGCGTGAAGCTTTACAAGAGAAGGAACAAAATAAAACTCTGAAACAGAAAATGCGTGAAAAAGTTCGTCCAAAACTCGGTAAAATTGATATCGATTATCAAAAGTTGCATGATGCTTTCTTCCGTTGGCAAACGAAACCACGTATGTCAATACATGGTGATTTATACTATGAGGGCAAAGAAAACGAAACACGTTTGAAAGATAAAAAACCGGGCGTTCTCAGCGAAGAATTACGTGTTGCACTCGGTATACCAGTTGGACCTACCGCAGATAAATATCCTCCACCATGGCTGATCGCTATGCAACGTTACGGACCACCACCGAGTTATCCAAATCTAAAGATACCTGGTTTGAACGCACCTATTCCTGAAGGTTGCCAGTTTGGCTATCATAGCGGAGGCTGGGGTAAACCGCCTGTTGATGAACATGGTCGACCGTTGTATGGTGATGTGTTCGGCACGAATCAATTTGCTTACATACGAAGTATGGCAGAAGAAGAGCATGTGGATAAGAGCTATTGGGGAGAAATTGAAACCGAAGAACAAGAACAAGACGCTGTTAGTTCATCTGATGAAGAAGAGGCCAATGAAGATACTGGTCTCGATAGTGAATTGTCCTCAGATGGACAAATGGCTGCGCCGTCGACAACAGATCATGCGCATCATCATGTACACCATCACCATGGCGCAGCAAATGAAGAACAACCGATCCATCCAGCTGGCTTTCAAACACCACACGGCAGTGAAGGTTTCGCGACGCCTAGTGGTAAGTTTACTTACCTCTATGAGAGAAGAAAACAAGTTCAATACTCTTTTTTCTAGGTACACAATCGTCCATACTTGGTGTTGAAACACCACAACAGGTAAATACTGTCATTTCTACGTTTTTTTTCTTATTCAAATCGATTTGAATTTCTTTAGTTTGAAATACGTAAATCTCGCTTTCATGCAGAAATGGAAAACGATGCTGCGCCTTCTCTTTACACTGTTCTACCTGAGAAAAATGTTGGCGTTGGCCAATCATCTCTGTTGTCAACGAATCGTGTTTATGATTTTCAAGCCATTAGTAAATCACAAATGGGTCAAGCGTCGAGCGGTCGAAATGATATGTCTGGTGGCGTTGACATCGCTCTCAATCCCGATGAACCCGAGATGAGTAGTCAAGCATTAGAAGCACGTTATCGACAAGAATTAAAAGATAAAGAAATAAGCAAAGAAGATCTTAGTGATATGGTTTCAGATCATTTGAATCGACAAAATAAAGTAAAATCCCCCTTTTCTTTCACATACATCTACTTTCAAGTGTATTTTCTTGTTTTCTTTTAGAAGCGTAAAGCTAAGCAAACAGATGCAAATGCTAAAGATGGCAGTGCAGCTAAACAAGACAAAAAATTCAAATTTTGATTTGTCTGTACTCTCGTGGTCGTTTTCTTTCTTGTCTTCTGTGTAAATTGTGTTTTTCTTTGTTGTCACTAATAAAACAGTCATCTTATTGAAACCACAATTCGAAATGTACGGCGCCCGTCATATCTTCAATACTGGTGCTCTGACGAATATTTCTTGCGTACGCTCGACAGATAATATTCAACAGAACGTTCGACTCCACTTTAATAAATTGTGCCCATATGTAAGGCTGCCGATAACCAGGTTGATTTAAGAACGGATAGTAATATAATGGAATGCCACCAATGGCTTTATTACCTAAGATGGAAATATGATCGATTTGATGAATTAAATCTTGATCAGTTGGATATTGTCCGAAGCATTTGATTAAAACGTAATCTTTCATAACCGGTTGCCAGAGATCGCGAATTTCCAATGGAACTTCGTCTTTTGATTGATAAGGTTCTGGCACCCATCCAAAGACACGGTTCAATTTGATAACTACGCACGGTCGACCTTTGTTATAACCATAATTTTTCGGCTTTGAACATGGATTCGGACCAGGCTTAACATCAGTAAAGAAAAATATACAGGAAAGACCTTGACGAAAGTAATTTATCAGCACATCGCGTGGTAAACCAGCGCAATCGATCATCTGCTGATGATACTGATCTTTAAGCCCATAACCAAGAACCCATTGGTGAACATTGTCAACCATCTGAATGAATGATTGGTGTCCGGTCTTACGAGAAGTACGCCATTGAATTAGCGAACGATCCATATAATACTGTGGTCGAAAACCGAGTCCTTGAGAAGAAAAAGTGTTGATGAGAAACAAAGCAATAGAAATTATCAATAGTCCTACCTGGATTGATCCCATTATCGAATGCTAGTGCACTTTCATTACCAAGTCTTCTAGGCGTTTTCTTATCAAGTAGTAGAATATAAACAATGACGAAAGCCGAAAAAATGACACCTAAGACGAAGAAAAATATCGAATAGAAACATCCGAGTTTCGCCCATTCAAGACCGTCGCGTGCACAGAATCGTCGTGTGTTGCGATTCCAGATATAGTTTCGTATATTCGAAAGATGATCAAAACCAGTTAACGGACCATCCTTAATCAAAACATCTTCCCTCGTAGTCGCCGATGGGTACAATGGAGATCGGAGATTGCTTCTTGGGCGAACAATGTACGGTTCACGAGAATTGATCGTTTCAAACCATTCTTCATCTGAATCCATTGATAAAATGCATTGATTTGCGCTGGCATCTCTACTGTACTATGATAGTTGATGGTCCGAAAACATCTTATCTCGTCTTTTTTCTTTGTCAGTTGTCTATTGATCATGTTACATGTATGATCTTTCACCTTGTGTGTACAACAGTGATTTCTTCACCTTTAAAAGAAAAGGTTTCGCACATAATCAAATTTGACGGCAAAATCAATGCGCAGACAGGCAAGAGTCAATTAACTCAAATTTTCAGATATCAAATCTAATTTTCTTTCGATAAAGCTTTTCAAACTGTAATATATCAATAGTCTTGCGCAATCGACATACGTGAATAACAGCAGCAACATTCAATGATTGAAGTAGATTTTCTTTCTTTGTGTGTCTCATGTTTCAAGAGCTGAACAAGTAACAATTTCAGGCACTTAATCTACCGGTTCGTTCATCTTACATCAATTCAATTATTCTGCAGTCGTCGGACAACAAGATTCACTGGCATACACAGAAAGACTATTCGACAAAATATCGAGTGGTGGAATAGTTCACTTTCTTCTGCTTATCATTAACTAAATATAAACAGAAAAGTTTGTTCGCCTGTCGGATTTAATCATTAATACAGACAAGAAAATGTTTATGACCAGTACAGATGATGCAACAATCAGTTTTACCGATTGAATAAACTTCGATAAGATTTAATCATTGGAAGATTTCTCTTTTTTTTCTTGTTCTCTCTTTGTGAAACATGACTGAGAAGAAAGAAACGGAAGTAACCTTGTCTTATACTGTAATAGTCGAAAAATGAGATCTAAAACGTACATTATCTTCACAAATAATGTCCATGCTGACTCATTCGTATCTCAAGAACGTCGTCGATACGTCTGACCTTGATAATCTCATCTTTTCTTTGTCTTGTTTCAGATAGATAAGCACGGTTGAACATATTTCTTTGTTCTTCAAGGATAACTAGTAGAGTTTATTACAGGGAACGACTGTCTCTTTTTTTCAATTAGATAAAAAGCATGTGCCCTAGTATCACTTTTCTTTTTCTTATTTCCCTTTTACACTTCACCCGTCGAGTTGATGTGAGAAGTTTTGAACACTTGATAGGTGGGTATCGCCGACATTAAATTGACCGAATGTATTAAAAACAACTTCTGTCGGAGAGACTAACATCATCAATTCGTCTGTCCTTCTGGCTAGGAAAGTAACGAAGTGTGTAAGTGCTTTCGAAAGTATCTCTTTTCTCTCATGTCGTGCTGTTGTCGAACATGTGCAATGCGTCGAGCGGATGTTTGTCACTAGTCGGCTTTTGATACTCGATAATTGTTCTAAATAAACCTTGATAATGTATGAATAAGTCGATCGTTATGTCGTCTCAGTTCTTTTTTTTCATTTCTTTTTGTCGATATTTATTGACTTAAGGCACTAACAATAAGTCTCAATCGAATCTTAGTTAATTTTCCTCATTTGAATGTCATTCTTGTTTGGAGACATCAATAAAAAATGAATTTTCTGCGTAGTCTCAATGTCAAACGTGTCTACAGGTGTTTCGTTATTTCTCCTGTCTCCTCGTCTCTTTCATGTTACGTCGATCTGATAGTTGATAATAAGAAAAAAAGAAGGGAAGACAGAAACGATCGAGTTCAAATATATATTATTGTCTTTAACTTCTCAGCATAATACATCTGCACACACACATATGCGTACCATTCTAATCTTCTCCTATGACTATTAAGTATAACACTCTCCAACAACTCATTGAAGAGATAAATAGATTTCTTCTTACTCAACGGATAAATCGAGTATGCATTCTTTTTACGTAACGTTCGGCTCTCTTCTTTTCATGTCATGTATTTGTGCGCCATAAATATATTATTCATGCGTAGAATAACCTTGATATTGTTCAGTCTGCTGTTACTTGGTCTTTTACTTTAGTTAAATAAGTAGAAAATGTCACGATGTTGATTTCTTTTGTTTTTTTTTGCCTTCTTTTCAAATCGAAATCAGACGACATTCGTTGTCAAATACGACAAGTTAATCGGATCAATAGTGCGTAATTGAACCGTTTTCTTTGGCAAAGTTTGGCGACGAAAAAGAATATTCGGGCGACAGATTGACTCGTCCTGTTTTATATAATTGAAAGAGACACGTTCCTATTATTATCATTTGTTGAATAGTTGACGCGAACAATTGTTTATCATATCGAATGCGATGTGTTCTCCTTGTAGCGAACGGACATGGTCATTATTTTCCCTTAAATTAACATGAAGAGAAAGAACAGTTATGTGTGTATACAATTGTCTGCTTCTGTATATGTTTCATATTCATACGAGAGAAAAAGAAAGAGACTCGATGCCATACATACTCCCCCCCCCCTCTCGCTCTCTCTGTTTCTTTCGTCTCTTTACTTCTAAGTGAACAATCTCTGTCACATTTAGTTCAGTCAATATACTAATATTCTTTTTCTCTCCTCCCAATCGTTTACTTAGCTTGTTTTGTCGATCGATTGTGCTAATCAATCGTCGATCTTCTCCTATCTGTATCTCTTTCCCATTATTTATACAAATAGAGTGAGTAATCTTTTAGGTCGAGACAATTTTGCGCTTCATTTGTCATTCGTGCTCCATAAAAACTAAGTCATCTATACTTGTTCATCAACATACATATACAAAATGATATGTTCATTACGTTCGTTTCTTCCTTACGCAATCGAATCAAAGAAAGAGAAAGAGAAAGATTCTTATCACTTCTTTATATATCGTGCGAAAAGAAAGATTATCGGCATACGAGTTCTTTTCTTTTTCAAGATGAATACCGTACAAGTCTATGTATATTTTCAACTTTTCACGGCAATAATATCGACAACAGCACTTCAATCTCCATGTCAATATATCGATTCAACTGAACAGATATTTAAATGTGATCTATGTCAATGTTTCTCCGCGCCAGCAAGCTTTTGTCCCGTAAATTCACGCTTAACTTGTTCGAATAACACTCAAGATGATTTTAATCAAATTCCTCTCTTGTCATCATCAAATCAACTTGAATTACATCATTTTAACAACGAAGTACCAACTTACGAACCAATCTGTGCAATAAAAACCTTTTCGCAATTAAAATATTACCAATCAATAGTTTCGACGATACCACAATGCTTATCGTCGATCTCATCGATCTATTTCGTTCATTCAACGATTCATCGAAATCGATTCTCTTCGAACAAGTTGATTTTCTACAAATCAATGTTAAATTTTACGAATTTGAATCTGACGTCAACGAAGATCTTGACATTGGATTCAGTTCAATTTCTTGTTAAACCATTTCATTTGAATTCGTTAATAATGTTGACACATTTAACTATCACACACACAGAAGATTTCTATCTTCTCGGTTCGTATCCTCAACTTTCGTATCTCAATTTAGACAATACGAATTTAACTGATAAACAACTAAATCGAATCTTTACTCAAACAACAATTCCGGACTTGACAACATTGATCCTTTCGAACAATTATCTCACAACATTGGGAAATCGTTTTCCTTCGACCATTCGTTACTTAGATCTCTCAAAAAACCAAATCAAATCTTTGAATTATTATTCCTTCAAATCTCTTTATTCATTGAATATCTTAAACATAAGTTACAATTGGCCATTAGAAATTCAACAGGATACTTTCACACGTATACCTTATCTAGAAATTCTTGATATAAGTTATACTTTACCAACACTACCATTCGATGATCTATTTCTACCGTTACAGAAACTTCGACATTTGAATGTTTCATCCAATGCACTGGATACTCTACCGCATTTACCGATTCCACATGACGCACATATGATTGAAAGCTATGATCAACATTTGCCTGTTCTGTACGTTGATCTTTCGAATAACAACTTCGAAAAGCTCGATTTGGACGTGTATTCCTCGTCATCGACACAAGATAAATACATTCTTTCGTTAAATATGAATTCGAATCGGATAAAAACTCTGAAATCTTCTTCAATGCTATCGAATGATGCGAAACGACGTGGTCCATTCATCGAATTCGAACTGATGAACAACTCCTTGGAATGCGATTGTGATTTATATGAAAGCATCAGTCAGCTATTACAAACGAATTCATCACTGCAAAGAGCAAATACAGGAAATAGTACGTATTGATTCAAAATGTATTTCCGTGAGATTAAGAATATGCTTCTCTTGCGCAATTAGTTGAGTAGAAGATTTGCATTTCAAGGTGAACAGAAAGATTATATGACCGGAAATTCATCGAGATAAGTAAGCTCATTTAACAACGGAAGTCTAAAGAAGTTCTATACAATGACTGTCGAAACTAAGGCCAGGCCAATAGCGATTATGATTATTGATTAGATAGATCGATTTAAGTAACAAATTGTCTTTTGTTTAGCATCGGCGTCTAATCAACTAATAAATCGTATCAGAATTATTCGATTGTCTAATCTAACATGTCTGGATTTGATTGATCCAACAAATTTACACTCGTTATATGACTTAAACTCATCGAACAGTTTTTGTTCGTATACGAAATCTTGCCCATCAACATGTTCGTGTTGTTTAACATCTGTCTCATCAAATGATTGTCATTGTTATTCGCAATGTCCACATCAATGTTCATGTAAGCATTCAGTTGATTTAACGCATAATTCAGTGAATTGTTCCAATCAACAACTGTATCAAATACCGGCAGATCTTCCCCATTCGACAACGCATCTCTATTTGGACAATAATGAGATTAGATACTTCGATCATAACTTTACGTACTTAACACGATTGAAAGCTCTTTCGTTAGCGAACAATTCATTTGAATATTTGACAAATTATGATTTTTTTACAATGAATCGAATAGAATACCTCGATTTATCCTCGAATCATATCAAACACATCCAGTCGAAAACATTCATTAATCTGATTAAACTCAAGAAACTTTATCTACATAATAATGACTGGATGCCAAATTTTTATCACCAGGAAAATCTTTTTCAGTCAAATATTCGCCTTGATCTGTTAACATATGGAAATGGATTGACATGCAATCGTTCGACAATCTCCTCGATGATCATTAATGAACGACCATTAACAGCGGAAGATTGCTGCTCAACATATACCGATGTATACGCATGTGAAAAGAAATTTCGAGTGGATAGATACAATCTCAAACATGAATTGAGTTCAACATATTCGAAAACTTATTTTTTCTTCATATTGTATCAGAAATATATCCTTTTCGGCTTAATCATTTGTTTATTCGTTATTATATGTTTGATAACTATTTACATCAATCGGAAAAAACGAGAATTTCTCGCAAAAGAAAAACTTCTGTTAAATGCTGATCTGAAACTCGAGACAAATCTTTACGACACAAAAGGTAAAACGAGATTGCTTCCGAATGGATTGATGTTTGTTTTCTCTTCAAAGGAATGAAATACAATCAACAAGGAAATGATAATTCGATCTCTTATACAGACGAAGATGAATATGCTTCCATACCTTTGACGACTTCTCAGACAGATTTAAGTTCAATCATTCATTCTCAAACCATTATACCTCCACTTCCACCGCGACGGCAGTTCATTTCCAATCGTCCAGTTTCACATTCATCAACTGTCTCAACGACGATCACTAGTCCAAATTTTTCCTCGCTAACCACTACTCATTCATGTTTACAGATCAAACTCGACGTACTCGTACTCTATTCAATAACCGATAGTAAATACATTCATGACAATATCGGCCAACAACTGGAAGATGCCTACGGCAAACGATTTAGTTTCCATTTTATTCATCGCGATCGAATGTTAGGTGAACTGGACTGGTTAATCGAAAATTCTTGTGTAACAATCTTAATTCTGCGTAAACCATACAATCAGATTCATGATTATATGAAAATTTTATCCACATATGCATCGTTGAAATGTTTTATCATCTTAATCAATCATGAACCGAACCATCGATTGATTTCGATCAAAGCTCGAGAAAAGATTGCACGATTGTATCGAACATCCGACATATTCGAATGGAATTCTGATCCAAAGTCTTTGTTACATGAACAATTAGATTTATTTCTCGAGCAAAATTGTGGTTCAGCTACTTACGTCCCAGATTGATATCTCAAATCCGACTACGTCATGTAATTCTGCCGGTGCTTTCATAGTTTAGTGGTCATTCTTGCTTTGACATGCATTCTGTTTTTTTTTCTTGCTTGTTTGTATGTATAATATATGTATGAGTTTTTCTATAAGAACGAAAAATGAAATTGATCTTTTGTCGGAGAAGAAAATATCATTTCAAAACTCGATTAACTAATTCGAATGGTTTCTTTTGGCATTGTAAATCATCATCAATTACAAAGCGAATACTTAGCAAGTCACATGTGTTCATCGAATAAATTTACATATTAATCAGAAGAAAAGATAAAACCTCATGTTCTCTCTGTCAATAGTCAGCGAGTCGGACAACTTCTAATGTAACACTTCACATCGGTTCAACCTTCATGTCTGTATCAGAAGGCAAAATAAACTTACTAAACACTTGAATATCCTGATGGATTCAATTAGAACTCTCTTCAATAATGTACACCGTTGCTTTCTTCCCCTCTCTCTCTTTATGCTTCTCTTCAATCAACGTGTGAGTCAATATGTACATAGAGGTGAATTGAAATAATATGTCTGTTTGCTCTTTTGCTTTTCACTTCCATTCAATCACGTACAAATTTTCTCTTTTACAGATTTCACTTTCGCATTCGACGTACAATGAATGAAATTCGTCAATTGTGCACAACATCAGCATTGCCTAGTAAACATCTCGATGAAATTCTCGCACTTTTTCAAGCATGTCCGCCACAGTATCGACTTCCTTCGTTGTCGTTAATCTGTCAATCGATATCATGCATGTCCATCGAACAATTGGATGTTAGTGTTCTCAATCATCAGTTGTTTTTTGTTATTCGACAATCTTCGGAACATTTACTACAATCATGGTTAACGAATGGCTCGTTGAATGGTCATGAATATCGGGCAATCTTTTATATTTATCAGTTATTTAAACTCGTATCAGAATGGTTGATCGAACAGGATCATATGATCGTTGATATGAAGGCGAAAGAATTAACTAAACGAGTTATGAAAAGCCTCTTTCTTGACGAGAGTTTTCTGAAAACATTATGTCGAGTTATTCAGCAATTGGTTCGTTATGAAAATGATGAACAACGTAGTACAGTAACAAGTCCTCTGTTTGTAAGTTCAGTTTATTATCGTTTCTTGTCAACAATTTTCCAGTGTATTTCCAGGATGGCGATGATAATCCTGTTTCACCCGATGATGTTCATCTTCAAACTCATGTATCAGATATTCAAGCGGAACAAACCGACATCATCGATGTTCTGTTTCGTTGTGTGAATTCTTTAGTGATTCTGTATACTCACCCAATCCTATTGAATAGTTCGATTGTGGATAAAAATCTGACACCTTGCGTGATCCATTGTCTTCATTCGTCGCTATTTCTTCAACTTGCCACAGATTTTCTACGTCAGAATATCACCAATGATCAAATCAACATTCAATCGATCTTTCTACTATTTACTTGCTTAGATTATTGCATTCTCTCAGCAATAACCATTTCCACATTACGATTAATTCCGTCAATCCGGGAAATCTTTCAAACCTGGTCGACAATACCTCGAATGGACATTTCACCTTTAATTATTCGTCTTATTCGTTTTATCAATCAGTTAACCATAGCAGATAAAGAAGCAATTATTCGAGAAAATCTCTGTTCGTTCTTTCTTCCATCATTTGAACTTCTCTGTCAAACATCGAATTTAACTGATGAGATTGCGTCTATACTCATAACACTCTGCTCGATCAATCTCGGAAGAAAACATTTACGTCAATTAGGCTTCATTCGTCACATTCTACACGGAACAAAACGTTATGTTCAATTATGGCGCCCATTGGCGTTATTACTCATTCAGCAAGATCTACAAGAAACGTCGTTTCTAAATCGATTGATTCATTTGTTAACACAACGAACTATAACTCTTTTTCAATCATTAACAGCCACATCAAACGATACATCGTTTGATTCGACTTCACCTTCATCCAAAGTTCAACTTACAGAAGTCACGATTGAATGGTTGCTCTTATTACGAACGAGTTTCTTAACATTTTCATCGATCGTCGATGGATTGATCAGTACCAAGCGAAAAGTGAACTTTATCAATGTTTTAATCGATACGATTTTATCGGTTCAGCAAGATGAAGATACCCTGCCGAAATTGATCGATGTTATGATCGAATTTCTGTGGACATTTGTTTTCAGTACAACAACAACTATTTCTGAAACTTTACCGAAACATCTCGATTTATGTCAATGGTTGAAAAGCAACAATGCTGAATCATTGCCGAGCATACGCTTAACATCGCAAGGTATCCTTTCGACTCTAGAATTCAATTCGAAGACGCTAAGTAAGTTAACATTTTCATTTAAGACTTCAATGTTCACATCCGATTCGAACTTTAGATCGGTCGTCAATTTCAACAAATATTCTCATCTGTATGATTTATGCTGATGAAGCACACCGAGATTTATGTGTGATTCTTCGAGATCGATTGCAAATGGAACAACAGTATTCTGTTGAACTTCTCTTGACTTCAACATGTCAATCAATTGAATCGTTAATTCAACTTCTCAATCGTTCATCGCTCGCTCTCTTCTGTGCTAGTACACAGATGAAAAGTGATAATCTCTCGCATTTCATCCATCACTATCTCTCCCATCAATCATATAAGACACCTCTGTTGGCTATTCTGACAGAACAAGATTGCGAACTCGATGGAAATTGGTTAGAGAATATTTCCATCGTTGATAAACAATCAATGCTCAAACAAATTCGACGATATCTAAACCAAAATGATGAGAGTCATCTGCCGTTGACTGACATTCCAAATGAAAGTTATCGCCGTGTTAGCAATTTTCATGATATACATAACCAATCAGGAAATTATACTCAACGGCCTGTTACATATTGGACAGCCGATGATGTGACACAATGGTGTGAGGCAACTCCGGGCAATTTCGAAACACTACGACCGCTTGTCAAGCGTCTCAACGGTCCTGCACTGGTTCATCTCGCGGAAATTCTCTCGATCGAACCAGCATCGATGTATCATAGTCTGAATAGCGAATTAATACAACGAACAGGTTCTAATGTTCCATTGACCGATTATGTGTCGTTAAGAAGTGAATTGCAACGATTACTAGTTGAAAAACTTCCGGAGAATATACCAGATGCCGATGTTAAAGCTAAGCCCAAGAAAAGAAGATGGAAACATAGTCGTTTTTGTACTATAATTTGATGTTACTTGTCAGATATAAATAAAAAATAAATTCATGTTCTTCGATTTGATTTTCTTGAGACAAATGCGCATGATATTTCGCTTGCCAGATGCGCGAAGGCGTTAATGTTGATTTTAGATCTAGACGACACAGTATGCAACCTTCGAATCGGTTAGAGATAATCACACAATACTGAGAAAGACGCGTCTGTGTAAGTACATTCATATCATCGACAAACGTCCTTTAATACAAAAAAAAAGCTGATCGAAATTAAAGTTGCCTTCGCTAAAGCATCGAGTAAATTTCCATATGACTTTACAGCTTACTGATCCTAATCTAAAGAACTTAAGACGATTGAATTTAATCGATCTAATACCCGTGATCATTTTTCAACTAATTAAGCAAGATGTTTGTACTGAAGGCAAATATCAAGTAGACTGCATTGATGTTTAGGAGATGGAAATAATTTCAATATGCTATTAAGTGTCATTCGATCATTGTGTTAGACAATATCCTCAAGCTATCGAATAGTGTGACGTCAAGAAAAATGACAAACTAATTGGTCGTAATCTAGGCTTTTAGTGTTTTGTCAGTTTATAAACATCTGACTGACATATTCTGATGATTTTTTTTTCATCTCTTAACGATGCTTACACAATACAAAGATCTTTTTTCGCTATTGTTTTTCGTCAACATGCTTTTAGTCGTTCAGTTCACTGGAAGAACTTTATGACAGTCCTGTCAACAACGAAGTCTTTTCTTTCTGCGCTATTTATATCCAGAAATTCAGTCATGCATTCATCAAAGAATCATTTATTGATAGGTGCCTTCATTGACTTGAACTACCCGTTGTGAATTGTACTTTACATAAGACGATTCAAGGAAATCTTTTCAGTTGATTGTTGAGTAGAACTCACAGAGAACAACAATATCAGTAATCAACACAGTAAGATTTGTATTGTGAATCCTTTTTCTCGTTGATATCTTTATCATTTTTTGGAAATCCTTTTAAGTGAGATGAGACAGACAACATATCGTCTTCTTTCTTTTGTCATTGTCACGATATTGCTGAAAGATGCTTTCATTGTCACGAGTTACCATACAGAATCCAACGACAACAACAAACTCGATCGATTCGACAAATGTCTCTAATTCATATTTCGTATGTGCGAAGAGAAAGATGATTTCATTTTAATAGAGTACATCAATGTCGAATTTTCTGCTTGTTGATAGATATTTATCCATATCTCCGCCTCCAATGCTCTCGACTACTATCCATGTTCTATGAGTCTATTTATGTAGGAGTCTCTTATCTGTTTCTGTGTGTATGTTACAAACAGAGATAATATAAATGATAAGCTAGCTATTAATATCATAAAGAACATCGATTTATTCAAGCAGAAAACTATATTCGATTTCGGTCATTTCCATCGGCGCCTTTTCTTCTTCTCGGTTGATTGTTTCGAATGGTAAACTTGCTTATTACTTATTAACACAACAAGAGAACAATGCTAAGAAGTAATATATCTGAAGAGAGCGGCGAAAAAAATCTTTAGTCAAAGACATGAACATTTTGTTAGCGGAAAAGAAAAGTGAGCGTAAAATGACAATAATAACCATCCTAATATTAACAATAAAAAAGAAACAATTGATTATGTGGGCGTAAAGCTGTTTTCAAAAGGAGAAAGAGACAGTCGTCATTAAGGGTTTGTCCTTGTTTTTCTTCTTCTTTCTATTAAAAAAAAAGACCTAATGGTAATGTAAAAGATAGAAGCTCGCATGAATAAGGGACATGAAAGAAATGCTGATGACGTTCTCGTATTGAACAGAGAGAGAGAGAGAGAAAATGCTTTTCCTCTGATTTGCCTTGGTATTCTGCTGACGAGGCAAACTAGATATAGCACAGCTCGAAAGCGAAGAAGATTAGGTAGGAATTGACATATTCCTGGAGTTAAAATGAGAAATGTCCCCTAACTTTTTAATCTCTCAACTTTGATATGAATAGAAGAGAAATGGCAAGATAAAAAAAGAAACAGAACTACAAAAAACATCAGAACAATAAGCAAAGAGACTCTGAATAGCTCTTTTTCGTCTTCTTGTTTCTTAGATGGCAATGACATTAAACTCATCTGACACTGAATGCCACTTTTCTATTCTCTCGGTTTTTTTTTCTCTCTCCCACTTCTTTAACCGAAATTTGCTTCGCCCTACATGAGATTGTGTTATGATATGCATCCTGACAGCTGTATATCGTTGATAGAAGTCTTGATCAACTGACACGACATCACATGTAATTGGTGTCTTATTAGATTTCAGAGAATTGAAAACTGTTTTATTTCATGCGCATTAATTAACCCACAATCAGATCTTCTTGTCCAAGGTATTGATTTGTCATTTTTATCAGCTTTTTTGAGCGGATTCTTGCTCGTAATTGACGACATTTTCTTCTCGTTTATTATCAAATAGAAAAGATGTTATGTTGAGATGGATGTATATACTCATTAGGGAGAAGCGGATTGTCGAAAAAGAAAACACGACGCGCGCGTGAGAGAGAGACAGAATTTTCTTGACTTTGACTAGAGTACCGAAAAAGAAGAATTTTCAAGTCAACAAGTGATCATTAAAGAACTCTTAATAATGATTGCTATGTCATGCACTATCAAGCGTCCGGAAATCGAACGTTGATATACGACATTTTTAAGTTTAGTTTTGCTCCAAAGGTGTTGACAGTCATTATTCTGAATGTTCGTCGGGAAAGAACAGATCTTTTGAGTAACATACACATTTGTGCGTTAGATAATGTATTCTTTTCTCTGCGACCCAAGCGACATGGATAAACTGGTAGTCAGAGAGAAAGAGAGACGCGAAGTAAATGAGGATGAGATAGAAGCAGAAGAAGAAAAAAAAATCCAAGGAGTAAGAGAATAAAGAGAAAATAGAAGATGACTCGAGGGAAATAAGCAATGTGTCATGATGAAAAAAGGAATCTTCGTCGATGCCTTTGCTATGTTGTTAAATAAATACTTTCCAAGGAAGATCGACGCGTTAACTTGATTACAGTTAACTACATATCTATTTTGCTACTATTTTTATCCAATATCATCAAATATTCCTTTATTTTTCTTTTAAGAGCAAACTATGACAAGATTGCCCTCTGCAATTCTTTTCACCTTATTAGTACATATTAATGAAGCACACGTGAACCCGTCGACGGAGTTGTCATTTATGTTCAATTCGACGATTTCCAATCGAACAACATTAACTTCTCCTTTGTTGAGACAACCGACGCGACAAGCAACCTATCTCGGTGCCATACTCGCATTTGTTTTTATTTTCTTTGGTCTGATCGGAAATATTCTTCTTATAACAACAATCCTTTCGGTGAAAAAACTTCGAATTAATATTATCAATATCTTCATTGTATCGGTAAGTTTATTATGTCGAACTATTTCCATGTCTTTTACTACAAATTGACGACGGAATGTATCTGTGCGCAAACATACATCCAACACTTCCGTCTTCTCTTCGTTGTTCTCAATAGAAGTAGGCAGGATGGAGTAAACATACCGGAAACTATTTTCACATTTAATAGTTCAATCATGTACTTTGCCAAGAACTCATCGTCATGTTCTGGTCACGTTCTACATTTTATGTCGAACCTCTTCTTCGTAACGAATGCGGCCAAACGTAGTGTTTTCTTCTTCAAGTAGATCAAATTTGCGTTTGATAGGGAAAGAAAAAGCTTCCACTTATTCCTCTTTTCATAATGATCTAATCAAGCAGAAAAGCTTTCATTTCCGTTTTTTCTTCTTTTTCAAAGCAACTATTTTACTGCAGGTCATAAAAGTGTTTAATCGGTGGAAAAAAAAAGAAAAATGCCATTCAGAATGAATCCAAATAGGAACTTTTGTCAGTTCCGATTGCTGTCGAATAATGATTTACTTTCGTTTAGTTACAATTCAATGATTTACTCAACATTGGTTTTAATCAATTCTTCGTTGGACTTTCCTATGCCAATCATCATTGGGTTGGCGGGCCTTTGATCTGCAAATTAGTAGTCTATTTTTCAACTGTTTGTATGGGTTGTCTTCTTTGGCATCATTGTCTAATTGCTATTCACCGCTTAATTGTTGTTGTTTATCCATCTTTATTACGTCGCATGTCAGTCAAAACGTATGTGATTGTTTCACTTGTCATTACTCGAGTCTTACCGATCTTATGTTGCATTCCTTCGTTTGCAACATATTCGATCGAGTATTCACCTCAAGCATTACGTTGTTCCATAAGAAATAAAGTGCAAATATTCATTAACTTAACTGTTTTAATTATTCTACCTAATGTTATTATTATTTTTTGTTTTCTCGGCATCTTCTTTCATGTTTATCATGCATCATATACAAGCGGAAGAACAACGACTCCTTCGACATCTGTTTCGCATTCATTAAGACGTGAAATACGTATTACAAAAATGTTCGCCGTTTTATTCACGTTGTTCTTTCTCGGCTATCATCCCTACGGATTCGTACGTGCCTATGATAAACGTCGTCAATTACATCCGGATATATTTGTTCTATTGACATTACTCTATTGTATATCAATATGTGCCTCACCATTCGTCTATGGGATAATGAACAATCAATTGCGTCACGAGTGTATGCGCGTGATTTTCAACTGTTGGCATTGTCAAAAGATTGATGATTATCGGAAATATTCGCACGGCCGATTGAATTCAACGGTGACAACAGCATTAACAGTTGCTAATGATGGAGGTGATGACGGACGGGCAAGTCCATCAGCAGCGTCAATGCGTGACTTATCTTGTAAAACAGTGCGAAAGAAAACATCAAGTGCAACCATAGTTGATACTGCTCATATTTAAATAAATTGCTCTTCTTCTTCTTCTTTTTCTTTTCTATTCTATATCTCAGTGTTCTCATATTTGTGAATAATTCAACTCGAATCCTCTTAGTTCTGTTTGCAAGTAAACATGCGAAAAGTAATTCGAAAAGCGTATAAACTAAGATCGAATTAGATCGAACCAATAAGGTTATCCGAATATTAATCTGATCAGTATTTCCCCTATTCCCTCAACATCATTGAATATAAACATGATTGAATCACGTTATCCTAAACGATGGCAACTTACATTAACACACTAGTGTCATGACTAAAACTGAATTCTATATGACAAAATGTTCGAATGGCACAACGCGTGGGCATATTATCTCTTTGACACACATTCGCAAACAATATATCGAAAGTCTTTCAAAGTTTTTCGCGCACTAATCAAAGTCACTTTTTCCATTAGTTCCAATCCCTAAAACAACAATTTTGTATTAACATTCAAGCTGATTACATTCTATCAATGGTCTCTAGGACAATTTTTCCGATCAAATCATTTATTTCAGTCATCATGACATGAAGTGTAATTTATTATCATGACAAACTTCTCCTCTTTCTTTCTCAGCGCATGAGTTTTGATCAGTTCAAACGAGATGTTCGTTGTTCATCTAATTAAAATTCATTGCCAGAGGCATAGTGTCAAATTTGCATATCCAACTTATTAGCCACATATCAAAGATCAGATACAAATGCTTAGTAACAATTATCGCTGTTTGTTCTGCCGTATAGAATATAAAATTATCAACATGAACGTTGTCTAAAGATTTTCGATGCTCGTCGTAAAATTTTTTATCATGAACTTATGATTCAATACGGGCAGGGTAAATTTTATAATCCTGTTCGGACAGCAGAAAGTCATTGATTGTTCAGTGAGCTGAGAATGATGTAAACGATCAACCAGAAGAGAAACCTTCGATTTTTGAGCACAAGCATACACGTGAATTGACTTTCACGTTCAGTTCAATTTTTAAAATCAATTCGATGTCTTAATATTGATTTCAAGACTTCATGAACGTTTCTCGATTGTACATCCTTGCACAGTATAATTCAGTTGAGGAGTAGAGTTGATTGAGTAATGATTACGTCACCTCCGAACATAAGTACAGAACAAATTTTCGTTTTGTTCGCTTGTGTTATTGACCTTATTCGAACACTTCTTGTCATTGAACTTGCTCGCGAAGTCAGAATGTAACCAACGGTATTGATCACATTCCAATCAAACATATGCAATCGATTAATTAAGAATTATTTTCTTTCTTCGAAGGAGAAGAAAGGTTGTGTTGATGGATATTAATTGTATGGAATGAAGACAATGCATATCGATGTTCGATTTGGTGAAGAAAAAAGGAGAGAAGAGAAAAGAAAAGTAGGCGAGATGGAGAGTAAAAGAGATTAGAATACTACAAAGTGGTGCACACTATTTGTTGTCAGGGTGAACGAACGAAATAGGATTGACTGTGAGAGAAGAGTCGGTCAGCATTTCGTCACCTTTTTTTCGAATCGAAACGAAGACTTTCGTTTGTTTAAATTGAGAAATGATTTCATTCGAATTTGTCTGGTTAATTATTTTGATTTTATTCATTTTTGTTATCAATATTTCTCACATATTGTATTTAATTCTGCATCACAATGATCAACGATTTCGATTTTATCGTTCGATATTATTGAATTTCTCCTTTGCATCAATGATTATTTCCATCTGGCTCATCCCATTCTTCTATTTTCGTTTAATCTGGTCGTCCGATTCCTTTCCATGGCGTTTATGGTCATTTCTTTTCCATGTCGTTGATGCTGTTCAACTCTATTCTCTTCTCCTTCTCGTTTCAAACAACAGCTTTATTAATTATACTCTTAAACGTCTTCTTCTATTTCTCACTTGGCTCGCACCTATTCTTACCTATTCGCCATTATTATGGTTGTCATTATCTAATGACCAGATGGATTATTTACCCTATCGTCGTCTGTCGATCAGTGTTCCATGGTGGATTCTACCAACAATATATTCTTGTATGTATATTGTTCCGATATTGGTCTCATTTGTTTTAATTGGAATGGGATTATGCTGGCCTTGGATTTATAAACAATACAAACAACGAGAACATGTCGCACATGGTCAAACAAATGAACACCGAGAGAATATGGCAGAATTGACTAGTTTAGTCGAAACGGTACTAAGTTTTGAATTGGATCAATCAACATCGAGCACTATGAATGTACGTCACTTGTTTCCTCTTTTGTCTTTTCTTCGATTGTCGTACTTTTAGACATGGGTTCCTTCGATATCTTCATTATCCAAAGATCAATCATCTCTATCCTATCTTTCAAACAAATTTGATCGAACCTTGTCCTGTAAAACTTCCCAGGATCATTCATCTTTATTATTTGACGATATTTCATCATCGGTACAATTAAAAACTTTCTTATGTAAACAACATGCACCAAAACATTATTATTTATTATTTATTATCACTACTCTGTTCTTGCTCGCTCATTTACCATACGTACTTTTTTCTCTTTTGAACATTTATTCATCTCAATTACCCAGATTTATTTACCTACATTGGTTCGGAACAATGTTTATTCCAATTGTACACTTACAAAAACTCTACTAATGTCCTCTCCAGTTCATCTCATTGGTTGCATATTGTTGACTATTTTGTTTGGCTATGTCGGGATTAAATTGAGAATTATATCGTCGTTTTCGGTCGTCGATTTCGACTCGTACTGGTTCAGGTGTAGTTGGTGTTGAATCACTGCCAGTAAAAACTCGTGATAAATAGGCTGCAGTTTTTGTACGTTCTTGTGCTTCACGTTTCAATCTAAATATGAATAAATGAACAGGAAAAAAAAAGAAAGACAACGATCAATTTACCGATCGGCACGAAGTTGTTCGATACGAGAAGTTGTCGACGACGAGGATGATGTTGATGATGCAGAAGTTTTTTTCGTCGAATTGCTTGATGAAGATTTGTTTCCATCTTCGTGTTTACGTTTCAAATCATCGACACATTTCGACATGTGATGGAGTGGATCTTGCTTTTGAATGCGTAGACGATCACGTTCTTCTCTAGAGTATTTCTTTGAATATAAATCCAAACAATCAAATTAATCTTACCGATCTGTTCTAGACACATCTCTTACATCTGATTGATTGCTAGTATTTCGTTCTAGATACCATGGAACGCTTCCTAAAGAAATCATCGGGTGAATGTTACCGAGAGAATTATCCACTTACCTTTACTTTCCACAATACTACCACCAAGATAAGTCAATAAACCAATTTTCTTTTCGAACTCTTCGTTTTCTGCCTTTTTCTCCTTTTCGTGTTCAGCATTGGTCGCATCGGTAGTTTTCAACTAAATATGTATTATAAGAATAATCACAGCGACCTCAATTTACGTACTCCTTGTTCTTCAAGTTGAAAAAAGTTCACATGTTCCTGGGGATTTTGTGTCGCTGCTGCATCTTGAGCGTTTTGAAACGAAATCGGTTGATCACCGCGTTTAGCTCGGAGATAATTTAGACGTACTTCTTGTTCCTAGACAAACAAACCGATATAAGATTCACCACTTCCGTGAATGACTTACCGCGAGAGTTTTTCTTCGAATTGCCTTTTGTTCGTCTTCCGCAGCTTTCTTTTCATCGCGTAAAACTCGAGCGATATTGTCTTTATTTCTAACATGCCAACGTTTCTTCGGTAAAATATTCATATCTATAAACATGAAATAAGCGAAAGTATTGTTTGTTATGCAACTACAGTTATTAAGTTAGAATAGTACAGATATTGTTTAATAGTTAATAAGGAATGAACGAAAATATGAAACATTGTAAGGCAAAGGTTTACAGAGAATGCCTTTTTTGTTCTTTTGATTTATTCGAGTTTTGGCGAAGATGATGGATCGTGTTTGTCTTCAGTTTCATCATGTTGGTAGTCTTCCGAAGAATGGTTATGATCAAAACTCAATTGTGTTTTACGTAGGTTCCAATGGAGAATGTCAGCTAGTGATTCAAACCAATCGCCCAATTGATCAAATCGACAGATAGACGGTACAGGATAAACACTTGTGGTGATGCGAACACTAGAAATTAACATTACGTAGAGAAGATTCTTGAGGATGTTTCGCCATTACCTGTCTTGCTGTTGAAGTTCGTGCCTATTTCGTCCATCAACAGAAAGCCAAGCTGTGAGACGAGTATCCTCGGAAACCTTCACTTTTAATTCAATACCAGCAGGTACAACAATTGGTCTGAATGATAGCGAGTGTGGACAAATGGGACAGATGACCATCGCAGGAACATTAGGATGAACCATTGACGACCCAGCTAGAGAAAATGTTTTTAGTTTCATACCGAATAGTTGATAGAACAAAACAAAAACAACGTACCAGCCATCGCATAAGCTGTCGAACCAGTTGGTGTTGATACAATTAAACCTAGAAAAGAATTCTCCAACTTGAAGAAAGTCATGGATAAAAGCAAGTGTTGCAATTAGAAGAGTGAAGCAACCTAAATCTCTGCTACAGGTGAGAATACAGACAATAGATGAGGTATATCTACAGATCTTGGCGAAAAAGGAATAATCTACTAAAAAACAAATCAATTGTCTATTGTTCTTTTTCTCATTTATTGCGTAAGATTGAATCGAGCTACGAAACAATCATCTTACCGTCGCCTTGAACTTTAGTAATAAATCTGTCATTGATATACAAGTCTAGATTGGATAAGTACGAGTTCGGTCCTCGGTCGATGACGACTTCATTCAATGCTAGATGAGAAATTTTCTCATCTTTTTGTGCGTGTTGATGTTTTTCATCTTTGGATATTTCTTCTGGTGACAAGGATCGAAACGATGCTTCCGATGAAGATTTCTTCTTTAAACCATCTTTGACAATTGAGCATTTTAAACGTGTACGTAAGAGAACAGCTACATTGCCTGATATAACCTCATTGATGATTTTATCATGATGCTTAAAATCGAATGGAGTTAGAAAGCCCAAAGATCCCATGGAGAATGATAAGACTGGTGGACAACTTCGTTGAAATATACTTGAAGCATGTAAAAGTGTACCGTCACCACCCAAACAAACGATTAGATCAATCTTGGCTATGTCATTCTCTAGAATGAAATCGATTAAACAGAATAAGTAAGATTGATGAAGAGGTACCACGATCGAAGGCAAGACATCGTTCAGCGTGTTCTTTTAATTCAGCATCTTGAGCAAATGGAAGATGCATATGTTCAGAAAGTTCAACATAAACATTCAGACGACGCTAAAATCATGTTTTTGAAATTTGTTCTTCTCGAACAAATCGTATGCCAAGATTTCTTACTTTAAGAAGTTTCACGATTAGTTGTCGAAATTCTAGCATAGTTTGTGGTCCTGGTTTACGAATGATAAGAATATTGTTTGGCGGAGATATCCAATGTAGACGTTGAGTCGATGGATCTTGTATAACACTACAAATGCGAAAGGACAATTGTGAGTTGTTTTAGGGAAGTAGAAACGAACATGAGTTGATCATTGTTTTGTATCTTTTTCAATGTGGCTTTTGGACCAAAATTTGACTTGGGTGATGGAGCAAATGCTGAACGTGCACGCCTAAAAATTGAATCAAAGAAATAGTTGAAAAATCGTGTGCGAATTTCGATTAGAGTAAGCCAATTTGTTAACGTATATTATTTGGCGTAGATTCGAGAAGCATTACCTCGTTTTACTATTATCCACTGACATCGAAATTGATCGTCTCGAAAACGAGATAGGAAATGCAGGTGGTGACGATGTCATTATCCTAGTTAAAGAAACTTCGCGCCAAAGGCAGGTACGAGTATTTAAATGTACAAAGACACGTCGGCAGACGAACATATTTTCAGGCACATAGAGGAAAAACTATTGTGAAATATATACGTAGAGAGAAGAGAAAGCAGTAAATTGATGATATAGTTTGTAATCTATAACAAAAAGCATATTTTAAAGCGTTATTGCTCATAGATAGGAATTAGTTCGGATCACTCAAATCGATGACGCAAGGACAATAAGATAGAAACTAACCAGCATGTCTTCGCAGTCGGTCGATTGTTACAATGTGGAAGTGGAGCACAGATATAACCATCATCGTCACATTTTGTTATGTATTGATTATAATTTTCAGTTGAATTAGTCGCTGCGAATGTTTCTGAATCGTCATCATCTGCAGCTGATTGTAATGGAGAATCACCAACACTAACAGATCGTCGTTGAAAAAGAAAGGTCCGTGGTGGTGAGGTTTCAGAAATAGCGTGATTACTCATCTTAAGTCAGGAGGTTAAATCATACATTTATATATATATATATACATCAATAATAATAGAAAAGAAGGGAAAAACAACATCTTACTAGGGAGAAATCATCCATTCCTCCATAACAGCATAAATGAAACAAAAGACAGGCATGTATGGCTTTCTTTTTTCCTATTTTTATTAGTACAAACTCTGAACGTACTACAAGGCATCGATTTTCATTTTGCCAGCATTGCGTTTGTGGACTTGACCAATACGATATTCATTATCGACTCGTTTCGCAGTGCCTAAACGCCGAGCGTGAAAATTCAGTGCACCACGCGAACATATCACAGGTAATTGTCGATGTTGAGTAGTGATCGTTTCATTACTAACAACGCTCATTGAAGGACATTGAGCAAATGTTCGAGCAGATCGGAGTGCATGAGTTGGCAGTTGAAGACGAGTTTTAGGCAGCAGACGAGCTATGTTCGATTTGTTCGATGCTGTTCGCGATGAAATGGCATCATCTTCTTTGATAACATTTGTTGGAAGCACTGGTGGAATCGATGCAGTTTTTTTTCCTGGTTTCTGATTGAGTTCACGAAGAAATGGATCTTTGAAAAGCTTCGTTTTCTTCTTGGAAATTTTTTTCGTCAGAACTTTCTTCTTCTGCTTCATCTTCGTATCGGCTTGTGTTTGTTTCATTGCAAATATGACCCTAGTCGAATTATTTTAAGTAATAACGCGTCAAGTGATCGATGTAATTGCGCTCGGTATGGTTAATTGTTTGAAGCAATGAAAATCATACGTTGCTCCATACATTCATAAACATCGATAGATGGCGCTCGGACACAATTCATTAACGTAAAATTAGTTGTTTCATTATAGTGACGAAGAACCTTGTGCAAAAAAAAGAATCACTTGTAATGAACGTATCTTAATGATTTCTTTTTCTCTAGAAAACAAGTGTTTCAATACCGAGATTCAAGACCGAAAATGTACAAGGTTATATAAAATCAATAATATGTACGAATCTACCTATTAAATTGACATCAAGTATTCTTCAATTTACACTGAAAATAATCAAATCCCACATTGATGTGAAGGTAGCACACTCGATTCAGTATTTAGATTATAAATAGACGAACAGACGAAAAATAAAGATGTAGGAAGAAATTGCAGAGTTGAATTCTGAATCGAATGGACTAGTTTTTATGATTGAGACCTACTTCGTTAAAAAGTACTCAGCTAAAACATATTGTTTCGTCGCGCTAGCTTCACATCGATGAAAAGAGGAAGAATGTTTTGAAAATAAAAGATCATTTTGACGAAGAAAATATTCTTTGTCATTAAAGAAAAATGGTGACTCTCTAGTGGGAATAAGCAGTATCACTTTCCAAAGGATTTTAATCAATAATCGAGTATTAATTAAATAGTTATAAGCAAGATATAACAGGGTTGGAACCGGTCCGGTCGAATCGGACAAGACCGGATGAAAAATTAAATTGGTCCGGACGATTATCTGTGTTTTCACTTTGAAATCTTGCTAATCATTAAAAGTACAGATGTATAAAACATTTTTTCTATCATGCAGAAAAGATTTTTACAACCATTTTAATTTTCATTTGTTTAAACGATTATCTATTGTTCACAGAAGCTTTTTCGTCTTCATTTGAGTCCACAGACTACGATAAAAAATTTGTGATTTCGCCGATTTTACGTCTAAACTCATCTGGTTCCAACTCTGACATACAGAAAAAAATAATTATACGGCATATATTTTGATCTTTTCTTCTATCACTATAGAAACAAGTATTGTTGTGGGTGTGATGGTGTGCAACGTATTTTGAGAATCCGTAAGCGATGTGAAACATATTTGTCTAGCGTTGATAGTATAAGAAATTGTGAGTTATATGAATTTTCTGAGAAAATTTATGTAAATAGTTCGTATTGAAACTGCTAAGATTCTCCAATTCAATAAAAGACTTTAAATCAACTATAATACGTGGAATTCATTGCATATTAAAATGAAAAGAGATTGAAGACCTTACTCACTCCACACTCTTTTCTATATTATTTAAGCAAAAGAATATAACGGTTATCGGATGCAACGAATATGTGACTTGCGCGATGCATACATTTTGAATAGAAGTTTGTCAAGCATGAAATATTACTAAACGAAGAAAAAAAAAGCAAGATTTAAAGGTAATTTCTCCTAATGTATAGATAGATAGATGATCAATATCAGTATACATGATAGTTTTCGTCATTACACGACAAAAAAAGTAACTTGCATCATACACAACGTATGGTTACATTGACGAACATTTCTTTTTCTTTCTTGTGAGTATTCGACAATATTCTATTTTCTTTTCTTTCTGTTCTTAGTGACGCAGAGTTGTGTATTTGTTTGAAATAAATTGCGTTTCGCAATAACTGACATCACATGACGGTATGTGTGGGCGATACATCGAAGGCGAAGCTTCTCGATTTTTTTTCCTCTCCCTTCCTTTTTCTTCGTCATCGAGGAAAAATCCAGCGTCTATGATAAACGAGAGAAATCAGAGAAAAAGAGAGGGAGAGAGAGAGGAAAAAAGAGAGAAGGCGACAACATGTATATAAGTGCGTCAGCAACATCGTTTGTTTCATTCGTAACGTCGTCGTTTACCATTTGGTGGTACTCTTTTTTTCTCTTTTCTCCTCTCATACATCGACTCCTTCAATGTGAAACAGAAATCAACAACGACGACGGTGATACACCGCGTCAATGACAAATAAGGTAAGTGAAAACAGATTTTATTCTTTTGCGCATCAACAATCCACATACATACTCTTGTATGCTGGCGTGTTTTTCTCTTTTACTTTCATAGAATATCCACCCGTATACAAAAAAAAAATAACATAATATCGAACCATTCAGGTTTCATCTTTTTATTTGAGAATCTTTACTTCTCTTTTGTAGTTTGCTTCGGCCAAAGCGAATGCAACGAATCCGATGAGTTCCCTTTTTCGCTCTGATCCATTTCTCATTTTCTTTTATCTATATATTATTTAGTTCAGTTCAGACACGATTTTCCTTTTTAGTTCTCGGGATAGTAATACAATAATTCACCGGCCATTGTTTATCATACATAAAGTGTCCAGAATACACATGCACAAGTATCACTAAAATCTAATCAGTGATCGAGAAAAAGGGCTAATCGTCTGTCCTCTGGTAGGGCATCATTTGTTCTCTTGCCCAATGTTGTTCTACTATAGTATTACACCTCCATCTATGTAATGATCTAATTAATCCATAAATGTCATTGGTGGTAGGATACATTTGTATAACTCGGCAGATTTTTTACCATATAGTTAAAAAAAACTATCGTGACCATTTCGCATACGCATAATCAATGATATGATATTCCAACAATGGTAAAATCCTTTTGATTTTCGTCAAGATTTCGTTCTTGTATAGAACAACAGAAAAAACTAATTCATTATCAGCCAGCAAATTAATCTATCAGCCACGAGTTGTTCGACCTATGCGTGTGTGTGTGGTAAGAAGATTTTCATCGCACATCGTCAACCTTTTATACTTAGTACTACACGTCAAAGACCAATTAATGAAATTACATATGAATTGTTATTTTATATAAAAAAAAAATTCGATTTTTCTTTTCTGGCATTTATCTATGTTAAACCAGGTAGAATTTTTGTTATACCAACCAATTGTTTATTTACATAGAAAGAAAAGAAATAACGTAATATGTTTGTCATGCTTGCCTTTTACTCGGACAAGTGAAGCAGTCACCTGTGGCCTAGCCGTGAGCCTATTTGTTTATCCTCAAGTCCAATTTGCGAAATTGTAGGTTGCTCTCGAGAAAGAAGCGAAGCTATTATCGTGTTCCAAATCAATTTCCGTCGGTTATTCATTCGTCTGATATACATATACGCACACACATATACATACATTACAGAGAAGCAAAAATCTCTTTCGATTAGAATAAATTTTGGGTGGTTCGTCGTTTTCAGGGTAGCGTTCGTGCGCGCATAACGTGCAAGAAGTGGGCAGCCAAAGCCTGGACGAGTCGTAATTAGACTCTCTATGTGCAGCAATATATGTTCGTTGTAACATCAAACCGGTCGATTTGATAGTACAAGAAAAATAAAATACTAAATTGCTCAAGAGAAATACATAAAGAAAAAGCCTTCACTCGTAAGCCAAATTTACGCTTATTAAATGCGTTCATTTTCAAGGGCAGCCGCGGCAGCATCAGAAGACCAAAAGAAAAGAAGATTCTTGTCCATGCTTTCTACGCTAAGAAGTCACGCGTTTTTATTTGTACAACAACAATAAGTAACGAAAGATTCGTTCAATAAGAAGTGAGATTATCTTTAATTACCTTCAACCCATGGCTGAAATTTCAGAAGTCTTACCTTTTCACCACGTAAAACTCGCGTTTAATCATCACGTTCCTGTGTAAGTCTTCGCAGTCGGTCGATTGTTACAATGTGGAAGTGGAGCACAGATATAACCATCATCGTCACATTTTGTTATGTATTGATTATAATTTTCAGTTGAATTAGTNAACAATCGACTTCGGGTACTTTGTCGTCGGATACGACAATAACGACATCAACTTCCAGCGGATATTCCACTGGTGGTTCATCAGTAGCAACAACGATTCCTTCATCTGGAAAAAGACTTCCGTCTAATCAACACAAAGTCAAACCAAAGGGTAAGACAAGAAGAAAATAAAACAGTCTACAACAAAAGAAGTTATTTTTCGCCCTCATCTGAGAACTATATATATATATCTGTCCGTGATTCCGTGCGAGGGGAGAGAAAAGAGACGTTGGCAACATAACTAACGCATTAATTTACTTACCCGATTCTATCGAAGCATTGACAATCCTATTATAAACAAAGCTCCGTCTTTTATCTGCATTCGATTTTTGTCTTATAGGTTTACATAATTTTCTAACCAAATTAAAAACTTTCATCATTACACCCAAAGCCAAACATATACACTTATCACCATCGAAAGATATGCCGATAACAAATATCATTCTTCAATCATCTTCTCTCTCGTCATCAACAACCTCAAGCAACAATCCAATTTCACTTCCTTTCACATATATCAACTCAACTAAGCAACAAGAATATCACGATGACTCTTATGTAACCACAACAGCTAATTTTGAAAAGATTGCTGCATGGCTTGATCATACAGACATTCCTTCACATCAACACGATGACTTATTATTCATAGACGATATCCTCACTGAATCACGTTCAACGACTCCAATTGAAAATAACCATCAGAGTAAGATTATCTCTCGATAGGATATCTATTCATCATCCTGTCTTTTTGCCATTTAAACCATTTCATGTCTCGTATGTTCTTGCTTTCGACCCCAATCTTTTCTTTTGCTTCGAATATTCGCGACCTGTTTTAACATCGAATATTGACTCATATCTGTGTATGTTGTTAGTAAGACGCAAATGCTTGTTGCTTGACTGCCGTGTGTATGTGTATGTTAGGAGAGAAGGAAGAAGGAGGAAAGGACGAAGAAAAAATGAAGATGGATAAAGAACACGAGACAGAAGAGAATAAGAAACAAGGTAGAAAAAAAAAGACGAAAAGTACGATTCACTTATAAAATCAAAATTGTGTTCGAGGTCGCGGTGCTTGTTGAAAACGTCAATCAAGACTGAGCTATAATCATCTCAACAATCGTAAGTTACTATACCATACATTCAACATTTCTTTCAACGAAAGAGGAAGTTCGCTTTATTAATGGGAAACATTCCTTCTCTCGCTCTCTCTTTCTTTCTTTTTTTCAAATTTCATCAACTTGAGTCGTTTTAGATTTCGAATCGTGTTGAATTTCACTCCTTCATAGAATTTCTCTGAACTACGAGAAGGAATAATTAATTCTTTTCCCTTCATTGTGTCGTTTATACTTTGCTATGGTTACCAGTAACAATGTTTATTCTGACACACTAGAATAACCAAGTCATTCATGAATCATATCATGTCTCAAAATTTACTCGCCGTCGTTCACTGTTACTCATTCTTTCCTGTTGTCATTCAATATTCTAACGAGGAGAGACTTGTATACAGATCAATCATTCCGTGTTTGCTCTTTTACATTCCTATGTATATAGATTCTGATTAACTATTAGACTACCTTATCAACCACCTTCTCGTTGCATTCGCTTTTCGTTTCTTGTTGTTTTCAATATTACAAACATCAACAACTTGTTGAGTATAGAAAGAGAAACGGGAGAAAGACGTAGGAGTTGCAATGGCATTACTTATTTTAAAGTAAATATTCATACATACAGAACGTGTTTTGTATATTTCAGTGACGATGAAGAAACTTTCGTCGAACAGTAAAGCTCCTAAACGAAGTACATCATTAGTTGCTACATTAACTCGGCCGATTATCGAACGAAAAACTTGTGAAAAGCCCAGCTCACCAACCCTATCATTTTCATCATCAATCTTAGCGCGAGGAATGACCGAAAGGATAACGCCACAAGTAAATCAGTACCCATCTCGAACGGATCCATCCGAAGAACAAACAAATACATTACAACCGAAATCGAACCGTCGTCGTGCAATCGATTTCTCTCGTCGACGAACTGTCGCTGGTCCAGCTGATCAATTGACTGTAAACAAAGAAAATTTCCCATCTAATCCTAATCAACAAATCTACCGGTTCTCTCCCACAACATCTACGAATCCAGTCATAAAAAAATATTACTTTCATCCGAGTACTCCAGCAAAAAATGAAGACATACTGATGAATTCATATGGATTAACTATTCTTCAACAACAACGACAGTCGTCTGCATCGACTGCAAAAAAGTCTCAACCGAGCGTGTCACGTACTCCATCGAAAACGTTCAATATACGACCAGCGATGCATGTGCCACAGTATGATAACATTTCTGATTCTTTAGACGATCTCCTCTGTGATCGCGAAGTGGAAAGTTATTTCTATCCAAATCGATATCAGACACCGATTTCGATTCCTCAACATATCTATGTTAACTTAGGAAATTCGACTATGAATCATTATCAACCATCAACGTACATTCACAGTACTTTGTGTTGAAGTTGCTTTTTCATATCTTTGTTTCTTTCTTTTTCTACTCGTCATTTGTATTATACATATATCGATACAGAAGAAAGCATACAGTCATCATCTGAATTATCATTGTTGTACATCAACATTCGATCGCAAGTGAAAGATCTTCTGCTGATAAGATCCGATGTTTAATGTCGAATTATTGACAGTTGAATGAGCAAATAATACGTTCGTTGTGGTCCAAGGTCTATCATCAAATGTTGATTTATTACAAAATTGACAAACAAATGTTTCGAAATCAATGAATTTGTTCTTTTTTACTTCAATGAAATCTAACAAAAAGCTTTCACGATAAGCCTAAACGTCGTGTCAATAGGCGGATAACTTTTTTCTTTATGGTCAATTATACCCATTGAATTGAGTCAGTCGCTTATTAGACCGAAGAAAATTGACTAAAAATAACTGACAACAGGACCAGAACGAATCAGCAGCTTGCTAACCAAGTCAAGAAGGTGAAATATGCAAGTGGAAAATTGTCGTTACGTCCTTTGTTGAATTCCGATTAATCGGACGAATATTTCATTCGACCTGAAAATATCAGTTTAGAAAAGAGATTATGCAAAGGTCGTATGAGCATATAGTCGATCATAAAATGCTAAATTATTTCTCGAAAAGAAAAGATTTACAACGTAATATCAAATGACATCATAAAGTCAAGCAATTATCGAGAGAACTTACTTTGCATATTCGGATCGAATGATGTTCTTCATTAGACTATCCAAACAGTCTAGAAGATCAAACGAGAGAAGAAAACAATTGTTTAAACAGATTGTGACCTTGCCATCAGATTCTACTAATCGAAGAATTCCGTTTTGCCTTGATATATGTTATTTATATTTGAAATTAGTAAGAAATATTTGTGTACAATTCGTAAACAAAGAATGAGAATAGTCAATACTGTATATATATATATATATATATACGCATCTACTAGTAAATAAAACGTGCGTGCACTTCGATAAATACTGCACAACCTGAGTTCAAATGAGAAGTTTGCATTGGATTGAAGCTATTTTGCGGAGGAGACTGCGTGGAGCTTTTGTATCTGACTTTCTAATTGTTTCCGTGCTCGTTTTTCTTCGTCAAGTTCTTGCTGAAGTGATTTGTAAGCTAAGCGAAGTTCACTCAACATGTCATACATTGTTTGTCGTTCGCTACGAAACACACATTCAAAGAAAAATAGTACATGAAATACCATTGTGTAACTTACTTATCAGCGCTTTTCGGAGATGAACTGGGAAGATTCGCATATTCAACGATACCTTGAACTGAATGTCTTGTTTTCGGTAGAAGAACATTCAAATTAGTAACTGCTGTTTTGGTCGTATTAGGGGTTGATGTAACACAGTAGGCTTCGATAACTGAGAGTAATAATGCATCGTCTCCGCTTGTTTCCACTAATTAAGTAGAGAGGATAAAGATGCCATTGACTAGAAACTAAGAATGATTACCTCGTTTGAGAAAATCATTTGTCTTTGGCTTTTTCATCGTCATGAATCGTTTCAATGTGCGGTTCGATCCGCCTTCATTTGCATTCGTCGATGCACCATCGCTCGTACCTACGCTAGAGGATGGCATTGGTGAATGGCTTCCATTCACTGTTGAAGAATTCGGTCGTAGAGGCGAATGTGGTCGTAGGCATCCTTTTGACCAGATCGGCATTTTAGTTGGAAATTTCGAAGGTCCATTGCCTGTGTTCATCGGCGCAGATTTCGTTCCCGTCAATGGCGAGGGTGCCTAGATGAACAAAATCGATCCACGAATCGAATCACGATTGATCTACCTTCAACATTTGCTGAGATGTGTTCGATTTCGATGTTAATAACGTGTAGAATTTCTCGCACCAATCATGATACTCCGTGTTGCTCGCAAATGAAATAATCAATGATTGGTTCACGGGAACTACAAGACAAGTATGTTTTTTCTTAATCCTATGGTGCATTTAACCTTCGCTTCCATACCATTGATTTTTAAAGCACGTTTACTGATATCAACGATTTTACTAATCGTTATTTGATTGATTTGGAAGCGATTCTGGAGAGAGACTGAATAGAAAGCAAGAATGAATTATACGTTTTCGACATACTTCAATTTGATATTCTTGTTGATTTGATAAAGTCGATAAGAGAATGAGAGCCGTTGGATAGAGAATTGCAATTCGTTCGAATGTTATTTGAGTAATATTATTATCGATGAGAACGTTCACTGGACTAAGACACAAAGCATCGCCAAAAGATGCTAAACTCTAAACCGGCGAAACAATTCATACAGAAATCGATCTGTTTTTGCTGATGGTACTACTTACATCAGAACCAAGACCATGAATAGGACTATGAACTATATCAAGTTCCCACTCTTTACGTTTACGCCATTCAGCAGCCGACGTCTAAAGAATAATCGCGATTCAAACATATTTGGGTGATGGAAGTGTCTTACGGCTAGTTCTGCATAATATTCAGCAGCTCGTTGAGCATCACCACGATCCATATGAAATTCCTAGAAAATCTTCAATTTCTTCTAAAAACGAAAGAACCATTTAAGAACTTACAGCAAGGTTGTATAAATATTCTTTTAGAAAAGCCGCATATTTTTCCAAACGATGAACTGGTAACGAGAGATTCTTGATCAATTGAGAATAACTATCGTTATTTGTACCATAATACGGATCCACTTTCGACAAAACATTTAGAATTTGATCTCTGGATATAAAAAAGTCAGAACTTTTCCTCAAGTTTGATTCTCGTACTTGTTATGATTGAGTAAAAACAAGACTTTCGCATGTTGATAGCAATAGTTTTCAAAAATCGGCTTCAACATGGGAGCCAACTGAAGAAAAATTCCACCGATACGGTGTTGAGTTCTACGGTTGAAAAAATAAGACAATTTTCTCCAAACTTCATCGCGTTTTACTTCATTGAATCGCGTAGGAGATGAGAAAAATGATGATGGAATTTCACCACTTCGTCAAAACAATGACCGTCGAGTTGAACAACTGATTGATTCCATCTATTGACACATCGATTCATTGATAAGCACAATTCAATCGTAAATACTTACGATGGAAGAGATGAAATCAACGGCTGGATGACTTTGGTCGTGAAATTTTCCAATTCATAGATATAATGTTGTTCACTTTCAAGTAACGATTCCAAAATCTATCAATCAATGACAATGTTCAGCAGCTGAAGCTAATTTCAATCAACTCACTGTTTCACGATGCTGTTGCATTTCAACACATTGTTGCGAAGATGTGCTTTGTGTCGACGGTGTCGAATCTAAATAATTCATGAACTTCCTTGATTTCTCTTAATGTAATCTCGCCTACATGTTTTACAAGTAAATATTCCGCATGATAGACACTCTGTCGATCTCATTACACTTATAATAATTACTCATGAAGAATGCACTACCACTCGATTAGATCAAAGAAAACAAAAAGAAAAATTTTCTTCCTCTAACGGCCAACTGATGATGGATATCAACAAATCGAACTGATGTTTATTTACGATAGTAACAAAATCGATTATTTACATAGAAATATACTTAGCAGGAATGTCCATACCTGTTTTCTTCACAGTATGTTCGACATAATTGGATGGAAACCAGCCGGTCTTTCCATCTAAGGTGCCTTCCCACCAACCACCTTCAAGTGGTGTTTGTGTCAAAACGATCACGTCGTTTTTTGAGAAAGATAACTAAATAAAGATTGGATTTTCATGCTTCATCAGTAGAGATGTCAACGATTGTCTTACCTCATCCGTATTCTGGGCCTTGAAAGCGAACAAAGCGGTCACGGAGACTTTTCCATTTGGATTTGGTTGTTCCATAATCTGAAATCGATTAAAATTTGTTTGATTATTTCGTTTTTGAAAATTAGTATCCTTCTCTGTTGTTTCAAGATCATTATCATAGAAAGCCAAGCAATATACAATACACATGCATTAAACGCTAGTAAGATAAAAGTGAATGTTCGGAATAAAAGACGATAACAACAAAGAAACAATAAATTAAGAAATAGAACAAGAAAACATCTTTGGTTACAGTTCACTCGAATTTATAAGATTGTTGAGATATTCCATATCTAAAAGAGAAGAAAGATTGTATAATTCTCTCGTGCGTCGTAGATCTAGAAATGATCACATCTAAAATCAACCTAGCACTACCAGTTCCTTGCAAAGATCTAATGATTTTTTTTTATCAATCGATCGTATTTATACTATGAAGGCTTTCTTGGTTTGAATAAATAAACAAATCAATGTCTCACGATGAGGTATCCAATATCATCGAAGGATACGTCAGACATTTTCTTATTAAAACTTCGCTATTTCAATCAAATACAAGCAGTGAAATTCGTCGTACACACGGAATAAATCCAGTGATCTTTTGAACATATTCAACAGTATGAGGAACTATTCCCAGTCGATTGAATATTATATAACAAGATATGTGTCATATCCTCGGAGAGTATCAAGTGTTTTATATAAAGACAATCGATATATGCAAAGTGTTATCAAATGAGAAGAAATAGACCAAAGATGATCTCGTGATGTTAGAAAACATACACTCTTGCTCATCTGGAAGTCAATCAGTGAAGGTAAAGACTCACTTTGATTGTTCGATCAGTTCCTACTGTCATCAGAATCTTTTTCGTTGGACTATAATCCATTTTAATCGTTCCTTGACGTATGTCATAGAAGGAAGCCAGTGGAGTTGTCCTGAAAAAAGTTCGTTCAATCAAATGAGAAATTTACAAATATCAGTACAAGTCATACTCATTATCTTTCAATGCTTTGACGCAATCATTGCAAATGCGTTGAATAGTTTCATAACCTATGAGTGGAAGTGCTTTTCTTGTTTGTGAACACGTATCACAAATAGCGCGACCACATTTTCGGCAATGATGCTGAAATCATTGCAGAATGAAATAGAATCGAAAGCAAGTTCTATTAGTTTTCTGCTTACTTGTCGTAATCCGATCTGTTTTTGTGACCACATTGCACGAACATTCCAGAAGAACGGCAGATGACATATCTGACAATTATCGCTCTCAAGCCATTTCGGTGTTTCGCAACGTTTCACATTCATTGGCCATGTACCAATATGACCATCTGCTGAACATGTTATTAAAAGTTTACGTGATTTGTCAAATGTTATCCCGATCAGACGATCCGAATGGCCATTCAGTTCGAGAGCAATACCTTGATGTGCGCCGATATTCCAACAGACAACTGATCCATCGAAACTACCCGAAAATAACCACTCAGCTTCCGGATCCCAGAAAAGTGTTTGAACACCACCTTTAAAAAACCATTTTCAAAAGTTCAATTGAAACAATAGTTCAAAAGATTCCTAACCTGTATGGCCAGATAACGTCGTAATCAGTTGACATTTGTTATCGGCGTTGATTTTAAGAAAGTGTATATTTCCGGTTGCATCACCGATAAAACACTGTTGAGATAATTCATCCAAAGCTATGGACATAGCCCATGATGGTAAAGCATAGTTTCCACGTGGATGTTGATGATTTTCATCATTGGGATTCGTTGAATACCAATTCAATTTCTTTTCTCGACAAACGCTTAATAAAAGTTCCTTTTGCGGAGAGAAATGCAATGCATGTATGCGACTTTGATGACCCAGATAAGTACATTGAAGCGTGATTTTGTTTAAATCTTCCGATACGAGAAATTCCTAGAAAAAGAAAAAGGTGAACGTGTATGATTGAAATACAATCATCAAATTAGTAAAGTAGCTTACATGAAGAAGACCCGTATCACAACCACAGAAGAGACGACACGATGATTCATGGTAAAAAAGTGTTGTCGGTGCACCTGAAAGAAATGCAAAAGAAAGTACATTCGATAAAATCCATCGAAAATAATTGTATATGTTAAATTACTTTCTAATGTGTAGCAAACCGATGGCCAATATTTACCAGTTTGTCGTCGTATCCAAATACGTAATGTTCTAAATAGCCATGATTAACCGGGAGAAAAACAAACTCGCGAAAATCTGTACCTGTCATCAAGGGCAGTGATTAAACCATCTTCCGTTGCTAATAAAATAGCATCGTTGATGTTCACTTCAATGTCAATCTTATTGAGTAGTTCAGGACGACGACCATTGTTTGTAGTTTCATTGATTGATGTGGCCATAGACCTTTTTCATAAAATCTGATACTGTCCGATCGATCAGTTCACACCGTGCTTACGTATGTTTGGTATATGCGTGTGCGTGCGTGCATGCATGTTTACGACACTTTCCGATTGGTTTGATTCGAAAATCAATTGGAACAGAATAACATGATTTATAGATGTCTATACTAGTTTCATGTTCAACGCGATGTTCATACACAAAAGAATCTAATTCTAATTCTAATTGCCGGATGTCGGCGTTAGATTTTCTAATCTATCAATTATACATTGCTTTGCATGACAAACAAGTCTTGAGAGAAAAACATTCGCAAGGACATTTATGTTTTCTACGATTATATCGGAAATCTGAGTGTTTTATAAATATTTTTGGCGATCGAGAGATGATATTGTTTTCTTAGTTGATTTTATTATGAGAAATTCATTGATGTTTACAGTCATGACCTATCGCGAGTTTGTTGTTGAACGATTTTCCACAACGCACGAATATTTCCAGCGCCGAAACCAGTTGCTCCTCGACGTTCAATCAGTTCCAAAAAGAATGTATCGTTATCAAAAATTGATTTGCTGAAAATTTGCAAAAGAACTCTAAAAAGGAACATTGGTGAAAATGTTTTCGATCTAATTATTTCATGGTGTATGTTACCGCTTCTTGCATTGGAATATTTCAGCAGTTTCAGCTTCATTGTCTAATAAAATTCCTAATTCTGCAAGTTCATCAGCATTTTCGTTAGCTTCTTCGATGACTCGACCATTATTTTCCTTTGTTATATCGAAAAATAAGAATACATCGATATTTTCACCTTTTGTGCCTACTTTCAAGTAATACTCTCTACATGGTTGAAGGAATTGAGCACCATTGACTTTCGTAGTACGTACAGCATTCTTTATATTACTCGTACATGTGAATCCAATGTGTTGAATACCGGCTTGATGATTATGGTGAGTAATAAAATTGGTTATTTGATCTTTGGATCCTAAAATACAGAGAAAGAATGGTAATATTATGCATTTTTCTAGATTGAACTCACTAGAATCATCCTCGATCAAAGATTCACTAAAAACAAATTTAATATTTGCCCGTTCCTCACTGATGCACGCAGTTTCAGCACACTTCCAATATGCACTAGCGAATAATCGCATACCCATCGTACCAACACGTACTGGAAAGCCTCGGAATGGGTCATCCTCTCTGAAACGTACGACATATCACGACGATGTGCATTCATTCGATACATGATCGAGTCTTACTGATTGATGATAAAGCGCTTCATGCCGAATACTTTTTCATACCAATGTATACTTGGTAATGCCGAATTGTTTTGCATAGCAAATGCTACATGATCAATACCGTTGAGCAATAGTTTATCTGAATTTTGTTCGTGTGATATCGGTACAATTACAAAGCCAGGTAAGACAGATCCTGTATAGTTTGACGCATCGATCAAGGTATGCACTACATTTCCCACACATGATTTGATGCAAGCATAGTCTATTGTTCCATGCTCATTCGTTGCTTGTCGACGAGATACAATGACCTAAATTTTGACAATCACCAAGTGATGGTGTTCAGTAACTCTAATTTGATCGAACTATTCTTTCAGGACTTATTAAATACGATGATTTTCTCTTACTTGTATGTCATTGGTATTATCTAGGATTGAAGAAATAGAATTAACAAGAAGAGAAACATTGAATACAGTGTCACGGTTGAAAATGAAATCACGGGTGTCTTCTCTATGAATTATAGAAGTTAAAATATCATAATCATCATTCTTGTAGGCCGTGACGTCATTTAGCTGTACACTTGATACTGATGAAATCAATAATTGGCATTTGTAAGATTTGAGCAACCACTGAGAATAATTCCGTGTTGTACGTGTTGCAATGACTTCAAAACCATATATGTGTACAAACAAATTCAGCAGATGATCAGGATCTACAGTGTGAAATTCGATATGATGAATTGCCTTGATCATACTGGTTACGATTATTGCAAAGATTATCTATAAGTATGAAAAGAAAAAGAAAGAAAATGCGTGAAAAGCAAAACGAACGAATATGATTTATACCCATCTGTACCCACAGTGCACAAAGTGCAAGATATGCAGGTTGTTTAAATGGATATTATGACATTCATCGATGCTTTCGAGCCGATACTTATCTTTACCACTACAAAAGAATAGATAACGACTAGAATAAAACATGAGAAAGAACGGCATGTAAGGACCTTGGTTGTTCGATTAATTGTCATAACTTGCATAGCACTATGGATATTCTGTTTTTTTTTTCTGCACTTTTCAAGCATGCAAAGTGAATTTTCGTGATTTATTTCATGCATACGATGATGGATGTCGAGAGCATCGGGTTTCAAAGATTTTCTCTATAACATAATCTCCATCTGTCGGGCTATCGTGATACGAAATATAGAAATAATCAATATGATCAAAGCTAAGCACAGTAATGACAGATGAAGAACACACATATTGCAGATCATCGAACAGTGGCCTAGATCAATCATTACTATTGCATATTTTCTAATTGTACTCGAATGCGAACGATTTTTAAGTAAAATTTTTTTTAATTCTTTTTTTGTTTGTTTGTCTGGCTTCGAGAAACAAAGAAAAGACTTTCAATAGTATTTTCAAGGCTGCGTTAACTTCTATTTTTAGCGACATCGTCTTTTCTGGGCTTCTACAAAATTAATCAAATTGTACGTGTTAAAAGCCCATCATTAGAGAGGGAAGGAATGTATTGAAATTGATCTCTACGGTGATCATAAACCCAGAAAATGAAATGACTGACATTAGCTTTGTAGGACTCTGATCGATTCTATCGAACACAATTGAATAGTAGAAAAGATATTCCTCTGGGATAAAGGCTTAATTGTGTTTCCATAGGAAAAAAAAACCTTGTGATCTACAACTACAGTCAAATGCAATGTGTGTCTCGGTCATGGAGAGAATTTTTGACTGTTCGTGACTAATAAGAAGACGATCGTATTGAGGCGAGAGTGACTAACTATTGATAGTTGAGTAATTTCCTACAAGAAGTCTCTGTTTATTCGCTGGACTATGAATAGAGCGAAGAGTTCTACTCGTTAACTTTTCCTCGTCTGTCGTACACAAAATATAAATCTCCAATTACTATCTGTCAACGACATTTTTTTTCTTTTTCTTTCTAGTTTTGATAAGATAATCAAACGTTAATCAATGGGTATGACAATCGATAACTTAGACAGAAAAATTCATCTTTGATCGCTTGTAAAAGAACAACATCTGTAAGATCTCGAAGATGAAAATGTACGTGACAACAAAACGTATGTCACCATTAGAAAAGCATTCTTATATAATTTACATCAGACGTGATGACGTATAAATATAAAGAAGACGAAGAGAGAAAAAAATGCGAAAAACATAAGAAACGGGCCGTTATGTTTCTTCTTCTTCTTCTTTCTCGTTCTTCCGAAGCCTTGTGTGTATATATTTATATATATATCTAATGTGTACGCGTACCTCGCGATGATTGTTGCCGCGATGATATTTTTTATGTGAGGCAACAAACGCAAAGAACAAGTAAAAAAAGGTCAGTTGAGAAGAAATCTTTCTAATGTTGTTATTTTCAAAAACCATCGTTTTTGAAGTTTACTTTTGTTAGAATGATGTCAACATGTATTTAACTAAATTTCTCCGTTCTATTCTCAATCCGGCGACGATCACTTCGACTGTGTCTCGGTCGATTTCTGTCTCGAATCAATCTTCGAAAACCGCAGGTATATTAAACACAATTCTTTTCTCCTTTTTTAAAAACTCGTGCTTTTTCAAGAACCAGCAGTAAGTTATTCGGATAGTGTACTTATTCTGTCATTGTTTCTGCCATCCCGACAAGAAACATGTCGATTTCATTTGAATTTACAAACCGCAACTATTGGACAACTGATCGAGGAAATCAAACAGGAAGATAGCGGTGTTGAACATGTTCATATCTTCGATATCAATGGAAATGTTCTATCGAAATCGAATATGATCAATTCTTTGATGAATTCATCGTTTACTATTCAACTAAACAAGCAAAAAACCTATCTCTTCGATGCAATTAACAAACTACAAGTTAAAGAAGGCGCTATTACACACGTCAAAACAGAAGGACCGTCGACTGAAGACACAGTTGCAGCTCTTTATCATGCATTGAATATAATGAAAGTGTATCATTCAAAATACTTTCAACTTAAAACAGAAGCCAATGAACTAACTAACCAATTAGAACCATTAGAGAAAGTAAATTCAACTAACCTTTTCATCAAGATTCGACGTTCAATGTTGTATCTTTCAGATTAAAGATAAATTAGCCGATATATCTCAACGCTATACTTCACGATGTATATGGTACGGTTTAGCAGGCATGTCGTTTCAAGTTGGCATTCTAGCCGAATTGACATGGTATGTGTACTCATGGGATATTGTTGAACCGATATCTTACTTTATTGCCTATGGAACTGCCATGGCGATTTATTCGTTTCATCTAATGACACGTGCTGATTTCGAATACATGACAATGACTGATCGTTTGTTTCTACGTCGGTTTTATCGCGAAGCTCGCCGGCATAGTTTCGATATATCCTTATACAATCGATTGAAGAATCGTCTCTTCGTTGTACATACTGATTTAGCACGTCTGAGAGCTCCATTAGCTTTATCATTACCCGCTCCACCTAATCCAATTAAATGCAAAATTAGTGGTGAAGAAATAAGTCCGCTTGATCTCTATCGTGCAAGTAGACGTGCTGAACAGTGATAGATCAGCTGTGATCAAGTGTTTGCAATATCAAATAGAAAAATCTTTTTTAGATTTATATATATATATATTGCTTGTTTCGGTTTTGACTAGTTGATAAAAAATAAAACATATAAGACAGAAAAGAAAGTGTCTTGTTCGAAAACTACTAATATATTCCAGGCCAAACTTTCCATCGAACAAGTTGACAATACCTATCCCAAGCTTTGCCATACTTCAGTCGGCATTTCTGATCATCACGGTGGGCACGATGCATGAGTAAAATCGAGAGAAATATAAAATAAATATATGGTAAAATAAACTTAAAACCACATGGACATGACCAAAGAAAAGCCAAAGTTAATTCAGGAATGTAATGAAAGTGTCTTGATAGACCCCAATAACCGGATGCTAGAAGAATACTTTCCGATTGTTTACCATTTAGGAGAACATATTTGGCACGAATGATATGCGATGGTTTACCCCAAACTTTACATTGACCATTGCTTGCCCGTACATCAATCTTTTGTCGATCGCAATCATAATTGATATAGATCGAAAACACACCCAACGCCAGAATTGTAATTGTTAATACTGGACCAAGTTTAATTGGATGAGTAACGAGAAAATATGATGGCAATGTATAAAGACCTGACACCCAAACAAGACAGCCCCAACAAAGATAAAATCCAGCACGATCGACGATGATATCCATTGTCTTCATATAACCTAGAAATACATAAACGTTAGGAATTATAAACGCGAACTATAACATACCTGATTCCCACCAGAAGAATTTTGTTAAGTAGATGATTGTTAACAAACACGTGACCAGTGCGCTGTCTGTGTAGCCATGAAGTTCGAAGGTTTTCATGCAGAAAATAGCTGACAGAAGTGCCCAGGATAACATTCCGTATCGGCAATTTGTGATAAGTTTGATGTCGACATCAAATATTCGGGGATAAAGTTCCACGCCTCGGTAGAAATCTGTTATCCAATTCGATGACGATCGGTGATCATTGGTCGACGGCATATATTTTCCTTTAAGCATAACGAAAAAGCATAGAATAAAGGCAAATGTGCTGACAGTTGACAGAAATTCTTCCCAATGATCATAGATATACGTCGGCGACAGGTGATTCATTTTCAGTACCAATGTTAACAGTGCAAACAAACCGAGAGAAACAAAATAATAAGTAAAGCCATTGTCTCGATAGATTGGCACATGACCCGTGTCAGTTATGGGTCCAGTATATTCTTTACCGGGTAAGATCATTGTCATCACAATAGCATAGATTAGAAATGAAATGATGATAATTGCAGATGGCCAATGCCATTCGAAATAAAAGAATTGTTCCAAAATTTGCTTTAATGTCATCGATTGATCGAATAGGATTCGAGTGAAAAACTCTCCTATTGATCCATGGCAGTGGCCACTGATGAAAACAATGGATCGAACGAAGAATGGACATGTGATTGTTAACATGAACGGTAAGACTGATTCGGACCAAAACTTATTATGACCTTGCCGAGAGTGAATAGACAATTGATGTATGGCATCGTTGTGATTCGATGGGAGATCACTTGCTTTTTTATATTTGTATTGGTGTGCGTCGGCTTTCGACATGTCTATGAAAGAGAAGAAACGTCTGTAATTTGCGTTTCGAATTCAAGCAGGATGATAGTCTATATATAATAATGTCAGTTCAAAGTTGACTTTCGACTGGAGATAAACGAAGAGTGCAAAACGATAAAGCTTGGAATTTGATAAAAGAAAAAACTTGCTGACTCCCAAAAGAATTTAATTAGACAAAGAAAAAAAGAAGAGATTTCACTGGAATTTTCTTCATTGGTGGAGTAAAGGCCGGATGTGTTTTTTTTCTCTTCTTTTAGACTAAAGATGAGCGGCGTTCTGAGAAAAAAAGAATAATAATGAGAACGACTTATGATTATTATGTTACGCGACAGAAATGAAATTCAGCCAGAGAAAAAGAGTCCGATTAACCATCATTGAGAAGAAAAAGAGAGGAATTTATCGTTTGTGTCATTCAATAAAAACAATTCAAGTACACTTACATGCTTTGAACGATTATGCGATCGTCTTTGACTGAAAGAAGATCCGAAATTATGTTTTCTTGTTTTTATCTCTCTGAATGGTAAATGAATAAACTGAAGCCGACAGTTTCTCTCTTTTCTTTTGCATCCTTCGTTTCTTCTATATATATATACGCGTCCATATTCAACATGGTACACTCATTGAAAAAAACTAGGTTATTTTCATTCATTCGGATGTTTTCTTCGAAATCGACATATATGCAAACAAAACAGAAAGACAAAAATCCAAAATGAAGCATTAGAAGCCCTCAATAATCGAAAATAAAATACAAGAAAAGTAGCGTTTCTTTTGTTCACAATATGTGGAATGAAAGTATTATCGGCAGATAATGACAAAGAGATTCGACCAAGCGAATAAAAAAAATAATATATGTGTATAGTGAGGGTACATTGTAGAGAAAGAAGGAGAAAATGCCACATGAATTTCTATATATACAAATCGGAATTGATTTAACGACTGTGAGTGGATGATACACTTAGGCCACTCGGCGTTCGAGTGTGACCTGTCGTCGGGTGAAAGCGAGGTTTGCTTTGATCGTATTCGGATCGAGTTTTTTCTCGTACAATTAAGTCGACTTGTTCATCGGGTGATTTGCGAACGAGAGCATAGAATACATTACAATTATCCATTAAAATGATTTCTAATAGAATACAGAATGAATTAGAAATATATAAAACAAAAATATCCAATTCCGTACTTCGATCGGGTAGTTGTTGCTCGATACAATACCGTTCGTAAGCTGATGAATCAAGACCGAACTTTTCCAGAATGGCTTTCAATACATTGGGCATACGTTCATTATCATTGATCTAGAACGAGAAGAATTTGAGTGTGAGCGTTCGATTAGCAGTTCACGTTCGACCTACTCGAACTTTTTTGTATAGAAGATCATCTCTGCCGACCATTTGAACTTTCGCAATCAATGTGTTCGTTTCGACTGGATTGACAATACAGTTTGCTACGCTGTTGGTTGGTGATCCTTGTGCACTTATGAAACTCTGACTGGAACTACCATGACTCGAAGCGGATGATGAACGACAATGATGTGAATAGCTTCTCTAAAAGACAAACCATTCAAGACTATCGATTTTTAGTAATAAAAAGTACTTTTTCACTGGTATTTGTTGATTGTTGTCGCTGTGGAAATGAATGGTTCGATGTGACGCTCATTTTATCTAAGGAAGTCGTCGATATTGATATACTATCGAATGGGATGGTGATATCGGGTATAGGCTGACTATTTGTTAGTAATGATTCCAGTGAAACTTGTGACATAAATCTATACCGAAAAGAATATTGATTATGTCAAGTAATCTTTGTTAAATATCATACGCTTTAAGTGGTTGTGATCGATTTGAAGGTGAGGATTGATCTTGTAGTCGTTTCTGTTGTTGATTGTCAACAGTATCATGGGATTCTTTGGGTTCGATCGCATAAGAACGTTGCCAACTAGAACAAAACAGTCAACTCGAGAAAGCAATTCTATATGCATAAGTCTTACTTTTCACTCTCGCTATGAATTTGAATATTGTTAAACCATTGCTGAAAAGATGGTATACGTTGTAGCGTTGCATAAGCATCAACAGCTGATTGAAACAATTTGATTTGAGCTAGAATCTCAAATTCCTTTCGATGTTTCTCAAAATTGATTAATCTCTGTGACGATTCATCCTTTTCATCAATATTAATATAATTTGACCGGCCAGAATCAATGTACGTCAAATCGGAAAAGTACAATCCAAGATACGGTATGGTACCAATCGTTGTCTAAACAGAAAATGAAATCAACAATACTAATGAATCTCTTCACTGAAAATCAATTCGAACTATTACATTATGATGTTCACGCGGTCTTTTCGAGCGAAATTTCCTTTCCAGTATTGCACTCGCTGCTCTTGTCATATCCGCATTCTTCACTGTTTCCACCTACATGAAAAGTAAAAGATTAGATTCGAATCAATACAAGACGAGACTAAGCAACACTACAACTAGAAACTATAGACATGCAAAAGCAGAGATCGATGAACCTACAGTGCATTCTGGTAGAGTCAGACGAATTTCATCTAGTTGCTAGAAAAACAGACAAATATGTACATATTTAAATCTAACATTCACTAAGTACGATTATTTCGATAGAATTTACCTTGTCGAGAATGGCACGTGCTTGTCCTTTACCTTCACTACAACTACCAAAAATATTCTTCAATTCCGTTAGTACCGAACGATGTTCAAGATCAACATAAGTCCATGCAGTGATCAAACGGTAGATACATCCCGATTGGAGACCATTCAAAATCGCTGTCAATGAGGAGAAATTTCTCAACTGACGACATTCAAAGGCAATATCGATCCATTTTTCCATAACACGTGCACGTATTTGTTCATTATTTTCTTTCAGTATCGTCGCAACAACTCGATAGGTCACAGCATTGAAATGCTCAATCGTTTTATCCACAGTGGATAGTGAACGCTTCGATGTTAATCCACCTCGAGAGATACTATTCTTTCCTAATGTCAAACATTCATACGGCAAAACACGTTTTAATAACTCCTAAAAGAGATTAATGGATGAGAAACAAAAGATTCATGACAGGAGAAAACATACTGCATCGACAATTGTCAGTTGTTCTGCTATTCGAATATTCGACATGTCGAGAAAATTCTTTCTTGCATCGGAATCGACATTTCTTTGACTATATAAATATTCATCAGTAAACACTAATTTTGATTGATGATCATGATTATTGTTATTGTCAACATTATGTGACAATGAAAAAAGATCTAAAGAAACGACTTTTAGAGGAAACGTTTCGTAGAACGAAAATTTCGTTACCTGATTCAGATCGGAGAGCATTTTTGCCTTCGCGCTGAAATTGATATAATAGATTTTGACATTGATTTTCTATCTGATCGTTATTATCAGGAACATTTTGAAGCAGATAGTTTAATATAGTGAAGTTGGGAGGATCATAGAAATCTTCTTTATAGGTAGTTAATAAGCAGATTAAAGCAGCGGAAAGACTCCTGGAAAAGTTCATTGATAAGAGTAGTTAAAGCGACGATTAAATTCTTACTTAAGGGTTTCTTGTCGAACATCTTCGGTCATATCTAAAGAAGCAGGAGCTACTGTTCGATAACGAACTAGGATCGTTTCTATTAACGTTCGTGTGTTTGTATAAGTCCGATAGGTAGCAAATAGGGTGTGCATATGGATTGTATCGAGATCGCCATGTTTATTCGTTAAACATTCCACAATTTTGTCGAGTGTGCCAGCTTTTAATTGATAAATTTTAACCGTTGAGTACAAAAGTTCACCGTGATTAGTATTTCTCGAGTTATTCTATCGGGAATAGAATTGATGAAAATCCTTGTCAGTTGTGTAATTGTATCCCTTACCTGTTCGATCGCATCATCGGACGATTGGTGGAGAGTAATCGATGATCCTGTTGGTGAAGTATTCTTTTTACTTTTTCGTTTGAAATAGATTTGAAATATCGCATCTGTTTGTTTTTCTTCGCAGACAAGCTGCGGTTGCTGAAGATTCTAAATAAATCGAAAATTAATCTCGATTTCGTTCACCATTTCTCTTCGATCAGATGAACTCTTATCGTGATAGTCTACCTCATCTTCGACATTGTCATTGGCATATCGTTCTCTCAACTGCTTAACTAATCTATTGCTATGAACCGACGAACGCAAATTCAAGAACATAGAGTTAAACACACTGGAATCATGTATCGATATTCGACTAGCTTGTCGGTTAATTGAATGCGGTTTAGTAGACGAACATCCTTCATCGTGTTGTTTAGCATTCGGAATCGAAAATGAAGGACGTAGAATGGAACGTGGTGATATTTCCGAAACATTCATTTCATTTTCGGCTTCTGTGTCTTCGACGAACATAACGATAAGATTGAAATCGAATGATGTGCTCGAGCAATAGATTGCAGGTGGCGACAGACACCGAACACGAAGAATTAGATAAGCTTCGCGTTAGTTTGTCAATGAAGAGCAACAACACTTTTCCCTCTCTATCTCTCTCCCCTTTTCTTTTTCTCCTCTTATCAGTAGAATCAAACAAATGAGATACTCTTTAAAGTATGCAAACAATGTATATCAATGTCTTCAAGTAAAACCTTCAGAGAAATTTCAAATCTTTTTATCAGACATCATGTCGTGCTCATTCGATGAGTAGGAAACGTCGAGCACACGAAGAGAATCTTACTTGTTCATCCTTATTTCTCATTGCAATGAACTCGAGTGCTAAGAATAATAACGATCGAATAACAAACGTCAATAACAGTTTGAAAAATGAGAATGTCTACGGAATTGAAGTATGTATGTAGACATATTTTCTTTGATCCTTCTATTTAATCAAGGTTACGATCCGATCGTTTGCGAGAATGACATGAAAATGAACATCGACTGCTACTTACAAGTGGACATTGTTCGATTTGTGAATAGATATTTTGTTGACTGAGACTTTTAACTGATGAGCAGGGTCTTGTTGACCGAATTATCCGACGAATTGATCGACGACTAAGGGACATTCGCTTCAAACTGTAGAGTAGATTTTCTTAAGTTTTGAACGATTGAGTTCAGCTAAACATCTGTTCACTAATGTCCTCCGTTACAAGCGAATAGACGAACTAATGACAAGTGAGCAGAGAGGAAAAAGAAGGAGAAGAAGAAGAAGAAAATAATAATAATAATAACAATACTCGATGAGTCATCTCTACTCAACACGAACAACCTTTGGTATACAGATCGATTTTTATGATCACGATAATAAAAAAAGAAGAATTCTTCTTAATGATCGTTGAGAATTTTCAATACAAACAAATCTATCTTTACAACTGAACTTAGTCTTCGTATCGATCAATCCATGTCGCTGCACATTAACGACATCTGATTGAGATTCATCAATTTCAATTAATCGGAATGAATGCCATTGACTTTGTACTCATTAAGTTTTCGTTTTGTGACCCTTCTTGTGTGAACGGCAATGTCAATATTGATTTTTTGATATCAAACATCAATGTTATCAGAAATGGTAAAAGTCAGAAGAGTTATCTTTACACTTTTTTTTATAACGTAAATGAAGTTCTTTTTCTCCTTCAATTTTCATATCGTAAAAAACAAAAATATCAAAAAACAAAGAAAACTTCTCGCAACTATTTTGCTGTTGGATTTGTACGTGATTGGAGGTGAACAGAATTTTTTGTGCCTGCTGATATCGAAGACACTGAGGAATCGACAGAGACCATTTTGTATAGACCCGGTGACGAACCACGATTTGTCGTTTCCTCGCGTGAGCGCAGCGCTTCTAAACGATACCAATGCGGTTTGTCATCGATAACATTAGGATCTAAAACAGCACAATCTTCGTGGAAGAATCTGAGGATTGAAATTGAAGAATTTACTTTTTAAATCGATTGTAACTTGACCGAGAAAATCGTTGGCTTTAAAGCGATCGTAGTCCCATACAGTAAATTCGAGCTTTTTATACTGAATTTCTTCTCGATGGATGTGTCCGTAGATGACTGTATGATTCCACACCGGATTTAGCGTTTTGGATACATGTTTGATTCGACGTTTGTTTTCTTGGCTAAAAGTAATTGAAAGAGTTTCTAAGAACTTTGATTGTCTAGAGAATCGGAGGTGAATATCATGATTATTCGCGAAGAAATTCTCAGTAGTCTACGGATGACTAGGAAATCTCGATGGAAATCAGTTTGAACCCTTTACCAATGATGAAAATTCACTCGGTCCCTCCCAAGTCGATCATATTCGAACAATAAATGAGGTTAATATGTCATGTTAGATAATCGTCGTTAGAAATACCCAACGTTTCCAATAACAATTATTTATATCAGCATAATTTTATGGTCCGAGTTAGAACGAATGTCAACTATGATTTGACTGATTATGTATTTTACTTAACAAGATAATTATAGATAGAAAGGCGATAGATAAGACTTACTCTCTTCCGGGTAGGAGATAAACTTTAACAAATGGATCTGAAAATCCATTCGTATCTTTGGGTATCAAGTTTTTCGCTTGAAGAATTCGCACAACTAATTGTTCACGTTCACTGTTATGTCCGATTTGTATTTCAATGTCTCCCACATAGTCATTTTCATGTAACTGATTGATGATTGTATGTCGTTGATGAGAGAAATCGACAGATTTCGTTTTCTTCTTCAGGAAATTCAGTGTACCCAATGCCAATGATGCTTTTCTATCCATACTACTCGAACCTCGTGAGATTCGTTTGTTATCAGATTTGAATAGATTTTGTGAATTTCGCGATATACTCATCGCCTCGCTAGCGATGGGTATAACGCTCTGACTTCGTCCATGCGACGTCGACGTAGTATTCAAACTACTTGTCTGACTTTGCGACGTTTGAAAGTACTGTGATAAACTGTCACTTTCATCCGATTCATTGGAATTTTGCCGTTCGATGCTGTGATTACTACCGGCACCGTTTAAGCCGGGATCATTCGGTAATAGACTCGAACGTGGCCGATGTGGAACTAATTGATTTGATTCGTCTTTCGCGAACAATGTTTTCTAAAGAAATCGAACGATTGAAGCTTGAAGAGATTAGTTGATGAAATCTCTTACTGATGGTGATGAAGGTTTCGGATCTTCTTCGGAACCTTCGGGAATGGTTGCTGCTGCTGCTGCTTTTTTTTGTAGAGAATAAATTGACGTGGATTTTGATTTAGTCACCGAATGATTTGTTGACGCTAGTTTTAACACTTCCATGGAATGTCTTCGTTGAAGATTCGTATCAGTTGTTATGGCAGAATGGGTATTACTACGAACAATAATTTCGAATTCATTTTGAATTGTATTCATTAGATTTTCAACAAATAAGGCACTTTTGCCACGTAATGATACACCACCGAGCTCGAGTACTTCGTCGCCTAGATGGAAAAAGAACGTGTTAAGGTCTCGATATGTTAATCATGCGAACAAACCTTCTTGAACAATGTTCTTCAAAATCTCATAATTCCGATGATGTGTATCGATGTTCTCGATACAAGCGGTGACTTCCATACAATGAGGAATGGAATGGCCACCGGTTATTCGAAAACCTAGATCTGATGTAATACCATGTCGAGATGGATTCAAGATTAGTTTCGTTGTTGGAAACGGATACGTAATTTCAGTACTCGTACTCTAGAGAATGCAGAAAGACGTGTAAGGAGAAAATTTCGAGTGTGAGATGAAGTGACAAACTTTTTGAAGTTTTTTCGTCGGCGGAATCACTGGAGAAGGTGCTGATGTTTTGATTGAATTTGTTGAGGACGGTGCCGGTACTTCCTTCTTTTTCGATTTCTTCTTTGCTTTTATTGACGCATTGATGGGCTCCATCGGAGGGGTATTCGTTGTTTGATCTCGTAACTGTTTACCTTTAGATATGAAGTTCTCGCTTGAACTACTTCGACACTGAGTGTTCGTTTGAAGTTCATGTTCAACTTTCGCAGGCAGTGTTTTACTGGCAGAAGCGTTCGGATGACTGAGATCAATTTCTAATAGATCACATTCCTCATCCGCGTTCAATGGAGAAATTATCGTTGGTGAAGGCACAGCTGGTAGAGTAAAACGAGATTCGGAATTAGCACGGCGAAGTTGTAATTGACTTCGAGGAGTAAAGTTGGGTGGAAATGGTAAATTACGTTTATGTCGATTTGCCGATAGCATACGCTAGAAGAACAAAACAACAAATAAAACGAAAAGCAATTGTTTTTCTATTATTCCATTGTTTGTTCTGATTTGTATTCGAACTCAATTCAAGCACTTGTACGAGTAGTATTTTCTCATTCTAACAAAGAAAATCGTCTATTTAGATTATTTATAGTGCGTGAGAATAGTCTTTTCCCCCGGAGTTCTTCATTATTTCATCGCACACGTCTTTCGATCACAGATGTTTTCTCCTACGGCAAATAACCTGGACGAAATCCAATCTCGCCTGCTTGCCATCTTCTCCTCTCGCGAATATGAACTCGCGAATATGATTGATAGGTAGATGTTAGCTGCCGATATGACAAGTCTTTTCTCTGTCCTCGCTCGATGTGTGCAGAATCTGAAATTTCTTCTTTTCTTCTCTCTTTTAATTAATGAAATTAACTTCGACCAAAAACTATTCTTCAGAGTGAATCTAATTGCATTTTATTGGTCAAATTTTCAGTTAATTTCATTAGAAGAAAGACTCAGTCGACAAATATTTATTCTGACTTGTGAAAGATCTAATTTATCTATTTAATGGAGTAATCCAATCAACGGGAATTTCGGAATGTCTTACCTTACGGTGTGTTAATCGGATTTCATCTCTCGTTTGATGAAGAGCTGATGTGGCTGAAACGAGCAGATCTGTTAGATTCTCTCGAACACCCGATGAACGACTAAGGCTGCCTCGTCGATGGCTAATTGGAATAGGGCCAGAAATAGATAAACTAAGCGGATGTGCCGTGGGATGAGAAGAATATTCAACTTGTTCTTGTTCTTGCCCTTCGTCTTCTTCTTCCATGGGTGGTGATTCAATTTCCATTTCAAGAATAGCATTTGTCTCAATTTTGCTCGAAGATGATGTTGATGATGATCGATTGATGGGACTTGGCAAATGTCGTGAAAGATTTTCGATTGTCTTTTCCAATTCCTTGACATGATCGAATTCGTCCTCATGATCATCTTCGTCGATACATTCATCAATTTGATAGCTTGGAATGATACTCGGTTCTTCAAGTTTGGTTGAGATTATGGCTGAAACATACGGACTTGGTTCTTCGTAAAAGAAGTCATTTTCATCAATTTCTGTTAGATTGGATTTTCGATTGGATTCCGAGATAATTGGTTGATTTCCTTCATTGACATTGACATGTTCAACATTTTCCTCGTCTAATTCCATCGGAGAATCATCGACTTCATTATCATCTTCAGTGGGAATCGATACGGGTGAAAGGGAAATTTTCATCGATGTTAACTAACACAAAAGCTTTATATTGAATTATTTATTAAAGAGTAGAACAAACATACTTGTTCGTCTGCTAATATTGTCGTGCGATTTTCTTCTTTGGAATCGATCGGTTCGTTCTCTTGACATTGAAAGCAAATCGGTGATGTTTCTTTCTGTATTTTACCGCATATTTGACATGGACGATTACTTGTTAATATTGACGAGTTTTCGACTTCACTTTTTCTAGTAACAAATGACAAGAGAAATCACATGCTGACACTAAATGAATGTGGTATGTGTCTCGTTTCGACCTATTTTTAGATTAATCTAAGATGATTCAATGAGCTTTTCTTTATTTGACAACACACAACGTCATTGTAAAATTCCGAGAATGCACGACGAACTAAGAAAAAAAAAATGTAATCTACTTACATTTCATTATCATATCTCTCTACGTTGTCACGAATGAAACTATTGGTTGAAGTTGACGAAGATGACGAGGGTGACAATGAGGGTGATCTGGATGCTGCTGGCGATATCGCAGTTGGAAAACTCTTCACAGGCAATAATGGAGGTGATTGTTGTTCTTCGACAGCTCGCGCACGTCGTAGAACATTGGCGATATGTTCCTGCTCTTCACGATTCAAGTGACTTAAATCGACATCAACTGGTGACACTAATGGCTGCGGAATCAAAATCGTACTATTTCGGGAACTTTGCATACTATCCAAGGAGACAGGCTTGGATATATATACAACAGATGATGTTGAGTATCTTGAATCAGGTTGTTCATTATAAGGCGATGTTGAATAAAAGTAATGATGTGTTGATTCCGGAATTGAGGACGATGATTTAAATGAAGTAGCGGATGGCGATGATCGTGGTGGCAGTGATGAAGAAGAAGAAGAAGGAGGAGGAGGAGGAGCGAGATCAACCGTCACATCCTGTACCCACTTCTTTAATGAACTTAACATTTAGCTAGACAGCTATACGACTAAGCAGTAAATCAATAATTATAAACATGAAGATGCGTGATGTGATAATATCCCGACATCGAATTAATTGAATATTCTCTTTCATGCATAGTACTATTCATCTCATACTTGCAGATTCAAGTTCGTGAGCACTCACTAAGTTGTATGTCAGTGTGCATGTATCTATATCGTCTGTCGTTCTTCTTAGAATTGTCACGACGTGCTTTCCTCACTTTTTCCGTCCAGTATGCCTCTCGGCTCGCGTTCTCTTGTCGTCCTTCTCTGTTTTCCGTTTGTGTGTGTGTACGTTACTTATCCTATGCGAAACCACATCACATTCAGTTCTTTTTCTTCTTCTTGTCTTCTTCATCAACAGTGTTTGGTAACATTTTGTTGAAGAAGAGAAGGAGAGCGAGAGCGAGAAGAAAAAAGCTAACATTAGAGAAAAGAAAAGAGAAAAACGATGAAGAATGGTCGTCAAAAGAAAAGATCCGGAGAGAATTCTCTTGTTTGATGTTCAATAACAATTTCCTGTGTATTAGCAATTACAATGAGTGATAGAATGATCAACTACTCAATCTAATATTTAACTCGTTACTTTATAAAGAGTTCATTTAACTGTTCATAAATCCCTGATTTGACGTTGGTTACAGGAGATTTTGATATTTATTTTTTTGGTAGCTGTTTAATTACAGAAGTATGCATATACAGATGAGGAAAGAAAAGAAAACGAAGATACTTGTTCTTTGATACAAACACAAAGAGAAGAAGGAGATAAAAATTTGAACTCTGAACTACAGAAAAGAAAAACAAACAAATTAGTTTTTTTTCATTCGGAAAAAAGAGAAAACACGAAAAAGTAATTGGTAATAAGAAACAAACAAGAATAAGTTAGCTCGAAAAGATTGCATCGACGAGATTTATTTGAAATTCGTCTTCAGTTAATACTTGGAATACGACTAGAACAAATACGATAAGAGAATCCAGAAAAAAATTCATCTTGTCATTTACCGATTTTGATCTTGTGTAATAGGAATGTGTCGGGATGATCGAAGCGTTGCTTCCCATTGTAGATTTGCCACGTTGAATAGCCCGGAAGAAAACGCCGGAAACTTGTTCGCGATTATCACTGTCCGAGATCGTTAATGTGGCGCCCGTGTTGTTAACCGCCGCAGTTAAATAACGACCGGTTGGATAAATTGGACTAGATTGCCGCGAAGAAGAAAAAAAAGCAACACAACAAGTTAATTCATGCGAGGAAAAGTTCTTCGGTAGTTTTTTTTTATAATAGAAAGGAACTTGTGCTTGATTAACTCAGTTATATACTCCGCTGAAGTCAATACTTACGTTTTCATCATCGAAGCTGCTGATGAGATGTATGAACGAGGTTTCCGAGTCGCTGCCGATAGGAGAGCGCTGGATGGAGCTGCCGCAATAGGTGTATAGAAATGACGAAGGCCAGCTGACGATAAATCTTGTACAGGAATGTTAACGGGAGCAGTAATTGCCGGGCGTACGTGTTGAAATGGCGTTGAGGGATCATACCTAATTAAGTTGAATGAGAGAATTGAAGAAAGAGCGAAACTACTTCGTGTGTGTATGCGTATGTTTTTTTTTCTACTGATTACTTTGAGCAACTATTCATGCAAATCGAGCAGTAAAGAGATATTCCATGTATTTTCATCGAGATATTCAATTATCTAATATCAGTGGGGAAATCAAATGAAGAAAAACGAAGTTCAGATGATATCGAGTACTTTTCATCATGAATAACACTTCGAAAAGCGGACGATTGTCTGAAATATTTGGTGTGTGTTAATACAAAGTGGACCCAGTTTAGATTATTACTAAATATTGCCGTCTCTAGAGATTAATTTACAGATGTGGGCGTAGCGCGTTTTCTAAAATTCAATTCACACACACATACACACATTCATCCAACAAGCAGCAAATAAGAAAGATAATCGAATGCAAAAAAAAAATCATATCTTTCTTGGATTTTTACTTCCGAGGATCGATCCATGCGTATGCAATCTGTCTCAAGTACCTATTGTTAATAGTAGTACTACTATTGTTGTTATGTGTTCGAATTTGATGTAATTGTAATGCTTTTTTTGTTATAAATTTTTTATTAATACATTTATTACATATCATTAATGATTGACTACCATTCCCATTTGGCGGATTATTCATACGTGACTGATGACTTTTCAGATGTTTGTTTAGCGCCGATAATGAAGTATAAGTTTTAATGCAATATTTACATCTAAAGTATGCTCTAACGATTTTCTTTGGAGAAAAAACCGCGGAGAAAAACACTTGCTCCCCGATCGTGCCTACTCAACTGAAAAAAGAAAAGAAATCTTTAACTCTTACATAAGATTTGGATGCGGTTGTTGTTGTTGTTGCTGCTGCTGCTGTTGTTGTTGTATACGACGTGCTTTGATTTCATTTAATCTGTCGCCCTGAGTTATTTCATCTTCATTTTCTTCCTACGTATTAAACATTGAAGTATACAAATTCTATTACAAAAAGAAAACGAATCGACCCACTTCAATATTATTGTTATCTCCAACAACGTTGCCAACTAAATATCGATGTGAACTCGAGTTGCCGATATCCATCGTTGAAGGACCCGCGTAACCTGTGATGTAACGTGTCCGTTCTCTTGATCGATAAGTGTCACCCAATGACCAAAGCCATGCTTGTTTCCTATGATCGATTGAAAGAAAACAAAGAATGATCTACTTTCAAATATCAAGTGGTCTTTCTTTACTCTTCGAGGTAATTTTGCTGTGGGCCAATTACAGAGCCAGGCCGACATATTCTCAACCAGGCAATTACTTCAGCAGCTGTAAATTTATGATGTTTCATCAAATACGCTCCAATTAATGTGCCCGTTCGGCCAAGACCCGCTATGGGAATAGATTGAGTTAGTCTATTTCTGCTCGTTAACAATTCTCTACCTACCTTTACAATGAACAGCAACTGCACCTTTGGCTTGTTCGACGATCGCCAGAAATTTCAACGTTATTGCATCACTCGGGGTACTTCCATCGGAGAAAAACAAATCGTAATGTTCAAAGCCAGCATCGAGAAATCGCTTGGCATCGTAAATTTTCCTATTCAACCGCACAATAGTCGTAACATTACGCTTTCGAAAATACGTAAAATAAGCTTCTGGTGCATGTAACGGATAACCCTAAATGATTAATCGATTGAATAAACTGCGACTGAGAAATCGAACACACTTACGTTTTCGATTTTGCTTTTCGAATGCGGCCCCGAGAAAGCCAATAGCTTACGAGGAACAATCCAATTCAAGTCACCATTTTCGACTTTCTAAGTAGTTCAAAGAAGAAGAACAAAACTGTTTCGTTTTACGTGAAGAGAAAGATAAGAGTCTCACTTCATAATGTTCATATTCATCAAGGTCGAAGTTTTCAAAATCAAAAAATCCATGAAGTATTGCCTATGCGTACGTGAAGAGAAAAAAAGGTAAATAAAACGATTGAATAAAATAAGCAATTAACCTTATGAAGACCTTGTAAAGTATCGAGTAATGTTAGATTATACGAAGAAGAACCAAGTGATGCATCTCGAAATGGAAGGAATGGATGTGCCGAATTAATACCACTGATTAATGGCTTGTACGCTTCTTCTGGTGTTCGTTTAAGATGAATAATCTATATAAATAGTGATCGCATAAAGAAAAGAAAATGCAAATATCAAGCTTTTATATCTCAAGTCAAATCGAGTGCATTTACGATCAATCATGACATATTTTGACAGATGGAGAACGTTTAATTCACTGATAGAGACAAATTTGTTTGTTAGCAACGAAAGAAACAATTACAACTTCACTAATATCCTCATATACGTTCAACTAAAGGTCACCGCAATAGAGATTTGTCAAGTAGACCAAGGCATCATGCTAGTCAACTTTTAATCATACTTATTCAAATCAAAGTATTTCACTCGTTGACTCTTCAATTGACGAAGAACCTGCACCTTCATAATTATTGATAGTTTTTCTAACTATTCGAAAAACAACCTTATCTACAAATGTCTATCGCTATAAACGAATCAATTCTCTCTCGATCGCAAAGGAGAGATATGGATTGCTTACTGAATAAACAGCAACTAGAAATGCAGCATTGGCACGTTTCTTTGGTTCGAATTTCGTATAATGAATGATGCGTTTGTGCGCGAGACTGGGACTCTAAAAATAACATACGACGTAAATAGAAAGGAATCTGGAGCAAAATGTGATACGAACATTTAATTTTTTATTTAGTTTTGTGCAATATTGATAAACAACTGCTAAGTTAAGAGGTCCAAAATCGGAATAGAAGCTAGACGAGAAGAAGATATTGAATCTCTTTCTTCTCTCCATGGCATGTTGCTTACTTTTCATAGATGAATTCGTCGTCGATAGAAAAGTAGTGTGTCCGAGCTGTTGATTTTGGTCTTACACGCAGTGTTGCAAAGTAAAAACGATCTTTGATGATCTCTGATGCGCTACCGATAATGTCGGTCTCGCTATTACCTCCTCCGCCATTGCCATCGGTCATTGGTTTTCGTTAAGATATCTTCGAAGAATGCCTTCCTCGTCTTTGACAAGCACACGATTAATAAATTAACTTGGCCAGAGAAAAAAAACTGAATAATTACAAGAACCAGACCGAGGAAGACTAGAATAAAATAGAATAATTAATGAAACGGAGAGAAAGAATGTATCTACCTAGACGAAAAAAAAGAAGAGAAAAAAATCTATCGATTTTAATTGTTCTGTCTTAAGGAAAGGCAAAAAACGAGAAGCACACAAACGAGCGAATCAGCAGCCGTTGTTAAGCGCCATTAACCACACAAATTGCCTCTGTCGATAAGAGAAGTCGGATGGTCTATCTCACGTCACTAAATACGTATTTTTTTTCTTCAAACAAACAAAACATGACAATATACGCAAATATTCATCGTATTTTCTATCGTACATCGTACACAACGTTGAAGGTTAGATGTCACTAAATGTCTTCGTGAAAGAATTGATGTGTACATTCGAATCGAATTGACAGTTCAGGTGTGAAATGAAATACTTGCTGAATAGATGCTATTGCTTGAACGATAACATCTATTCATGCTTTTCGATGACAACCACACAACACCTCGCCATAGACTTAGGTGAAGCTACAACTGATCAAGATCAGAGTTCGAAATAACGATCAGAGATGTGCACTACACATGAAAACAAAAGAGAAAGTTCTCGGAACGAAAAGCACGGACTAAACACAATTGGACATGATTTTCCTCTTCGTCATATTATCTGTCAAAGATGAAGTTCTACTTCTCTCAAAAAGAAACGAAATCGTTTTCTATGTCATTCAGTAAAACAAAAAACGTCTATTAGCGTACTTTTGACAGGTCTATGTTTAGTTCAGAGACTTAATTATCAGCCAACTGCTAAATTAATGTACGTACTTCTATTTCAGGAAGGATGAAATCATCGTATATTGTTTATTTTTTTCATCAACTTGTGTGTTAGTTATACTTCAGTAGGACAATATGTACAAGGACACGAAACGCTTGACTGCTAACAACGCGTGCAAACCATTTTCTTTCTGTTGGTCTGATTTCAAATGAATATTAATCAATTAGAGATGCAACGGTAACGGTGCACTACGGTTCACTAGTAGAAGAAGTCAGTTACCTCTACATTCTCAAATATATGACAATAATAACGGAAAATTTGTGAGCATGATTGTTTTCTTTGGCAAATTGATATTGTTGAGAAAATATTCATTTGCGACAGTAAAGGTTGGCGTCATCAACTTGATCGCGACAAATTAACTTCTCGTCGTTGTTTCCTTCAACGATGCACTACCTCATCACGAAATTGTCAATCGAAATCACAAGGAAATGCGAGCAGTGAAAGTGAAATTATCTGTAATCATTTTCTAGTTCGAGAATGGTAGAAGCTCGTCGCGTTTCTGGTACAGTTTATTATCGAGGAGAGATAAAAGATCAGAAAGTATTTGAAGGAGTCGGCAAGGAGAAAGAAAGAAGACATCCATGTTAAAATGAAATTGAACATCAACACAATAATGTTTTCGAACAAGGATATTTGTCTAGTGTGCAACTCTGTTTTTTACATGCAAAATGTTCGATCAGGAGATGAATTGAAAACCGATAAGATGTCGCTTTCAAATCGAATCAATTGAATGTCGTTGCTATGCAAATGTAAATACGGATGGCAAGAAGAGAATTGTCTGTTACTTTCATCAGCTAGTTACAAGGCAACACAAAGGTTAGTTTTGATTTAGATTAAGAAAAAGCAGAAGAAGAAATCTAACATTTTAGTATGGGAAAAGATTATTATCAAGTTCTTCAAATAGCTCGAAGTGCCAAAGACAGTGACATAAAAGCAGCGTATGTATAATCGATCAATCGAATCTATTGATGTCAATGTTCTCTTTTGATTGAATCTAGCTATCGTCGATTAGCACTTAAGCATCATCCAGTAAAGAACACCGATGATCCAAATAATCACAATAAATTTAATGAACTTTCGGAAGCGTATGATGTTCTCAGCGATCGTATGTCCGGTGACTTTCGATATTCAGATAGGCTTCATTCGATGCTTTTTCAGATAAGAGAAGAGCAATCTATGATCAATATGGTGATGAAGGTTTGAAAAATGGGGTACCGATGGGTTCAGACAGCAAATGGAATGAAGGTTATGTTTATCACGGCAATTCCGATAAAGTTTTTCGAGACTTCTTTGGTGGTGACAATCCGTATTCGGGTAAGAATATGACCATTAATCGTGAAACAACTCAATGAAATTCTCTTGTCAGAATTCTACGCAGCTGCTGACCAGGATAGAAATCTCGGTTTCGGCGGATTGGATGGTCGTGGTCGAAAGAAACAAGATGCACCAATAGTGCGTGATCTTCTACTTTCCTTAGAAGATTGCTATCATGGTGCTGTAAAAAAAATCAAAATTAGTCGACGAGTAAGATCACGTTTCCTCGCTCTATTTACCTTTACTACTAAATTCTAACAAAAGAAACTGATAAATCTACATACGGTCTCAATTCAATGACGTATGTAAGGATGTAGAATGTTCGTGTACACCTGTAGGAAACCCACTCACACTGCCGCTGCACATTTTACACAATTTCTTGAAAGAAATCCATCTCAACTCTCATGTTAACCTGTACCACTAGAAAATGAACTGATAATATGTATTGCTTACGTGTTAAATCGATGATTTGCATTTAGGTTATGAACGATGATGGCATTACATCGAGTATTCGTGAAAAGATTCTTTCTATCACTGTCAAACGTGGTTGGTTGCCGGGCACAAAAGTAACATTCGAAGGCGAGGGTGATCAAGGTCCAAACACAAATCCATCAGATCTTGTCTTTACCGTCAAAGACAAACCACATCCACATTTACGTCGCGAAAACGCCGATCTTATTTACACAGCCAAAATCAACTTAGGACAAGCTTTGACAGGTACAACATTACACATAGAACATCTCGATGGAAGAAAACTCGACATTCCCATCAATGAAATCGTCAAGTAAGTCTTGACTTTCTGTGTCAAAAACAAAACCAATTGCGATTATGATCTTTGCAGGCCAGGATACAAAAGACGTATACCAGGTCAAGGTATGCCATTGATGTCTAATCCAGAGAAATATGGTGATTTAATCATTGAATTCGATGTTGAATATCCAAATAGTTTGAATTCTGATCAGAAGTTATATATCAAAGAAGCATTGATCAATAATCCACCGGCGAAAAAAGCGCATCATCAACACAATCAACAGAAGAAGAAGCCGGCTGCAAATAACGATGATGACGATGACTAGAAAGATTATTTTATATAAACGATCATATCTGTTTTATTTTGCTCTGCTTTCTTTTTTCTAAACGATTTATATTAAAATACAAATGCAAATCACCGTTTTGAGAACATGATTCTCTCAAATGTCTGCTATTTCAGTTCAATATTCGATGCCGAGAGCACGAAAAGCACTTGCCAATGTCCAGAGTGGTCCGACAGCTAAAAATTGCAAATCCTTGAAAAACGATGGTTTCTTTCCTTCAATATTATGTCCGATAAATTGACCAATCCAAGCAAGAACAAAAATAAACAATGAAACGCGAAAGATTCGCACGCTTTTTTGTTCCATAATACCTAAAACCATCATCGCCAATGCAAGTAGAATCGACATTGCCGTTGCCATTTTCGTCGACAGACGAAAGTAGAAGGCGAGAATAGGCCCAATAGCGACCAGAGGGATGAAATGACTCAATAAATAACCCAAATTTTGCCGAATCGCTTTTGGCAATGGCACCGACCAAAGAAAGCCAAGTACCGTGAAGGTTATGGCTGGTACGCAAATTTTATGAATAATGATATTCGTTGGATTTTGATGTGAAACAGAATATTCATCGAGCCAAGCGTGTAATTCTGTTGCGTTATCCATGTTCGTCAATGATGAATAGAAAAAGACAATATACAAGATATATGCTTATCTATGTGAGATAAATGCACAGGCAAGAAAACGTTGGTTCTTATCTTTGTTTATTTGACAAAATTCGTTTTTTTTAAATTTCAATAATAGAATAGTTAAAAGTATAGTTTGCTAAAGGTCACTCCGAAATGAACGATCACATTGAAACATTAGCGCATTGATTATAGCCTGGGCAAGATATTTCGCTGCAAGGATTTTTGATATTGCCATCGATTCCAATGCATATTGAGCGTAAACTCGTGCTTCGTAATTACATGTTAACTTTTCCCAGATTCTTTCTATTTGTGATAACCAGTCAAATCGAAAAGTGAAGAGCACCTCCAAGGATTTCTTCACTAAATCTGGTAGATCATTGGAACCAGTAAGACGATCATTATCCGATAACATACGAAAGGGAAGAAACGCACGTTGATTTTTTAATGTTTCGTATAAATTCGTATTTTTTCGTGCCATTGCTATTAAACTTAATAAACGCGCCCAACCTTGCCCAAACGATCGTTCAGCATTCGATGGTAAAAAGGCCAGTTTCGATTCAATCAAGGGCACGGCATCCTCAATCGAACCTTGATAGGCGTGCCACATGGGTCCCAAGTAACGCGTATCCAGAATTCGGTTGTTAAAGTCGCCATTGCATTCTTGAAGTAGAGAAAAAAATTCGCGCCAACGATTCATTGCTTTCGGTACTTGTTTCCGACAGTCGATGACATTCGAGCAAAAGTTTTCTTGTTGAACAATTTGAAATGTAGTATTCGGAATAAGACCAACGTCAACAGCAACAAGAAACGGAATAACCGAGAGATAGTAATTGGCTGCTGCCCACCAACTGTTCAATGAGATGTTCAATGTTCCATTCGTAAATAAACGATTCGATTCGAATTGCCAGCCGAACTGCGATGGAAATGCAAAGAGAATATTGGATGCATTTGATGATGTGCAAAACGGCATCAACGGTGTCGTCACATCGATCAAGATTTTGTACAAACCTAATCGATGTGGGTAATACCATGGGTCGATTAATCGATACGAATTGTTGATTAACGGATAGTCATTTAATGTCGATGGAACTGTGTGCCATAATGGCGGATAATAAATCTGATTTCGAACAGTTGTATTCGCATGCGTTGCAGAAAAAATTAATAAACAGAGAATTGCAGATATGTACATATTGAGACTAGATACGATGATGAACTAGAAGAGAAAAAGAAACGAGGATGAGAATAATGATTTGCTTTCTTACAATTGGTTATCGTCTATAACATTTATCATGTACCAAAGATAATCAATGCCGTAACTTCGCTCACTTATTGGTAGACGTTCCGAGGCAGTTATACGATAATAAGTTAGCCGAGAAAGGTCATCTAGTCTATATACACTTAAGGTCGATGAGTACATGATCGGCTAAGAAATCGATTTCTTCCCACGCACAACCTTGTTGTCTTCCTTGTCGTTATTCTTCGCTCAAGACTTATGTAAGGAATTATATACGTGCATTCAAACTCGAATCACAGAAAATAACCTAACATTCCTTGAAAAAAAACACGAGATTCAAACATGAAAGTTGTTAATGGACGTTCTTCGTTCTGTATACGACTGATGAAGAATGTTAAAGAATAAAATCGATCATACTAAAACAGACGCGAACAGAGTCCGTGTACATTTAAACTTCTAATGCAAGAAATATTCGCTTGTTGTCATGGGAAAACTAGATCGAAAAAATGACAGCAACATATGTAGAAAATCAGCTTGCATTGACCTCGGATCAACATCTCAGCGAATTGAACGATGATTTAACACTGGTAACGGATCTCAACCTTTTGAAAATTCACTTAATACGTCAACGGAAGAAACTCTTTTCAACGCTTGATTTATTGATTAAACTTGACTTATCGTACGAAAGTATCGTGCCGAAAATCGATCATGATGATTTAACCAAGGATTATAATCGATTGAATGGTGCGTACAATCGACTGAAGAACGAATATCAACATTTGGGACATTCGTGTTTGTATTTAATTAACAAAACTCATGATTTGATTGAAGAACGAAATCAATACTATAATGAATGGCAAGCAAATAAAAGTCTGTTAACACCAAGGCCAGATTGGGATAAAATCTCGAATGTAATTGATGGAGGATTCGAACGATGGAAGAGTTTATCGACAGGAAAATCCAGTGAACAGTTGGTTGATGTATTGATCAAAGAGATTATCAATGGGAATGATATAGATGCATTTGAAGGCAAGGATTATTTCGAAAGCGATGGTGATCAAAAAGCAGTATTACCATTTTTACGTACATCAAAGGAAAATCGAATATTTAATAGACGAATGCGAGAACGCATGGCAGGAATATTGATTAAAGAGATTTGGTAAGGAATGGCTGTCAATAGATCTAAGATTGTTTCTTGTAGGATGGAGAAAATTCACAAGGCAAACTATTGGCAAATTCGAGATTTTCAATCGTCCTCGTCGACTAGTTTCGCTGATCAGGTCGCTGAATATTTTGAAAAACGATTCGCTTCAAAATTAGTGGCAGTTGAACTGGGCTACAATCTTCGTGATGCATGTTTACGCTATCATAATTGCGAAGAGATCAATCTATTTTGGGGAATTCTGACTGGACAGATAGAAGAAATGGTTTATCACCATCGTATAAAGACCATCAGTGATTTACTACAACATCTGATAAGAATGAAAACCGTATTCTCATCACAATCAGAAGTAATTCTATCAAACCCTCGGAAAGCGATAGTCGACGAACTGAGTTCGCCGGTATCAAATAGAGCAAATCGTCTATTGTCCGGTTTACCGTCACCTTCTGCAAAAAGTTATTTAGAGTCACCAGGTAAATTTTTCGCATAACTGTTCCGCAGTTCTGCGATGTCGATCTTCTAGTTGCTCGTGAGAATCTCGTCATGACAGATGATCAATTTCTCCAATCATTGGGTCTGATCTATCCGCATAAAACTAGTTCACAAATCAATGAACTCTTTCTCTCTGCCAAACATGATCTTTCGTATTCCAATTCATTCATCGAACTTAGCCTATTATTCATCGAAGACAACGCTGGTCGTTTCTCTCATTTTCTCACGACATTAATCAAACAACTGAACCAAGAAAAATTTGCATATATTGGACAAATCAAACGGATTCTTTTCGGTTATCCTCTCATCACCATTTCTCAGTTCAGTCGAGCGGTATCAATGATTGATCCAAACATCTCACAAAGTGAATTACATCGATACATCGAATGGGTGTTTTCGGCTAAGAACTATCATTCGTCACAACAAACAGTCAAACCTTTAGATTTAGAAGATTTATTAAGACGATTAGAAAACTGTGCCTGTTTTAAACATTAAACACTATCATTACACAAATATATTTATATATCTATGACAAAAAGGAGATTTTTAAAGAAAAAAGAAGGCAAAAAATGTTCAAATTTTCTATAAATGACGAACGTCGTTTTCTAAACTATAAATTTTCGCTTTCAAATGATTCAATTCGCCTTGCATTTCTTTCGATCGGACAGCTGTTTCTTTCACGTGTTGAAGAACATCGATTTCATCTGTATTTCCTGTTAAACCAACGGTAACCTAAAATGGCAAAAATATCAAATCAAGACACTCATCATCCGAGATGGAAATCTTACTCTAAACAATTGTTTTTCAACATATTTCAACTTTTGTCGTAACATTTTGATATCAGTCTTGAAACCTTCGATTTCCATATTTCGGCGGCGTTCTAATTCCTTAAATCGTTCGTTTGACAATGTCAGTCGTCGACCCATCTTCTCCGATCGATCCTAAACACGAATCGACATTCTTCGGATTGACAGAAATCACATGCAACTTACTTTATAAATCTCTCGTGTAACATCACCTTCTTCTCGAATCTTGCACAATTGTTCTTCTAAAGATAAGACCTGATTTCGATACATTTCAGCAAGTTTGTGTGTTTGAACATGTTGTTGTTCCAAAGAGTGGATTTCATCTTCGTATTTCTTCCTTTCTTCTTCAAAATAGGCGTTTTCCTGGAGAAGAAGCGAAGCTGCTGATGAGGTATTTTGGATATGATTCGAAGTGTTGAGAAAAAGAATTTCATCGTCTTTTCGTTGTTCGTGCGCTGCCGTTTTGTCTAATTCTTGCAACAGTTGGTCCTTCTCGGTTAACCATTGCCTTTCGGCGTTACGTAAATCGAATTTCGATTCAATCACATCTTTGGTTGATTCATGAAGAAGATTTTGCATTTGAACAATTCTGTTTTGATATGAAAAGAAAGTACTATCGAGTTAAGATAAGATCGGAGGCGAATGTTACTTTTCTTGGCTTTGTTTAAGACGTTCTTCATCTCGTTTGCGTTGGACATCGTATTCTTCGATGCGTACACGGCGATCTTCAAGTAACGATTCGACTTGTTCTTTTGCTAGTTTTGTTTGTTCTTCGAGTTGAGCTTGTAATGCTTCGATTTGTAACAGGAGTGTTTCGTTATCGCGGATTTGCGGTGCAACTTTCGTTGATTTCTTTTGGACTAGATCCTCTGAACGAGAAAAATTCGAATAATCAATGGCGAAGAGTGACTTACTCGAATGAGTTGATGGACGTTGCTCATTGACAACTACCGGTGAGACTTTTTGAGGAACAATTCCGACACCCGGTGGCTCTTTGACGAAATAAGTTATTTCTTCTTCACTAACACCACATAGATTCAATAAGCGATTGATTTTTTTACGATCCTGTAATTCTTGAATCTAAAATCGACCAAAATCCACCTACTTCACCTTCCGAACAGTGGAATACATACTTTCAGGCGATCGTTTTCAGCGTAAAGACGTAGAACTTGTTCACGTTCTTGAAATAAATAGATTTGCAAATCACTAATAGCCTTCTGTAATTCAACTATTTCACTTTCACGTTTACGCACTTCCCATTCCAATTTATGCTAGAACATAATAGTGTTCATTTTGAGTCTCCCATCAGCCTCCGTACCTTTTCCTCGTAAGCAACTTTACATCGATCGAGTTTTTGAATCATATCATCACGTTCATTGTCGTATTGAGCGATCTTTCGTCGATAGAATTCTAACAACTCTCTCGACGGACGAAGATAACCTTGAGAAAACGAATGAAATCATATATTAATGTCCAGGAAAAGACGAGCGGACTAGCACACAAACCGAGACGTTCTTCGATGGTTGGAATGCTCGACCCATTCTTGATGGTAACTTTTTTGCTTGATTTGGTTGCTGAACCCGGATGAGAATTATTATTTGTCTCTGTCGTTGTGCGAGGCATTAATACAACTAAATCGCACGTAACGAGTAGTGAACTTTCTAATCAATCATGGCGAATCATTCTAGGTGAGACTGTCATGGAAACACAATGTGACTTGTTGTTGTAGGCGAGAAACTGTTTTTAAATTAAAAGAAAAGCCGAAAAAGACTGAGGTATCGAATTTTTCGGAACTAAATTTTTCCTTCTTTTCTTTCAAACTGACCTCTTTAACTGTGATTGGTTGAAAAATTGAAGTTCGATGAGTCATGACCTACAATGTCCAGAGAAAAAGGAAGAAAGAACGAACGAACGAACTTTCACTCACTCACTCACTCACTCACGCGACGAATTATTTACCAAGATGATGGGGGATTTTTATCCAAACAATGATAGTATATTTAATGAAGCACAAAGACTTGTCGAGAGATTGAGTGATGACGAGTTGAAAAATTTGATGACCAATGATGCTGAGGTGACAAAATTCGTTCAAAAGTTACCCGAAGTAGGTATCGTGACTAGTTTCTTCCGCTTTCAAACATTTGCCATTGATTAGGTTCAAAGATTGGAAAGTATTCGAGAAAGTTTGAGAGAAAATAACAAACGACTAGCTGAAGAAAATCTGCAACAACAGCCGAACTTGGCTCACGAGAAAAAAAAACTCGCCGAAATACACGAACAATTAAGAAAAATGAAAGAGGAATACAACAATATACGAACACAATATGGTAAATAGCTGAATCATTTTCTCAAAATCTTCATCGATTGGATTCATTTTTTTCAGACGATCAAGGAAGTGAGACAAATCCAGAGATCGCTTATGTTCTCTTACAGACAGCGGCATCAGACTTGGAGCGAAAAACCGAAGTACGTGCCGAATGTGTTTTTCTTACTAATAAGACGAGAAATTTCATTTATCTGATTTTTTAGCAAACAGCTGAGGATTTTTTCTATGGTGGAAAAACCGAAGATGAAGTAACAGATTTCGAACGTCGTTTTATCGAAGATCGAAAACGTGCGCATGAATTAAAGATCAAAGCCGACAAATTCCAAGAATTACTACATGTTGCCCAATCTACTAGTAATTTGAATTATAAACAGCCTTCCCGTACCAGTGGCTACCTTTAGAAACAAAACATCCTTCAACCTATTTATTTGTTTCATTCTTTAGTATTTTAATAAAAGCATTAACAACGAATGTTTTCACGTGCGTACATTTAACTTTCTCCACTAGTATGAACGCATGTAACGTTTTTTTTACTTTACTTGAAGCAGTATAATCACGTATCTATAAGATATTGTATTTCAGATAAAACTCATGGTGGAAATTCGCCAAGAGATCGACTCCGACCGAAATGAACTATTTCAAATCCATCAGGATGCGTTTCAACGTGATGATGAAGCACAACTAGTAGACAAACTTCGACAAAACGTACAGTACAACTTCAATTTATCATTTATTGCCTTAGTAAAAAAGAAGATCGTCGGACATCTTTTGTTCACCCCATTACAAATCAATTATCCGACCAGTGGTAAATCAATCACAAGTCTTGCACTTGCACCCATTTCCATCTTGAGTGATTATCAAAGACAAGGGATAGGAAGTAAACTAATCGAATATGCATTGCATGAATTGAAAGCACAGGGTTACTCGTCGGTGATTGTCCTCGGTCACGAGCATTATTATCCAAAATTCGGTTTTCTACCCGCGAAAAAGTATCATATCCGTGCTCCTTTTCCACTTGCAAATGAGGATTGCTTTTTGGCACTAGAATTGGAAGCTCAGGCGTTACCTTTACATGATGGAGAAGCTACAGTGCAATATTTGTCAGAATTTGGAATATAATCATTTTACTGATTTGTAGATTGTTTTCTTTCTTTTCTTGAAATCATCACTATGCCTGTAACAAAGCGGTAGGTTGATGGACTTTGTTTTCTCTTCTACAATATTTTCAATTCGATTTAGTACTTCAAAGATCGTGTTCTACAATGAACTGGATGATGACGATGGTAAGTATTCCGTTATCAATGCTGATGAATAGTTGTCAGAGATATACTATCTAGATTTCATTCCAATTGTCGATAGTACGAAAAAGAATCGGAATAGTAAAATAAGTGAATTAAAAGAAACAAGCAAACAATTAGCAAAAACACGTGAGGAGAAGTTAGTTTAATTTTCATTGACTTTGTCGTATATCAATCGGTAATTTCCTAGAATATCTCCATTCGAATCACAAGAACCTGTGTTAATTCTTGAACCAGTCAAACAGCCAATCATTGTCGTTGAAGAAAATCCGATTTCTACTAGTCAATCGTCGTCGGAGAGTATCCCTGATGTGGATGAAGAACACGAAGATTTGTCACCGAAGACAAAGCGAATGAAGCATGAGGATGTCATAGAAGAAAATGAATCGGATCATGAAAATGAAGCACCAATTTCTAAGAATGGTAATTCAACGATCTTCTCCATTCTCCTCCTATATTTGTTTCTTCAGAACTTTCACTAGTTGATCATCAGCCACTTCGAAGACCGGAGCTTCCAGCACGACGATCTTCTGCTCCATTAGGTTTTCCAACCAGTAAGATTAATATTCCATCACCGCATGTTTCTCGTGTTGGTTTATCACGTAAATCTGTTACTCTCAAACCTCTTCATCCTAAGTTCACTCCGCGTGCTTCTAATGAATAATATTTTGTTGTGTTTTCGTTTGTGTCTTGAATGTATTTATATTGTACAGCTATATATATATATTGTTTTCATATAAGAATGATCAATGAGATTGTGATTAGTATTGTTATTGATACTTCTAGATACATATTTCAAGAACTCCATGCCATGACCACACTCGATACATCAATGGAAAATGAAGAAAATCAACATGGTGACCTAACAACAGTTAAATTTTTAATACATTATCAACAACAGGCAACGGTTATCTATTTACCATATAATTTAACATTAGAATCATTTTACAATCATTTATGTTCAATATGTCAATTAACTTTGGCCAACCCGCCCACTTTCACAATTAAATGGCTAGATGAATCCTTAGATGCAATAACAATGTCAACTCAACGAGAATTGAACACTGCAATACGTTTGTATAATAAAAATTCCAACAAGGAGTTACACATTCATGTTTTTCCTAATCGACCTGAGGAACCTGGACTTCTATGTCCAGGCGAAGATCCACTCATTTACCGACGAGGTGCGCGTCGCTGGAGAAAGTTATATCTTATCAATGGACATCGCTATCAGGCGAAACGATTTAGTACAACAGCTGCTTGCACTGTTTGCAATGATCGTTTATGGGGTCTAGGAAGGCAAGGTTACAAATGTTTGGACTGTCGAGTAAGTTATCAGAATTATGTGAATATACGATAAGTATCGTTATTGAAAATAGGTTCTTGTACATAAACGTTGTGTTAAACAACTACGTCTCGTCTGCGGAAGCACCTCACCACAACATACGAAGTTGATCGATACGAATGGTAGACATGCATCTGCTGGTAATACAACGAATGAAGTTCACGAACAAATTGACCGCTATCGACCAGCTGGTGCTAGTGTTATGAATTCACGAGATCCTATGACAAAACAAAAAATGTCGAATATTTCTGAGCCTGGCCCATTGAAGAGAGCTCAAGGTAATTGAAGAGACTAGATAGTTTTATAGGAAAATAATGATTATGAATATTCAGGTTTTGCGGATCTTGGACATAATCCAATTGATGATCCAAGCGGTGCTAATAGTAATTATGTTGATGCAGGATCAGATATGCAAACATCAACATCATCGTCTCCAATGATAAGTTTACAAGATTTCGAATTACTCAAAGTTATCGGTCGTGGTTCGTATGCAAAAGTTTTCCTGGCTGAATATCGACCGCGTCATGCACGTCAAAGTGGTCAAACACCTCGTCTTTATGCGATGAAAGTAATTAAAAAGTCGATTGTTAACGATGATGAAGATATCGACTGGATTCAATGCGAAAAAAACGTTTTCGAAAAAGCTACCAACCATCCATTTCTAGTTGGTCTTCATTCGTGCTTTCAAACACCATCGAGACTCTTTTTCGTTATCGAATTTGTCACTGGTGGTGATCTTATGTATCACATGCAACGGCAAAGAAAATTGCCTGAATCAAGCGCAAGGTTAGCGAATGACAACGAGCTTTACCAGAGATTTCATTCTTCTTGCTTTCAGATTCTATGCAGCAGAAATAACAATTGCATTACATTTTCTTCATGAACATGGAGTTATCTATCGTGATCTGAAATTAGATAATGTTTTACTCGATGCGGAAGGTCACATAAAATTAACTGATTATGGCATGTGTAAAGAAGGTTTAGATTTTAAACGCGATGAACGTACCAGCACATTTTGCGGTACACCGAATTACTTAGCACCGGAAATGTTACGCAATCATGATTATAACTTTAGCGTCGATTGGTGGGCACTTGGTGAGTAAAACGAAGATTTTTTAATGATAGTTTATGTTTGAAATGATTCTGTTTAGGTGTACTAATGTTCGAAATGATGGTTGGTCGTTCGCCATTCGAAATCGTCGGCTCGGCAGAGAATCCTGATTTGAATACTGAAGATCGATTGTTTCAAGTTATTCTTGAACAATCCATACGTATTCCCCGATCGTTAACCGTTCGCGCCAAGAATGTTCTCGATGGTTTTCTCAATAAAGATCCACGAAATCGTTTAGGTTGTCGCTACGACCCGACATTAGGTTGTCGTGCTGGCTTTCAAGATATTTGCTTGCATCCATTCTTTCATCCAGCCATCGACTGGCAACGATTAGAATCGAAACAAATCGTCCCACCTTACAAACCAATGTTAACCGAAGGTCGCGATCTGTCACATTTTGATCCTCAATTTACTAACGAAGATGTGGTTTTAACACCTGAAGATGAGCAAGTTTTAGCTCGTATTCAACAATCAGAATTCGAAGGTTTCGAATATGTTAATCCTTTGATCATGACTGTGGAAGGCAATGTCTGATAGTATGATGTAGTTGATCTCTTTGTCTCATTACCGTTTTTTGTACATTCCAAATGGTTAACCTCTCTTCTCTTTGTTGTTTTCTTTTTTTTCTCGGGAATACTTACATATCAAAGTCGAATTATGTAGTCAACTGTTTTTTTTTCGCGTCCTGTATTTAATACATGTTTTTTTTTGTATCAGATGATAACTGGTTAATCTAATCAAATAAATAATAATTAGTGTTGAGCTTCAACAGGTTGACTGATATTTCTATCGCGAAAACTCACAATAGACTCAACTGATTCACGTTATGATAGAGTGAAACTTTACGCGCCTACGCTTTCTCTCATTCTGTGTTTATAACGGTGGTGGCTGACTGATTAACAAGATACTTTGTAATTACACAACGTGAATATAAATGCAAAATAAGTTGAGGTACATCAATGAAATAAAGATGCGAGCCGCGATTCTGAGTCACAATGTTAACTCACTGCTAATGAGCCTGAAGCATAAGCATCGGTCTTTCGGGACCACGGCTCAGGATTAAATCGATACTCGTACCTTTTTTTAAATTTCTTTTACCGACACATGAAAAAGTAATCCAATGGTTAGAAGAATTTGATAGACACTAGTCGGTTGTTTTTAGCTAAGAATGATATTTTTCTGATCAATGTTGATTGAGTATTTATTTACAAATCAACGAAGTATATTAAGATTGACGTCTCTCTGAGCATCAATTAAAACCGATGCTGTTCGTTTTTGTTTTTTCAGTTCTTCGGCGTAAATTCGTCGAAGAATTTGAAATGCTTCTAACGAAGCGTAAGGCATTTGTGTTAATGGGTCGAAATATTGCGCAGGCATGCCAGTGACTGGACATAAACGACGACGACGACGATTGGAAGTATTTAGTGTCGAGAATGTGTCATTATACGTTTGCAAATGCGTGAATGAAATGAATGTCCTCGAGCAACGATCTGAATTTGGTTCTAATTGGTAATTCTCGTCGAGAATATCATTCCATTGATCACTCATAGGCTCGTTTACAATCGTCATTGAACTTGTGCAAATGCGTGGACATTCTTGAATTAATTTCATACGTTTAGTTTCTTTTTTCTTCATTTCAATTTGTTGATACGCCTCTAGAAAAATGATTTTGTTGAAGATTGTTGTCTACTGTATCTTTAAGCGGAATATTTACCTAATGATTCTAAATTGATTTCCTCTAAATGAATAATATGGAGTTCAGAATTTCGATCCGATTTGTTTGCTTTGATTTACCTGTTATTTTCGCTTCTTCGAGTAACTCTTCTTGAGTTAGTTTCCGCACTTCACCAGTATTACGTAGAGATGCAACACCTTTGAGATATTTACGACGTTCCTGTCGTTCTTTTTGACGTTTTTCGAGTTCAACACGTTTGACACTAGTAGAATTACGTAATGTTTTCGCTTCTAAATCATCGGACACGAAGCTAAACAATAATCAAGCAAAAGATTCGATATTACCAATTTTGGGTGCATTCGCTTTTTTTTGTTGTCGTCGAGTTAGTTTTGATTCGCCACTTTGTTCTTGTTCTTCTTTTTTCTGCGCTTTTAACTATGAAGAAACTAGATCATTGACCCACAAGAAAATCGATGATGAATTCGTTTACTTCTTGTTGAAGACTTTGTGCTTGATAGACAACCTTCTTTTTCTTCGGCTTGCTCGTTTCTTCGTCATCACTACCATCATCGATTTTATGTTTCTTATTCACATTGCTTTGATCTTGATTTTCTTCTTCTTGCTGTTGTTGCTCATCTTCTTGATCGAAATCGGAGTCGACAACATCCTCTTCTGAATCTTCAGAACGATAATCATTATCTTCATCTTCCTAGTGTTAAACGTACGCTCTAATCATCGTGAGAACAAAAGAAACTATTCTTACGTCAACGAAGCCACCATATGCTGTACCATAAAATTCATCGTCAGGATCTTCTTGCTGTTCAAGCAAACGCTTCAGACGGTTACCAGCTGTTTGACGACGTTCTCGTTCAGCAGCGAAACTCATTTGAATATCTTAGATAGATGATTGAATGAATGTATTGTGTTGTGTCGTGTAATTTGAAAGATCGATAAAATATGGAACTGTTATTGACCAATCCTATTCGTTGACCGTTGTGTTCGGACGACATCTACTAGTTCGGTTATAATTGGTAACGATTTCGCTTTCAGAACGAACTGAAACAGTATATACAAAGATCTTCGAGTTCGTTTTTCTAGAAAAGCATGCCACCGAAAACGAAAACACGTGAATCAATTAATGAAAAAGAAAATGCTTCAACGACCGAAGCACCAGCCGCAGTTACTGCTGCACTTCAAGCAAACGACAGTGTATCGATCGACTCTGAAGTTGGCGGACCAACGCCCATAGGCAAACTGGACAAATCATGTGGTATCGGTACTGCAGATATTAAGAAACTACAAGAGGCAGGATTTTGTACAGTGGAATCGATCGCTTTCGCACCACGGAAAAGTCTTTTAGCTGTCAAAGGTATCAGTGATGCAAAAGCCGATAAGTTAGCGGTTAGTTTTTTCGTCAAAGAATGAATTATTAAGACACAGAAGAATTGATTTCAGGCTGAAGCAGCGAAACTTGTTCCAATGGGTTTCACTACTGCAACTGAGTATCATCAAAAGCGTTCCGAAATCATTCAATTAACAACTGGCTCCAAAGAACTTGATAAACAACTGCAAGGTGGTTTTGAAACAGGTTCGATTACTGAACTTTACGGCGAATATCGTTGTGGTAAATCTCAATTATGTCATCAAGTTGCCGTTACTTGTCAAGTAAATATATTCCATAGACAAAACTCATCCGATTTATCTGTACTACTTAGTTACCGATCGATATGGGTGGTGGAGAAGGAAAAGCAATCTATATTGATACTGAAGGTTCATTTCGTCCAGAACGCTTACTAGCTATTGCCGAACGTTACGGCCTTTCCGGTCAAGACGTACTAGACAATATAGCGTATGCGCGTGCCTATAATACTGACCATCAAATTCAATTACTATACATGGCAACAGCAATGATGTGTGAATCAAGGTGCACGCAGCGGTTTTGTTGTCTCGAATGTATATAAACTTTTGTGTATCTAGATATGCAGTACTGATTGTCGATAGTGCCACATCACTCTTTCGAACAGATTATTCTGGTCGTGGAGAACTAGCAGCAAGACAAATGCAACTAGCAAAATTCATGCGCATGCTATTACGTATTACCGATGAGGTTTGTACGATTTCCATGTTCATCTTGAAAATACGTGTATATGCATCTTAGTTCGGTGTTGCTGTCATACTAACAAATCAAGTTGTCGCTCAAGTTGACGGTCAAGCTATGTATGGCGATCAAAAGAAACCAATTGGTGGAAACGTAATGGCACACGCCTCCACAACACGGTAATATACCGACCGATTGTTTTACGAGTTAGATGGTTTTGCTTTTCTAGACTTTATTTAAAGAAAGGCAAAGGTGATTCACGTATCTGTCATGTAGCTGACAGTCCATGTCTACCTGAAACAGATGCAATATTCGCCATTGGCCCCGAAGGAATTGTGGATGCAGCACCTAAAGATCTTTGCTAATTTGTATATAGATGTATAAGATTATTAGAGCGAAATTTTCACTAGATTCTTATCAGATTACGAAATGAGTTCCAACAAGTGTGCAGATATTTCATTTATTCGATAATGTATTGTGCTTCTTTCTGTTTACAAAGATTTTTGAAAATAAATTTTTTATAGGGAAAACATACAAAGATTATCAAGATCTGTCATACATAAAGTAAAAAGATTACATCAAAGATGTCCGTGATGTGCACCACGCGGAGGGACAAAGCATGCTACTGTAGGAAGTTTAAAAATGCTTTCTCGCTTGTATAGAATTAAACAATCATAAAACATTTATGTCATTTGACTCTCTCACAGTCATGAGAGCTTAAGCGAAGCGTTGAGAGCACGAGCAGAGTTCATAGAAAAACGGCATGAAATAAGCGATACTTTAATAATTCTAGTCTTATTTCAAACATATCTAATTTGTGTAATGGCTCAGAAAAACGTGCGTCTTGAGAATTATCTTCGTTCAATGACTATGAAAAGGGAAGTTCGTTGACAGAGAATGCAGTTCTTAGTTAACTCAATAGCATTTGAGCTGAAACTAAACAACAAGCGATATGTCAGCAAACAGTACAACACGGAACGGTCTCTCAACAGAATCTTGGATTGTCGGTTATTACTCATTATTTCTAACAATTATTGGTACAATTCTCAATCTTTTCAGTTTTATTATCCTCTATCGAGCACCATTTCGAAATGGGAACAATAGAGGAACTCTGCATTATATGCGTACAATAGCTATATTTGATATCTTAATGTTATACGGGTGGAATCTTGATCATTATCTAGCACAAATATATGGTCTTACTCTTTTAAGATACTCTGTACTTTCTTGTAAAGTTGTAACTTTCGTCAGCTATTTTACTGCCCAAGTATCTGCATATCTTCGTGTTTTCATTTGTATTGATCGTTATTTTTCACTCAGTCGAATTCGCCCAGTTTGGATTCATCGACCAAGAAACACTCTCATTATTATCGCCTGTATTATCATATTAGTATTATTGCTAAATTTCCACATTCTCATCTTTGTTTGTTACCAAAAAATAAATGGCTCTGTTGCTATTGGTGCTCAATATTATAGATTCTATCCATTATGGGATTATGTCAATCTGGGTGTGTACAATTGCGTTCCATTCATACTGATGGTCATTTTCAATAGTGGAATTATTCATCATTTAATTCGAGTTCGCCAGACAAGAATAATACGTAATTCACGTTTGAATCATCGATCGATTACAATTACATTAGTTATTACCACGTCTCTGTTTCTTATTATGACAATACCAGCGACAGTGGCTTTTGCATTTTTTATTCGATCAGATAAAACCATTCTGAGGTTTCTTGATGGAATTTTTTACACGTATCATATCTCATCATTTCCATTGTATATGTTCACCTTTCATGAATTTCGACAAGAATGTGTTAATGTATTGCGATGTAGAAAACCCTAGTAGCCATGAATCCTACTGTCGATAAGACAAAGTTTTCATTGTTGTCAAAATAAAAATCTTCTCTCGTAACAAACCGATCTTGGTCTTAGTTCATACAATTCTTAAAATTGGTTATAGACTGCGCCGAGAAAAATAGACGTTACTTATTGAAGAAAGAAAAGATGAGTGCCTTACATGTTTGTAAGGCAAAAGTCCTTGAGACATATCATTTCATAACTGTAGAATTTATAAAAAAGATATTTGAGAATGCTCTATTAAACGTGACGAACTGGTTATAGCGAAAAGACGTCGGTTCAATAATATTTTCTAGTTGTACTTGACAGTTATTTTTATATATATCAAACATATCGAGAGCAAAAGAAATATAACCCACGAGTATACGATTCGGGTTGTTGAAGAAAAACAAAGAAAAGAGAAAGGATGAATTACATCAATAGGAAAGAAAAAGTACAAATTGCCTTTTTTCTTAATGTGGAGGCGGCGGTGGTGGAGCACTTTTCGGTAAAGGTGGCACAAAACCGCTGTTGTTATTTTGGTAATATTGTTGCTGTTGGTAAACGCTTTGATAATACATGGTGTTGTACTGATTCCATTGACTCCACTGCTGTTGTTGAGGATTGGACCACGATGATGACGAGTTCGTGTTATTATTACCTCCCCCATTCTCCATCAATGCTGGAATATGTTGTGCACGATATGAATCGCCTTCAATGTACGATGAATAGTTATTGTTACGATTATTTCGTCGAAGGAGATAATGACCGTCGAAGACGTCATTGTTATTATATCGAGGACCAGTGTTACTCCAGTAACTTGATGTTGATGACGACGACGACGATGTCAATGATGATGATGATGAAGGTGGTAGTGGAGGCTGTGAAGAATTCGATGAATTCGAACTGGGATTGATCGACATCAAGGATGGTGGATTCTAAAAAGAGAAATATATGAAGTGAAGACGCAAAACAATCGATCACTTACATAACCATTACTGAGATTATTGGATGTGTTATTGAAGGATGTCTGTGTCGGAAGTGTATTATTTGCTCCGGTCGTCGCGCCTGCAATTGCCAACGTTGGTCCACTTGTTCTTGATCCGCTCATTAAGCCCTTTCGATCCTCCAACGACAAGCCATTTGCATCCGAGTCCTTTTTACCTGTTAATTCGTTAATTAACGATTGGTACTAGAATATAAACAACATATTTGCTCATTCCCTCGTGCATTCATAGCTTATGAACACCTACTTCGCAATCAAGTTTCTGCTGTTCAACACGATTGGTTCCAGGAAGCATCAAAGATCCATCCGGATTCAACTCAGCATAGGTACCATCTGGATTTTTACGAAATTTACAATCACCTGAAACATGTCCAGCTCCACCACATACTGTACAGATTATAGTATTTGTCACGATCTTTTCCGCTTCAGTCATTAATTTCAGTTTACTAAAATGAAAGAATCGTTTAAAGCACGAACCAACAAAACGAACGCATCATTTACATGAGACAGTCATTTTCCCGCAATGTGCCATGAAGTAAAGCTAATTCTCTTAATTGTTGTTTACGTAATTCATTCATGCCTTCAGGTTCGTCAATAGCTTGATTGATTATTTCATTGACTTTTTCTACGGCTTTAGCGACAATCTCGGGCGATGTGCCAGTGATATAAGCATGCAATGGCTCATCTTCGCCAGGTAACGGACCAAATTTGACTAGACCCATCTTGCCATCTTTGATTGAGCCTTTACCTAGAAAAACATGAGATTGTACTTTGCAAAGTCCATGTGAATTGAGTCGTATACCTCTAATGATAATTTTTGCATTAGTCTGAAAGATGAACCGAAAAAGATTGTTTTTTTCTTTACAGATGTCAATACGTGATCAGTTGTTTTTACCTCTTTTTCTAATGTTTTCAATGTATTACCACGTGGTCCAATAATCAGCCCAACGAAATTAACCTCCGGGTGGTCTTCTTGTGGAATCATGACTTTATCGATATATTTTGCTTGTTGTGGCCTAGAATGGAACTCACAATGACAATTCAATCAAATTACTGAAAAGAAAACATACTTATAATCGGCAGGTGCTTTGTAATCAGGATTGATTACCAACATTTCGGTGACAAGTTGATGCCGTTGATCTTCGAGTTTTCGTCTGGCGCGCACTTCGCGTGTATTTTGTCGTTTGCCTTGTTGATCATAGATGGGTTCAGGTGATGGCGATCTAAAACAACAAGAATACACAGTTAATTCTTTCCTGTTAGCTCGTCTTCGTTTTACTACATAAAAATAATGAAATTTTATATTCCATCGTGTAGTATACGGAACTAGAATATAAGAGACGATTAGAAATTCACCTGAAAGAAAAAATGATTAGAGAGGGATTTAGAATATAAATATATGTTTATTGGTACGCTTTGCTTTGGTTTTTTTTTTCAAATAATCTCACCTTGCGATATCGCTTGACGTTCAACGTCACACATAGACAGGAGAAGATGACTAGAAAAAGGAAGAGGATTTTATTATTAGAGGAAATGAAAACATGGTGGGAACAGCACTTCTGTCCTGTATTCGGTGCGTTAGAAGGAGAATTCGTGGCACTAAAGAAAACAAAAAAAAGAGAAAGGTTTTTCTTCGACATCAGCTAACTTGGAATCGATACTCAGAGCAAGAGAGAGAGAGAGAGAGAGAAAAAGAAAGACGAAAGATGGTTTTCCGATTAAGAAACAAACAACAAATGGCATTTCGATCATATTTACCTTGCTTCCGCATTTGCAGGAATACCTAAATCATTCATTTTCAAACGACGGGTTAATTCTTCAATTTGAACTTGCACTAAAAATAAGAAAATACTGACATGTAATCCGAGTTTCGCATAGCCAATTCCTTACGGATATAAATCTTCTGTTGTTGTTCGCTCATATTACTTGTCGAAATATTCGTTGGCATGTTTGGCAGAAAAACTCGTTCTGTTTCATCACCGAATCGTCGTTTGCGTTTCTTCATGCTTGCAATATTGGTTCCATTCGCGTCGGCTAGAAAAGATGAATCCAATGAGAAAAAAATCCGTCAATTCAAATCCTTCTTCTTACCGGGTGATTGATCGCCTTTGGGCGACTGCGTTTTGTCATCGTCTTTGACATCTAGTTTAGCCAAGACTGATGGAGGTACCATTACTGATGGTAGTTTTGGTTTATATACGGAACTGTTTCCGTTTTCATTTGTTGATCCTTCTTCTTTTTTGATGGAGACATTCACCGATCGTGGTGAACCTTCGTCGCTAGATCTACGAGAACGTTTATGACTTTTTTTATGTCGTCGAGATGGACTTCGGCTACGTGAATGAGGACTTCGTGATGGCATGACTTATAAGAGGTTAGTTTCAAAGTGAACTGTTTTGTCAGAAAGGGCAACAAGTAATTGACAAAGATAGAAATAATATTTTATCGTTTCTTTCATCACACCCGTGTAATCGCCTCCTTTATAAAAGCAGACGAATGACAGTAAGAAAAACATCTTTCGATAGATGTCGTCCACAGATCGTGTTGAGCAATCTCGTCTTTAGCCGATTGAATTGCATTAAGTGATCTTTGCTTAGTTTTGACATTCTTAAACATACGTTTTCCATCAATTTTACTGGTAAATCCCATTAGTACAAACTGAGAACAATGTGTCGACCGTATCAGTAGCGTCATCTACAAACGATGTCTGGCATTCGAGAAGATACACAATAATACTTGTTTCTCATTGGTTCAAAACGATCTCCATTCATTGTTCGTTCATTGTTCTAACGACCTTTTGTCTTGTTTGTTGTTGTTCTCTTCTTGTTGCATCGTCCATAGACCTCGAAAGCAGCTGATAAATCTATATTTTATTCACAAGATGCGTAACAAATCAGATAATTAATTTCAATCAAATCCAACATGAGTGAAGATACGGGCAAGTCACCCGTTGAACAGCCTGTCTCCTCGTCAACGCCGAATTCCGAGATCAAAGTTTTCTATTACATCGATGATCAAGATCCACCCTATCTCACCAAATTGAGTGTCACTGGCACACCATGTTTGAGAGATTTCAAAAATGCCCTCGACCGGAATTGTTCGAAATATAAATTTTTCTTTGCAACAAATGATCCATCGATTGGAAAAGTCAAAGAAGAAATTGTTAATGACGATCAGGTTCTTCCATTCGATACAACAGATCGTGTCCTTGCTTATTTGGTATCCATCGAAGGTAGTACAACATCAAGTGGTGGTGGCGGCAGTGGAAGTAAACAAACGAAACATCCTCATCATTTTCGTGATGATACTATGTTAACATCGACAACAAATAGTTCCTTCAATATTCAACAACCACGTTTGCAACGCATGAGTCGACGCTATGCATCGGCAAATAGCGCTGACTACCAGAAATACTTCGGGAAACCGCGAGCGGCTAATGATGCCTCTTCGTTTCCAAGTAGTGATTTGGAGTCAACAACATTTCTCGATGAAACTGAAGATGACAGGTGAGGTGAATGATGGGAAACGAACATGAATTTTATCTTTCTGTTGTTGTAGATATTCTACGGTCACAGATTCAACAACTATATCTTCGCGGTATCATGGTCGGAATCGACCTCGACGCAGAAAACACCGCTTACCATCGGGACTCGATCGAGTAAATTGACTGATTGTTACCAATTTCTCTCAAATTCCAATATACTTTTTAGGCATCATCATTCAGTAGTTTGAATTCTGATTCAACAATGACATTAAATATTATTACGGTTACTCTTAACTTAGGTATGTATCTGTCTCGGTAGTTTGACCTAGTCGTCACTGAAACAAATGAATCCATGTTTAGATGCAGTCAATTTTTTGGGTATTAGCATTGTTGGTCAAAGCGATAAGACAGGATCCAGCGATGGAGGAATATACGTTGGCTCAATTATGAAAGGGTATGATAGTTTGATTTCCAATGAGAAGGATATCACTACATATCTATGTTATTTAGTGGTGCCGTTGCTCAAGATGGTCGAATTGAACCAGGTGATATGATTCTTCAAGTCAATGATATTAGTTTTGAAGGTTTATCCAACGATGATGCAGTCAAAATCTTACGTGAAACTGTTCAAAAGCCTGGGTATGCTTTTCCTATCTGTGTTTTCATATTTTTGACATTGTTTTCCATTAGACCGATTAAATTAGTGGTAGCGAAATGCTGGGATCCGACACCTCGAGGTTACTTCACTTTACCTCGTCATGAACAAGCACGTCCTGTCGATCCTCTCTCATGGCTTGCTCATACCCAAGCAGTGCAAAATACCTATAACAATCCTCAACAACAGGTTTTACTTCATCATCGCCAATCAGTTCTTAATTCGACAACAAATATGAGTTCAACAATCTCAAGTACAAATAACACAATGATCGATAACGAACGTATGTTGTCGCTAGCAGCTATTGGAAAATCAATTGTATTTTGATTGTTTAGGTTTTGGTCTCGATCTAAATTTGACAATCAATTCAGATATGGATACGATTGTACGAGCTATGGCAGAGCCTGATTCGGGTTTAGATATACGTGATAGAATATGGCTTAAGATGCCTATACCGAAATCATTTCTTGGTAAATAATCATTTGCGAAAGAGATGAATAGATTTTAATGAGACTCGCGAAAATTTAGGTTCTGATTTGGTTAATTGGTTATTTGAAAACGTCGATGGATTTGTTAATCGAAACGATGCAAGAAAATACGCATCGTCCATGCTCAAAGCGGGTTATATTAGACATACGGTTCATAAATTAACCTTTTCTGAACAGTGTTATTATGTTTTTGGCGATATTTATTCACAAGGTAAAATCAACAAGATTTTCTTTTCAATCAAACTACATTCTTCCTCATTTAGGTCTCTCGCAATTAACACTTGATGAAGAACCGGAAGATTATGAATCTGTTTCCGATCATACAAATACTACCGATCGTCGTAGTGGTGATTCCTTATTAACAACAACAACCTCGCGACAAAATACGGTTACAACATTCGGCTTCGTCGACAAAAACAACGCTCCATTGCAATCACCAACTCAATCATTTCTAACTGATACGCATCACTCAGGTAAGATTGAACTGACATAAACAGCAAACGAATTTGACGCGAGAAAACATCTATTAGTTATACGGAGTCAGTGCACATTTTCTGTATCTTGTACTTAGTTATGTTCGTGAAAAATTCTCATTGTCGACATCTTTCATGTATCAATCCCATGGCTTTGTGCAATAGCAATGATGATAATGATTTGACAACATGTTCATCGCCTATCGATGTATAATCTCATATATATATACATTTATATATATTCAGCATTTGTCAGATATATACATATAAAACGATGCTATGAAATCTTCATTTTTCTGCTATGTGTGATATAAATTTTGTCTAATAAAATGCCAAATCCCATGTATTTTTTCATGTTTTTTTTATTGATATTCATCTTCGTTTCCTTTCTAGGTACACTAGGCACAAAATCGTGTTCGACATCAACGAGTAGTGGTAGTGAAACACGTCATTTAGTTGATGTTCCCAACAAATTACGTTCAAGCAAAGAATCGTTTCAACGTGCGATGACCAATCCATTACCTCGAGAATTCTTTGTTGATGTTATGTAATCAAAAGCTCTTTTTTTCTTCGTTTTGTCAGATAATTAACAAACAAATTTTTTCGCTTTTGCTTTTCTTTTTCTATGTACAAAGTTTCTGTGTGACTACTCTTCATCGTAGCATTCGAATATTTGTGTAGAAAGATAACAATCTATATTTAATCTCCGTCTTCCCCATCCATTTTTCTTCTCGCACTATTTTTCTTGGTCGCGCGCTTGCCTTATTCTTGAACAAAGATCAATTTTGTTTCCTCTTGGAATAATAAATATAAATAGAAAAAACGTCGTTTCAATTACACTTTCTCGATACAAATAGAGAAGAAAAATGCATTGATACTTTATATTAACTATTCTAGATGTTTACTAGCCTTCTTTTGGCCAATCTTCTCTTTCTACCATGCCTTGTTTATAGTAACTGCTACTCAAAGTCGCCACAGGTATGGATCTGTAATAGCACAAGCCGTCCAACTACACAGTTCGATTATCAAACAGTATTAACTAGTCCTCAATTGGAAAAGTTTTTTCTCCGCAACTACCGCCTATCAGAATTGAAAATCGTTGATTATTCACCGACACTCCGTTTATTAAATGCAAGTAATAATCAGTTTGAGACAGTCATTCTCACGTCGAAACATCGTGACACATCAGTTCTTCGTCAGCTAACCCTTCAGTCAAACAATATTCAACGATTGAACATTGATACTTTCGTTGTTCCACAATCAGTTGAAATTATTTCATTAGCAAATAATCGATTGGAAATTCTCGATGCACGGATATTTTCTCATTTGAAAAATTTAACTAAACTTGACCTGAGCAATAATTACTTGAAACGGATCCTACCGCGTCTAGTTTTGAATCTTAATGTTCTTCTGAAAAATAATCCACTTGAATGTCAATGCACACCGGAATTTTATCGCATCGTTTGTGAAAAATCAACCAATCTCAAACAATCGATGGATAGTAATAATTGTCTGGCACCCTACTTTTCATCGCAACTTGTCAGTACTCATTCTTTGCCTTATTTACGTTTCTCGACGTTTACTCTGACGTGTCCCATTGATGCCCAACCTCCTCCTATCATCATCTGGTCGACTCCATTCGGTAATCTGAGTTCAGCGAATTCTTCGCATATCGATCTCCTCTCATCGCCCAACGACGAACCCATCTATATTGTCTTAATTGCCTTAGCTGGTCCGTTTACTGCGCGCACACGTCATACCATACACGCGTCTGACACTAATCAATTAACAATCACCGAAGCGCGTGCTGGCTTACGACATTACATATCTTGTTCAGGAATCAATATGCTGGGAACGTATACATACGAATTCGATTTCGATATTGATCCTTATGGTCAAAAACATGCCCTTTGGAATATTATCTATACGATGGGCTTTGGATTTTTTATGGCTCTTGTAGCAGGCGCACTCTGTGTTACAATTAAACGTACATCATACTATTCGAACGATCTTTTACGAACACCACCAGTGTATCCAACGATGACAGTCAATAGTGCTGCACGCACGCCACCGAATTTCGAGTTAAATCAATGGTTATCAGTGGCTGCAGCGAATATCAGTGGAACGCTTGAACAAGTTCGAGATAGACTTCGTTCCGGTGTGCAACATGTTAGCGAACATATGGGACAAACGATGGGTCGTGCTTCAGAACTCTTTACCTATAGTGTGCAGCATGCCGGTGGAACGATTCGACATGCAGCTGAAACGTAAGTATTATCTCGGGAGCAAGCTTTGCTCCTTATCTACAAAATATCATTTCTTTCTTTCTTTCTTTAGATCTGCTGCCTACCTTCATTCATTTCGTGAAACAAGTCAACAACGTTTGAATACCATGCGTGTGCAAACAGTATCATCACTACGTAATCCAGGTAATCTAATGCGCGCAGGTATGAATATGTTAACGACACAAGTGAACTCATTGCGCGATTATTGCGGAGTGACTACTGGTCAAACGATTCCATCAAATTATCTAATACATCAACAACTACACCAAACCCAGCATTCGCCTGGTGTGATGTCATATATTCATCCACATTCTCATATGTTACCGATAACGGAAGATGATGAATCTCTGATCGAATCAACAGCGTTACTGTGTGCAACGAGTTCTACTCCGTATGTTGGACATACATCGGCAGTGTTAGTAGCTAATGCATCAGGTATCGGGCAACTCGACGCAGCGAACAGTTCGGCTTTAGTTGCATTGAATAATTTCAATCAAGATCAAAATCGTGACGTGGCAATGGATGGACAAATGACAAGTGGCATCGGAACGTTTCATGGTCAGGCTGATGAACTGATCAGTGAACCAGAACGGTTAATCATCTACGGTGCACAACGTCCCGTTTGTTGAGAGGAAGAAGATCTTTCATCAGATGCTTTAAGCTAGCTTCTTAATTTATTTATGTCAGTATAGATATGCAGTACTCTGGAGGTTGTATTTGGTCTTTCGTATCTTATTTCCATGTTCGTATTATCTTCAAAAATCGATGAACGCTTTCAATCCTAACTGCTATTGTTCAACTAGTTGTAGACAAATCAAAACTTCAGTAGGCAAACCAAGTGATGACACTTTACTAATCTTTCTTTTCTTCCGGTTTTTTGCACTATACAGAAAACATCATTTTAACAAAACGGACATATCTCTATTTTGAAGATATATCTCATTTAGTGTGATATAGATAGCAAAGATCTGTAACACGATAATTCAATAAAAAATTATTTTGTCTTTTAGTTCTTTCAGATGACAATGAACGATAATCTAGTCTCGTATTGCGCTGAAGGATAACGCTGACAGGTAAGTTAATTTCTACTTATAACTCATCGCTATTAGCATAGGTTAGAGTACTGAAGACTTCATGCCCGCCAACTAGCACTACTACGTCATCTTCTTGTCTTGTTTTAGGCTTGAAACCGAAGACATTTTGGTGACTGTAAATATCGTTATCGAAATCATCAGCAAATGCAAACATCATCTTCGATTGTACTCGATTTAGATCATACATTCGATAGCGAATCATTTCATGTTTTGCCTAATAGTAATCTTTCAATAACATTTCGTTTTTTACGGCCTGGTGATCAATCTGAAGTGAAATCCCTCTGTGTCGATTGGTTTCCAGTCGAATATCCTGACAAATGGTACGATGACATCGTTCACAACAAGAAATATTTCTCCTTAGCAGCATGTGATGTTTATACTCAGCAAATTCTCGGCCTAATCGTTGCAACTGTTCTTCCACTTGGAAGTTGTAATAATGAAGATCGTCAAATTCTGCATAAAATATTCTCCTTGACAACGTCCGTTTGCTACATCCTCATCTTAGGTGTTGTCAAAGAATATCGACGGCAAGGTCTGGCTAACCTTCTTCTCGAAAATCTATTGAATACATTAGCAAGATACGAAACATGTAAAGCTGTTTATCTACATGTTTTATATTCGAATAAATCAGCAATACAATTTTATCAATCAAAATTATTCCAATATCGCACACATCTACCGTATTATTATTTAATTAAAGGCGAACATTTCGATGCGTATTGTTTTGTTCGTTATATCAATGGTAAGGTTTGCATCGTACTGTGAAGAAATCGTTTAGAATTTACTTTTAGGTGGTTATCCTCCGTTTACTCTGTCCGACTTCCTGACGAATATGTGGATGCGTTTAACGAAAGCAAGTCCTTGTCGGTTGCTCAATACACTGAGATATTTTTTGGCAGATAGATTTTTGTTTCTGAATACTAATAAACGTTTATTATCATCTTCATCGTCGTATAAACAACTGTCGCGTATTGTCTAATTTTTCGATAATTTGTTTAACTATTCAATAAAAAGAAGATGGACTTATGATACCAACTGTTACATTTCACTAACAAATCAATCATCATATTAGTCGAAAGCATTAAAATATTAATGATACCGTGTATGTCAAAGGGATACGAATGACAGTCATATTAACTTTTAATTTCCTATTTAATGATTGACGGAAGCAGATCTAGCTATTGTTCGCGAAGGTTGACGTCAAATCATCTTTTACATCATAGGAGAAATGACAATCCTTCATGTTATCGAACATAGTTTAACGGAAGAATTCATTCGAATTTAATTATGCGACATGAAGATTACATGAAAGTAATGTTTTGAGAGTAATCATATACTGTCGATCATTCTCTATTCAACACGATTTGAACTTGCTTGAACACTTCTAAGTACATCAGGCACGCATTATTTTGTCTATCTGTCGGAGAAGTCTATGTTACAATTGAATAACTCAAATCTTTTTTCTGATCGAAAGAAGAAATGTTGATGATGCTTATTTGATTACGCAGCTAACGATACAGACGAACTTGGACGTTGCGTTTCCATGTACATTCTCCTGGAACTTATAAGATTAAGCGTTCGAATCGTCCGATACAGAAGTATTTCCTTCTATAGAACGTCATTGTAACCGATGATAGCTTTTCACAAATTGGTAAGTGAGACAGGATTGTCGAGTATGTCATGTGTCACATGAGACTTAAATCACTTTGATAAAAAATGATCGGAGAGAAATAGAGAGAGAGAAATGAGAATAGTGACAAGGCTTAAAAGCCTTTTAGAAACTCACTCATGTGTTCTTTTTTTCATATCTCGCAAAATGTAATTTGTTTCGTTAACTAGTTTGTCATTTTCTATTGAAAAACACGTCCATTACTTGTATGAAGAACGATTATTCAGTATATTTTCGATGTCGAGCAGTCATTTTCTTCTAATGAATGGTTTCTTTCGCTTCGTGTGCAACCTCGAGAAATAATATCATCTTTCGGATTTATTGAGACGAAAATAGTTAAAAGATAATTTGTTTTTCATGTACATACATACAAAAATGTCATCCGCACGATGTTTTCCCTTCGTTATACAGCACTACTCGGTCGATTTTGGCAAGGTTCGTGATGTACAGAGCCGAAGACGTTCAGTTCGAACAAGCACATCAATGTAATGACAGTAAGCCAAATTATGATTAAAAACACGCCATAGAGTTTCGTAAGACGACATCGATTGATAAAGAATGTTACAAGGAAAATAATTAATGCCACAAAAAGCACAATGGTTGAGTAGATTAAGCCCCGAGAGTGAATTTCAACGTAGAACGGAGCATTTGTTGATGGAATCGTCAAACTATTTTCCATCGATGAACCTGATGTTAGAGTATTCAGAACTGCATCGTGTAATAATGGCGGCGGTGGTTGATATGTAAATCGCATGAGATTACGAAACAGCCATGGTATACCTAAACCCATGAGGATGTCGAAAACGTTCGAACCAATTGAACCCGCTATCGCCATTTCAGGATGGCCGCGTCGTGTCATAACAATAGCAGAGAAAATCTCTTCTATTGATGAACCAACTGCTAAGATTGTTAAACCCATAATGCTATCTCGGATGTTCAATGTGTAACCAACAATGACAACGAGCCAGACGAGAAGATAGGCGAGACCAGCAACCTGAATAGAGAGAAGTCTATGAAAAGAAACTTCGATTTTTATTTCAATGTTCTCGTACCCAAATCGTTGACATGACAAATGTCAGCATGTAATAATTATGAAAAACTTCTTTTCGGCAATCAGGAATGGTGATGTGCATAAGTAATCGAACCGGATACATTAGAATCCATTTCAAAATCTTGTATTTCTTCGTCGGTAATTTCAATGGATCGAATATTTCAGTTGCATTTGCAACTATTTGATGATTATCCAATGTGTCTTTCAAACGTTTTTGACACGGTTTATATGTTGAACGACGTTGCATGTAATGATTACCCATAATCGTCGTTGCTGTATTCATCATAACCGATTCAGATACAGAACGAGGACGTAAGGCAAGATTTTGTTCGACATCACTACTATCATTCAATGATTGCAATTGTTCTAGATGATGCTCACTCGATTTCGTATGCGTTGAATTCGATGACGATGTTTTCCCATGCGTTAGGCGTGCTATGCGATCATTGAATTTCAGGATGGCAACGTAAACGAAATACAGCAGAACAAGTCCTAAACCCTCATACCAGTAAACTCGTTGATCATAGATAATGACAAGTAGAACAGCGACGGCAACACAGTAGAAGCCAGCATCTCGAACGATTGGATATGCATCTAATTGGCACACGGTTGTTGATATGAGTGCGCATAGGGCAATGACGAACAGTACGTTAAAAACAGCAGAACCGACGATTGTACCCACTTGAAATGGAAAGTATAGAAAAAATTAATGAATTTTTTTTTGAAGAAAAGAGTAACAAATTTACTTTCCTTCCGTCGTATGCTAGTGAAAACAAACTCAAAAAGCATTTCCGACATTTTCTCTCCGTGTAACACTAGTTTATTTGGAATTTGTTTATCAAAACTGATACTTACATGCAATATCTGATTTCACAAAGAAAACACCGACAATTGATGTGAAAAATTCCGAAGCCGACGTTGCCAATGCCATAAAAGTCGCACCAGCTACATCCTATAAACCAACGAAAGACTCAGCAATTTGCATTGTCCAAATAAAACTGATTTACCGGTGTTAGATTCAAATTATAACTGATTTTCTCTAGTGCGGATGCAAAGTAATCATCACAAACAATTTCAATTGCTGCAAATGAGTAGAGTATGAGCGCGATGTGAATCAAAACGCCACCTTGACGTAGTTGTTCAGTAGTAAAAAACAATGTCGGAAATTCATCAATCGATGCCGATTCACATTTGTTGCTTGCACTGATGTTAATTGAATCAATGGGTTTAATATCATTTATCAAAAGTGTATTCGTCGACGAGAAAAATATTTGAAATATAAGTCCAAAAAGACAGACTAATAAGATTTGACGTCGAATCATAATAAGTGGTGCACACGAAAGAATTTAATAATCTTCATCTATAATCAAGTGTAAATCATTTGGGTAATACATGAAAGTAACTTTGAGAAAGAACTTATCTCAACGATAAGTTCTTCGACTCGTCACCGATAGGGAAAAAAGGAACTTTTTTTCTTATTAATAATGCCATTTTTTTCTCATCGATGAGCATACAATAGTCTGCCGAGGTAAAGAGCCTTTCCTCTCCTTTTCAAATATCGTCCGATCCGATTTTTGGGGAAAATGACTCACTTACCTAGTAATATAATGATCAGTAAAATGGAGACGCATATATCTGCTCGAATGTTATAATCATCATACAGAAATGATTATTTTTTTCTCTTGCGATACTCTCGCTCTCTTCAATTTTTTCAGTTAACAGTTTGTCTCTGTCTCTCTACGTGTTCTCTTCTCCTTTCGTTTCCCTTGCATTGTGTGCCACTAAAAAGAAAAGGATAGTTTCTCACTAAACTGCCTTGCTTGAGAAAACATTACGATAGACGGCACAGCAGCCGAAAGGAAGGTTACCAAGCCGATTCGCCGTCTTCTTGCTTCCTTCAATGTGTATGTAACTCGTATAGTTCTTAAGACATGAACGAAGGGAATCTATTAGAATAATGGTTTTTACTACCGTATGCCATGGCATACAGGCATAATTCATGTTTCGCGAAATTAGAAGTATGTAAGAAAGGAAGAAATGTTAAATAGAAGAAACAAACCGATGTGGAAAAAGACATCGAGCGAATATGACAGTGGATTAATGATTCGCCTGAAAATATTATATGAAAGAACGTAATAATATCTTTTTCTTCTGACATCGGATCAAACTCGTACAAGACTTGTTCGACATGAAGTTTCACTTTCCGGTCTTTTCTTCGATGATAAACTTTAGGAACAAAATCAAGGGCCTGCCTTAAGCAGGATGTTCAACACATTTATCTGATTGCTAAAGAGATACTTATGTACTTAGCAAAAAGGAAGACGAAACATGTTATTGTTGTGATTATTTGTTGATTTTTGTAGCCTCTCATGGGAACTTCTTACAGTATTCGAACGACTTGGCACGCGTAGAACGATTGAATATAGACATGCACACATCCGTCGAAACCTACTTTACAGTGTCATTTCCGTTGTCGACCATCAAGAAAGATAGAGAAGGGGGGAAAGGCAGATATAAACATATTTCCGCTTGAATAGAAATTCATAAAGCTTATCAAAAAAAATCTGCACGACTTGTTCGCATTTCCGAAATAATTATCACTGTACGCTTGTCTATTATAGTCATTTGAGATGAACGTTACGATCAAATTATTCTTAGTCATTCTCTAATCGAACTACTTGATAAAAATAGAACTCTATGAGATAATTTCCCTTCTTACGTGCGAATGTTTTCTCTCTTATTTAAAAGCATATCGATGTATAATGTGGCAAAAGCTTTTAAGCATGTTCATTCCGTCTGTGAATAGATATGAAAGACAACTGAAGCATTACTTAACATGTTCAATGATATGGAGTTCGAGAGAGTAGTCATTGCTGAAATTCGACAATGAATTTTAAGTGCATCCATCTGTTTTCATCAGGTTCAAATGGCTAACACATGCTTGAACAATGAAATGCTTTTAAAGTAGCTTTTTCTCGGAAGAAAACACCGCTCGTTGTCTGTTTGAACAGAATTTCCTGGATGACATGTCGCCTTATTCTTTGTAGTTGATTATCTGCACAGACTTGCAGGTCTTTATACTATAATTAATCGGTGTTTTCATTGCAAAGCTTCTTAGTGACTGTAGCATATGGAAAACGAGATATTTTTTAGTATTTAGTTTTGTTCTTGTTGATAATCACATATATCAAAAAGAAGAAAAGAAAAGACGAGGAAAATTCGGTAATAGAAAAACAAATAGAACACGTCTTTTTCTTTTCTCTACTAATTTTGTTGAAAGATTGAACTAATAAAAGAAAAAACACAACAGTGAAACTTTCTTTTTTCATCTTAATCGTGCTGGTTGGAATGTTTTTTCGGTTTTTTAAACCATTCCACCACCCATCCAATTAGCCAAACCGCCAGCTGGAGGAAAGCCACCTGGAAAATGTAAACTAAGACGTTTAATTGCTCGACCTTGAGCACGAATTGCATAGAGTAACGCAGCATATTGTTGCAGTTTTTCTTCACCGCGAGTACATTTTATTGCACGTTCATACAATTTTGCGGCTTCTTCGAAGTCATTTCTAGAGAAAGGAACAGACATTGCGATCGAAATTGAAGTTAAAGGAATGAACAAACCGATTGCATTTGAATATGGCGAACATTGTCAGAACAGTTTCGTTAGAAGGATCGATTCGAAGTGCGTCGACAAAGAGTTCTTCAGCCTCAGCATTGTTCGATGGATCAGATGACATTAGACAATTTCTAAACAATAGATTCAAATTAGATGCTAAAATACCACGCCGGAGAATATAGAAATTATCCACGAGGAAATTGACGTTAAGTACTCATACATGTTAGTGAGCAGTCGACCGTGTTGTCGAGAACATTTTCGCACGTTTTTATTTTAAGAATATTAAATTATCATATTTTATCGTATACATACGCTTTTAGAGCCATTAGGGTTGGATTGTTCGGTATTTCTTCCACGAATCGATTCAGATAATGGAGTGCTTTGTCTTTTCGATCGTTATCCAAATAACACTAAAGGGGAATTGAAGGAAATTTCCTAGTGGAATTCTGTGCGGAGACATATTTACGGATGTGATTGCCAGGGCATAGTAAATATCCTTTTTACACGAATCAAAATATTCTTCGAAGCTCGACAAGGCTTGTTCAACGCGCTCAGGCCGATTTTCCTTGGCACCAATTTTAGCGTCGTTAATTAGTTTTTGATATTTTGCACGAAGATTCGTTGGCATAATGTTCAATGCTTCAGTGAAATCCTCGTGAGCTTCCGAATAACTTTCCAATAGAGTTTTTAACTAAATAGGAAATCGAATGAAACCAATGTGAAATCAACGAAAGAAAAAGGTCGAACCATTCCACGATGAACCCGTGGCGAACATTCAAATGGATGATTGTTGATACATTGATCATATTCTTGTAAAGCTCCTTCGAGATCACGTTGATGAATCTTTGTATTTGCTCGTTTCAGCTCAGCGTTGAGTTTCAACTAGATATTTATAAGTACAACAATAGACTAACTTGTTTATTGCGAAATCTCACATTTTCTGATGCTTCTGGATTGCTAATCACTTTGTTGAAATCATCGAGGGCTTCGGCATAGTTGCCCATTAGTAAATAGAACGAACCACGTAGTAACAATGCTTCTAATTCGTATGTTGATGTTTCCGAAGATTCGATTTCTTGTGTACACAACGATGGAATGTCAGTGAATCGACCCTCATCGAATGCTTCGTATGCACGTGCTAGTGAACTGTCGGGTTGACTGCTAAGCACTTCGTCAATGAACGCTTGGTTAATCGTCGGATCATCTTCGAATTCGTTGAGTGATGTACGAACAAAATCTTTCGATAATTCAGCGGTGCTCTACGTTCCAACAAAGAGTTAGCGAAAGCTTAATGAGTTTGGCACTTACAGGAGGTAAAGTTTCGATATAACGTTTAGCTAGTTCACTGAGAACTCTATCCGCAGCCATTATATAAACTGGTTGATATGAGTCAATAAAGCATACAGTTGAATAATCTGTGAACAGTCAAGAAGGTGAACGATGCTTTTTTTCTCTCGGAGATAAAACGTACCTTCGAGAGCTAGTTCGAAGTTTTTGATTGTTTCAGCTGCGCGAGCACGGCGTTGGATGCATTTGATGTATTTAGGATTGAGTTCAATAGCTTTGGAGCAATCTTCAATAACTTTCTCATAGTTTTTCTGAATGATAGATGTAAATTTCTCAGCACAAGCAGTCAAAATGTATCTTACCAATGATTCCCAAGCAGCAGCGCGATTCTGGTAGAATTGCGCAAGTTCCTCTGTCGATTCTGGTGGGCAAGTTTCAATGGCTTCTACAAACAAAACATATAAGAAAATCAGTCCCGATTTATCGTTTATTTTCACACCTGTATAAAATTCAATTGCTTCATCAAATTTCTGTTCACGATATTTAACATTGCCTTCATTCTTCAATTCAATAGCTGATGTCAAACGATTCTAAATATGAAAATACAATTTAGGTAAACAAATTGTTTGCATTGACAAACCGTTGCTCGACCATCTAATGTTGTCGTTAAGGTCTCTCTTTCACCTCGGGCTAATGGTGTAGGTAATGACGAACGTCGAGGAGTTGCCGTTCTATTCTGTTTCTGTCGGTATACTAAATACGCTGTAACACACACTGCAGTGGGTACCCCGATGATCAATGCCCATTTGACTATGCGTTTGCCTAGATCATTAGCTGGATTATTTGAATTCGCTGTTGCCGATGACGTTTCTGTAACTTTGCGAAGATAGGACGCCATTACTAAATTGAAGACAAAACTAGAGCGCTTGTGGAAAAAGTCAACTTTTACACACACCTTTTATATGAAGGTCATACTAATTGGTACAGAGAAGAACCAATAAAATTTGTTAAATTTTTCTGCTCGGATGATTGGTAGTCCATTGTTTCTCGTTAACATTTTTCGGGTTCAAAGTCTCTCATTTCTCTTTTTCGACTCGTCAAATTAAAACTAACAAGCATGAAGCCGTCAACATCAATTTTATCAAAGATTCCCCTATCAATAGTATGAAGCAATTTGATTGAACTTCCTTTCGAAAATTTCCTTGTCAAATTTGCTTTTTCAGCGATTAAGCTTACAACATCTCAGACAATCACATAATGAAGCGACACTCGGGCAAGACAAATCAACAGGTGGCATTAATTTCGGTAAAACTCTTTAGACATCAATGATCGATAAAGATTACTTCATTTGTACCATTGAAGAATTGAGTGCCGAACAGAAAGAAATGCAGCAATTAGCACGCAAATTTGCTCGAGAAGAAATTATTCCACATGCGGCACATTACGATAAAACCGGAGAGGTATGAACGGATCGTCTGTGCATGATACTGAGCGCTCCATCATTTAAATATGAATCCCAATAAAATTACATGAACAGGTGCTTTTAGTATCCGTGGCCAATTGTGAAAAAGGCTCATGCACTCGGCTTGATGAACACACATATTCCAACAAAATATGGTTTGGCGATTTTCTTCTGATTTCGAATTGATTATTTTCGAATTCAGGTGGTTTGGGTCTTGGCATTCTGGATACATGCGTCATTACGGAAGAATTAGCTTACGGGTAAACTCCTTTAGAATGTATAGGATTTTCTATGAAAACTTCTCCTGTTTTAGTTGTACTGGTGTCCAAACGGCAATCGAAGCTAACTCACTTGGAGTAAGAAACACGTTGAAATTGATAACAATGTTTGTACTAAGAATCGTTCTACTTGTAGATGGCGCCTGTCATTGTTGCTGGTAATGATGAACAAAAGAAACGATTTTTGTCACGCATGATCGAAGAGCCATTGATGTGTGTAAGTAAATATTAACTGAAATTGAAGCGTTCTCTTTCGACAGGAAACGTTTTAGGGATATTGTGTAACAGAGCCCGTTGCTGGTTCAGATGTTGCCGGTATAAAAACCAAAGCCGAAAAGAAAGGCGATGAATACATCGTCAACGGAGTATGTATAACATCGGCTGATATTTCTAAGCAACTTATGCGATTGTTTTTAGCAAAAAATGTGGATTACTAACGGAGGTAATCCGACAAAGAATTTCCAATCACAAGAAACACTTGTTTATTTAGGTGTGGCTAATTGGTTCTTTCTCTTGGCTCGTACCAATCCTGATCCAAAAGCGCCAGCAAGCAAGGCATTTACAGCATTTGCTATTGAAGCTGATAGTCCAGGTTTAACACGCGGTCGGAAAGTAAGCTATTTATGGTTTTTATTACTTCACCGCTTGAAATTAATAACTTCTCTTCAAGGAATGGAATATGGGCCAACGAGCATCCGATACCCGCGGTCTTACATTCGAAGATATGCGCGTACCTGCTGCTAATGTTCTCGGTAAAGAAGGCGATGGTTTCAAAGTTGCTATGTTAGTTTTTGATAAAACTCGTCCACCTGTTGCTGCTGGCGCTCTTGGTCTTGCCCGTCGTGCACTGGATGAAGCGACACAATATTCATTACAACGCAAGACAATGGGTAAATATATAGCCGAACATCAAGCGGTTGCCTTCATGCTTGCTGAAATGGCTATTGGCATCGAAGCAGCACGCTTAGTCACATATTTGTCTGCTTGGCATGTCGACAAAGGTGATAAAAACACGTACTATGCATCGATTGCCAAAGCTTTAGCAGCGGATGTTGCGAACAAGGCAGCTACCGATGCTGTTCAAGTAAATAAAAGAAAATATAGTGAATAAACACCATTCGCATGCTTTGCTTGTAGATCTTCGGTGGTAATGGATTCAACAGTGAATATCCCGTTGAAAAGCTTATGCGTGATGCTAAAATCTTCCAAGTAAATATTAGATTAAATTAGATCGAATGATGAATATTGTGAATTTTCTTATAGATTTACGAAGGTACTGCACAAATTCAACGTTTAATCATATCTCGTGAAATCATGTCACGTGCTAAATCAGCAGCTCAATAGACATTCATTCAATTCGATTTTCTTCAAGTGACTTAATCGTTCTTACATGCTGTGCAATGACCCTTGATTACTTTTTCTATTTCTACATGTATTACCAGTAGGCGCGGCCTGCTTTATTTTCATTTGAAAAGCGTTCTTATCAATTTTACACAAATAAAGAAAAAGGCTTTTCTGCTTCATTGTTCATCAGCTAGCTGATTTAGACACAATTAGTATCAGTTTTATGAAAATCTTCAATTGTACTTTATACAGTAGAACATTTCGAAGCATCACGCCCATAGTGCGTTTTCTTTCTCGTATCGAAGGTTATTCAAATCGATTTCAACTAGTTCTGCAACCGATGAAAAGAAAATCCACTGTGTAATACCTATCTGTCAAGTCGAATAGTCATCAACAACACCCATCTGTTTCAATTTAGTAATCAGATACCTATCGACTTTAATCTATACATATAATTATTTGTCTTTTGGTTATTTATGATTACACTTATTATTCTCATAACATTCACGCCGTTATCTGAATACAGACGAAAAATATGACTTGTGTGGGCAACCGAGGAAGCAAACAAATTGTATTTGACTGTGTCCCGTGATATGTTGACTAAGGACTAAAGCAAGAAGCAAAAGAAAATAATACCTTTTTCTTTTATTATTGCCTATTGATAATCACCAGAGTCCCACGGTATACCTTTTCTTTCATTCTTGTTGATTATTCAGTTCGACATACACGTTCTCAATTTTGCATAAAATATTTGTTTTACAATGTTTCCTTCTCATAAGCAGCACTGTTTCTTCCGTATTTTTCACATTTTCAAGATCCTCATCGATGGAGGCAGACCAACAAGACTCAGCAAGACCATCATTGCATCTCGATACTCTTCAACTACCGAATTCTCATGAGATTGAAATTAGCGACCGACAACGAAGATCTTCCGTGAGTATTGACCTCAAATCTATATTAACGCATTCTGCTTACGCACTTCTCTTGTAAGAATACCAAACGCTTCGGTTCCTTGTCTTACCGATTGAAGACAAAAGAAAAATCAAGTTACTATCATGGATGATGATGATAACGTATAAGCGTCCTACTCATGTACCGTCTTTTTCATATTTTGCGTACAGAATGCAAAAAAAAAGAAAAAGAAATCGAAAGAGAGAAAAAAGAGCACCCTAGGCAGATATCACAGAGCGTATTTTCGTTCGAGCGCGACGATGAAGTGTACATAGGCAATATACTTCCAAAGATATGTAACTTTCGCGCTACTCCTTTGGTTCTCAGTTCTGAAATACACGTCTGAAAAAAATTGCACGAATCATCAACCTAAAGCACGTACTTTTCTCTTTCTGCGGTTCTCTTCTGATTTCTCGACCGATTGTCCTTCGCGAATGGCGCACATTTGCATATACATTGATTTTTTCCCGCGTCATTTCTTCGTGAGACTAGAGGATTGTTTTTTTCCATCGTTAACTGCTAGTATACCGAGATAAGATATTTTGTAATCGATCACAAAGGGTAATCCAACTAGTTAGAAAGCAGAACTCGTCATTTAATTGAGACATCGATCTATTGTTGATATTGAAGCACTGTAGATTTCTAACAGAAAGGGACAAAACATAAGCAGGTGACATGAGTGCTAATTGATTGTATAGATGATATTTATTGACAACGATACGCTTCATTAATAGATTCATAGCGAAATACAAAAAGAAATATGTCTTCAGACGATCCACATGGTATTGAAACGGCAGGTGTAAGTTTGTTTATTATCATTTTGAATCGATGTTGATTACTGATTCTTGCACAGAAACTCAACTTTTTTTCTCTTTACTAGCCTGCTCTGTTCGATCGAGACCGTGAAGGATCGGAGTCCGAACGACAGACTTGGAATATCAAACAGCATATACCTTCAGCTATGCGTGCTCCCGACCGATCAGTACGTATATCTTTCGAATATGGGACTTTTTATATCGAGATATTTTCTTTAGAGACCACCGAACTTTCTACTGGATGTTCGATTTTATTCAATGAAGAAGACAGCTATGACTTTGATGTGCTTATTGGTAAGAAACCGACTGAAGTTAAAACAGAACAGTCTAAAGACAGACACGTATGTCACGATCTTGCTATTAGCAGTCATTGACGTCGTTTCAATACTAACCTTGCATATGATGCAATTGAATAGCGACAAAATAATAATTATGATATTATCAGTAGTCATAAAGAAAGGAATATGTCTTTCTATTTCCAGAGCAGAAGAAAAAGAAGAAGAAGATTTGATAATTCTCGTCTATTTCCTAGATGATCATCATGAGTAACAGTGTTCAACTCAAACATGTACTCAAACAAGGTTCTTCACATCCCTTCTATGGCACTCAAGTTTCATTAGGAATTATTTCGGTATTGATGTGCACCTCAATAGGTAAGCGGCATTTGTTTTTCTGGTTTCGCTTCTCTCTCTCTTTCTCTATGTTTTCGAGTTTTGAACAGTTCGATCTCGTTAAATCAGTCGTAATCATATCCTACCTTCCCTTGACGGTTTCTAGGCTGTATCCAATTGTATACATTTCTCTTTACTTGGCATGATCATCTCCTATTGCCATCCAGTTTTACGGCAAATTTGACACGTTATGATCAACTTCTTATCGTACTTCCAGCTATTTTAACAATTCTACTGTTCTTATTTGATGCAACATTTCTTGCGATTATGTTTCAGTTTTAATAGACGAAAAGAAAAAAACACGAATCCAAATAAAGAACTTTTAGTTAAACATTCTTGTTTTGATGTCTTATGTTTTAGGTGTGGTTCTCATGTATGTCATGCGAGTCGATTTCAATGATCAATACAAACATCCTAAACTTGATTATATAGACAATTGTGTCATATGTCTGCTCTTCATTCTGGGCATCTTTAACATCTTTATTACTGCATGCAGCTAGTGCAGTTCGTTTACGTCTCCCAAATGCATAATGTAGAATCTTAGGGTGTCTTTCGTTCTTCTTCTTCTTCTTGCTCTACTGTTTGTTCTCTTTTTCATTTTTTATGATTTATGTGTAGACAAATCAAGATATACACATATCAACAAATTTGTATTAAAACTTTCAAGTCAGAAAGCAAAGCATCCTTCCTAATCACATATTTGCCGTGAGCATTCAAATAGACTCACTGTGTGTACAAAGCGAACTTCGCTGTATTGTATAGCTTGACCCGTGTTGATAGCGACATCTTTTAACACGTTCGATTGTGATTGGTGCATGTTATTCTATCGAATGAAATCTAAGGTCTTGTCATTCGTATGCCTTTGTACTCATGCGTTGAATTTATCTAATACATTTAATTCCAGAATAGCTAATATATTTGCTTGAAATCTGCAAAGTTTCATATGGTAGAGGTATTTATTTCGAAAGTAAAACAAACTAAATTGGGTTATTTTTGAAATTTTCATTCAGACAGATTCGAACATGGCATCAGCCAAAAAATCAACAGCAGCACCTAATCCACTATTAAAGACATATGGTGAACGGCCTGCTCCGTTTCAATTTCCTGATAGTCAGGAGAAAATGTATATTGGATCTGAAGTACGTTCTATTTGATTTGTTTATTGAAAAATTTCATCGTATTTTTAGGTCGGTAATTATCTACGGTTATTCCGCGGAACACTGTACAAGAAGTATCCATCGCTATGGCGTCGAATGATAACATTAGAAGAGCGTAAATGGCTAATTGAATTAGGTTGTTCAGAATCATCATTACCAACAAACTTAACGTTATTACGCGCAAATGAAGTTGATGAGATTTTAAATGGTGACGACGAAAAATACCGTGCTCTAACTTTAAATAGTGAATCGTCGTCAGCACGAGCGTAGGAATCTCACTCTGTTTGTGTATGGTAAAAAGAATTGTTTTGTTTTAGTGATAAATCGAAACGTTCAACATGGTTACCAACATTCCCAACCAATTCGCATCATCTCGATGCTGTGCCTGCTGCAACACCTATCAATCGAAATCGAACATCAACAAAAAAGAAAATATTTCCTTTATGGTACGCACTCGCCTTTCCCTCGTTCTGTTTGTCTACATGGCAAATGTTCTAGTTTTGATTATACAGACACAGCTTCTGCTTTGGAAAATTCTCAACAATCAGAAGATCTTGTCCCTATTCGACTTGACATGGAAATCGAAGGGCAAAAGTTACGCGATACATTTACATGGAATAAGAACGGTGAGACAAACTGAAATACACTTCATTCGAATACTCTGCTTTGTTTTCTTTAGAACAATTGATCACGCCAGAATTGTTTGCGGAGATCCTTTGCGATGATTTAGATCTGAATACAGTGGCGTTTGTACCTGCCATAGCACAAGCTATTCGTCAACAACTTGAATCGCACCATAATGACTTTCTCGAAGATAATAGCGACCAAAGGATTACAATTAAAGTAGGATGACTTCGACGTTAGTTTGACATCACTTTTATTCTTTCCGTGTAGTTGAATATCCATGTGGGAAATGTCAGTTTAGTTGATCAATTCGAATGGGATATGTCGGATAAACACAATAGTCCTGAAGAATTCGCTCGTGTATTAGCATCCGAATTAGGTAATTGAAAAACTGAAAGCACTTTTCGAGGAAAATATTTCTGCATGTATCCAGGACTTGGCGGTGAATTCGTTACTGCAATAGCTTACAGTATTCGCGGTCAACTTAGTTGGCATCACAAAACTTTCTCCTATAGGTAAGTTACATTGATTGAACGATGGATAATATCGAAAGTTCTTATCTAGTGAAACGCCAATGCCAACTGTTGATGTTGCTACGCGAACAAATCATGATGCTGAGCAATATTGTCCATTTCTGGAAACGCTTACGGATGCGGAAATGGATAAGAAGATTCGTGACCAAGATCGGAACACAAGGTATAGATCTAATTGGCTGAATAATCAACAAATGAATCGTGCTTGTCTTTGTTTAGACGTATTCGTCGTTTGGCAAATACTGGTTCAGCTTGGTAGACCTAATTGTATCTTACACTTTCTTGTTGTTATTAGTTTGTCTTCGTCAAAATTTCTTTGTGAATAAAAACTTAATAAACATATAGCGATCAATACGCAGCTCTGGATATAATCTACAGGTTATCAGTCGAAATATAGTGATGGTCCAACGTGCTTTTGTCATTAGAAATTAGAATTATTCGAGAGTAGATAACAGTATGGTTCGCCGCAAACTCAAAGTTATACTGAAGTGAAATCTATGATGTGACGATTAATCTGCATACATATTACACTCATAAGTCAAGTTGACAAAATACTTTGATATAGATACAAAACAGCCGATTGTATTGAGTCATTATTATTTATTCGCGAATATAATTGGCGAAAATACGATAATATATTTAACTATAATTCAATCTGTTATTAGTAATCAAATATTCGAATATAAACTAAACAATGTCTCAGCAAAAGTCCGAGGCAATAACGAAGATATGCTTGATAATGTATCATTTTGTTATTATTCTTTTCGTCTGTCATACAAATCATCAGCATTGATTAGCCGATTTTTCCTATACGTCATCAGTATCTCTTTCCAAAACGATATCGTCTTCGTCTTCTGTTTGATTTGACTGACTGTCTATTAATAGATAAAACTGATTGACAAATTCCTTTTCCCTTCTCTTCCTTTTCGCCCCATTGTCTTTGTATTGGTTCAGATTTTAATCCAATCATTATCAAGGAAATATTTGTAATCTGATGACTAATAAATCATCAACTGTAGCTTGCATATGTGCTTATTTTGTCGTTTTCTGCTAAAACTTGTTTTGTCTATCACCACGAACCTGTAGTGTAATCATTCGATCGTTCATATCGAGCGCGTCTTGTTTTTGTATATTGGAAAATCCAACGTCATAGATGGCAGAGAATAAAACTCTCGGCGATTTTTATCAGAGTGTTACGTCAAAAGAGCCAAGCGTACGGTTAGAGTGTTTTTCAGCACTGGAAAATTTATTATCAGACAGTGAAACATCAGTTGACTGCGATGATCTACCTGGTTTTATAAATGGTTTAATTAAATGGATCGAAGGCAGTAATTTCCGAGTAGGAGTTCCTTTTTTTTCTTACATATTGGTTTAATGAAAGCTCGAGATTCTATTTAGATTGCAACTAATGGTTTGCGAACGTTAGAATTACTTCTCGATCGATTAGGTTCGGATGAGTTCGGACACTATGTTGAACAAGGTATAACACCATCTTCCTTTTTTTCGATTGGTATCCGAAAAAATGATGATACGTGTTACATTTAGTTACATCTGCAACAGTCGATCGTTTGGGCGATGCTAAAGATCAAGTAAACTCAACTATGTCAAAAGTCAATTATCGTAACACTAGCTTGATTTAGGTTCGAGAAGCTGCATCTAATCTTCTTATCAAATTAATGACCACTTATACTCCTCAGGTATTCGTTCTTTTAATATCAGTGAAGATACTATTCGATTCTTTGTAGCGTATATGGGATTTAATACAACCATTAGCATTTGATAGTAAACAATTTCGTATCAAAGAAGAAAGTCAACGCGTATTAATACGATCATTAGAAGAGTACGTATTTGAGCTAAGCTGACTTACTGCTTGATAGTAGAACTGGAAGGAAGGAGGAAAAGAAGAAGAAGATCTTATCGTTCCTATCGACCTTTTTTTCTTACCCGAAAGTGATTTGTTATTGTAACAATCGACTGCGGTTTTATTCGACATAAAGCAATCATTTCGATGATAAACAAACATATGTTTGTATGCTCTATAATTGAGCATATACAATCAACTATTTGAGTCTCTCTTCTTCATGTTTTTTTCTCATTCTCATAGACACGTTTTGTATATGTCTGCGTCCTTCTGTCATCATTAATATAAAAAAAGGATAATATAAGAACAAAGTGAAAGAAATGTAAGGACAACTGTTGAACGGTCAGCAACTCTATGAAGTATCAAACATTATAAGAGAACGAAAGAAGCGTAGATAGAAGAAGAGAGAGAGAAAGAAAATATACTATTGTGACTATCTAATTGACTGCGTTGAAATATACTGTTCGTCAGTTCTTCTATCACATTCAACGCGTGGTAACCTTCTGAGTAGGAAAGGCTAGAACTTATTGCATTAATGATTAATCAAAGATGACAACGATGAAACGAACTTCGATCTTCGAGTAAGTTCATTACAAAATGATTTTTTTGTTATTGTCATCGTGTCCCTGAACGTTCGCCTTGAATGTAAAAGCTAATTTAATAACGACGAAAGAAATTGATCTTTTCATACTAATAAGTCATTGAAACCTTGCCGTAATGTCTTCATTACAGTTTCTTTTTGAAAACTAAGTATACTTTTATGACGACATACCTTGACTCTTGTTCGTTCAAGCACGAATGTGTAACTTCATTGATGTGTCTGTGCACAGAATGTTGGACAGCGTACTGTGTGTGTATGCTATACAAACAGATAGAGATATAATGATTGTTAGAGTGCATTACGCAAGATGTAAATGACATATTTCTCTCGCTAACGATAGCCATCGCCTTTTCTTCTGTCTATTTAATCCAACTGCGTAGTATTATCGTAGTGGATTTCGATCATTTCTTTGTCTTGTCGTCTGTTGTGAGTTTCTTTCGACTGAGTTAATTTCCCTGGTCAATAGACAAGAAAGGATCAGAAATTATCCGAGTGCTATCAATATTCTTTAATTGATATGAAACGTACCTCGCCCACGCAGATCATTAATAAGTAAGTGAATTGTAAATCACTTCGATTTCTCGCTTTGTTTGATTTGCATGGAAATCATGAGAAAATGTTGAACCTATTTGTTTTTCAAGATTCGGTGCATCGACAATACAATTGAGTAAACTCGTTCCACTGATTTCAAAACTAATATCCGATTCGAATGGTGCTGTAAGTATATCTCTGATCAAATTAACCTTACGGATTGTGTTCGATCGTTTTTTCATTAGGTTCGTCAGCAAGCGGTAGATACTCTTGTCGAAATTTATCGTCATGTTGGAGAGAAAGTTCGTAGTGATATTGCTAAACGAGATATTCCTGAAGCGAAGTAAAATACGAATCTCTGTTCGTCTTGTTAACTTACTTGACGCTCTGATCTGTGTGTAGATTGAAACAATTGTACGAAAAATTTGATGATGTTATTGCCAGCGGTCGAATGATTGCTAAAGCGTCGGATGCAACTGATGATGGTAAGTTACACCTTGTCTTCGACCGAATTTTTGACTCTTAATCAAACTGAAAGATCAGACTTGTATTAACTCAGATATCGAAAGTGTAACGATAGAAATCACGATAAGATGAGAGCGAGAGATAGACGAAAAAAAGTGCGAAACGAGGGAGGCATACATTGAATATGTAGATACATAGGTGGATATATATGTATATGTACAAGTGACAGTGTACGTTAGTATTGTACTTGAACTTTTCGAAGTTAGGTATTTGCCTGAGCTGAAGCAATGGATTCGTCTTTATTTGAACGGTTTTTCGATTCGACATCGACTCATTTTCAGTTGCCGACGTTGAATGAAGAAGAAAATGATGAAGTCTATCCGTTGCTTCATATTGAATTCTATCGGTTAAATAAAACACGACAATTATTAATAGGTATATAAGAAAACTTCGTTTCATATGTAAAGTTGTCTTATTTATTCTCACTTTTTTCCTTTATCAAATTCTAATCGATTCGTTGAACCTCGAAATTGATTTCTCTTTCGTCCATTCTTTTCATACACATGTACATCCATCAGCGCTTCATTTTTTCTTTTCTTTCTTCTTCTTCTTTTCAATTCCATCTAAGGTATCAATGATCGTTTATATGCACATGTGTAATTTGTATTGATATTCAAATTCAATCAATAGTCAAAAAAGAGAACGAGAGTGAAGTAGAATGAACATGCCCATAGTAGAAATGTTTTTAACGAGTAAACCTCGTAAGATCACTGAACTTGTTGTGATAGTTTCTTATTTGCAAAATTTTTCGTTTCAGCACGACCGAAGCCAACAACAACTCGATCTCGTTTGAATTCAGATAGTAGTACAACATCGACGCGTTCACGGCCAAGTGGTGGTGTACCAGCTCGATCAGCTGCACCTGTCTCTGCAGGTAATTACACGGCAAACATTCCTTTTCAGCTTTGATCGTATAAGACATATGAGCAAATGTAGTTTCATCTCCTAATAACCCTCGTGCGCGTTCATCGTCGAGTATTTCTCGTCCATATGCATCGACATTATTCACAACAGGAGGTATTATTATTATCATCATCTTTCTTTTGTTCTGCGGTGTCGTCTCTCCATGCTGTTGTTCTATCTATACTAGTCATCTTACAACACGCGTTTTTGTTATTGTTTGCTTCAGTCATGTGTACAGTTATTGCATGATGATGTAAGATAGTGATCAGACAAAGAATAGAAGATTATCCTAAAAATATTGAATGGTTTGATTAAAAAAAACAGAAAGCGAAAAATGCATTTCTTTGTTTTTAGCTGTGGCAAGCGGTGCTGTCGATGAAGCAATCTTCGAAGAGGCATTCAAGTCATCCCCTGCAATCTCTGTAAGAATGATAACTTTGACCTATTGTAATCTAAGATGTGAAAACATTTACTTATATGTCAAATATCCCATCTGGCAAAAATATCGAGATTATCTCATCAAGTCCATTGAATCCTGAAGATATTTTTTTTTAATTTCAGCTGTCATCGGGCAAAGATGTCGAAAATCAATTATCAACTATTCGAGATACACTCGCCGACACGANTGTTCGCATTTCCGAAATAATTATCACTGTACGCTTGTCTATTATAGTCATTTGAGATGAACGTTACGATCAAATTATTCTTAGTCATTCTCTAATCGAACTACTTGATAAAAATAGAACTTTATAAGATAATTTCCCTTCTTACGTGCGAATGTTTTCTCTCTCATTTAAAAGCATATCGATGTATAATGTGGCAAAAGCTTTTAAGCATGTTCATTCAGTCTGTGAATAGATATGGAAAATAACTGAAGCATTACTTAACATGTTCAATGATATGGAGTTCGAGAGAATAGTCATCGCTGAAGTTCGACAATGAATTTTAAGTGCATCCATCTGTTCTCATCAGGTTCCAATGGCTAACACATGCTTGAACAGTGAAATGCTTTTAAAGGAGCTTTTTCTCCAAAAACAAAACCGCTCGTTGTCTGTTTGAACAGAATTTCCTGGATGGCATGTCACCTTATTCTTTGTAGTTGATTATCTGCACAGACTTGCAAGTATTTATACAATAATTAATCGGTGTTTTCATTGTAAAGCTTCTTAGTGACTGTAACATATGGAAAACGAGACATTTTTTAGTATTTAGTTTTGTTCTTGTTGATAATCACATATATCAAAAAGAAGAAGAAAAAAGACGAGGAAAATTCGGTAATAGAAAAACAAATAGAACACGTCTTTTTTTTTCTCTACTAGTTTTGTTGAAAGATTAAACTAATAAAAGGAAAAACACAACAGTGAAACTTTCTTTTTTCATCCTAATCGTGTCGTTTGGAATGTTTTTTCGGTTTTTTAAACTATTCCACCACCACCCATCCAATTAGCCAAACCGCCAGCTGGAGGAAAGCCACCTGGAAAATGTAAACTAAGACGTTTAATTGCTCGCCCTTGAGCACGAATTGCATAGAGTAACGCAGCATATTGCAGCAGTTTCTCATCACCGCGAGTACATTTTATTGCACGTTCATACAATTTTGCGGCTTCTTCGAAATCATTTCTAGAGAAAGGAACAGACATTGCGATCGAAGTTGAAGTTAAAAAGATGAACAAACCGATTGCATTTGAATATGGCAAACATTGTCAGAACAGTTTCGTTAGAACGATCGATTCGAAGTGCGTCGACAAAGAGTTCTTCTGCCTCAGCATTGTTCGATGGATCAGTTGACATTAAACAATTCCTGAACAATAGATTCAAATTAGATGCTAAAATACGATGCCCGAGAATATAGAAATTATCCAAGAGGAAACTAACGTTAAGTACTCATACATGCTAGTAAGCAGTCGACCGTGCTGTCGAGAACATTTTCACACGTTTTTATTTTAAGAGTATTAAATTATCATGTTTTATCGTATACATACGCTTTTAGAGCCATTAGGGTTGGATTGTTCGGTATTTCTTCCACGAATCGATTCAGATAATGGAGTGCTTTGTCTTTTCGATCGTTATCCAAATAACACTAAAGGAGAATTGAAGGAAATTTCTTAGTGGAATTTTTTGCGGAGACATATTTACGGATGTGATTGCCAGGGCATAGTAAATATCCTTTTTACATGAATCAAAATATTCTTCAAAGCTCGCCAGGGCTTGTTCAACGCGCTCAGGCCGATTTTCCTTAGCACCGATTTTAGCGTCGTTAATGAGTTTTTGATATTTTGCACGAAGATTTGTTGGAGTAATGTTTAATGCCTCGGTGAAATCTTCGTGAGCTTCCGAATAACTTTCCAATAGAGTTTTTAACTAGATAAGAAATCGAATGAAACCAATGTGAAATCAACAGAAGAAAAAAGGCGAACCATTCCACGATGAACACGTGGCGAACATTCAAATGGATGATTGTTGATACATTGATCATATTCTTGTAAAGCTCCTTCGAGATCACGTTGATGAATCTTCGTATTTGCTCGTTTCAGCTCAGCGTTGAGTTTCAACTAGATATTTACAAGTACAACAATAGACTAACTCATTTATTGCGAAATCTCACATTTTCTGATGCTTCTGGATTGCTGATCACTTTGTTGAAGTCATCGAGGGCTTCAGCATAGTTTCCCATTAGTAAATAGAACGAACCACGTAGCAGCAATGCTTCTAATTCGTACGTTGATGTTTCCGAAGACTCGATTTCTTGTGTACACAACGATGGAATGTCAGTGAATCGACCCTCGTCGAATGCTTCATAAGCACGTGCTAGTGAACTGTCGGGTTGACTGCTACGCACTTCGTCGATGAACGTTTCACTAATCGTCGGATCATTTTCGAATTCGTTGAGTGATGTACGAACAAAATCTTTCGATAATTCAGCGGTGCTCTACGTTCCAATAAAGAGTTAACAAAATCTTAATGAGTTTGTCACTTACAGGAGGTAAAGTTTCGATATAACGTTTAGCTAGTTCAGTGAGAACTTTATCCGCAGCCATTATATAAGCTGGTTGATATGAATCAATAAAGCATACCGTTGAATAATCTGTGAACAGTCAAGAAGGTGAACGATGCCTTTCTTCTCTCAGAGATAAGACGTACCTTCGAGAGCTAGTTCGAAGTTTTCGATTGTTTCAGCTGCACGAGCACGGCGTTGGATGCATTTGATATATTTAGGATTGAGTTCAATAGCTTTAGAACAATCTTCAATAACTTTCGCATAGTTTTTCTGAATGATAGAAGTAAATTTCTCAGCACAAGCAGTCAAAATGTATCTTACCAATGATTCCCAAGCAGCAGCACGATTCTGATAGAACTGTGCAAGTTCCTCTGTCGATTCTGGTGGGCAAGTTTCAATTGCTTCTACAAACAGAACATATCAGAAAATTAGTCACGATTTATCGTTTATTTTCAGACCTGTATAAAATTCAATTGCTTCATTAAATTTCTGTTCACGATATTTAACATTGCCTTCATTCTTCAATTCAATAGCGGATGTCAAACGATTCTAAATATGAAAATACAATTTAGGCAAACAAATTGTTTCCATTGACAAACCGTTGCTCGACCATCTGATGTTGTCGCTGAGGTGTCTCTTTCACCTCGGGCTAATGGCCTAGGTAATGACGAACGTCGAGGAGTTGCCGTTCTATTCTGTTTCTGTCGGTATATTAAATACGCTGTAACGCATACCGCAGTGGGTACCCCGATGATTAACGCCCATTTGGCTATGCGTTTGCCTAGATCATTAGCTGGATTATTTGAATTCGCTGTTGCCGATGACGTTTCTGCAACTTTGCGAAGATAGGACGCCATTACTAAATTGAAGATAAAACAAGAACGCTTGTAGAAAAAGCCAACTTTTACACACACCTTTTACATGAAGGTCGTACTAATTGGTATAGAGAAGAACCAATAAAATTTGGTGAATTTTTCTCCTCTGATGATTGGTAGTCCATTGTTTCTCGTTAACATTTTTCGGGTTCAAAGTCTCTCATTTCATTTTTTCGACTCGTCAAATTAAAACTAACAAGCATGAAGCCGTCAACATCAATTTTATCAAAGATTCCCCTATCAGTAGTATGAAGCAATTTGATTGAACTTCCTTTCGAAAATTTCATTTTCAAATTCGCTTTTTCAGCGATTAAGCTTACAACATCTCAGACAATCGCATAATGAAGCGACACTTGGACAAGACAAATCAACAGGTGGCATTAATTTTGGTAAAACTCTTTAGAAATTAATGATCGATAAAGATCAGTTCATTTGTAATATTGAAGAATTGAGCGCCGAACAGAAAGAAATGCAGCAATTAGCACGCAAATTTGCTCGAGAAGAAATTATTCCGCATGCAGCGCATTATGATAAAACCGGAGAGGTATGAACGGAATGTCTGTGCACGATACTGAGCGATCCATCATTTGAATATGAATTCCAATAAAACTGAATGAACATGTGCTTTTAGTATCCGTGGCCAATTGTGAAAAAGGCTCATGCACTTGGCTTGATGAACACACATATTCCAACAAAATATGGTTTGGCGATTTTCTTCCGATTTCAAATTGATTACTTTCGAATTCAGGTGGTTTGGGCCTTGGCATTCTTGATACATGTGTCATTACCGAAGAATTAGCTTACGGGTAAACTCCTTTAGAATGTATAGGATTTTCTATGATAACTTCTCCTGTTTTAGTTGTACTGGTGTCCAAACGGCAATCGAAGCTAACTCACTTGGAGTAAGAAACACGTTGAAATGGATAACAATATTTGTACTAAGAATCGTTCTACTTGTAGATGGCGCCCGTCATTGTTGCTGGCAATGATGAACAAAAGAAACGATTTTTGTCACGCATGATCGAAGAGCCATTGATGTGTGTAAGTAAATATTAACTAAAATTGAAGTGTTCTTCTTCAACAGAAAACGTTTTAGGGATATTGTGTAACAGAACCCGTTGCTGGTTCAGATGTTGCCGGTATAAAAACCAAAGCCGAAAAGAAAGGCGATGAATACATCGTCAATGGAGTATGTATAACATCGGCTGATATTTCTAAGCAACTTATGCGATTGTTTTTAGCAAAAAATGTGGATTACTAACGGAGGTAATCCGACGAAGAGTTTTTAATCACGAGAGACACTTGTTTATTTAGGTGTGGCCAATTGGTTCTTTCTCTTGGCTCGTACCAATCCTGATCCAAAAGCACCAGCAAGCAAGGCATTTACGGCATTCGCTATTGAAGCTGATAGTCCAGGTTTAACGCGCGGTCGGAAAGTAAGCTATTTATGGTTTTTATTACTTCACCGCTTGAAATCAATAACTTTTCTTCAAGGAATGGAATATGGGCCAACGAGCATCTGATACTCGTGGTCTTACATTCGAAGATATGCGCGTACCTGCTGCTAATGTTCTCGGTAAAGAAGGTGATGGTTTCAAAGTTGCTATGTTAGTTTTTGATAAAACTCGTCCACCGGTTGCTGCTGGCGCTCTTGGTCTTGCCCGTCGTGCGCTGGATGAAGCGACACAATATTCATTACAACGCAAGACAATGGGTAAATATATAGCTGAACATCAAGCGGTCTCCTTCATGCTTGCTGAGATGGCAATTGGCATCGAAGCAGCACGCTTAGTTACATATTTGTCCGCTTGGCATGTCGACAAAGGTGATAAAAACACGTACTATGCATCGATTGCCAAAGCTTTAGCAGCGGATGTTGCAAACAAGGCAGCTACCGATGCTGTTCAAGTAAATAAACGAAAATATGGTGAATGAAAACTATTCGCATCCTTTGCTTGTAGATCTTCGGTGGTAATGGATTCAATAGTGAATATCCCGTTGAAAAGCTTATGCGTGATGCCAAAATCTTCCAAGTAAATATCTGATTAAATTAGATCGAATGATGAATATTATGAATTTTTCTTATAGATTTACGAAGGTACTGCACAAATTCAACGTTTAATCATATCTCGTGAAATCATGTCACGTGCTAAATCAGTAGCTCAATAGACATTCATTCAATTCAATTTTCTTCAAGTGCCTCAATCGTTCTTACATGCTGTGCAATGACGCTTGATTACTTTTTCTATTTCTATATGTATTACTAGTAGGCGCAGCCTACTTTCTTTTCATTTGAAAAGCGTTCTTATAAATTTTACACAAATAAAGAGAAAGCGTCTGATTCATTATTCATCAGCTAGCTGATTTAGACACAACCAGTATCAGTTTTATGAAAAATTTTCAATTGCACTTTATACAGTAGAACATTTCGAAGCATCACGACCATAGTGCATTTTCTGTCTCGTATCGAAGGCTATTCAAATAGATTTCGACTAGTTCTGCGACCGATGAAAAGAAAGTCCGCTGTAATACCTATCTGTCAAGTCGAATAGTCATCAACAAAACACATCTGTTTCAATTTGGTAATCCGATACCTATCGACTTTAATCTATCCATATAATTATTTGTCTTTTGGTTATTTATGATTACACTTATTATTCTCATAGCATTCACATCGTTATCTGAATACAGGCGAAAAATATGACTTGTGTGGGCAACTGAGGAAGCAAACAAATTGTACTTGATTGTGTCCCGTGATATGTTGACTAAGGACTAAAGCAAGAAGCAAAAGAAAATAATACCTTTTGTGTTTATTATTGCCCATTGATAGTCGTCAGAGTCCCACGGTATACTTTTTCTTTCATTCTCGATGATTATTCAGTTCGACATATACTTTCTCAATTTTGCATAAAATACTTGTTTTACAATGTTTCCTTCTCATAAGCAACACCATTTCTTCCATATTTTTCACATTTTCAAGATCCTTATCGATGGAGGCAGAACAACAAGACTCAGCAAGACCATCATTGCATACCGATACTCTTCAACTACCGAATTCTCATGAAATTGAAATTAGCGACCGACAACGAAAATCTTCCGTGAGTATTGACCACAAATCTCTATTAACGTATTCTGCGTACGCAGTTCTCTTGTAAGAATACCAAATGCTTTGGTTCCTTGTCTTACCGATTGAAGACAAAGAAAAATCAAGTTACTATCATGGATGATGATGATAACAACGTATAAGCGTCCTGCTCATGTACCGTCTTTTTCATATTTTGCGTACAGAATGCAAAAAAAAGAAAAAGAAATCGAAAGAGAGAAAAAAGAGCACCCTAGGCAGATATCACAGAGCGTATTTTCGTTCGAGCGCGACGATGAAGTGTACATAGGCAATATACTTCCAAAGATATGTAACTTTCGCGCTACTCCTTTGGTTCTCGGTTCTGAAATACACGTCTGAAAAAAAAATGCACGAATCATCAACCTAAAGCACGTACTTTTCTCTTTCTGCGGTTCTCTTCTGATTTCTCGACCGACTGTCCTTCGCGAATGGCGCACATTTGCATATACATTGATTTTTTTCCCGCGTCATTTCTTCGTGAGACTAGAGGATTGTTTTTTTCCATCGTTAACTGCCAGTATACTGAGATAAGATATTTTGTGATCGATCACAAAGGGTAATCCAACTAGTTAGAAAGCAGAACTCGTCATTTAATTGAGACATCGATCTATTGTTGATAGTGAAGCACTGTAGATTTCTAACAGAAAGAGACAAAACATAAGCAGGTGACATGAGTACTAATTGATTGTATAGATGATATTTATTGACAACGATACGCTTCATTAATAGATTCATAGCGAAACACAAAAAGAAATATGTCTTCAGACGATCCACATGGCATTGAAACGGCAGGTGTAAGTTGTATTTTCTTGTTTATTATCATTTTGAGTCGATTTTGATTACGGATTCTTGCACAGAAACTCAACTTCTTTTCTCTTTACTAGCCCGCTCTATTCGATCGAGACCGTGAAGGATCGGAGTCCGAACGGCAGACTTGGAATATTAAACAGCATCTACCTACAGCTATGCGTGCTCCCGACCGATCAGTACGTATATCTTTCGAATATGAAACTTTTTATATCAAGATATTTTCTTTAGAGACCACCGAACTTTCTACTGGATGTTCGGTTTTATTCGATGAAGAAGACAGCTATGACTTTAATGTGTTTATTGGTAAGAAACCGACTGAAGTTAAAACAGAACAGTCTAAAGATAGACACGTATGTCACGATCTTGCTATTAGCAGTCATTGACGTCGTTTCAATACTAACCTTGCATATGATGCAATTGAATAGCGACAAAATAATAATTATGATATTATCAGTAGTCATAAAGAAAGGAATATGTCTATCTATTTCCAGAACAGATGAAGAAGAAGAAGATTTGATAATTCTCGTCTATTTCTTAGATGATTATCATGAGTAACAGCGTTCAACTCAAACATGTACTCAAACAAGGTTCTTCACATCCCTTCTATGGCACTCAAGTTTCATTAGGAATTATTTCGGTATTGATGTGCACTTCAATAGGTGAGCGACACTTGTTTATTTTGTTTCGTTTCTTTCTCTCTCTCTCTCTCTCTATGTTTTCGAGTTTTGAACAGTTCGATCTTGTTAAATCAGTCGTAATCGTATCCTACCTTCCCTTGACGGTTTCTAGGCTGTATCCAATTGTATACATTTCTCTTTACTTGGCATGATCATCTCCTATTGCCATCCAGTTTTACGGCAAATTTGACACGTTATGATCAACTTCTTATCGTACTTCCAGCTATTTTAACAATTCTACTGTTCTTATTTGATGCAACATTTCTTGCGATTATGTTTCAGTTTTAATAGACGAAAAGAAAAAAACACGAATCCAAATAAAGAACTTTTAGTTAAACATTCTTGTTTTGATGTCTTATGTTTTAGGTGTGGTTCTCATGTATGTCATGCGAGTCGATTTCAATGATCAATACAAACATCCTAAACTTGATTATATAGACAATTGTGTCATATGTTTGCTCTTCATTTTGGGCATCTTTAACATCTTTATTACTGCATGCAGTTAGTGCAGTTCGTTTTCGTCTCCCAAATGCATAATGTAGAATCTTAGGGTGTCTTTCGTTCTTCTTCTTGCTCTACTGTTTGTTCTCTTTTTCATTTTTTATGATTTATGTGTAGACAAATCAAGATATACACATATCAACAAATTTGTATTAAAAGTTTGAAGTCAGAAAGCAAAGCATCCTTCCTAATCACATATTTACCGTGAGCATTCAAATAGACTCACTGAGTGTACAAAGCAAACTTCTGTATTGTATACCTTGACTCGTGTTGATAGCGACATCTATTATCAAGTTCGATTGTGATTGGTGCATATTATTCTATCCAATGAAATCTAAGGTCTTGTCATTCATATGCCTTTGTACTCATGTGTTGAATTTATCTAATACATTCAATTCAATCCCAGAATAACTAATATATTTGTTTGAAATCTGTAAAGTTTCATATGGTAGAGGTATTTATTGCGAAAACAAAACAAACCAAATTGAATTATTTTTGAAATTTTCATTCAGACAGATTCTAACATGGCATCAGCCAAAAAATCAACAGCAGCACCTAATCCCCTATTAAAGACATATGGCGAACGGCCTGCTCCGTTTCAGTTTCCTGGTAGTCAGGAGAAAATGTATATTGGATCTGAAGTATGGTCTATTTAATTTGTTTATTGAAAAATTTCATCGTATTTTTAGGTCGGTAATTATTTACGGTTATTCCGCGGAACATTGTACAAGAAATATCCGTCGTTATGGCGTCGAATGATAACATTAGAAGAGCGTAAATGGCTAATTGAATTAGGTTGTTCAGAATCATCATTACCAACAAACTTAACGTTATTACGCGCAAATGAAGTTGATGAGATTTTAAACGGTGACGATGAAAAATACCGTGCTTTAACTTTAAATAGCGAATCGTCGTCAGCACGAGCGTAGGAATCTCACTCTGTTTGTGTATGGTAAAAAGAATTGTTTTGTTTTAGTGATAAATCGAAACGCTCAACATGGTTACCAACATTCCCAACTAATTCCCATCATCTCGATGCTGTGCCTGCTGCAACACCTATCAATCGAAATCGAACAACAACAAAAAAGAAAATATTTCCTTTGTGGTACGCTCTCGTCTTTCCTTCGTTCTGTCCGCCTGCCTACATGGCAAATGTTCTAGTTTTGATTATACAGACACAGCTTCTGCTTTGGAAAATTCTCAACAATCAGAAGATCTTGTTCCTATTCGACTTGACATGGAAATCGAAGGGCAAAAGTTACGCGATACATTTACGTGGAATAAAAACGGTGAGACAAACTGAAATGCACTTCATTCGAATATTCTGCTTTGTTTTCTTTAGAGCAACTGATCACGCCAGAATTGTTTGCGGAGATCCTTTGTGATGATTTAGATCTGAATACAGTGGCGTTTGTACCTGCCATAGCACAAGCTATTCGTCAACAACTTGAATCGCATCATAACGACTTTCTCGAAGATAATAGTGACCAAAGGATTACAATTAAAGTAGGACAACTTCGACGTTAGTTTGACATGACTTGTATTCTTTCCATGTAGTTGAATATCCATGTGGGAAATGTCAGTCTAGTGGATCAGTTCGAATGGGATATGTCGGATAAGCACAATAGCCCTGAAGAATTCGCTCGTGTATTAGCATCTGAATTAGGTAAATGAAAAATTGCAAACACTTTTCAAGCGAAATATTTCTGTATGTATTCAGGACTTGGCGGAGAATTCGTTACTGCAATAGCTTACAGTATTCGCGGTCAACTTAGTTGGCATCACAAAACTTTCTCATATAGGTAAGTCACATTGATTGAATGATGGACAATATCGAAAGTTATCATCTAGTGAAACGCCAATGCCAACTGTTGATGTTGCTACGCGAACAAATCATGATGCTGAGCAATATTGTCCATTTCTGGAAACGCTTACGGATGCGGAAATGGATAAGAAGATTCGTGACCAAGATCGTAACACAAGGTATTGTTCTAGTTGGCTGAATAATCAACAAATGAATCGTGCTTGTTTCTATTTAGACGTATTCGTCGTTTGGCAAATACTGGTTCAGCTTGGTAGACCTAATTGTATCTTACACTTTCTTGTTGTTATTAGTTTGTCTTCGTCGAAATTTCTTTGTGAATAAAAACTTAATAAACATATAGCGATCAATGCGCAGTTCTGGATATAATCTAGTTTATCAGCCGAAATCCAGTGATAGTCAAACATGCTTTTGTCATTAGAATTATTCGACAGTCGATAATAACACGATTCATCGCAAACTCAAAGTTATACTGAAGTGAAATCTATGATGTGATGATTAATCTACATACATATTAGATCCACAAGTCAATTTGACAAAATACTTTGATATAGATACAAAACAGCCGATTGTATTGAGTCATTTAGCATTTATTCGTGAATATAATTGGCGAAAATACGATAATATATTTAGCTAAAATTCAATCTGTTATTAGTAATCAAATATTCGAATATAAACTAAACAATATCTCAACAGAAGTCCGAGGCAATAACAAAGATATGCTTGATAATGTATCATTTTGTTATTATTCTTTTCGTCTGTCACACAAATCATCAGCATTGATTAACCGATTTTTCCTATACGTCATCAGTATCTCATTCCGAAACGATATCGTCTTCTGTTTGACTTGACTGACTGTCTATTAATAGATAAAACTGATTGACAAATTCCTTTTCTCTTTCCTTCTTCTTCTTTTTCGCTCCATTGTCTTTGTATTGGTTCAGATTTTAATCCAATCATTATCAAGGAAATATTTGTAATCTGATGACTAATAAATCATCAACTGTAGCTTGCGCATATGTGCTTATTTCCTCGCTGTCTCTGAAAACTTGTTTTGTCTACCACCACGAACCTGTTGTAATCATCCGATCGTTCATATCGAGCGCGTTTTGTTTTTGTATATTGGAAAATCGAACGTCATAGATGGCAGAGATATCATCAACGGCAGTGAATAAAACTCTCGGTGATTTTTATCAGAGTGTGACGTCAAAAGAACCAAGCGTACGATTAGAGTGTTTCTCAGCACTCGAAAGTTTATTATCAGACAGTGAAACATCAGTTGATTGTGATGATCTACCTGGTTTTATAAATGGTTTAATTAAATGGATCGAAGGCAGTAATTTCCGAGTAGGAGTTCCTTTTTTATCTTACATATTGGTTTAATGAAAGCTCGAGATTCTATTTAGATTGCAGCTAATGGCTTGCGAACGTTAGAATTACTTCTCGATCGATTAGATTCGAATGAGTTCGGACACTATGTTGAACAAGGTATATCACCATCTTTTCTTTTAACGGTATCCGAACAAATGATGATACGTGTTGCATTTAGTTACATCTGCAACAGTCGATCGTTTGGGTGATGCTAAAGATCAAGTAAACTCAACTATGTCAAAAGTCAATTATCTAACACTAGTTTGATTTAGGTTCGAGAAGCTGCATCTAATCTTCTTATTAAGCTAATGACCACTTATACCCCTCAGGTATTCGTTCTTTTCATATGAGTGACGACACTATCCGATTCTTTATAGCGTATATGGGATTTAATACAACCATTAGCATTTGATAGTAAACAATTCCGTATCAAAGAAGAAAGTCAACGCGTATTAATACGATCATTAGAAGAGTACGTATTTGAACTAAGCTGACTTACTGCTTGATAGTAGACCTGGAAAGAAAGAGGAAAAGAAGCAGAAGATCTTATCGTTTCTATCGACCTTTTTTTTCTTACCCGAAGATTATTTGTTATTGTAACAATCGACTGCGTTTTTATTCGACATAAAGCAATCATTTCGATGATAAACAAACATATGTTTGCATGCTCTATAATTGAGCATATACAATCAACTATTTGAGTCTCTCATACTCATAGACACGTTTTGTATATGTCTGCGTCCTTCTGTCATCATTAATATATAAAAAAAAGGATAATATAAGAACAAAGTGAAAGAAATGTAAGGACAACTGTTGAACGGTCAGCAACTCTACGAAGTATCAAAGATTACAAGAGAACGAAAGAAACACAGATAGAAGGAGAGAGAGAGAAAGAAAAGATGCTATTGTGACTATCTAATTGATTGCGTTGAAATATACTGTTCGTCAGTTCTTCTATCACATTCAGCGCGTGGTAACCTTCTGATTAGGAAACGCTAGAACTTATTGCATTAATGATCAATCAAAGATGACAACGATAAAACGAACTTCGATCTTCGAGTAAGTTCATTACAAAATGATTTTTTTTTGTTATTGTCATCGTGTCCCTGAACGTTCGCCTTGAATGTAAAAGCTAATTTAATAATGACGAAAGAAATTGATCTTTTCATACTAATAAGTCATTGAAACCTTGCCGTAATGTCTTCATTACAGTTTCTTTTTAAAAACTAAGTATACTTTTATGACGACATACCTTGACTCTTGTTCGTTCAAGCACGAATGTGCAACTTCATTGATGTGTATGTGCACAGAATGTTGGACAGCGTACTGTGTGTGTATGCTATACAAACAGATAGAGATATAATGATTGTTAGAGTGCATTACGCAAGATGTAAATGACATATTTCTCTCGCTAACGATAGCCATCGCCTTTTCTTCTGTCTATTTAATCCAACTGCGTAGTATTATCGTAGTGGATTTCGATCATTTCTTTGTCTTGTCGTCTGCTGTGAGTTTCTTTCGACTGAGTTAATTTCCCTGGTCAATAGACAAGAAAGGATTAGAAATTATCCGAGTGCTATCAATATTCTTTAATTGATATGAAACGCACCTCGCCCACGCAGATCATTAATAAGTAAGTGAATTGTAAATCACTTCGATTTCTCGCTTTGTTTAATTTGCATGAAAATCATGAGAAAATGTTGAACGAATTTGTTTTTCAAGATTCGGCGCATCGACAATACAATTGAGTAAACTCGTTCCACTGATTTCGAAACTTATATCTGATTCGAATGGTGCTGTAAGTATATCTTTGATCAAATTAACCTTAAGGATTGTGTTCGATCGGATTTTCATTAGGTTCGTCAACAAGCAGTCGATACTCTTGTCGAAATTTATCGTCATGTTGGAGAGAAAGTTCGTAGTGATATTGCTAAACGAGATATTCCTGAAGCGAAGTATAATATGAATCTCTTTTCGTCTTGTTAACTTACTTGACACTTGGATCTGTGTGTAGGTTGAAACAATTGTATGAAAAATTTGATGATGTTATTGCCAGTGGTCGAATGATTGCTAAAGTGTCGGATGCAACTGATGATGGTAAGTTACATCTCGTTTTCGACCGAATTTTTGATTCTTGATCAAACTGAAAGATCAGACTTGTATTAACTCAGTTATCGAAAGTGTAACGATAGAAATCACGATAAGATGAGCGAGAGATAGGCGAAAAAAAGTGCGAAACGAGGGAGGCATACATCGAATATGTAGATATATAGGTGGATATATATATACGTATATACACAAGTGACAGTGTACGTTAGTATTGTACTTGAACTTTTCGAAGTTAGGTCTTTGCTTGAGCTGAAGCAATGGATTCATCTTTATTTGAACGATTTTTCGATCCGACATCGACTCATTTTCAGCTACCGACATTGAATGAAGAAGAAAATGATGAAGTCTATCCGTTGCTTCATATTGAATTCTATCGGTTAAATAAAACACGACAATTATTAATAGGTATACAAGAAAACTTCGTTTCATATGTAAAGTTGTCTTATTTATTCTCACTTTTTTCCTTTATCAAATTCTAATCGATTCGTTGAACCTCGAAATTGATTTCTTTCTTCGTCCATTCTTTTCATACACATGTACATCCATCAACGCTTCATTTTTTCTTCTTTTTCTTCTTCTTTTCAATTCCATCTAAGGTATCAATGATCGTTTATATGCACATGTGTAATTTGTATTGATATTCAAATTCAATCAATAGTCAAAAAAAGAGAACGAGAGTGAAGTAGAAAGAACGTGCCCATAGTAGAAATGTTTTTAACGAGTAAACCTCGTAAGATCACTGAACTAGTTGTAATAGTTTCTTATTTGCAAAATTTTTCGTTTCAGCACGACCGAAGCCGACAACAACTCGATCTCGATTGAATTCAGATAGTAGTACAACATCTACACGTTCACGGCCAAGTGGTGGTGTACCCGCTCGATCGGCTGCACCTGTCTCTGCAGGTAATTACACGTCAAACATTCCTTTTCAGCTTTGATCGTATAAGAAATGTGAGCAAATGTAGTTTCATCTCCTAATAACCCTCGTGCGCGTTCATCGTCGAGTATTTCTCGTCCATATGCATCTACATTATTCACAACAGGAGGTATTATTATTATCATCATCTTCCTTTTGTTCTGCGGTGTCGTCTCTCCATGCTGTTGTTCTATCTATACTAGTCATCTTACAACACGTGTTTTTGTTATTGTTTGATTCCGTCATGTGTACAGTTATTGCATGATGATGTAAGATAGTGATCAGACAAAGAATAGAAGATCATCCTAAAAATATTGAATGATTTGACTGAAAAAAAAAGAAAACGAAAAATGCATTTCTTTTGTTTTTAGCTGTGGCAAGCGGTGCTGTCGATGAAGCAATCTTCGAAGAGGCATTCAACTCATCCCCTGCAATCTCTGTAAGAATGATAACTTTGACCTATTGTAATCTAAGATGTGAAAACATTTACTTATATGTCAAATATCCCATCTGGCAAAAATATCGAGATTATCTCATCAAGTCCATTGAATCCTGAAGATATTTTTTTTAATTTCAGCTGTCATCGGGCAAAGATGTCGAAAATCAATTATCAACTATTCGAGATACACTCGCCGACACGAATAATGATTGGGAAAAACGTGTCGAAGCAGTAAGAACATTTCAAACATTGATATGTCTTACTTGTGTTGATAATCCATTTTCTAGTTGAAACGACTACGTTCGATTGTAACCGGTGGCGGTGATCAGTATGATGAATTTTTTCGTAATCTTCGTCAACTTGACCTACCTTTGGTCGCAACCGTCAAAGACTTACGCTCACAAATTGTTCGTGAAGTTTGTATTACTCTTGCATTCATGTCAATACGACTGACCAATCGATTGGAACGAACGGCTGAATGTGTTCTTCCTGCAATGTTAAGCCTGATTCAGAATAGTGCTAAAATAATGGCGACAAGCGGTGCTGTTGCTTTACGTTACATTGTAACCAATACACAATCGAGTAAACTAATTCCGTTGATATTGACGGGAATTGAATCAAAATCAAAAGATATTCGAAGGTGATTTGACTTCTGTTTTCTATCTTGAAGAAGATTTTATCTTCAATGTTCTAGACAAGCTTATGAACTGATAGTCATTATGCTCTCCCATTGGGATTTGGTCTACATGGAAAAATATGGCCAATTACTTCATGATGCGATTAAAAAAGGCCTGTCCGATGCTGATGCAGAAGCAAGATCGAATGCTCGCAAAGCATTCGGATCATTTCGTGACCAATTTCCAACATTAGCTGACGTACTCCTTGCGTCATTGGACTCATCGAAAAAGAAAACATTAATGGTTTGTTGGAAATTCATGAAATTTCTCTGAGAAGTTCTCAATCGTTGTTATAGGGTGAAATGAGTAATGCATCCAGTACACATTCATTGGCGAGTGTTGGTAGTTCAAGAATACGTAGTGCAAAAGAGTAAGTCAAGTTAAGCGACAGACGACTTGTTATATGTGCAACTAATTCTTTAGAACGGGATCAAAACAAGTGCGAAGAGAGAGTGTTGGTAAGATATTAATTATAGAGCTAGACAAGAACAAATTGTTCAAATTAAACACTATGATCTAGATAAACAAGGTTCATCGAGTAGTCTTGCTCGGTCATCAAGTGCGAATGAACTTGCTCTACGCCAAAAGAGTTCATTATCAAACAGTACGTTTCTTCGTGCGCCGCATTTCAATAACTAGTCTTCTTTTTAGGTTTGAATGCAACGAGTATTCCAACAAAGACCAGTAAATATTAGTGAACAAGATTTGAATTGTCTACTATCTCTGATTTGTTCAGGTCGAACTCGATACCTTCCTCAACAATCGGGTGTAGTAAAATCTACTTCAACTACATCACGTCCACCCCAAACGGTTTCCCAATCTCAACCGGGCAGTCGTTCAACATCACCGAATTCATTGCGATTGTCATATCTATCGTCAACCCGCACGCCAACTAATACCCGCTCGCGGATACCAGTTGGTTCCAACGGAGGTTCACGAATATCAAGTCGAGAATCAAGTCCAGGACGGACAAGTACGTACTTCTTCTAAACTCTTTTTTTCGACTCTGTTCATATGTGAAAGTTAAAAAAGTTGACGGTTCAATACACTCAGACATTTTTCAGCTTTGTCTTCTAATGGTATCAGCGGTAATAGACGTCGATCAGGACGTAAGTTTAGTGTAGGAAAACCTGTGTACATTTATGTTGTGTGCTAACATCGTAGTTGTGATCTATTGATTAATATGAAACTGATCAACTGTTCTCGACTGAAATGCATGAATTTTTATTTTACAGGATCGTTTGGTTACCGAGGACCAGGAAGTGATTATGGCGATCATGGCAATCAACGTCGTGTTAGTGGTTCTTGGTATGGTGACAGCGGAGATGATGCATCCGAAACGTCAAGTATTTGTTCGGAAAGATCATTGGAAGTATGTGTTTTCGTTTTGAAAGTGCTAGTTTATTATATTCGAATCAAATTAGGATATTGCGGACGTATTACGTCGTATGTCAAGTAATGAATGGGCTGAACGTAAAGAAAGTTTATCCAGTTTATACCATATGATTCGTGCTGGTCGTGCATTTAGGTAGAGCATGATTCGATTATGTAAATCTGACTTAATTTTGTATTTTTAGTCCGCCAGAAATGAAACGTTTGACCGAATTGTTAACAAAGCGTTTCTATGATTCCAATTCACATGTATTTGTCGCATTTCTTGATGTTTTACCTGAGTTCATCTTTGCGTACAAACGCGAATTGAGTGATTGGCTCTATGCTCTATTAACTCGTTTATTAATTCGTTTGGGTTCTGTCGATTTACTTGATTCGGTCGCGAAAAGGCTGAAACAATGCTTAGCAGTAGTTAATTCTTCATTTGATGTTCATGCACAATTTACAGTTCTCATTCGTTTCATTAACGATAATTCATCTGCACCAAGCGTTAAAGCAAAGGAAATTGTGCTTCGTTATTTACAGCAAGTTATTCAACATATGGAGCCTGTCGATATCACCAACAATAATGATGTACGTACAGCTCTATCGAGAATTATCAATTGGTCAAGTGAACCGAAAAGTATTGAAATGAGAAAAGTAAGGAACACTCGAAGTTTAGTCAATTGTTTCTACGCGATCATTCCAGGCAGCTCAAGCGGTTATTGTTGCTGTGCACAATCTTAACCGACCGGAATTCAATTTGATGCTCACGACATTAGCGCAAAATTGCCAAGTAAGTACTTTTCCAGTTCGTCAGTCGTTGGATACTCACTTTGCCATGAACATAGTGTTCCAAAGCACTGAAACTCTGTAATCGAGAAATTTCGAGAAAAACAAATGTATTGTATGGCACAGCTTTTATCTGACATTGTTAAATGCACTTTTATTGAACATTCTAAGCGAAAGCGTAGAATAAATCCGTCGACGATCGTCCTTAAAATGACGTGCTACATGCTGATGCAAATAGATTTTATCTCGAGTTTTCCTTGTTAGTTGTGTGGATCAATTCACTAATCTGAGCATCCATCTGAAAATACATTTCTCGTTAGATATTAAACGATTCTAAACTTAGCAAGAAAAATGTCGAACGCTTCCTCCGAATAACTAATTTGTTTCAAATGCTACGATGTATTTTTGATTCCTAAAAATAGTACCAAACAATGTTTATCATTTGCAGGATGCCGCAGCGAAAATCATTCAATCTGCCACTGATTCACAATCGCAACTCGACAACAAGTAACAGAAAAAAACTTTATTTTTCGATACATTTTTTTACCTAACTCATTCTCTGATTTCTCGTCAGATATGACTTTTTTCGACGAACAAGTCTCTCTGGTTTAACATCACCTATGGCATCATCCATGCATTCTGATGTTCAAGCGCCCACATATGCATCTGACATGCGTATTCTAATGGAGAATATGCAAGCTTTGAATGTGAATCACCGGCAGGATGAGTTATTAGTTAATTCAGCATCGTTGAAAGAGAAAGAACACCGATCAATGATTCCCGTACGGCATCATACATCCCACATGTATCACTCACGAACACAACAAGCAGAGCCGTCAGATGTACGTGATCTCAGTTGGAAAAAATCTTCGTCATGACTTTGTCTTTTCTTTACGGCGTAAATTTAGAGTATTTCTGACGCACCCGATCGTCCTGAAGCAATCGACAGAGCACTTAACGTTGCTAATAATAGCACTTCAACAAAAGATCAACGACAGCATGCTCTACGTTGTGTATTGAAATTTGCCAAAGTAAATGATGCCGAAACATGGGATTTGGCATTTAGTAAAACACTGAATATATTAACGCAAATTCTCGATAATTCGGCTGATGAAGTTCTCTATAAAATTTACAGTTTAAGAATCTTGCGCGAATTATTGACGCATCATACGAATCTGTTTATGACTTATATCGAATTAACAATCTTTCGCATATTAAAAGCGCAAAGTGAAACTGAAGGCGAAGTAAATATTTGCAATTATAGAGAGAATTATTCTAGTTCTTCTTCTTTCGAAGATCACTCGTTTTGCTGAACAAGCAGCTCATGCTGCTGCTGAACATCTACCACCAGAGAATACTGTTCGTGTGCTGAAACCAATCATTGAACAAGCGAAATATCCAATGAATCAATCAGCTATAACAATGTTACAGAAAACGATCGAACTGATGAACAAAGAAATCTGCATTGAATTGATGCCTGAAATCATCCCACCGCTCCTAACGGTAACGTAACTATTGTTTTCTCTTCGTCTCGATTAAAAAGTTCTTGACATAAAAAGGCGTGGGACAGTAATTCCCATAATCTCACCGGTGGAACCAGTGTAAGTGCATGCGAGTTCCGTTGGATTGTTGTTTTTTTCATACAGGAAACGAAAACATCAATGCTTCTTGCGAAACTACCCGCATGTTAAAATGCATTTAAATCAAAACTGCTTGACATACGAGAAAATCAGTGTTTACTTTCGGTGAAGACTCACCAGTCGGTTTCTATTTTAGTCATGGGACAATGAAACATCAAGCGTACGAAAAGCAGCCGTCTTCTGTCTGGTGTCGATTTACATGGTCGTTGGCGATACTCTTCGCACACATTTACATAAACTAAGCGCAAGCAAGGTGAGTTTACTCGAGCACGGTTTTGCAACTATGTTTAAATACGAAAACTAACGCGTGAGGTCATTATAAAGTCATTTTATCCATTAGGATTAATCTGCAGTCATCAGATACATGAGATCGATTTGAGCGAGATTAGAATAATTATTCTGCCTTGTAGCATTTAGCTTCAGTTAGGATCGTGAGTAAATGATAGAATATCGAATAAGTTCATCCTTTTCGAAATATTCTGCATGTATCACATGACAGGGATGAAAGAAAGCGCTTTTAAAAAACAGGAAACTTACTTAATCCTCCGAGAGGAAGTAATGCTGTGCATCTACTGACTTACTTGTATATGTTTGATAGTCAAAATCGTGTTTGACCTGCTCTAGTCGAATAATCATTGATTCAGATCTCATGTCATTTAAAAATCCATTCGAAACAGTTGTCATTGTTGTTAAAGGGCATTGCAATAGACATATTCTTAACCTTTTTCTTGATAGTTCGAGAAAAGTTAATGATAATCTTCGTTTGAAATATTCGCATAATTACTGTGTTATGCATCGAGTTCTATTAAAAAACAAAACGGCATACGCTTGTAAAAGTCGGTTCAAATGATCACCTCAGGATACGTTTGGATTCTTAATCATCCGCAATGTTAGCCATTTTTTTCGTTGTATCCAGTAAATTATTAAAAAGATTTTCATCACGGAGTAATAATTATCCGAGAAAATACTACTTAAGAACATATATTATAATCGGCTCGGAGAATTTATATTTGACTTGATTTGTCTTTTTCTTTCATCGAATGCTGAATGGAGTATCAATCCTGTTCTTATCTTATTTTTAGCTCAAATTATTAAATGTTTACATCTCAAAAGCTCAACAACAAACAGCTACGAGCAATTCTGAAAAGTCAACAGCATCAAATGGGCTTAACAATAATCAAACTTCCTGACATTATCTTCCTATTTTTCTTTTATGTGTGTGTATTTGTGTGTGTGTGTACATAGAGAGTTAGTCTTTTTACCTTTCTATTAACTTAATGTACGTGTGTCTTTAATAAAAACAAGGGAATTTCTCTCGCAATTAATGGCTGGCTGGTTCGAACACGGACAGCAAATCGTTGCCAAGGAGGATGGCTCGCGGATAGGAAAACACTCAATAACTTTGGCGAAGATCTTCTTCACGCCTATTTGCCATAACAGAAAAGAATTAGCAAGATCCGTTTGTCTAGCTGAAACATATGTATATCTATTTATGTGTGTAATCAATTGTAAAATGAAGAGACATCGACGGAATATTCGTGGTTAAATTCATTAAATAATTATATTGTTAGTAATGCATGGTTTATCGGAAATAATTATGATATATCTTCGAGAAGATTCGTCCATATTTCTCCATGTAGCATTGAGTGGGTAGAAGAGGAAAAATGTGAAATAGGAAGGGGTTTTGTATTCGAGTAAGGAGATCTGACATATCATTTTGCGCGATTAACAGATGGGCTAATTGTAAATTCTGTTCAAGAGATAAATAGCATCTGTTAATATTGTCCTATTATGTCTATGTATTGATTCATGATTGGAACGAATATTTATATCAATTAGTAATATATTATTACGTGAGGAGACTTTTGATAACCGATGAAAATTGTTTTCATCGGTTATCAAACGCGGTTATTTTTCTTCAGTAGTTGCCAGTGCAGATTTATATTCTTTGAACTTGTGAATTATTCATAAACAGTTTTCTTCTTTTATTGTGCTGAAACTATAGTTAGCATTCTTTGTAATGAATAGGAAAGTAAGGTAGGTCTATTCTTTCGAGATAGAAGTGTATGCAGTCTTTATTATTGAATATGATACATATCTAGGCTTAATTTGAATAACAATTCATTTCCGAAGAAGATTGCAATAAGAATATTAAAATCTGACAGAAAAAGAATCTCTCTATAAATAGAAATCTTTCGCTGGAGCAAGACGATTATCTCCACGGATAACAGAGATATCTTCTGCGGAGGCAGAGTCCGTAGACAAGGCAAGCACGAGAGAGATGAAGAGAGAGAGAGAAAAGAGAAGAAATACTTTTTCTCTTTCTCTCGTTTTCTGCTTCTTCTCGAGTCTCATCGGTGTCATTTCTTTCACCTTCAATCCGTATTCAACATTATCTTCTTAAGCCTATCTTGCATTTCAGACTCATCATCCAACATGAAAGTGTACTTTTTTGTATTCGTTGTACTTATCGTTTTGGTACAAACATATTTCTCCAATGCCGAGTTCTCGGAGAGCTCGTCAGAAAACGACAATCTCAACCGGTAAGTGGATCAGACGTTTCCCAACATTGCCCATTCTAAATATTTACATGATTGCAATATTCCGTAACATGCCGAAGAATAAACAAAGTTAGATGAGAAGTACATTCGATGTCTCGTCCTAACGATTATTTTTGCTCATGCTTCTGACGGCAAGCATTCTGTTTGATGACTATGTGTTTCGCGCATATTTATTTATCATGGAGTCGACTTGTTTTTCTGACTGTTTATTAAATCAATTGATTAATATCCACGTGAGTGAAGTTGTCAGTTTGCTTGAAACATTATTCAATCAAATGTGTAATTATATTCCACATCTTACGTTTTTTTTTGAAAAATCTGTTTGTCATCAACATAGAAACTTTTCTTATGGATCTAATCAACAAAATGCTCTTTTATTTCTCGGTATTTTCGAAGGTTCATGAACAAACGCTTGAGCTCACAATGGGGAAAACGTTTACAGACAATTTGGGGTAAACGATCTGCCAGTGATAATAACGAATTATATCAACATATTCTTCGCGAACTTTATCGACCTTCGGCACGTATGCGGCAATTGGAACAATCTCAAAATTCAGTTGACAATGACCGTAGGTTCGTACATTCGAATCGATTTGTCATTGGTTAACATGTATTCTTCTTCGAACGTTTTTAGCGAATCATTTAACTCTTGAAGAGTTCATGGCACAGCGTTGAACATGAAGACAAATGCCAATGCAAAAAGAAACGGAAAATATGTTATAAAAAAAAAAGATCCTAAAGAATAATCTTCATCCTTTTTTCTTTAACTCTGAGTTTTTTTTCTTATATATTTTGTGTCAAATTCTACTGCAACAAATAAAAGTCAACTAACGTGCTGTGAATCTTTGTTATCCTTAAGTATATATTAAACTCACTTCGGAAGAAGATACGTCATTTTGTTGAGAAAAAGAGGTGGGAATAATCTGTCCGTGTGCATTAGCAAATTCACTTGTGATATTTTGTTTTCTCGTTCGAAATGAATCACCAAAACAATAATGTTCATACTTTACATATTTATCGACAATTAAATCAGTTTTATATCTAATGTCAATGTCCAAATGGCTTGTTTTCAATTGAAAACTAATTGTATCGAGTTGATTAGTTGCATAGATCAAGGTGATGCAAATGTTAGAGATTCTCACATCAAGGACGTGCGCATGACTTCATCGTCGATATCCGTTTGATCTTCTTGTTTTATACTTTTATTTTATCAGACTACTCGTATATCTCAGATACTTTTTACGAAGTATTCATCTCTATGACATAATAATCAACTCTTTCTCTATTTCGCCACGAATGACTGCACATTTCCTTCGTTATCATGAGAAAGTACTAGTAGAATAGAGCAAGACAAACGTGAAAAATTCGATGAGAACAAAAAAGACATGAGATGTTTATAGAAAACAACTAAGAAACTATTCCTCTGACAGTCGGCGTTTTCCAATCCAAAACAGACTTGCATGACAATGGCAATATACACGGTAAGACGTTTTTGTGTCAAAGACGGGGATTTAATCAAAGAAGAAAACTAACATCGAGAACCCGGCGATCCATTGCATGTGCTGTAAATACAGTAACAAACCAGCTGTAAATGAGAATATGCCAAGTTCCAGTGTCTCGATTTTCGATGACATAGAACGTTGATGTTTTTATTGAATGCGCTCCGAATATTAAACATTTTTTTGCGTTACTAATTTGATTAACTTCGATGTGATTTACCTAAGTCAAAACATGATTCAAAGCCAAGTTAAGCTCGTTTTACGTCATCTCGATTAATAATTGAGTTAAATTCCGTCGTCTTTTCTACTTATGCTATTGTTTAGAAAAATTATGTTGATTTCAAACGAGACAAACTTTCTTGAAATCGTCACTTGGCACACTTTTAAATAGAAAGAATTAAAAGTTCATGTCATTAAATCGGAATGAGATCAAGATATTCCATAGAGAGAACAGAAACAAAAGAATTACAGCAATCGTATAAAATAAAACTTCTATGCTGTTGAGTTAAAGCACAAAAATGAATCTACGAAAATATTGAGAAGAAAAGAAACCCGAAAATGTAACTTTAAAAAAAAACGGCTGTTTTCACAGTTTCCTATGAAAAACAACAACGGAAAATTATGTTATAGAACTCGATGTACTCCAAATTATGACTGAATACATATTGTTTAATCTAAATATGCTGAGTTAAATTGAAAAGAAACAAGTCCTTTTGATTATCAGGAAGAATAGAACAAAAGACTGAAGACAAGCAATTGAATATTTTCTACCATAAGCCTATGAAACAACGAATGAGTTTGTGAGGAATAAAAGGATCGATATGATCAAACCTTTCGATTGGCCACCAGGTGGTTGTTGAACACGAGTTGATTTGCGTTGATTACGATCGTCCCATTGATCACCCGATAGAGTAAAACTCGAATCTAGTAGATTTCGACCACCTAAAGTCGTAAGTAAAGAAAAACGATAAGAAAAAAAATATTTTGACACATAGGATTGTTCTCCTACGGACCAGAGCGCGTTGCTGGTCTGTTATGAAATCCAGCGGAAGCAGCATTAGGCTCACCACTACTTTGTGTTGGCTGATCTTTTTGATTATTTGCTACAAAAGGTTTGGTGATATCAACCACTTCACCTGTATAAGGTTCACGTTCGATCTTTCGTTCTTTGTAATGCTAAAAACAAAGATTTCGTTTTGATTTGATTATAAGAACTTGAAAAATCCAACCTGATCACGGAGTTCTTCACGTTTATAGAGTTTTTGGTAGACATACTCTGCGAAACATGTCGTTTCAAGATACTTGCCTGAACCTTGCACTGTATTTAACTAGAAGAGCAGAATTCAACCGGATACGAACATTTTTTATCTGAATACAAACTTGGCCATTCTCATAAACAACTTTTCCCGCAACGACAGTTACGACGGGCAGACCGCGACATTCCATCCCTTCGAAAATATTAAAATCGCAAGCTTGATGATGAGTCGATGCTGAAATTGTCTTCTTTGCTTCACGATCCCAGATAATGCAATCACCATCGGATCCCACGGCAATACGACCTTTTCGTGGGTAAATGTTGAATATGCGAGCAGCATTAGCACTTGTCACAGCAACAAATTGATTGGCATCAAGTTTACCCGTTTCCACGCCTTTCGTCCAAATAACTGCTAAACGATCTTCAACACCATTGACACCATTAGGAATCTAAGAAAACATGCTGTTCTGTATAAGTTCAACTAGTGTCACGCTAAGTGAATTTACTTTGCGGAAATCATCTTTGCCAAGAGCTTTTTGATTAGCATTGAACGTACAATGATCAGTGCCAGTTGCTGAGAGTGAACCACTAGAGTATTGAAAAAGTTTAACACAATAAAATTAATGGAATGGTAAGGAGAATTTACTTTGCTAGAAGATCCATAAGATACGGACCAGTTGCTGCATCGTCACGTAAAGGTGGCGACATAACATGAGCAGCAGCGTGACGCCAGCATCGATTAAAATATTGTGAACCATCTGTTCCTAAACTAGCGGCAATAGGTTCGCCGAAAACGACTTGGCCTGAAAAGTAATTCAACAAATGTTCCTGTGTCGAACTAAGAGTATGTAATAACAAATCAAAATCTACCTTTCAAACGAGCGGCCGTGACTTTATCAGCTGCTGTTTTACTCATAACATGAACAACATAGAGTGGACAACTAGAAAATAGATTAGAAAGGCAATCAAGTGATAACAGATAAGTTTAACATGAATTTTTTTACCGAGTTTGTTCAGCAATAGTTATAGCACGGTTTGTTGCTTCAGCTTCAAGCTAAATTGAACATATCCAACACTTAACTTGATCGGGACACAAAATCGCTCGATCATACCTGTTCAGGGCGACTGAGAAGATGGCCCTCGGGTCCTGTTATACCTAATTGAGCCATTTCTTTTTCTAATTCTGTAATCACTGATCCATTCTCTGCATGGACCATAGCAATACCACCGAGTTCACGACATTTGGCAAATACTTGGAAGATCTCGTCATCTTGTAGCATGAAGACACCTTTGTAAGCCATGAAGACCTTGAATGAGTTAATGCCTAAAGGAACAATGTTATATAATTACAATTAAACATTTGAACGGAAACCTTTTTCCTTGGTAAGTACTTCCATATCTTTAGCAACTTGTTCGTTCCATGTTGTAATCGCAGCATGTAAACCATAGTCACAACAAACTTTAGCATCAGCACGTTCACGCCATTGAACATATGCTTCGAGAAGTGATTGCTCTTTTGATGGTATAACGAAATCAACTAAAGAAAAAAAAAAGGCGATTGCATTGCATTCATCATCGGAATTAATTCTATTGCGTATCTATAGCTAAATGATGTAACTGTCCATCGGTGGGAATTGAAAGAATAGTACATAATTATTCAATGAAGATTATGGTGTAAGAAAACACCAGCGAAGAATTATATCGATTAGAACATAAAACCAGACGAATTCGTTCGCATCACTATGATTATATCGAGTCAAGTGAATAGATCAAGTAAACGCGAGTATATAAAATGAAGAACGAACGAATCACGATTGACAATTTCTCACACATCACAAACGAACTCATAAAAAAAATGAAAGATGAGTTTTCTCTTTCGTGATTTACATGGTTAGATTCTTGTTATTTTGTTCTCTTCTACTAGATATGCTATGATCGGCTTTACATCGGATACTACTGCAGTGATTATCGGCATTGTCACGTTCCTTACTTCAATTCTGTTCGCAATTCTTTGTCTGCATAAACGTTCGCATTCAAAAAACGAACCACCTCTCCATGCAGTGATCATCACTAAACATTTCCAATCAGCATCTTTTATCAACAATGCTTATCATAACGATATGACATTAGTAGCTTCATCTCGGCGTTTAGCAATGCTCGAACTAGACCAACAAATCGATGCAATTGCATATGAAAATCCGACGGATTTAATCAATTCAAAGGCAATACGACTTTAGTTTTTCAGTTTTTATTTTCTTTACATACGAATGGTTGTTGTTCCTCCAGCGACTGCGGCTTGAGTGCCAGTAAGAAAATCATCTACTGATCTTGTCCCCATGAAAGGTAATTCGAAATGCGTGTGCGTGTCGATGCCACCTGAAAGTCACCAAATGCTTTCTTCATCTTTTTTTAAATAAATATCGTTGTTTTATCAGCATTACCTGGCATGACCAATTTGCCTGTTGCATCGATGGTCTTAGTTCCATTCGGAACAACAAGATTTAGACCAAGTTGTCTTCAAAGACACAAAAGTAGAACGATCGTACATAATAGAAAGTTGTTGAGTTACTTGATTATGCCGTCTTCGATGTAAACATCCGCGAGTGTACTCGCGTCATCATTAACAACTCGACCACCTTTGATCAACAAGCGTTGTTGAGATGCCTAAGTCAGAAAAATAGATTTATTAGTATATGATTGAGCGGATGATTTTCTTTGGCGTCAAAATCTAATAGAAAACAAATAGTACGATGGTGTAGTTTACATTATTTTTCGTTGTTGGCCCTTGAGGCACTGAAGGAATAACAGTAAATAGTGTCCGTGCATTTCCTGTCCTTGATATAGAAGTTGTTGTTGATGAATGAAAAGGCGACGACTGTTGTGCATTTTTAATAACATAAAAACTCGATTCAGGATACGAATGATGAGCTAATTGTTCAGTGTCAGTTTTGGAAGGAATATAATGGAAACAGGCTTTGGCTGAAGACACTTGATCTTCTGTGTCTGATAGAGATGACGACATCATTCTTCTATTTTATATTCTGAGGTTAGTAAAAAGAGTTACTTGGGTAGGAATGTTTCCCTTACAACTAACATCTCGACTAGGCTTTTTTTCTTCGCTCCTCAGTTTTTCTTTCTTCTTCTTCTTCGTCTCACGATCTATCCGACTAGGTTCATTATTTCTTTCTCCCCTTCTTTTTTTTTGTTGTTTCTCGTCCTGTCAACATAGAAAAGGAAAAACTATAGATCCTGATCGATAAATAAATACTATTTCAAAACACAACAACACTCTTACTTCTGACTTTAGCGCTGCGGCTGGTTCGTTATGTTGATTTCTAATCGGCATGAGTGGTACACGAAATGAGTATAGGAAATCTAGAATGAGAGACGATATAGAAAGTCGAGTTCTCTCTTGTTCAACTCGACTCGATTGTAAAATGTGAACCAACAAGTGTCAAATGAGTTGTCAACAACGTTCGAGATCGCGTCTACACACTTACGTTACGTCTGATATTTGTTTAAGGTATACATGGTGATCAACGAACGGAAGTGTCACATCACAATCATATCGAATGATTGAACTCTATTGTGTAAAGATCGACATTCAATCAAAACTGTATTGAACGCGATTTATTCGCTTTCTCGTCGCTGTGTTTTTTACTTTTCAAAGAGAAGAAGGATAAACTGTGAGCAGAACAAATGTAAAATTTTAATGGCAAGCCATTCGAATATGATACCATCACTCAATGTACATACAGCTGAGCGAAATTGAACACGATTGTCGACAGCTGAAGCATTCCTTCATTATCACACAAATCAACAATTTCAAGCACTGCCTTGTGCGGCAATATCTATGAACAATTGTTACATTCGTAGAATTATCTTGGAAGTGTTTGTTATGCAATGAGAAAGGGTCCTTATCATATGAGAATAATTTTTGAGTCATACACTCTTTAAAATTATGGAGGACATGGCCTACATTGAGTAGCCGGTGCTTACAGACACAGGATTGAATACATTCTGTTAATTGTAACATTAATCATTTACCTAGTAACAGAAAAACAAAATCCAGCCGCTCTAATGAAATTAGTATTAATCATCTTGAACTAACGCCCTCTATCCATTTGATAAACGATTTTGCAATATTTGCTTTGGAATTATTTTTTAATACGTCTAACTTGCTTTTTATATGATAAATTCTAGTGAATCTACGTGCTTTTTTACTTTCATATACGTGAAATACAATTCGAGATAATAATCATTTATATACGTTTAGACGTTTCATTCACGCTATTATATTCTTCTACGTTCTTCGTACAAACAAACACCAAGAACGATTGAATAATTCATAATGGATAATAAATCAGCTCCAACAACGCCAGGTGTTTCAGGTGTCGATGAATGGCATGATGCATCAGCAGAAAGCAGTCCAACAAACGAAGAGTCTTCGTCGAAAAAAAAAGCAAATACCGGAACAGTTGATAAACGTTCTATGCAATTTAGTGGTAGTCTTGATATAAATGTGGACTTGAATTTAGGTCCTGCACCGCTGTCTTACGAAGAAAAGGCAATCCAAGAGCGGGAAAATTGTGATTATAAAACAAAAATCACCTTAGACATGGCGAAAAGTGGAACAGCACCACGCAAAATTCGTATTTATGCTGACGGTGAGTTGAACTTCATTGGTAGTCAGCTCAGATTCGATTTTTTCTCTTTAGGCATCTATGATTTATTTCATGCTGGTCATGCTCGACAATTAATGCAAGCCAAGAACATCTTTAAGAACGTTTATCTACTTGTTGGTGTTTGTAATGATGATTTAACACATAGTAAGAAAGGCAAAACAGTTATGGACGAAGCAGAACGTTACGAAAGTGTGCGACATTGTCGGTACGTCGACGAAGTCGTCATTGATGCACCTTGGGTACTTGACGATGAGTTTTTAACACAAAATAAAATCGATTTTGTTGCTCATGATGAAATCCCATACGGTGCTGAAGGCAGCGATGATATTTATCAACATATCAAAGTAAATCTCGAATCATGAATTTGGGATTAATAGTTTTCTTTCCGACGTCATTTTAGGCTCGTGGTATGTTCGTTGCAACTCAACGTACCGAAGGTGTCTCAACATCTGATATTATTTGTCGTCTTGTTCGTGATTATGATATGTATGTTCGACGAAACTTAGCTCGGGGTTACTCGGCTCAAGACTTGAATGTTGGTTTTCTCAAGAAGAATCAACTGGAATTGCAAACACGTTTGGATACAGTGAAATCAAAATTTCGTACATATGAGGAAGAATCCAAAACATTTATGGAACGATGGGAGGACCGGAGTAAAGAATACATTCATAGTTTTATTAGTTTGTTCGAAAAATCAGGTGTTTTGCATTTACTTCACCGTTCTCAATCACCATCTATGATCGTCGGTGGTCACAGTGGTAAAAGTGACACTGAAGATGAAGATATTGCTTCTCAAAAGAAATCATCCAAATCAACGCATGAAACAAGATAATTCTCTCATCTAAACAAGAGTTTTGTTAGTTTTTATATAGAAATGTGCATAACATTGATGTATAACTTCTCTATCTTTCGGTTTTTTTTCTTGCCTCGAACAAATATTTAACAAAGCGTCTTATATAAAACTTAATCGATTGTGATCTCGTTGTTTATTGTGATTTCTGCAAAACATTTCAAGTATCTGCTAACCAAAATCTACCGTTTGCTTCTTCATTCAGTTTGTTTTCTTGTTATTCAACCAGTTCTAATCACTTTCTTCTACGAGTGAAATTAATAACAGAGAATATATGTTTTATTGGCTCGAAGCATTCTCTCTTTTCAAGACTCATATAACAACACTAATGGTATGATGTCAGAGGAAAAGAACCGTTCTGTTAGTTCAGTGTTCGTATATAAATAATCTTGCGCGATGGAAGGAAAGAAAGAAAGAAAGAAAAGGAGAAAAAAAATCGTCAAAGAAAAAAAGAAGTTCTAAACAACAAAAGAAAAAAAAAGTATTCGTCGATGTTGGTTGGTGCTTGATTCTCGTCTCGGGTATGTAATTCATTTCAGCGATGATTCGAACTGTGTGAAATAAAAAGAACTTCTTACTCAGTTCGAAAGTTCACATTGCAAAGGAGAAAAGCATCGCTCTATTAAGCAGTTGCACAGCGTTTTGCATGCATCAGATGAGGTCGCTACCAATTCGAATACAAAAAAGAACTCGAGTTGTTCTCTGTATCAATCTGTCATCGCAATAATTTCATCGACAGTTCGCGTTGCTTACGGGTATGATTAGATAAGACTCGCCGAGATGATAATAGTTTGTTATTCACATCATCCTTTCTAGCTAATGATTAGTCCATGTATAGAATAAATAGATGCAGTTTCTATTCCGATTCGGATCAAGCTTAGTGCTAAGTAAATCTCATGAGTTTCTATCATCGATGGAAGATTTGCATGAGATATAAATAGAAGCATCAGTTTTTTTGTTTAGAAAGTTTTGACATCTCTGCATTGATATGCGATGGACAAACGAATCCACATGAAACGTTCAGTTAAGCTGAAGTGTCGGCATTATTTACTTCATTTTAAATGGCCTTTGTTCTGTTGTTTATTTTTACTTATCTTCATCTCGTTGAACTCGATGAGTTTTCCATCGTTGAGTTCTTCTCCGGATGAATTTCTCGTCCCAATCGAAATTTCGTATACAAATGTGATTTATCCAACCGATGTTTTCCATAAAGATAATGGTAATATTAGTATAATCAATTATTTCCAAAGAAAAAATGAATTAAAAGCCATTGATGATAAAAAGGCGATTCAGAACAAACAAAAAAGGATTATACCATTAGAGAAAGAGAAATTGGCGGTGAATTCTTATCTTATTCTCGAATTTACACGTGTTTTCCAACATCCACGTTTCTGTTCACATAAAAAACACGACATTTTCGGACGAACGTGTCCCTATACGAATTGGTACGTTAAAAACCCGAGCTCCTCCAACGAAAATCATGTCCGATTGTTTGTTCTAGTGAATACACATGTGATCTCAAACGTGAAAACGAATCAAATGTACTTCTAATGCACAAACGTGATTTAAATTTCGAGCAACTCGAAAAAATGACCCGTAATCCGGAACAAATCTGGCTTCTATGGCATGACGAATCTAACGAACAGTCAGAAAACATCAATCGCTTCAAATTCAACTGGACGGTGACATATCGGACGAGTGCAGAAGCGTCCTTAGGTGCATACGGTATAACTATTGTCAAACCGAAACCATGGTCGATTAAACAATTGAACTCATGGATCGACAGTCAATTCACCACTAGATATAATCAAGCTGTCTGGTAATGGATTTTTCTCGTCTTCTATGAACTCCGATAATCAAAAGAGGCATTTATATGAATTACTCGAGGGAGTGGATTGATTTGACCGAGATCGTGCTGACGTTAAGTGATAATCTTCTGTGTTTTCTTTAGGTTTGTATCGAACTGTCGACCGCAAAAGCGTTTGGCGAAATTTCGTTCATTCCGTCAGCATTATCCGGTTGCTGCATTCGGCAAATGTATTTCTCCGAACAATTCATTTTCTCTCAACGCTCAATCTCAATCGACAAAAGATTGTGATCGTCAGTCGTCCTGTGAAAAAGCCTATCTAACAAAATCGAAGTTTTACCTTGCTTTTGAATCACAATCCTGTACGGACTACATCACAGAGAAATTCTGGCGTACACTCTCCGTCGGCGCCATACCAATCGTTAGCGGACCTGAACGAGAGAATTTTGCGCGTATTGCACCGCCTCATTCGTTTATTCATGTCAATGATTATTCCTCCGACAAAGAACTAGCCGATGCGTTGCATTCAATCGAACAAAATCGAACTTTGTATGGAAAATATCATGCATGGAGAATGTATTATGATGTTTACTACGAAGCGAAAGATGTAGATCCGTATCGATTTTGTGAATTATGTTATCGATTGAATACTAATCGACAACGAATTTGGTACGAGAATATCAACGAATGGTTTTTGGAGAAATGTTGAATTTGAATGAACTTGCGATTTATGTCAGATATGCCATAGTGCTCAATTGTTTTGCTTATACTTTGTTCTTACTATCAACAGTGGTCGTGATGAGAAGTTTTTGCTTAGAAAGTCAATAAAATCTGTTTAAGCTACTTGCAGATGACTGTCTTGAATTTGAAGAACTATCGATGGAAATGTTAACAATATTTGGAACGATTTTCATGCTCGATGATGAGGATTTCTTTTCCGATTTCAGTGGAGAGATAGATGGTTTGATTGTAATCTTTCGGCCGTTTTCTTCAGATAATCGTTCGAATATATCGACAAGATGTTCGTCACCGATAGACAAGCAAAGAGAGATAAGTTGTTGCTCGATTTGCTTATTCATTTCACGCTGTACTCGAACATCAACATCTTCCTCATAATCGTGGTCCTTCATCTAAGATGAAAACTTCTACTACACGATCCTTTTCTGGTATTGATTACCAACCCGTTGATTGATTCGAGCTATTTTCATATGATACTTATCGATTTCATCTTCGAATTTTCTTGCAATCTCGTGCTTATCGGCAATAGCGATTGAATTGCGCTGAATTTCATCTTCTAATTCAGCAAGAGAATTCTGTATGGAAGAAAAAATATTATTCTAGCGACGAAATCTTGTTATCCTACTGATTTATGCTTGTCTATCAATTCCTTTAAACATTTCCGACGGATTTTTACTTGTTCAGTGGCAGCTCGAAGATGCTCTTCAAGTTCTTTCATTTCGCACATTTTCTCACTCGATTCGTTCAGTTTCTCAAACGTCTTTTTCACATCGGAGTTTTTCCACTTCAATATTTGCACTGTATTCTCCAAAGCACGCAATTCCGTTTCAGCCTTCATCACTAGTGCTTCCAATTGATCACCTTGTTTCAACAGATCTTCTTTCATTTGAGCCGACTATGCGACACATAAAGCAATCAGACGTAGACTTCATCAATTCATCTACTTTAATGATATGTTGAGCTTGAAGGAGAAGATTTTCTTCATCGGAGCTGACAGTATTGATGATCATAGCGTAACCTTCATACCGTTGCTTTAATTTCGTGATTTTAGTTATGCGCATTGCTAATTCCGTGGAAATAGTCGCTTTTTTCGTTCGCTCATCGTTGTAGCGTAAACGAAATAGATGTGTATTTGCTTGAACTTCCAGACGACGTTCTTTCATCGCCTAGATGAACGTATAGGAAATGTTGTCTGTGGAATTTAACATCTACTTTTTGTATTTCGATTCGTTGTTGTTCTAAAGTAGAATTGGTTTCACTTGAGTTATGTAGAATGTCTTTCAAATGGTTTAATTCCACTCGAAGAAGATTTATTTCGACTAAAGAATCCTTTAAACAAGAAATCGAATGATTTTTCTTCGAAAACAAGTTTTTACTTCTTTTTCATCGTTGAGTTTCTTCATCATTTTGTCACTTAGATTTGTATAAAGGTCAAACTGAAGAAACTTTTCGTTGAACTCATTCTTCTCTGTATTCGATTGATCGAAATTCCGTTTAACAATTCGTAATTCTTCGTGAACAACTTTCATTTGATATTCTAATTGATCATGCTCGGATTTTTTCTTTTCGAAATCATTTTTCAATTGACGAATCTTCGATTCAGTTTCCGAACTCTTCTCGTTACTTTTTTCACCTAACAATCGATTCAAACGTCGCTCAATTGTTTGTTTCAGAAAGTCTTGATGGTAAATCAATTCCTGTTGTTTAAATAACTGCTGATCGAGTCTATGAATGTGATTTCGAATGCTTTGAATCTGATTTCGATACGTTTGATTGTTAATGTCAAATTGTTGTTCGCGTTTTCGCAATGAAGACAACTCATTGTTTAGTTGAAAGAGATGTTCGGAGAATGTTTTGAATTGATGATTGAGACTAGTTTGATATTTTCGTTCGTTTACCAGAGATGTTTCGAGTTTCGATAGTTTCTCTTGAATAGTGATGTTTTCGTTGAGAGTGAACTGTTTACGATCAAGGATTTGCTCTTGACGTTGTTTGAGTTTAGTTAGTCTGAGATAGAAAAGAAAGTTTTGCGTTGATAGAAAAGATGAAATATGTACTGATGTTCTTTGAGAGACAGAGTCGCCTTTAATTCATTGAATACAACACGTTCACGTTGTAATTGAGTTTCTGTGTTGCTGAGAACCGTTTTCAATGAAAGTATCTAGTAAAGTGTTCATGTTTATCTTAGTTCTATTTAAGAAGTATTGATTTACTTCGGTTTCTAAGTTGCGATGGTTATCATTCAACGTCCTTTGCTTTGCTTTTAATGTCTTCACTTTATGCTTGGCCAGACCGATCAATTTCTCGGTTATTATGTTATTCTTTTGTTCACGTTCGTAAAAAATTTTCTGTTCGTTTAACTTTTGTCCGCTTGAGCGAAGTTTGATTTTGATTTGAACTAGTTCCTAAATGTTTTCATCGTTTTCTCCTTCGGTTTTCACCTAACCTACTTGAGCCAGTTTATCGATATCATTGTCTTTCCTTTGCATTTGGATGAGAATAATTTCCCATTGTTTAATCAGCTGTTGACGTTGACTATGAGAACGACGGAATGTACCCGCTATTTTATCTAATTCAACTTCTAAGATCGAGTACACAAGTGTTTCTTCTTCGGTAGCTCGTTTCAATTTAACAGATTTTTCAGACAAACGTTCAAGTTCGTTCGTTAATTCCTATCGAAAAAGGAGAGCGAGATGGAACATCCGAAGGTTTTTCGGTTTACTTTGATTCGAATATCATCTTCTCGGGTATATCTTAGGAAATAAAATGCTTCTTCATCACGTTTTTTCATCGATTCCATTAGATTTTCTAAAATTTCTTTTTCATTGCATGTTTCACTGTCAATCTTCAGTATTTCTGCCTTCAACCGGCTTACTTCCGACTGATACGAATGCATGAAATGAAAACCCTTCGTTAGTCGTTCGAATCTAATTCACCTCGAAATGAGTTTTTCTCATGATGAATTTCTTCAATTGATCATCCAGGTGTCCATTTAGCCGTTCTAACCGACGTATTTCAACAATATCGATATTTAAATACGATTGTTCATTTGTTTTTTCCGCACGACGTGCTGCTAATAATCTCTAGGAAAAACAAATATTGATTAAACACACGAGATTGTCATGAAAATAATCTTAAAACTTCGATCGTTTGAATTTCTTCTTGTACGATCTTTTGATGATCTTCGAGTAAATGAATCCGATCGATATTTTCATCAATATCTAATTGTTTCCTTGCGAGTTCTTTCGTTTTTGCTTCAACGTTCTCTTCCAACAGACGATTTTCATCATTGCTCAATGCTGCTGGAATTCGAGTATCGACATACTCATCATCGAACGTCTTCCGGCTTCGAAACCAATTCGAAAGAGGTTGAAAGTTCATGTTAAGAGTTTGTCTGAGCGAAGGCGCCACTCATTATCGACAACATTAATTATTTTCAATACGTGTTTAACTGTCGTTGAAAACTGCTTGAAATTAATTAATGCCATTGGAAAAGACAAAAAGTTAGAAACAAAAAAATGTCATTTCTACCTTTTTAATCACGCTCCGTAAACATTCTTTGTGGAGTTAGAAAGACGAGATCTTGTTAGGTTACTGTTTTTGACAAAGAAGACTATACGAGTGAGAAAAAAATCTCTCATATTTTTGTTCTTTCGCTCTTTCAGAAGTCAAGAATATATAACGGATTAGTTGTGCGTATTGAGTCGGAAGTATGACACTGGAATTAGAATACAGCCCAAGTAATTTGGCTTTTTATACAACGTGGTGGTTAACGTCAAAATCATCAAATTTTTGCCTTAAATCAGAGGAGAAGTGTGTTACTTTTCCACAGGTAATTCTCGAATGAATAATAAACATGTTTTTAAGTGATTTTTTTGTCATTTTAGATTGTTGAAAAGCCAGAACCGAAAGTAAATTGTTGTCTTCCAATAACAAAACTCCGTATAAAACGATAGATCGACGACAAAGATGTGCCTGTTTTTCTCGACAAAAAATCATGAGAACTTTCATCTTTTCTTGTTGACATTTACAACAGTGATTCATACTGGTCAGACATAATTAGAGTTTTACAGCTTCTCGAAAGGCAAACATATTCTTTTCTACAGATTTAATCGATGCTTATTCAGAAATAAGCAGAAGAATAAACCTGGATGTTTTTGATTGATTTCAGAGATTGTATGAAATAAATATTGTTTTTCCAAAACAGTTTAATGGTGGAAATGAAAGTCTTGTCTATTCATACGTTCTTTCAGCAGTACCTTAATTCACGCTGTTATGTTTCTATAAATAGCCTTATTCACCGATAATGCAATTCACTGCTCCTTTCTCACTTGAAAAGAAAACATCGTAATCCTTTTTATGAGTTACTATTTCGTGGGTTGAAAAGTAACGAAATGTTTTTTTTCTTTCGTATTTACTCTGACGAAAACTTTTGCTTTTTTTATTTGGTTAACAGAGCAAACGAAACGAAATGAAATGAATACTATACTACTTCATTTCAAAGTGCACGCAGCATTTGCAAAGAGAGAAAAAAACGAGTAGAGCACAAACAGATTTTCAATGTTCACGCGAAAAGCCGAATCAAATCCCATGTTTCCAGAAATATCTGGTGAATCTGAATCCAATGATCAACGAAAGATACAAAACGTTGTTCTTGTTTGGTTGGATGATAATATCGAGACGAACAGCGAAGATTCTCAAAACACATTAACAAAACTTCAGCAAATTGTTAATAACGTTCATACATTCACTGACAACGATCAATGCATCGAATTTATAATAAGCATGAGGGACAACAGAGTATTTCTAATCACTTCAGGAGCCATTGCACGTAATATCGTGCCTTGTGTACACGACATTAGTCAATTGAATTTGTTTCTTATATTTTGTGCTAACAAGGAATACCACGAACAATGGGCAAAAGATTGGCCGAAGATCAGAGGTGTTTTCACAGATATCAAACTGGTCTGCGATACTCTGAAAAACGCAGCGCGAGAATGTGAAAAGAACGCTATATCAATGAGCTTTGTCACATCTGACAAGCGGCCAGATCAATTACCTGCATCGTTCATGTACACACAATTAATAAAAGAAACATTATTAAGAATCCAGTTTGAAGAGTGTCATATCCGAGAATATTTTGACTATTGTCGCAAATTATTTGCTAATAATAAAGTGCAACTCGATACAATCGACCAAATAGAACAAAATTATCATGATAAACTACCAGTATACTGGTACAGTTACGTTGGTTTCATGTATTCTATGCTTAACCAAGCTTTAAGACTGATGGATACAGATATAATTATACGAATGGGTTTTTTTGTTAAAGATCTCCATCAATGCATCGAGCAACTGCACAAAAAGCAATGCATGACTCATCACTTCCCTCCCAAATTTACTGTTTATCGTGGTCAAGGATTGTCAACTGCAGAATTCCAACAGTTGACGCAAGCCAAAGGTAGTCTACTATCGTTCAACAACTTCTTGTCTACGAGCCTCGACTATGATACTTCTGAAGCCTTTGCTGCGAATAATGCGAACAACGCTGACACAATAGGAATTCTCTTCCTGATCGATATCGATCCCACACAGACAACAACTCCGTTTGCATCAATTCAAGAGTATAGTAATTATAAATCCGAGGTAGAGATACTATTTTCCATGCATAGCATTTTTCGCGTGCAAGACATCAAACCTGTTCGCCATAGAAATCAACTCTATGAAGTACCTTTGGCACTTACCAACGCCAATGATCCACAGTTAGTTGCGCTTAGTAATTCCATCAGACAAGACGCCTTTTCAAATGCCGAAGGGTGGTCTAGTTTATGCACAATACTATCCGCCCTCGGTCAGCATTCCAACGCAGAACAAATTTATAACAATAGACTGGATCAGGAAACAGATCCCCATGTTCGACATTCACTACAAAGAAATCTCGCCATCATCCATAGTAAAAACGGAGCATATCTAACGGCACTCCAGGTTTTCGAGGAATCGATCATTATCGACGAGAAAGCTCTACCTTCCAATCATCCTGATTTAGCCTCCTCATACAACAACATCGGGTTAGTTTATTCTGATATGGGTGAATATCAAAGAGCACTTTCATCCTACGAAAAAGCTCTGGCGATTCAGCAACAAATTCTACCTTCCAATCATCCTGATTTAGCCTCCTCATTCAACAACATCGGGTTAGTTTATTCTCGTATGGGTGAATATCAAAGAGCACTTTCATCACACGAAAAAGCTCTGGCGATTCGTGAACAAATTCTACCTTCCAATCATCCTGATTTAGCCTCCTCATACAACAACATCGGGGCAGTTTATTCTCGTGTGGGTGAATATCAAACAGCACTTTCATCGTTCGAATCAGCTCTGGCGATTCGTGAACAAATTCTACCTTCCAATCATCCTGATTTAGCCTCCTCATACAACAACATCGGGTTAGTTTATTCTCGTATGGGTGAATATCAAAGAGCACTTTCATCACACGAAAAAGCTCTGGCGATTCGTGAACAAATTCTACCTTCCAATCATCCTGATTTAGCCTCCTCATACAACAACATCGGGGCAGTTTATTCTCGTGTGGGTGAATATCAAACAGCACTTTCATCGTTCGAATCAGCTCTGGCGATTCGTGAACAAATTCTACCTTCCAATCATCCTGATTTAGCCTCCTCATACAACAACATCGGGTTAGTTTATTCTCGTATGGGTGAATATCAAAGAGCACTTTCATCACACGAAAAAGCTCTGGCGATTCAGCAACAAATTCTACCTTCCAATCATCCTGATTTAGCCTCCTCATTCAACAACATCGGGTTAGTTTATTCTGATATGGGTGAATGTCAAACAGCACTTTCATCACACGAAAAAGCTCTAGCGATTCGTGAACAAATTCTACCTTCCAATCATCCTGATTTAGCCTCCTCATACAACAACATCGGGTTAGTTTATTCTGATATGGGTGAATATCAAAGAGCACTTTCATCACACGAAAAAGCTCTAGCGATTCGTGAACAAATTCTACCTTCCAATCATCCTGATTTAGCCTCCTCATTCAACAACATCGGGTTAGTTTATTCTGATATGGGTGAATGTCAAACAGCACTTTCATCCTACGAAAAAGCTCTGGCGATTCAGCAACAAATTCTACCTTCCAATCATCCGAAATTAACGTCTTTACAGGAGCTCATGACTTTATTGTATTGTAAGTTGAATAGTTATTAGAAAACCCATGGGCTTTGAAGTCGTACAATATCGAATGGTTGACAGCCATTGCGAGCACTGCAGCGGAGAAATGTTTCAACGAGCTGTATTGATAGCTCTTTTTAATTCCACCAGTAGGAGATAGTTGTAAATGTGTCGAAATTTGTTGATAATCTTTGATCGAAACTCATGGATGAGCAACCATGCATAGGAGTTAACTATTGAGTTTAGTCCAGATTTAAAAGCGAGATTGTTTTACAATCGTATCTATATGAATAAATGCACACTCGTATTCGAACCGAAATGATCAAGTTATCATTCGATAGAATGACTTGAAATGAGACGAAGGGAAACTTCATACTGATGACGAAATGCAAGTAGTTTATTTATGTGTAGGATGTAATCGACATATCTACGTATACATCATACTGATTGGCATGATCATTTTTCAGAATCATGTGTATGAGTGAAAGCAGGGAATAGGTTGCGTATCAAGCTTGAAAACATAAATAAGTTGCATTTACCGTTGATTCAGCGATACTTGTACATTTGAGTTATCTTCGAATCGAAAATATTGTATGTCCAATGTTACGAGCGATTGTAATATGATTTTGAGTACGAAAATCTTCGATTGCTGAAACGAGTAGTATGAGCTCAACTTAATTATATTAGAGCTTGTTGAAGTCTTCTAAATAACTTGTCCAAACAGAAGGACACGAAATTGCTGAACCATCGAGCATATGGCTGTATTGAACAATCCAACAAATCAAACTCGTTGAGACGTATTAAATCACCGTCATAACGATGACAACTGTATTTTGACTACCATTCTGATTTGTCCTTCATTCGAAAATATCAGATTTCTGAAACAATCCATCGTAAACCACATTGAATTTATATTATTTCATTAGCGCGATTTTACTGACTGACACCTGACTTTACTGTAGCTTACCGGAAACTATTAGAAGGAGAAAAAACGACTTGATTAAATGTATATGATTATTGTAGGAAAGTGCTTTGATTTGAATAATAGAAAGGATGTGGAAGAACATATTTTCTGGAGCGTAGCAAGTTCTAAGATGAATACAATAGATTCAAGTTACTCCTGAGTAAGAAAAGAAAAACAGAGCGACTCGAAAGCGAAGAAATCGTCAATTAACAATATAAATTCTATTTTTATACCATTAGACTGAAGTTTGTTCCATCTGAAATCTAATTTGATGTTGAAGAAGAAACACTTCGACCTAATCTTCTTTTCTTCGATGATGAATGTTACTAAATCTATCATTCCGACACATAATTTCATTTTCGATCATTTGTTAACAATTCAATGAATTAATTATTAATCGTCGAACATATTTCATTTGCTCCTCTCATGTCACAAATGGAAATTCTTTTATACAGGAAGATTTTCTATGAGTCAAAAAGACATTTTCATTAGATTCACTGATGAACATCCCGTATTTTTAATTTAACATATAATAAAACAGATTATTATGACGCAAAGCTAGAAAAGATAACAAGTAATTAGTCAAGCATACATTATTAATCATCAAGATGAGGTGACATAGTGCAAATATTGTCAGACGCATCATAATTCTCTTGAACGTCGTCTCACATTTCGTTCTTTCCCAGCAACTCAACGAGTTTTCATGTGCAACAGCAATCCTCTGGTGCGATGTCATTTCGAATCAAATCAGATCGAAAAGCAAAATCTGAAAATCTATGTTTGAATTTGTGAATACAGAACCAAATTGATTGCTTCACGTTCTTCTTCTTCTTTGCAGTCGGTCGATAACACACTAATGACTAGAGATAGTTAACGACACTGAAGAAAAAAACTGCCCGACAACTCGACCGAACCTCTCGTCTGATTTATTAGACATCTTCTCACCCTCTTCATTCTTTTCCCTTCTGTTCTTCATACAGACTACATCATCTATTTTCATCATTGTTGTTAATATAATAATAATAATATTATTACTATTTTCGAGAATGGTTTCTCTCCCTCTCTTCCCTGTCGGTTTTTTTCCTCTTCGATATTACTTTTTTTTCTCTTCTTCTTCTTCTTCTCCTATACACCCTAGTCATTCAACTCGTCAAGAATAAACAAAGACAATTTAACTACGAGAATGACGTTCGTCTACTGTTTTATTTGATTTTTTCCCCTTAACTATCATTGCTGTCGACTAGGCATCGGTGCACACATATGGAGGAAGAGAAAAGGAGAAAAAGAATTGAATTCGTTTTCATTTTCGATCAGTTAATAATGTATCATACTGCTGTTTCTCATCTCATTTTTGTTGTTTAGAGAAGAAAAAGAAAGTGATTAAATTCCGCAAAACATCTTCTTAATTAACTTTCCCTTGTTATTTAATTAGACAAAGACAGACTTATCGATCTATCTGATGAATAAGGTAAGAAACATTTTCATCAGCTGACACAGCGAAGAAAACTTTGAAACCGAGAAAGAAAGTTGTTAATCTCCTTTTAATTATTATTTCTCATTCTATTGACATATAAAAGAAAAAAGAGAAAAGAAAGAACAGCCGTACGATTTGGATTTTGTTGAAGAAAAATTGGAAGACTAAAAAGAGAAACGACTAGATTACTTTTTGATTCTTATACGTATACACATGCATACATGAATATATATATATGACCATACCCAAGTCGGTTAATGTGTTGGCAATTAAACTTGGCCTATCTCTTTTTTTTTCTCCTCTCATATAACGCTATATATTCGTGAATATGCAAATCGAGCGCGAATAAACGAGGCTTGTATTTGTGTTAATCGCCGATCATTTTCTCTCTCTCTCTTTCGTTCCCCTTTTCTTCGTTGCACTCTTCTCTTTCTTTTTATTTTTTATAGACATTGATAGGTACTGGACTGATGGCGATGGAAGCATCATCGAATAGTCGAGATGGTTTATCATCAACATCATTACAGTTATCTGTTGAACAATGGGAATTACTTCGCCGTTTGCGTAATAGTCATCTCACGAAAGCGCAAATCACACGAGCTTATGACGAATTAGATCGACTTGATCGTGAACTCGGAAATCTTTTTAATACAGCACCTTCGACTGATCCTGTTTCACCGTCAATGACCATAACGCAACAAATATCTCCTTCGTCATCCTCAGTAATAAATCAGAATAACAAACGACCGCATAGTCACACTGGAAATGGGTTAACCAGTCGATCAACAACGAACGGACATCATTGTAGTACCCCGGCAAATGTGAATCCAGCACGTCCAAGAAATTCTACTAGTGAACCGAATTCCACCAATGGAAATCAATATGAACCTTTGAATTCGAGTGATATCGAAGAAGAAACAAGAGAATTGCAGGAATTAATTTCGTATGTATCAATCGTTTATTAATTTTTCGCAGACAGGATATGAGTGAATATTGATTTCATATGACGTGAGAGGAGAGATATGAAGTGAAACCTTAAAGTTCAATCGAAAGGCTTGTTGCTATGTCTTATCGACCATTTTTTTTATTACTTATTATCATCAAGTAATAAATATCAAGGTTGTAAACTAATCGACAAATAATCATAAATTAATTTATAGCTTTTCTTTTCTCTCGTCAAATTCACATTACGATCTTATCATTCGTCGATTTTTGACTATTAGTAATCGAATAATTATCACACGATTTAATTATTTGTCGCGATATTTTTCTTTTCTAGAAAAGGTGATGCAGCTATTCATAATGAAATCTCTGTTTTTGTGTATCGATATGACCTAAAGCAATCACAAATAGCTCGAATGGCTTGTAAGATTTGTCCGAGAGTCGTTCAAACTTGCTTCTTTCGTCTTCTAGCCGTCAATCAAGCATATGTATCGAAATTTCTGCGAGGTGATCTATTCGATTTGTCCGAAAATGGCCGAATGGCTATTTGTCGATGGTATATTCGATATCGAAAGATTGTTCAATCGATAGGTACATGCGATACTGCTGACCTTTGAGTGAATGTTCAATTGAACTTGTGTGTTTTTTAGGTGGTGGTCCACCGTCCGCGGAAATAATGGCGAATTTCACGTCTGGCGAGCCTCCAATAAAAGTACCACGTCTTGCTGAATCTCAAACGAATAGCAATACGTCCTCTGCATCATTCGATGCGCCAAAGCGGACGCGGTTTACCTTTCGACCTGAGCATCTTGATGTAGGTCATTTTGTGAATAAAAACGTTGAATTCTGTGAACTTTTCTAGATTTTGGAGAAAGCTTTTCTTGATAATCCCTATCCTGATCCTCGCCGTCGGGAAGAAATTGCTCGTATATGTAACGATGCGCGAACACGTGTAGACGGCAACAATGAACTTTTGACTGATCGTGATCGAGTGACAGACGCTATCGTTACACACTGGTTTCAAAACAAACGCAAAATGGCTAAAAGTCAACGAGGTATATTCAGCTCTTTTCTCACTCCCTCTCTCTTTCAACAAATCTTCATCTTCATTCGTTCTATAGCTTCAATTCATGATGAATCACTGCCGTATGGTCTGTCAAATAATAATAGTAATAATCACCTATCGGCAATGAACGATTTCGAAAATATCAACGGTGATGAGGATGTAAATATTCATCAGCAAGCTCAACCGCAGAAATCAGCTGTACCTATCGTTGATATGGATTACTACGAGACACCATCATCGTTACTCGACCCTCAAATGGCTGCGTATCGAGCAATAATGAGTCGAATGGTTCCTTTTGCCAATAATGTCAACGGAATTCATTCGCCGAAGCGACTTGTCAAACAAGAACCTTTTCAGAACGCTGACGAATCAAGTCAAGGTGAAGAATCGAATTCATCATCACCATTAAACGAGCAGTTATCACCGTGAATTTACACATGAAAACAAAATGGAAATTTTCTTTATATAAATATAATTCTATTCTTGTTTATTCTAGTCTCTCTGTCTGTATCTGTGTAATGTAACACATACATTCCTTTTTTTTTCTTCTTTTCAATATATAAATATAAAAAGAGATTTTTTTTCGCATGTAGAATGAAATATATATATATTAGTGAATGATAGTTGCAACTAGATGAATATTTAATGAAGAGTTTCACGTCAAAATTCTTGATTGAACTTGACAAGAATATGTTTCCGCTCTTTACGGATAGATGATACTCAAGGATCTACGCATGAGTTGAAAAAGTTGCACTCGAAGTAGAAAATTTGGTATTTTTTTTTAAAAGAAAGTGAAATGATGTACATTTACTTCGTGTAAACGAGAATAAATATTGATTTGTATGTAACGAAAGGTAAACAAATGTTTAGTGAAACGTTAAGTAACGATTCCAGCTTTGCACATTTATAAATCTACTTAAAGCTTGTCTGAGTCGCCTAGTGCATTAGCTAATGAATTTTCAAAAGGGAGAATTTTACTCGGCGACATAATAATAAATGAATGTCAATTATTTGTGTTCATTTTATTAACTTAAAACGCTGCCAATCTGAACAATTGTCAAAGGACAGAAAAAGAAATTGACGGAAAGCAAAATAAAAAAACACTCCTAATTACATCAGAGCCGAACTCGATGAGAATATATATATATTAGGTCCTATAGTTAGAGAAAACAAGATAAATGAATGAGATTCACTCAACATATCAACCGTGCAATATGACTAGTTCATGTTGCTTTCCTGTACACAGATCTCAACGAGCAGCCATCACACCAAGAGTGAGAACATCATTGCATAGTTGACATACTCGTACAGGTCTCTGTAAATTGAATTTCATTATGGGTAACTCATTCATTGAACAACGTTTGCAGAGAACCCGTCCACAATGTCGACTGAAATATATAAACATTAAAAAAAAAGGAAATGATAGACTTCAGAAACAAACCAGTGATGTCTGCGATTGGTGATTGTAAACTTCACTCCACATTCCAAACAAGTTTCACTTTCACCCCATGGTGGTTCACGAGGAATAACATCTATTTGAGTTCAACTGTTTGTTTTCTTGCACGAAGAAGAATTTTATGATTACGTACCAAGAATATTGACGAGCAAAGCTTTACTTGCGGCTGGCATGGTAAATATAGAAAGAGATTCATGGTTGCAAATACTTAGATTAGCACCCGCAATGACGAGTGCACGACATAGTTGTCCGTGACCATTTTTATATGCTGAGAGAAGAGCTTAAAGGAAAGACTCGATGAGATTAAATGACGTCGGTTTCCGTTTATACAATATACCTGAATTGCCTTGCGTATCTTGAATGTTAAGAGGAAAGTTTGGATAAAATTGTAACAATGTTGCAAATATCGAATGCGCATTTTCCATACTGTAATATGCCAACACGTGAAGACAATTCATTCCCCTAAGTAGAACAATAGAATGCATGACCTAAGAAGTTGTCTTCGTACTTATTATTCAGCGCGAAAACATCAATATCTGATTCGGATAGCAATCGACGTACGACATCCAAATGGCCATGTTGAACAGCCAAATGAAGTGCTAAATATTTCACGAAATTACACTGAATATTTATTGAATCTGAATAGAAGTTTTACCAGTGTTTTGATTCGCGTCGGATAAGTTTGTTTGAATATGATTTTCGATGAGAATACTACAAATAAAGCCACGATTGTTTTCCGATGCAATATGCAATGCAGATCGACGGTTGGCCGTAACATCATTGATGTTTGCTCCGGCTAGTAACTAGAATATTTCGCTATGCTGACAACAAAACGCAAATATATGATCGTACTAAATTTCTGAGAATAATTTCATTCCCTGTTTGAACGCATAAATGTAATGGTGTTAATTGACTGGCATCTTGTACTCGATTATTTACATTGACGTGGACGGTTAGGAGGAATAGAACACTTTCGATATCACCATTTTGCACAGCTATGTGAAGAAAATTGCGTCCTCTGTTATCAATCTACATGAAGATATTCCTTGTATTGTATGAATGTCGAGAGTATCTTCCGAAGTTTACCTGTTCCGCTGCTTTTGGTTCGCGTTTGAGGATAAGATTTGCTGCTTCATTGTTCTTTGAGACGATTGAACAAGCGAATGCTGTTTGATTTTGTTTATTACGAATCGACAGATCAAGATTGTGTGCACGAATCAAGAGATTTATAATATTCAGATGTTGGTTGATAATGGCAACATGAATAGGAGTATTTCCTTCGGCGTCCTACATTCCAAAATCATCAGGTAAGTCGAAAGATTCAACATGTTCATTTCATACTTTTTTGTTAATGTCTGCATGATATTCGATTAGTGTCGAGACAACACGTTCGAGACCCCATTGACAAGCTAGAGAATGATGGAGAAGGAAATGACGAAGGAGAACCGATTGAAAATTTACCGAGATGTAGTGGACTTTCAAGAGTTTTACATATATCAGGAGCTTCACCATTCGAACCAACCTGACGCGGTGAATTGATATCACAACCACTAGATAGAACAAAGGTAAAGCATTGAAATTAACAATCACATTCCGTCTTCGCACCTTCGAATAAGAAAACAAGCGACACTCTCATTATTTTCATCAATCGCTCGATGTAATAGTGTTTGTCGACAATTTTCTGGTCCACTAGACCATCTACAAACATAAATACATTCGTTCTCATATAACATCTGAGAAGAGATATCTTCAAATCTCATACTGTGTACTATCACAACCAAATTTAACCAATATCGTTGCAATGTCTTCTTGTCCGGAATCCAGGGCATTCCATATAACACTATTTCCATTTTCATCGATGATATTCATCTGAGCACTGTTGCGACAAAGAGCTTCGACAACAGAGGGTAAGTGGTATTTCACCGCTAGTTGTATCGGACATAAACCATGCGCTTTGTGATTAACATCCACATTTTGTTCAAGTAAAAACAGAGCGGCTTGAACATTTTGTTTGATGATTGCTTGCGCTAACAATGGGATTTGTTCTGAGTCGGTTATATTGATTTGTGCATGGCCAATTTGTAAGAGTTGTTTGGCAATTGGTAACATATTCATCCAAAGTGTGAGAGAGAACACACTTTGACCATGTTCATCTTGTAAATTGAAATTCGGTCTGAGATTACTCTCGTGTTCATCGTTGGTGCTCTTCTCAAGAATGTTTATATAGATATGAAGTATACTTTCTTGTGCGGCATAAACAGCACGATGGATCGGCGTTTGCAGACCGACATTTTCATTAACTTCATCGGCTACTGATGAAGTCATAAGAGTTTGAATATTCGGATCAGCACCATGTTCTAACAATGCATTCGTCAGTTTCTCTAATCCATACTGTGATGTTAAATGCAGGGCCGTCTCGCCTTGTTTATTCGTATGGTTAATCGAAGCATGATTGTTGATGAGATAGAGGCCAGCAGATTGATACTGATGGCGAGCACATTTATGAAGAAGTGAATCATTCGTCAGTGGATCAACAGCATCGATACTTGCACCACGAGCAACAAGTAGACTAGCGAACGTTTCAGTATTTAAATCTAGCTCTAAACACCAGAATGAAGTTATGCTATCGCGAAGAGGACGAAGGCGATTGAACTTACGTTTACGTTCTGCTTGTTGAAGAGCGAGCCAAAGTGGAACATGATCATCGATATTTCTTTCATTCAATGACAGATTTTTCACCTTCAATAATTCATGAAAAACACTCATATTTTCTGCTAAAATCGCCCGGTGTAGACATGTGTTGCCTTGTACGTCTTTTTCATTGGCATCTGCTCCATATTCAAGCATCAATTGTGCAACACGGCACATACCATTCATAATGTCCGTTGAAAGCTCATTAGGATTCAAACTACTCAACAAATGCAATGGAGTTTCACGTTTCATACTCGTTTGATGATTGAGCAAACAGGAATGTTTGATTAGGAACGTTGCCGAATGTTCGTCACCTAAAACCAAAACGATCTCTTCGTCTATGAGAGAAAGTAAATGCGATCGTCAAACCTCGTTTGATGGCTAGATGAAGTAATGTTTGATTATCCTTATCAATGTGATTGATATCGGCTTTGTGGCGGACAAGATTTTCTGCCATACTATCCTGTTTAGTTTTCAGTGCTAATTCAAATGCTAGTTCATTGTGATCATCGATTTCATTAACACGTTCACTTAACTGGAAGAGAAAATCGATAGAAAAAAGATTTCATATAATAAAAACAGAACTTACATCGGCGTCATTATCGATCAAATAGAGGAAGAGAACATCTTCGCGTTTCATTCGTACAGCTTGATGGAGTGAATATTTAGTTTGCTGTTTGAACAGCTTGTATGTCATCGATGCTGATAGATATTGGAAATCTTCACTAGTGAAATCACTCTAAAGATCGAACGAACGAACGAATGAAATAATCAAAGAATTTTCTCGAAAAACCTACCCAATGTGTACTGATCAGTTGAGTGCAATGTGTGAGAAGCACAGTGGCATTGATTTCTTCGGCTATCTTATAGAATTTTAAACAATTACGAACAGTAATGGCTGATATCAACGCCAGTTCGCATTGTTCAATTAACTCATTCAATTCGAATCGTTTGGCAATTTTCATTAATGTCAAAAGAAAATCTTCGTTTTGTTTTTCGACGATCTCATCCGTATAAACCCATTTGATCAATTGGAATCCCACATCATACGGAATGTCTACAACAACAAAAAAAGCATTGTCTATCGAAAACACGCGTTTCGTTGAGATCAAAACCTGATAGATCAAGTTCAGCTGCGTCATCTAATTGTTGCGAATCCCACTTTCGACTTCGTGCAGCTAGAATAAATCGATGTCCGTATAGAGTTTCACCATCGAGTTTGATTGAAATATCACTTTGAAAAAAAAACAAAAGAAATCAGTTTGGACATTTTCAACACTCACACACATGTTCGATCTTTACCTATACAATTCGCGATTGAATAGCTCAGCAACCGTCTTCAATAACCGGCAGATAAATGAATCTTGATCAAGTTTGGATGTGACATTGAGAATATTATAATTCTTCTCCAATGTTTTATACCGTTGTTGAAGTTTAACATATTCTTCGCGAAGAAGAACTAAATGTTGTTGTAATTTACCGATTTCACCTAGATAAAATTGGAAATCGAATGCAAATCAATGACAGGGAAAAGAATTACCTTGAGCATCACCATTGCTCATTGTTACTGTAAATAAAGTAATAGAGTAGTTTATCCGGAGTTAAATCTAAAGCAACCTTCCAGAATATATAGTATGGATATCTGATCAACTTTCTATGGTTAGAAGTTCGAACCAAAGAAAGAGAGATTACGGTACATAACTAGTGACATCTACTCGTGCTGTACGCGTAAAAAGAAAGATTATCACTTACATTGTAGAGCAATTAAAGTCGACTGACACTTTTTTCTATTGCGTTAATTAATTGAAGTATAAATATAGAAGTTTTGAATACTTCGTTGTTTCAACGTCAGCCAGAATATTTATTGTTCTGAATATTTTATTTGAACTTAGTAGAAAAGAAGAGCAAAAACACAGATCAAAAATGAATTTAATACTGATAGTATATAAATGGATAAAAAGTATTTGCATTGGTGAACTGAGGTGATATAGGATAACTGAAACGTTGTATAGCGGGATAGGATTTCTGTTCCGGATATGTGACGGGCGGTGGAGGACTGAAATAAGGTGGTGGCTGAATGATATAGTCGGAAATAGCTCTGACGGGAACGATGGAACTTGTAGCCGGATGAGTTTTGGATGGTCGTAATCGTTCTTTTCTCGACTTACTATGTTTTCTCTCGGATGATTTAGAATCACGTCGATCGATTATAGTTACACGTTCACGTCTTGGTCTTGTTCGAGATCGTTGAGGTTTATTATCATCGGTCATATCTTCGAATATATCCTCAACGGTTTCGAGTCCTGTTACAGTATTTCGTATCGTTCGTACAGTGTTCAATGTAACATTTCCTTTGTTCTTTTCGCTGGCGTTCGTTTTCAGAATCGATTTTTGTGATTTCGTGCGAGCCGGTTCAATGTCTTGTTTTTCGGGACTAGTCGCTGTTTTCGATGAATGCTCGTTGATGACAGTAACGACAATCTTTTGCGATTTAGAATTACGTAAAGGTTTCGAATCTTGATTCGCGGTTGAATGAGAAATGGAGTATGAACGCGACTTTTTTTCCTTAGGTAAATAATGTATTGAATCAGAAATAATACTCGAGTGCTCATCGATAGATTTTCTGGGTATATCACGATAAGTTGCGTACGGAGTCACGAAACGCCAGTCGACCGCTGGTCTGTTTGCTGGTGGATATGATGACAACGTCGATGAGATCGACTTCACTTTTGCTAACGGTTTCGACTTAGAATCTATCAATGAAAGTTTCGGTTGAGTTTGTCGAACGGATGGATAAGCAGCTTCGTTATACCGTTTATCATATAGATAATTGGTAGTTGAATCTGGATAGATATATGACGCACGATGAGAATTTTGATAGATGGGGAATTCATACGCTGTTGTATCGGGTCCCTGAACAATCGACATGAATAGGAATGAAAAATAGGATAAAGGAACAAACCTTATTACGAAGTTCTTGTTTCATTCGTAAGACCAATCCATCTAGTTTTGCGGCGATGATATCTGGACTCATATTTTGAGGGTTATTTTTAAGTTCATCTGATATCATTTGGGCTTCTTCACTGAGAATGTGCGTTAGTTGAGCTACCGTGTACGAATCCATCCGAACTATTCGATCGTTGTGTGAAACGTGGATGAATTGCTCGTGAAATGTGCAAAAGTTATTATCAGTAGGTACGTCCGTATATATATGCAAATATGCGTATACTCTTTAACTAGAAAAATCTATAAATTAAAAGTTGAAAAACGACGACATAGGCAGTGAGTCAATATTTTACCTCGTCTTTTGAAAATGATTATATTTTGTATTTTGTTATTTACTCTAATTTTCTGTTATTTATTCATTTTATTCTGTCATGCTTATCTTTAATTTCCACTACTTCAGTCACAGTGTAAAATAGTCATGTCGTTTGATCGCAAACTGATAAAGCACACCTTTCGTATTTCGGCGATTGAAATAGACGTCAAAGCATGGAACGAGTAACCATGACATCCGTTCCGTGCAGTAGTCAAATCAATTGCTTCAATTACAATGAACTTGAGAACTTTGATTCTTTGCAAGATGTTCCCACAATCTAAAAATGCAAGTTTCATCTTCACGAATTGATTAGTATAAACTGAAGGATTCTTTCGGAAGAGATTTTTCTTTTTGTTAATTGCATATCGATGACAACTTGGACAAAGACAATTGACCAACAAATGGAATCTTGTCGTTCACAACGATTGACATGATTGAGTTAAGAATTTCGAATTTGATTATGCCTCTGTGTTTTTCCTTTAATTCTTCACGCAAGTTCTGTCAAGATGTCAAAGCTTACGTGAGATAGAAAGGAAGACTTTGTACGAAATGTTTTCAGTCTCTACGTAGGATATAATTACAGTAATTTCAACTGGAAAACGACTTCCTGAGTGAACAAGAAAAACATCTCAATGTGCCACACGCAAGAAAATCTTTTTTATTCAGGCTTTACATCTCGTGTCGGATGAATGTACTTTTGCTTCTACCAGACTACCTTTTCATGTTAATCAGCGTAGACAATAAACAAAACTGACGATCCTTCAATCATTAAGACTTTTATTCATCAAAGAGAAAAGAAAACGACTGTTGAGATTATTTCACATCGATTCGATTACTGAAATTTTCTTCTGTTGCTCGTTTTTTTTTGTCTATGTTATCATTAAAAAGACATTATTCAACATCAATGAAACAGAATATTCCTTTCGCGCGTGTCGAAGGCGATATAAACAAAATCTTTATGAGCTCGACGACGAAATCTGTTGAAATTCATCTAAATCTTCTTCATCGTTGGCGTCATCATCGGGACCTGATGTCGAACTTGAATGACCATCATTGGTCAGATCCGTTTTCAACTAAAACAAAGCATTTCGAAACATGAAATAGCAAGTCGAAATACGAAAGTTTTACTTTTTTTACTTTGTCTGATTTCTTATAGAGACATGGTTCGATTACTACTTTACCGATATTTTGTCGATCGATCAATTTACCAAGAGCGTTATTTACCTGTATACGATAAACGAACATGAATAGGACGTATACATATCTACAGGAAAACAAATCTATACTTCTTCGAATGTAAAGACAGAGTCGACGACTGGCTTGATTTTGCCTTCTCTGTAGAGAAGAAATACTTTGTGCATAATATCAGCTAAATAACGACGTGTCTCATTAGAACCACGTAAAAGTAATTGAAGCAAATTGAAACCATGAATAGATTTGCTATCTTGAAAAAGTCGTAAACAACTTATTTTATCATTTTGCCACCACTGAAAGATACATGATCAAGAAGAGCTATGGCGTTTTTGCTTAGATTCTTTCGTTTTACATACAGTAGACATTCCCTTCGTGAAACCGAACAGATTTTTTACATCCCAACTGAGTAAACTCGATGTACCGTACATGATGTATTTACCATTAAATTTCAATAGAGCAAGGCCACGCTCACAATCGTCGCCAGCCATACAGTCAAGCACAAGATCGACGCCTTCAGGTGCAATTCTACAATTGTTTATCGATAAATGAAAGAATTCAATCGATAGAAACATACTTTTTCACATCGGCGACATAGTCGAAATCATGTTCGAATAAATAGTGAATATGAGCGCGTAAGGCATCGAACTTATGTGAACTCGCTGTTGCAATGATAGTTAAATTAGGCACAAGTTTGGCAAGTTGTGTTAAGGCAACTATGATCAAAGAAAATATTCGTTGTGAATATTTAAATTGACATATAACAGTTCTCTTACCACCCACACCGCCTGCTGCCGAATGAAACAACAATGTTTGTCCTGATTTAACATTTCCAATTTCAAATAGAAGTATATAAGCGGTGAGATAAGCAACAGGAAAAACAGCTGCTTCTCGGAATGACATTTCTTTTGGGATTTTGAAAACGAGATCCTTTTTAACAACGATCTGCTCTGCCCATGCTGAAAAACGTGTCAAAACAAGTACACGATCACCTTTCTAGAACGAAATAGAAAAAAAGAAGTAAGAGACGTCATTTGGATTTCTCTCTTACTTCAACATGAGTAACATTGCTACCGATATCTAACACTTCTCCACTACATTCAAAACCCGGAATGAACGGTGGACGTGGTAAATCTTCCAATAGACCGTATCGACCAAGAACATCATTAAAATTAATGCCACTAAAATGCATAAAAACATCTTTTGTAATTCTCAGTTAGAAATATCTACCAAGCTTTCACAGTAATCAACACTTCTCCATCAACAGGCGGTGGTGGTTTCGGTGTTGTTGTTACTTTGAATTCACGTTTGCCAGTAAATGATTGTTGAATAATAATACATTTCATGTCCGACGAAGATTTGTTTTCACCGTTCGCCATTGCTATTCACTACGAGAATAATACATACGAGTTATTTGCATTGATTCGGATTGTAAAACGAAACATATTCTTGTCACCTCAATTTCTAACGTTTGCCCTCCTCCTTCCTATGCAATAAACTCGACTTGGTCTTATTCTTTAGAAGTTTAGTGCCAATATATGTACGCAGTTTTTTTTTCATGTATCGTAGCTGTTCTTTCTCTCTCGCTCTCCATCCATTTCTCCTATTTTTGCGGTTCCGTTTTTCTTCTTCTTCTTCTTCTTCTCTCTCTCCTACGATATTTATATCTATGGAAAACACTGTTATTATCATCGATTTTTCTTTCTTCAATATTTACTATAAGCACGGAAGAAAAAGAACTCAAGGCTATATTCAATGATAATGGAAATGAGCATTTCTTCTGTCAGCTTTCTAACGTAAATATGAGAATATGACGCCGAACCACGTTCATCTTCATGATAATCTCGAGATCGTCTTTCTTCGAAACGATAATAACGGAAGACAGAGCAACAACAACAACAACAACAAACTTTCCGTGTGCATGCTTACATAAAACAGATGTATTTGTTTTCATTAATGGGCGCTGCAAACGTCAGCAGACCAGGAAGAGTCTAATAAAAAAATTTAATTAAGAGTCAAGGATGTATGCCACTGATGCGGTATTATTCTTAACCGTTCATGCAAACTGATCATTAGCCTAAATCTTCAGCTTTTAATAAACGATGTCATTCATGTCGATGAACGCTCATTAGACATAGATGAGTACATAGGTTCTTTTAATTGTGTGGAACGACACTGTTATCTACTTATGGGAATGTGACTTTAGTAGGGTTTATTGATAAATCAGCAACATTTGCAGACATTTAACATAGTAAATATTTAAAAATAACAAGGACTTTTTATAGTATGTATTCCTAAGGAGAAAACGACATCGGTGTCGTCAGGTTTTACTTACAGATTACACAAAAGCCGACACCGAGTAAATCCATCTTGGTATAGCATGCAGATTAGTGCTACAAGCTAGACTGAGTGTCTCTACCTGGATAAAATATTTTTTAAGATATAATAAATCTCTCTTTTGATTTTCATGCATATGTATCAATTAATTGAAGCTGTCAGAACAGATTTATCTTTTATCTTGCTGTGATAACAAAGCATAAACAAGCACTTCAATGAACATATGCTGGTTAATTGAAAGCGGTACCAAAGACGTGTGTTTTTCTTCTCGCATGAGTTCAAGCATGAAGTTTGTTTAACGTTGGAAGGAGTAAACCATTCGTTGGCAACCATATCGAAGGTTTACTAAGCAACAGAGAGAGTGACATCTTTCCATAGGTTTTTCAACGGGTAGAATAAAGATTTTCTTCTTGAAATTCGTCTACTTGAAATGAAAATCTTGATTGTTCATTCTTCGTTTCCTCATGCATCAGTTTGTTGTTATGAACTTAAAGAAAAATTAATTTTCATATGCTGTTTCGGAAGTGAAACCTTATTATTGTTCTGTTCTGTAACCTTTCTTTCTTTTTTTTTTTATGAGTAACTGTTTATAAACTTCTTATTCTTTTCAGACATGAATATGAAACGAGAACCATGACTGCCGCTACAGAAACATATACATCCTTTGATCGGTCTCCCGCAATTGCGCATATAACAGACAATACCATATTACCGAAAGCAAATCATGATTTTTTCACCAGCCATACGAATGCACCGCGAGTCGTAGGACATTGTTTGGATGGTAAGTGGGGATGTTGATTGAATCGTTAAAAACATTGGTTGAGTTAATTTAGATGCGGATATTTTGACTTTAAAACGTCAATACGCGAATTTTAATCTTTTCGAGCAGAGTTTCATATCGAATTCAGCCGAAGATATCTCTCAACTTGATCGTCTTTCGCATCAACCAGATTTGTTTGGTCAAGGACACCATGAGATTGATGAAGGTAAAGATCTTTTACCTTATGAATATATAATTATTTAACATATTCGTATAGATGATTTCCCGTATGACGATGCTGGTGCTGATTACTTTATCACTATTGAAGAACGTTTGAAAAAAGCTAATGAAGAATTTCAAAAAGATGAAACACCTGTGGAATTAAAGCATGAGCCGCGTATACAGTTCGATGCCGTTGTCAAAGCAGTTGACATTGTTCTCGAATCTGACGATCAAGTAGACTCATCCATGGATGAAGCACCATCAAGCAATACGCATGAATATACTGTCCCACTTAATGACACGAAGCCTAAGGAAGGCTTATCTTTAGTTGAACAAATTAAAGCAATACAATTTCATAATATGCCACCAACAACTACTCAAGAAAGTATGGGCGACCTTTTCTCGGTGCGAAATCTATTGATAATATGAATTCTAGGTGAGCAGTCAGTTTCGTCAGGACAAAATTCAATGATTGTTTCTGTCAATGGTCGATTCGATTTACAAAATGAAGACGATTATATAGCTAAGCAGTCTTTAAAATCGGACAAGGCTAGCCCGGAGAGAATCTCATATTTACCTACGCCACCAACGGAACCAAAGAAAAAACAAGATAAACCTCCTCGTCCATTTCTCGTTCGTCCGAAATCGTCTGAAAGTGCTCGTCGTGTTGATAGCAGTTCTAATAAGAAGAGCAAAGCTGATAAAACCAATCGACAACGCCCGACCAGGTACAATCAAATGAACTGCTCTTTCGACTAGTTTCTATCATTTCTAGTGCCGGTGTATCGAAATCGATTGAGACTTATGTAGACAAGTAAGTTCACATGTTTATATTTGAAAAATTCAATCTTCTGGAATGAAATGAAAAACAGGCCGCCATCTGGCGTCGATTTCGATGAACTTCTACGGGAAGCTGCAGTCAAAAAACGTGCAGAAATGCGCGAAGAACGTCGCAGAAAAGCAGAAGTAGGACATTTTTAAAAAATTTTCCCTGCTAAATGAAACGTGACCTCATAATTACTTTTTGTTTACAGGAGGAAGAGAAAAGAAACGCAGAATTAGCAAGAGCCAAAGAGTACTATGAACGATGGTTAGAAGATAAGAATTCTGAACGTAAACGAATCAATGAAGAAAAACGACTCGAAAAAGAAGAGGAAGAAGTATTTGAACAACTCAAATGTTTTCATCGACTTTTTCCTCATTGCTTTCATCTGTAGGCACGTCGATCGGAACAAGATAAAGAGCTGAACGAATTACGTGAAAAACGTTTCAAAGAATGGCTTGACCGCAAAACACACGAAGCCTCTATTGCGAACCAATTTCAGAAATTAAAAGCCAGTGAAGAGGACATGGCACTTCGTCGCTCATCATTTTCTCCCAATCACATTCAGACAAATGGGAGTGGTGATCACCGCGCATTTCGACGGTAATTTCTTTTCAATAGATAATCGAATTGACACCAAGTCATATCTAATGATATTATGATTCGATATAATTTTGGCAAGTCGCCGCGCATTGTTTACAAACAATTGCGACAGCCTGGACGAGATAAGTGCATATATAAAACACTTTTTACTGAATACCTTCTGAAGGAGTTTCGTACTCATTGACAAAACGTTTTCTCTTGTCTATTTCTAGTTGGCTACGTCAAAAACACGAGCAAGCGCTAGAAGAAAAACGTCGTATACGTTTCGAAATTAAACAGCAACGTCGTCGCGAACGACGTTCGATCAAACGACATCAACTACAACAAGACATTCAACTGGCGAAATCATACGGATACTCTTAAATAGACATTTTCTAAATCTGTATTTATTTTCTTGAGAAACTAAGCACAACATGCGATATATCTTGAACAAATATACTACTAAATAATACGTAGTAAAACATAACGACTAAAACACATATAATTATACATTACTTTGCTACATACATGCAAGCACCAGAAAATACATCGACCGGAACGTGTGAAACGAAAAACGTATAATAGACCCATGAAAAGAAGAAGTAATTTATTGCGACGTTATTTTTCCTCGTTATCGCCTGAGCACAGTCAATGGATGATACAGAATCAAAACGAAGTATGCAAGATAAGTACAGATAACTGTACATTTACATATCAAAATACGTGTCTTCGTCACATAAAAAGCTTTTTTTTTCAATCTGTTTAACTGATTGATAGACGATAATCTTCGCATTCAATCAACGATTGTCAAAACAAGAACACGATCGGCTAATGAGTCGACAAACGTGTTTTTATGTTATTTTTAGTCAATAGGCTAAAGCAGACATTGATCACATTGTTAGTCCTAATTACTTCGTTGATGTTCTTATGCAATCTTATTACGAAATTATTAATCATGACGTATCATTTTTCATTGGAAAATGCTTCGATGCCTCTTCCGACACGCTTCATATTTGTTGGATATAAAGATAAATAAGCATATCGATATGCGAGCGTAACGATGAAAACACCTCTCCTAAACATTACCAAAAAAAAAAGGAAAAAAACGCGTGGGTAGCAACGTCTCTTTGATCAAATCATCAACGATATGCCTTCATTTAATATAACCGATTGGACTACATGAAATTGCACAATGACATGGAAATAAATTGAATTTGTTTTATATATGTAGATAGCATTTGTCGTGCTAGTTGATTTACTTGTTTTCGAAGAATAACAGATATGTACAGTTGCAAAAACACATCTATGCGTGTCAGTTTTTCTCTCTCTTGCTCTCTTCTGCTTTGCGTTAACGAACGTTGATTGATATCTGAGGACATCATTATGACACATTCAAGTTGACTTGTGAGGTGTGTACATGCAAGACGCAGAACGAAGAACATGTTTTTGCCCAATTAACATTTTTCTCCGTATAACTTCTTGAACTACGTTTCTCTTCGACCAAAGACAAGTTCGTTTGTGCGCAAAACAGCTCGACAAAAGGTATGTGCTCATGCGCTAGTTCGAAACATATGGTCGAGTGGGATGTGACTCGCGTTTTGAAAGCCACAAAACGGATATTTATCAGGTTTCTTGATGAGTAAACAAAAGACTCACCTGAAGCCTCATGTTATGTTCTTTAACTTAGTGGTTATTCGATCATAACTTAACAGTGTCATCGGATACTTATGCGCACGATATTCAGGTGTTTTTTTTTCCGTCGTTAAAAAACATCAATAACAAGAGTACAATCACTTGATTTGCTCCTAATAGTCATTTCTTGTTTGTTTTTCATATCTGGATAGTGATAGGAGAGGGAGAAGCAAAAAAAAATGCGAGAATAATCAAGGTTGTTTCTTTTATTTTTATCTCATTCATATATTTATTCTGCATAATACTCTCTTTTCTTTTCATAACGACGTTAACGTGATTATCATCATCATATAAAATCAAGTATCAACATTAACATTATACTTAATATTCTAGTTTGCAACGTCGTTAACCTCCCCTCCGAAGATGTATTCATACACCTCAGCTCAAGTAAGAATCTTCATTTGCACTCGAAAATCAGAATCATGTCTATCTTTTCTCGTAGATGTTCTCGATGCATCAGCATCCACACCTCCAACAGGCTATATACGCTCAACAGCAACAGCAACAGCAACAACAGCAACAGCAGCAACAACAGCAACAACAACAACAGCAGCAGCAGCAACAACAACAGCAACAAGACGCAACTATGTTATTTCATCAGTATAATCAACAACTTCAATTACATTCCATACAAAGTGCGTATTCTAACACACCGGTACCATCTATGACACCGATTTCGTATGTTCAACAACCGACAGATCAACAAAATCAACAATTATATCGTCCCGATCCACTCGTACCACAAGCTGCACCCCAAGTGCCCACACCCGTTCAACAGCAACACTTACAACAACAAATTCAACAGCAAATGCAGCAACAATTGCAACAACAAATGCCACGCTCGAGTCCAATCAGTATGATACCGATTTCGTCACCCGAGATCTGGCACAGCGGTAGTCCCTTACCACCGCCGACTCAAGATGCTTTTCGTCCTATAACTCATACTGTTTCTCGCACAATGCTCGATGTTCTTCCGTTTCAAGCGATAACAAATAACACTCCGTCATCGCCACCAATCAATACCTCATTTGAATCGCCCAAAACAATACGTTTATTTCATACGAAACCATCGACCGAAACTCGACAACGACGTCAACGACTTCATAGTGGTTCAAGCTGTTATGAATCAGACTCACCTGATATTTCTAGTGATGATGATGACGAATATCGAGTAAGTGAGGGTGAAATTTATTTATAGCGCCAATGAGATGCATGTATTTATTTAATGGAAACATTTACTTCGAAAGAATTTTGATTAGTTTTATTTATAATAATGCATATGATCGATGTCCATTAGACAAAAATTGACCTATTTTTTCTCTCTACTTTTCTTAGTGGCGTTTAGCAAGTTCAAACGTTGGACATTCACTTCCGGCCATATCTAAGAAAAAGCGATCTAGTTCGATGGGTCGAACCGATGGCAAATCAAGCGAACAAGAACTCAAAGACATTTATCAAAAGTCACATCACAACAATGGTGCTTTTCCCTTAATCAACACACTTTATCATCATTCAACCAGCAAAAGCTCGAGCTCTTCCAGCAGTAGCAGCCATCGTCCAAAGCTTCTTCAATACATCGATGATAACATTATCGGTAGAGATATAGCATTTACTGGACCATGGGGCTTACGTCGCAGTAAGTGATTTGATGTCCACACGGATATATCGGATATGACTGTTGTAATGTTTCTCCTAGTGATCTATTGTGATTATACCGCGTCTGGTCGAGCATTAGAATTCATCGAGAATTATCTCAAAGGTCATATTCTACCTCTGTAAGTAAATCGAATTTGTAAAAGAAATTAGAAAATGTACTAATTGATTGGTTTTTTCGCTTTTAATAGGTATGGAAATACACATAGTGAAAATAGTTTATGTGCTTTACAATCAACGAAATTTCGCGAAGAAGCACGAAATATAATCAAAAAATCGGTTAATGCTAACGATAGTGACGTTGTCATATTCACAGGCTCAGGCTCGACTGGTGCTATTCATACTCTCGTTGATGCTCTCGATCTTTCAGACGAAACCGCTCGAAAGAATGTTGTAGTACTGGTCAGTGTCTTCGAACATCATAGCAATCTCTTACCATGGAAAGAGTTAGGTGTTGAAGTAAGAGGAAAAACACGTTTGATGTTGTTTTCGTTAATTAAACTTTGCAATTTGTTTACTATTCGTCAAGGTCGTTCGCGTCCCTACTACGCAAAACGGTATACTCGATAAAGCGTTTCTAAAAGAAAAATTACAACACTATTCGAAACTGAAAAAACGTATTATTTGTTCATTAAATGCTGCTAGTAACATAACTGGAATCTTTACTGATGTCGATAGTATTTCTACACTTGTTCATTCCTATTCGGGAGTGATCTTTTGGGATTACGCCACAGCTGCACCCTATGTCAAAATCGATATGAATCCATCTTCGACTGCTTATAAAGACGCGATATTTATCTCCACGCACAAGTTTGTCGGTGGTCCAGGTTCGCCAGGTAAGATGTTCCGAACACAAAAACTCAAATTCATCTCGTTTTATGTATAGGTATCCTGGTCGCAAAACGAAATCTCTTCAGTATGAAACCACCGAAGACGAGCGGAGGTGGGACAGTGAACTTCGTTACTCGTACAATGTATGAATACAGTAATAATATCGAAACTCGTGAAGAAGGTGGCACACCAGACATAATCGGCTGTATTCGAGCTGGACTTGTCTTTCAATTGAAAGATTCTCTCGATATGAATTATGTTCAGACACGTGAAGAAGAATTAGTCAAACGATTTTTCCGTCGTTTTAAAAAAACCGACACATTGATTATTCTTGGCTCTCAAACAGCAGCTCGTTTGCCAATTTTTTCATTCACAATTTACATTCCGGGTGTGTGCAAATATCTCCATAGCAATTTGGTCTGTCGTCTCTTCAATGATTTATTCGGTATACAAGTTCGATCGGGCTGTGCTTGTGCTGGACCTTATGCGCTAGATTTACTCAATGTCAATGATGCTAAAACAGATATTTATTGTATGTTTTTAACCGAAGGAATCTGGTAAGCTTACTTCAGTTCAAAATATGTATTCTTTTTGGTTTTTTTTTTTCTAGCAGTCGAGGGAATGAAAAAGTTGCTCGAACTCTGTTGATGAAGTAAGATTATAGAAGATATTTTCCGCGAGAGTATGATTACATTGAATTGATATTTTAGACCTGGTTTCACTCGTCTTAACCTACCGTATTTCGCTAGCGATGATGAAGTTGATTTTATTCTTGATGCTGTCGAATTTATTGCTAATCACGGATGGAAATTTTTGCCATTGGTATGTCAAAATACTATTTACACATATCATTTCTAAGGATGCCTTTCTAACCCTCTAGTACACATACGATCCAACAACAGGTGCATGGGAACATCGTAGTGGTTCACATATGGCCCAATCCAGTCTTGGTAATATCACCTATAAAGCTGGTCGAATGCAATATTATGCGAAACGAACTGATGCTTCATCTATTCGCCCCGACAAGAATCTTCCGGTAAGTGTATTCAAATGAATTACATCGTTTGTTTATCATTGTCTCTCTAGGACCCAATGCGTGAAGCTAAATCATTGTCTTTAGAAGCTGTTCGACATGCCATAGAAACTGTTGATTACACGTCCGATCCTCCAATCAATATTCCCGACAAATACAAGAATTTGATTTGGTTTGCATTGCCCATTGACATTGCACTGATGATGATCAAACAGAATGAAACGGGACAAGAACCGCATTGCGATGCTAATACACTTCCGTTTGTACCAGAGGAGGGCAAAGTGAGTTCAGCAAAGGACATACATTCAAATATTGTCGTTTGTCTCGTTTAGTCGAAGGTTTATGCGGCATCGAAATCAAAACAACTATCCAATCTACGCGAGACTGCAGTCAATCGAAAGAAGCAGTTGCCTACCCTTTCATCGTCAGCGTCTCGAGTGCGATCATAAATCCATCGAAACGGAGAAATCATTGAACTATATTATTCTTCGTTTTTTTGTTATATTTAGACGTACTGATTCTTCTACTGTGCTTGTATAAACATATTGCCGTTTGTAACATACGCTTTCACTGAGGAACAAAAGAACAAATTTGGTTTTTCTTAGTATTTTAAATAAATTATGGAACGCAAAAATAGGACAGAAGAAAATTCTTTTGATTGATTTTATTCAATGCATGCTGCACGACTTCGTTGCGAGTATAATGTTCAAATCAGTGTGATAAATTACCGTAAAAGAAAACATTTCGTTTTGTCTCTATCGGCTATTCAACAGTTATTTATCGAATTAATTTTATGTCTGACGAAGGCGTTTTGATGGTGACGTAACACAATAGATAACAACGATCGTGACATGATAAAGATATTGTCGTATTATCAGTATGCAAGAGTTAACAAGTCGGTCTGTGCGATTTGTGAAAAAGGTTTTTTTTTGAAAATGCTTAATTTCTCTAAATAATATCCATTCGTCCTCATCATATGTTTGTTTATTTCGTTACTGTCGAATCAGTTTCATGTTTACTTCGTTAAATCGACTATCATATGACTTGTCTCGTGGATGAGTCAGTACGCTTTTTGCTCGTTTCTCTTTATCGTAGTTCGTTCTAGTTGAATCATATCGACGCAAATATAATTATATAGATATATAAAAACGAAAAAAGGAGGGTTATTTTGCTTTCGAGGGCTGCGAATCAGTTGAATCAACAATGACAACAAATAGTAGCGTTCTATCATCATCAACATCATTCTTTGAATCTGATACATGGCTCTTTTCAGTTTATGTTCTCACCATATACGAAATCGTCTTCTGGCTATGTAATAGTTTCTTAATCTTTATCGAGCTAGTCGATATTCCATGGATTGATCAATATCGAATACAGAAACAAAAGAAAAAACTACGTTTCCAACCAGAAATTGTTCGTCTGATGATCAAGGAAACGATCATAAATCAAATATCATCACTCGCTTTTCTTCCAATACTTTACTACACTTTTGAATATTTCGGTCATGTTGATCTTCATGGCAGTCGACCAGCTTGGTCAACCGTTCTCTATCAAATTGCACTCTTCATTCTTTCCGAAGATACAATCTTCTTCTGGACTCACTATTTATTTCACACGCCTTGGTTATACAAGAACATTCACAAAAAACATCACGTCTATAAACAGCCAACAGGTGTAACTGCTGTTTTGAGTGATCCGATTGAAGCTATACAAACGGAATTTGCGATGTGGTTTATGCCCGTGTTTTTGAAAGAAACACATATCTTTACAATATGTTTATGGGTGGCTATTCGCGTCTATCAAACCGTCGCAGCACATTCTGGATACAATTTTCCTTATATAATGACACAGTACTGGCTGCCGGAGTTGATGCCCGGTGCTATTGCTCATGATTTCCACCATCAACATGGCAAATGGAACTACGGTTCATTCTTTTCCCTTTGGGATCAATTGATGGGAACACATCGGCTTAGTGCGAGTAAAACGACTGTGAATTGATTGAATGTTTTTCGAATAAAATATATGTGAAATGTATTTTTGTATTTACTAAGCCAATTCGTTTTTCTTTCATTGACAAGTGAACTACTCGTACATACATATTCCTTTTTGATTCTTTTTTAATTATATACTTATATAATCTTCACTCCCTTCAGACTTTCTCTTTCTTATTCATTAGAAACTAAGAAAAGGGAAGTGTGTGTTATGGTATATGTATATATAAGAGACAGTGGAGAAATTGCTGATAGTAGTATTTATTAGATTCTTACTATAGCCAAGTATTTTTTTTATTCTCTTTCCATTCTTACCACTCACCAGCGTAGACACAGAGAGGGAGAAAAAGAAAAAGCCTATTTTTATTTTAACAACAAAACCGTATCTTTTTTTTTCGTTGATAAGAAAGATTTGACTTCTTCACTGAATATAAATCCTTATTTTACACAGTTAAACAACACGATTCATGATGTTTTCGATATTCTCCTCCTCCACCTTCATTAATCCTGATGAAACATCACTCTGGATTTTGAAGTTTTCCTCACGCGCTGAGTCATAACATGAAATGATTCATCCAAACATCGAATAGTCATTAGGTTGTATTTTTACTAAAAAAGGAGAGAAAGTGGTAAAGGGGAATGAGTCATAGATGGGAGATACGAACTCACTGTGTTAGATACTTTAGATAAATAGACTGTTTTCATCATTTTACCTTTTCAAACGATTCGAGTAACATGTCTTCTTCATCATTCAATGCGTTCCGCGGTCCAAATGCAAACCGATCAGCGGCGTCTAATGATTTGAAACACAACATACGTGAAAGTCGCTGGATTCAACCTGAACAATGGCAATTGCCAGAAGTTGAACAAAAGTTTCAACAGGTAAATTAATCTTTTCGAATCCAAATTACCATCATCGATCTTTGACTCATTGAAGGGATCTATTGACTTTACTGAAGTTCATGGTATGTTACAGCAACTTGGAATAAAAGTTGAACGATTCGAATTGAATAAAATACTTGACGCTCATGATAAGAACAAAGATAGAAAATTAAGTAAAGAAGAATTCGAAGAAGTAAGAGAATGAATTTGATTTGTAAACATGTTACATCCATTCGTTTTTGAATAGTTATATATGAAATTACGTGCAGAGAAAGATCCAGGAAGCACATGGAATAAAACTGTCAAGCCGATTGCTGGTGGCGCGGTTGATACATTTAAAACTCAACGAATCGATGAAGCCGATGAAACGAATTCGAGTCCATCGACTATAGAAAAACTTCAAGATACATCAGGTCCATATCATAGTGTCCTAGTTGAAGAACGTGTATGGACGGCAAACTGGGTGAATCAGTATGTATCACATGGACATGACTTGATAGTATACTTCTCATTCTTTCTTACAGACTCCTTGCTGATGATGCACATTTAAATTTACGTGCTAATCCAATTGATACGCAAGATCCACAAGCATTGTATAAACGTTGTCAAGATGGTATTTTACTTTGGTAAAGAGATTATATTCATGATAATTGTACTTACAAGGAAATATTTGTCGTTTTAGCAAATTGATCAACGTTGCCGTGCCGAAAACAATTGACGAACGAGCCATTAATTTAAATCTTAACAAACAAGATATTTTCCGTCAAAGTGAAAATTTAGAACTTGGTAAGAAGCATTCTCTTCCTTTGACAAAGTCTCACCATGATAATTTCAATTAGCAATTAACTCGGCTCGTGGTATTGGTTGCAAAGTAGTCAATATTCATCCGGAAAACATTTCCAAAGCAGTGCCACATCTTATCATGGGTCTTTTATGGCAAATCATTCGAGTAAGAGCGGTGTTTCTCCTCAAAATAGTCTCATCCATATCTATTTAGATCCAATTAACCCATGAAATCAATTTGAAACATGTACCGGGCTTGGTTCTACTTCTACGCGATGGAGAAACTGCCGAGCATTTATTAAAACTATCACCGGAAGATTTACTACTCCGTTGGTTCAATTATCAACTTCAACGTTCGCAATACAAAGGCAAACCGGTATCAAATTTCAGTAATGATATCAAAGTAAAGAATTGATTCCGATCATTACAAATGGAATTGTTACACACATATTTAGGATTCTGAAGCGTATACGTATCTATTGAATGTCATTGCACCAGCAAATACCAAACCACCATTAACACTAAATCCATTAAATGTAGAGAAAGCTAAATGTTCTACGAAGAGAAATATTCGTTTGTTCTCGTTTAGGAATCGGATTTACGTTACCGAGCTGAATTGATGCTGAAAGAATCAGACAAAATCAAAGCCCGAGCACATATTACACCTGATGATGTCGTGAAAGGCAATCCGCGTCTTAATTTTGCGTATGTTGATTTTCTAGTTATTTCTATCAGTAACTGTTTGGTTTAGTTTCGTTGCAAATCTATTCAACATATATCCAGCATTGGATCTGCCAACTGAACAAGTTCTCCAACCGGATGTTGTTATCGAAGAAACACGAGAAGAGAAAACCTATCGAAATTTTATCAACAGTTTGGGATTAGAACCACATGTGAATTATCTTTATTCCGATCTTTGTGATGGTTTAATTATACTTCAAGTAGGTTTCATTTTGTATGAAGAATGAGACGAAATTCTCGTGTTTTGATTTAGCTCTATGATATTATCCGTCCGAATACAGTCGATTGGTCTAAAATATACAAAACATTCAATGCTATCAAAGAGCGATTTCAAAAACTAAGTAAATATCATCGAATTTCCTACACATTCATCTATGGACTTTTCTTTTCTCTACAGACAATTGCAATTTTGCTGTCACTTACGCGAAAGATCCTCTATTTTTCAAAGTGACTGGTATCGGTGGTTCGAACATCTTAGAAGGTAACAAAACTTTGACACTTGGTCTGGTTTGGCAGATTATGCGTGCATATACCTTATCCATTCTTCAAAAATTGGCCAAGTCCAGCACACCAATCGCCGATAAAGACATTATCAACTGGGCGAACGAAAAAGTAAAGTTCACACTTTAACATTATGTTCCATTTCCTTTTCTCTATTCTAGTTAAAAAGTGCCAACAAACACACATTTTTAACTAACTTCCAGGATCCATCCTTGAGCGATTCGATGCTTATTTGCGACTTGATCGATGCTATCAAACCAGGTTCGATACAATACAATCTATTGAAGACATCTGGCACATCTGAAGTATAGTTCACACTGATTTCTATTCGGTCATTTTCATCGTTTGTTCTAGGCCAAAATGGACAATGCTCTGTACGCAATATCCATGGCGCGAAAGATTGGTGCTCGTGTTTACGCCTTACCTGAAGATATTGTTGAAACAAAACAAAAGATGCTTTTAACAGTATTCGCTTGTCTCATGGCCAGTGATATGCTCGGTATGAACAGTTAATTTAGTGATGATTCGGTTCAATGAGAACACTGGTCCTTTCTTTTCTACTAACTACACATTCTATGCTAATACATACATTTTGTATATCTGTCAACTTTGCTTTGCTTTTGTGTTTCTCTTAATTTTGAATAAAAACGAATTAGATAGAGAAACCCGAGATTTGCCTTGTGAAAACATCATGATCTGCAAATGGCGTTATAGAATGAAACAACAAAGAATAGAAACGAAAATACAAAACAACTTCAATTGATTTTATTTTTGTACTCATTTGAATAATGACTCGATTATAAACAAAAAAAGAACAGAAAAGAGAACTGTCGATGGCGACAGATCAAGCTGATCCGTAAAAAAATTACAAACGCTTAAACATCATGTAGGTTTTCCTCGTGTATCTATTGGATTTTACACTGAACAAACATTTGAACTATTTCATTGAGATGTTGATGTTGATCTGTCTCTTCAACTTATTTCACTCGTTCATGAACGCTCCTTCAAAGTAATGGGTACATTGCATAAGTGATCAATTAACAGATTCATTCTCGTTATGCATCGTCCTTTTTATCCATAGGCAACGTTCGCTTACGAAAACATGAAGTGAAAGTATGAAATACTTGTATCACCAGCGTTTGGTCTCTTTCTCTTTCATAATCGAACAATAGGTTAAAATGCATTAATCATCTACTTGAATAAGTGTCGGATACTGTGCAATGTTTTCATTGTCAAGGTAGAAAAAAAAAATTAGAGACATTAGATGTAGAAAACGTGATCAGCTTTTAGTTAAAGCACGAATAAGAGCATCGAATGGAGATGTTTGACTTTGAATGTGACGAAAAAAATCAAAAGTTTTTTTCTTTTTCTTCTTCTCTTCAATTGTACTGAGAAAAAAAAAGAAACTCTCTTTGCTCTGCCGACGATTATTTCTCGCTCTTTTATACAAAGATGCCAACGATTAAATAAGATTAACCTCATCATTGTAATGACAGATCTGTTCAACTGATAAAAGATGCCGACCAATTGTTCAACGTTAATTCAACGAAAACAAAACATTTTCCACAAAATCTTACGAAGTAAAAGTGAACGCAATTCTTTGAACGGTGAGCTAAATGAACATTTACTTTGATCTACCAGTTTCCTCTTCCATTTGATTGTTTACTGAAACCATAGATTAGCTGAGATGATCATGACGGTCATGAACAGGGTAAAACTAAGGTCATCAGGTACCTGTCAAATCGAAAACTCTATTTTTGTTATTCAAAGATTGAATAGTCGTATGATTCGTCGAAATGTATAACTTTCTTTTGTAGCTCCAAATGAAACTCCTTCTAATTTACGTTTATCGAACTCTCAAAAGCGATCGAGCCATTCGCCTGCTTCGAATCACATAACAGCCGATTCTCCTGGATCATCACCGGCACGTCGATCCAGCATATTCATCACCAATCGAATTCAACCGACGGCCGAACATATCTACGAAAAACATTTACCACCAGTTCGAGATGTACCGTCAACATTCGCTCAACAACCTCGGGTATACGAGGATGCACGTTCTCGTTCGCGATCAAAGACTCCCATTGGAACTGCTAGTCCAAAAGCTCCTCAACGTTCCCTATCAGCCTCCATTTCATCTATATTTAACACACTTTCGAAACGTTCGACAGAAAACGCAATGGGTTCAAATGGTGATCTGAATGAACTAAGAATAACATCTAGTCGTCGGTCTCGACCACTGAGCACTGAAAGCGGTCGACGTGGTATCGATACACCCCATGTAATTACAAAACAAATAAATGTTACGCCTCAGAAACAGTCTATAGATAATGGAATTGATAGTCGATACGCTACACATCGATCAGAAACAGTCCGCCAACAGCAAACACCACTACATTCAGCACGTGTTCGCCTCAATGTACCTAATGTGCATGTCGAAAGTCCGCTTATGCATGAAGTGTTAACAAAAGAACAAGGAAGCACTGGTACATTAATATTCTTTGAGTTTTAATCTATATACATCTCATTTTTATTCTTCTTCTCAAGGTCCACTGTATCAGCGACGCACGAATAATAGTGTGAGATCACCTATCAAGCAGAAGATCGATAAATACCGACGTCGTTCCGGAGAAGCCACTCAAGGCGGAAATGGTACAACAAGCGATGGACACATGCCTACTCCAACGACTACGTTAGCATTAAATAGTCCATCGTCAGTTCGTTCGAAACAGCAAGCATCACCTTCATCCATTCGTCGTGTCACGTCAGATGCTGAAACATCCTCTCGACCGGAAGTCTTTCGTCTATCGGTGGATTCGAATGCACTTCATAGTGATCATCCGTCTTCGAATGGTCAGCACCGTCTCAAACCTGCACAGATATATTCTACACACGAACAACTGGTTCCTGTCGTAACTACTCACATCACATCGTCGGCTCATCGTCGACTTTATCAAATTCCAGCTGCAACTCCCATTCAACCACGACCAAGTAATACTTACGGCAAACAACGACAATCATCCGCTAGACAATCGACAACAACAGCGAACAATCAAGGAAATATGTATTTAGCGTTTATTGCTTCACGTCACCTCTCCACACTAGAAGCTAATGTACCTGAGTACGACATGGATCATCCTCGATTACTACGAATATTTACATGGCTTCAAAACGTGGAAGAACATCGACATGAACAATCGGATCACGATCTATTAATAACTGAACAAAATCAACGAATGTTAGATCAAGAAGAAAACTTTTCCTTATATTCAGAAATTCAACATGCTGTTGATGATATACCAGCGAACACAAACGGAGAACCTTGTGAAAGAATTCCAACGATTGAATTCGAAAACTAGATTGCTGTGAATATGCAGTGACGATGAATGTCTGGTGCTTTGTTCTCTTTCTCTTCTTATTTTTTGTTTAAAACGAATTGTGAATAAACAGAACAGTTCTCTAATTCTATCATCGGACTCCATGCGGTTCTATGATGAACTATTCGACGAACTGTCTTCAGTGTTGAAACCGTACGGAGATAAAGCTTCGCCTGTGTAATAAAGTAGAGCTTTCGGTATGACTTGTTGCTTTAATAGCAATCCAAATTGAAAATCAGCTTCCAAACGAATGTGATCGTCGTCAGACATGTCTTGAATACCATTTTCATGAATAATTGGTGGTGAGAAGAAATCAAAAAAGGACGGAATCCGTTCTTCGACTTGTACTCGACGAATTTCTCCAGTTATCTTATTTCGTTTTTGCTTAATTCGTTTCCGAATAGTTAAATCGTGATTTGGATTCCAGGAGATGGAACAGCCCGAGCATCGATCGATTTCTGGTCCGTCATATGATCGGTACGGCGATGAAACATTGGCTTGTAGTCGAATCCAATAGTGTTTCGTTAGAATTGTTTCAGAAAAGTACGGATTTGAAGACGAAAAATGAAATTCAAGTGCAAAACTTGTTGTCTGAGACGACGGTGGATTGAGCCGACAGCGGATATCGGTAAGATGTTTCAAACATGCTTCATCACACGAGCGAACAGGATAATCGTACGAATCAAGATTTTTCAGTACTGTTAGCCAGAATAGTGGAATTCCTTCCTTGGCAGAAACTATGTAAGGTTTGTTTCCATTAGATATTGAAACATTCGATGAACCGTTGATGATCTGTCGTCGTTGTTCTAAGATTTGTTCGAAGTGAGGATAGTAGGAATACTGCAAATCTTGAAGTTGTCGATGAAATTCAGCACGTAAACGAAAATATTCGGCTTCATAGTTCAGTAGAGCATTGATTCGATGCTGAATACCCGGTTGACAATTCGACCAGATACTCAATGGAGATGAGTCGACACTCATCAATAGCTCCGAAATGATATTGATATTTTAATACAAATAACAAAATAATCCAGACTTCTATTGAAATCGCGCGTGAATGTTGTCAACAAAAGTGAGATTATCCGATTCGATGACTCATTAATGCCTTCAGATTGAAATGAAGTTGGCAATCGACATAAGCAGTAGGTAAGTACTCTTCACAGGCATATTGTTAATTATTGTTTGAAATAATCAATATCTGATGAAGAAAAGACTCAACACTTCGGTATGAAATGGAAACGTTTGAACCACTTTCGGTAATCTAATCATTAGAAGAGAGAGAAGCGTGTGAAAGCTTGTTGCAGCTTAATTTCAGTTCAAGTTCTTTCATGTTTGTATTTTGTTCTTCAACAGACTACTAGTCATTTGTCAGCTTGGTCATTGAAGAAATTGTTAATGATGCAGTCAATCGATTCGAGACGACATGTCAAGAAATAGGAATAGAGAGATACTCGATACGGATGAAGAAGATAGACAAAGAAAACGGTCAATTGAACTTTTCGTTTGTATACAAAGCGGAAGAAAACACTCTCGACAACAAAAAGTGTGCTTCTGGTCATCGCTAATGATAATACTATTTACAGTATCAAAGCATTCGTGTTTATTTATGAAATAGAAAGAAGAATCCGACAATCGACGTGTTGTTCAACTTGTATTTTACTATCAAATATATATTAGTATTCATGATTTCACGTGATAATCATCAGACGATCATCTCTGGAGAGTTGACTCTCAAATGTGTCATTCTCTAATAATAGTGTTGGTCATTAGGGGTTACAGATTTGTCATTGCTATACATCAGCAGCTTGCTGATATACATCGATTTCGATAAAGAAAAGAAAACTTATTCACACCTGAATGCTAAAGTGTGAGAAAATCTAATTTTCACCACATAAAGAAAACAATCAATTATCGATTGCTCATGTGACGACATGCGTATATGCAGACGATAGACACAAAGGCAAGTTGTTTATTTCATGTATTCAATGTTACAATATATATCGTTATGGCTTCCGGAATGGATTTCGCTCGAAGGCAAAATATTGCTTATCAAGTCATTCAATCATTAGTCGACGCGTCACTTCGTATTTCAAAAGAGAAAATAAGACGTTAACGAGATGGTGAACATGTCAACTAGCATGGAGACGAAGAGGACAAACCGGAAATGTTTTACTTCGCAGATTATCATTATCACTTTAGTAATGTTCGAGATAGTTATCTTTCCGATCAAAATTATACGTATGTAGTCGAATAACATGTAAACTTCCTACTGTGAGACTCTAATTTTCTTTTTCTTCAAGCAATATGTCTCGAAAAGCGATAGAGTGAGTGAACAGCATCGTTAATTGAAGTGACAGTTGACGTAAGTACAGTACAACTAGAAATTCATTATGTATTCTACTCTCTCTTTCTCTCTTTTCCCTATTGTTCATGTCGTTTAACTGAAGGAGAACGAATGACCAAACGACGAGCAACTCTCTTCCCTCCTGGGACATTAATATGTCGTTTTTTTATTCCAATGTTCAATGTGAACATCGAATCTTCATTTCATGTATCAGATGGTTCACGTGATAATGACCTTATTGAGACAAAGAAAGTGATCAGAGCAATGAATACCAGTAGTCATTTCGTCACCTATCGATTTTCTTCTTCTTAATGATGTAAAATAAGACTTAAACACATAGTATTACAGGCATACTCTTCTTCTCGTGAGAGAGACGCACACACCAATCGTGCATTTTTTTCTCGTTCTCTTTCTCTTCCAGAGAGAGAGAGAGGGAGAAAGAAGAAATCAAATATCACTCAACAAGCTGCTTCATGCAGACATTCATCTGACTGTTTCTACTTGTGAATAAAATCTAATCAGTGACAGGAGTGAGATAATCTGACAAGAATTACTTGACGTTTGTGTTGTTGTTTTTTTCTTCAATCTAACCCATATGCTATTCATTTCTAGATGTATATTCTTCTATTCGTCTGCATCTTACCTTCACTTTCGTTTTCAATCAGTGACTTTCAAACGATTTGTCAAGCAGGTATTCGACAAGATAACACCAAGTGAGTTCAGATCATTCATCTGCAATCTATTGTGTAAATATCCTTTAGTTACATCCATTGCGCTCGTAAACAATTGAAAGAAATTCCGAATTTTACTCGCATAACTAATACGTTCTACGATGAACTTGTGCTTAATGATAACCAAATCACTGACATATCTTCGAATGCTTTTCAAGGCTTACGTGTTAAGCGTTTGAATTTATCCGGGAATAAAATTCGTTCGATATCACCATCTGCTTTCTTGGAATTGTCCAATTATCTCGAAGAATTAACAATTGAATTCGATCCCGATACGATTCATCAAATTCCAGATGCGATTCAAGTCAATCTGATCAATTTACGTTCTTTGAAACTCATCGATTTGAATCTTTCTCAATTAAGAAATCATACGTTCAGTAAGTTTCGTAAATTGGAGAGTCTGTCGATCATCAAATCGAATATAAAATCACTTGAATCGAATGCATTTCATTCGTTGACCAATCTACGCTACTTAAACCTCGATCAAAATCAGTTGAACGATTCGTCGTGGATTGCCTTGACAAAATACCTGTCTCATCTGGAAATTCTTAGTCTTAGTCAAAATCAATTTACTTCGCTTAAACAAACAGATATTTCAACGTTAAAGTCGCTGGATTTGTCGTCGAATGGTTTACAGTACATTGACTCGAATATCTTTTCTTCATTAGAGAAACTTTATCTACAAAACAATGAACTGAATTCTTTGCAATTGACGTTTTTGTTCGGATTGAAACATCTAACTGAATTAAACTTAGATTTCAATCGTTTAACATTTCTCCCGGAGAAAATTTTTCAAGCCAACATGAATTTACAAGATTTATCTTTCCAAGGAAATGATTTAAATTATCTAACCAACTATTCCTTATTCGGTTTGAGCAATTTACAACATCTCAATCTCGCTCGGAATCGCCTACAATTCTCTGTCAATTCTCAACCATTTCAACATGTACCGTCGTTGAAAGTTCTGAATCTCGATCGAAATATCCAAATGAATTTAACAGAAAATCTTTTTCGGGACTTATCATCGAATCTAATCGAATTGTCTTTACAAAACTGCAATTTAACCATATTGAATTATTCACTGAATTTCTTGAAGCATCTCCAGCGATTGAAATTATCCTCGAATTCTCTCCAAGAACTTCCGAATAACCTTCTTCCGAACACCATCATCGCCATCGATTTACAACGAAACTCGTTTCGTTCGATTCCAAACCTACCTGTTGAGAATTTGATCGATATCGATCTTAGTTCGAATCAAATTTCGACGTTAAATGAAGACGAACTACGAAGATATTCAAAATTGAAAACCATTGGCTTAACCGGCAATCCATTGAACTGTAATTGTCATTTGAGTTGGATAAAACAATGGTTGAAGATGAACTACGATCGAGACCTAGTCAAATTCTTGCAATGGACGTGTGCACAACCGATGAACTTGCTCGGAAAACAATTGATCGATATCGACGAACATGATATGAATTGTAATGAAAACAAACCGACTGTGTAAGTCATCACCGCATTCGAAGATTTCAAGAGAAAGAACTTTTTCGTTTATATTTAGATTCACATCAACAGACGCATCGATAACATCGTTAGAAGTCACTCCTTCTTTTTCGTCGTCAACGAATGATTTGATCATCCAGGATATGATATTCAATTCCAATGGAATGCTAGTCATGTCGTGGAAGTATTTTGCTAAACGTTTACCAAAATATTACCATTTGAAAATCTTTGATGAGAGTACACAACGGTTGATTTTTCAAAGTTTAATTTCGGGCCAAGAAGATTCCGTTGAAATCGATTTGTCTCCGTATGTTTCGAATGTTCCATTGAGCTCGCTCGTTTGTTTGAATATTCGTCAAAAGAAATCCTGTCGAAATCTTGTTTTACAATCAAACATCAATACGTTTCAATCTGCCTCACTTGTTTTATCAACCAGCAAACCCAACAATATCGATCAATTGTTTTATCTTCTCGGCGGAATCCTTCTCGGAGCGATTTTCGTCTGCACGATATTAATCATCATTTGTTATTGTCGTCTTTGTTACGGTTCGAAAGAACATCAATCCGGAGAAAAATCTTCGAGACCATTTTATTACCATCCATTGAATGTGATTAGTTATCCTCAACAACAAAGCAACAATACAAGTGAATGTTCATTGCACTCATCAACTGATATAACCAATCATTTACCTAATGATCCTTATCATATTTACCAACAAATACCATCAATACACAATTGTCAAATCCATGCGATCAATAGAACACATGTACTAGTTTAATTATTTATTTTCGTTTTCGAACAAGTCAATCCTATATGTGTATGTATGATTTTATAGTAACTATATTAAGAAATAAAAGCTTTTTCTTTTCATATATCAAATGATTTCGTAATAGATTTTCTCTCATTTCATGCTATAATGACCATAGCTAATTGCCATTGGCATAGTTAAAAGACGGGCCATCTTTATTCTAGCATAAAATTATCTCTTGCAGAGAGAAAAAATGTTTTTGTTATATCAAATATCTCGAAACGATTACGTCTATTTTTCCTTGAAAATCAAACTGATACTGAACATTTCATTTGAATACAACTCATCCGTTGCACGATTTCGTGCGATTAGTGTTTTGATTGACTGGCAGACGGCCATCTTTATTCTCTCAATGAACCGATCAATCGATAAAGAAAGCACGCTTATCTATCTGTCTGTCTGTCGGTCTGTTGTCATCAATTATATATCCTGCGATGATCAAATGCAAACAAGATTCGTTTACCTACACCATGCGACAATCAATCTCATTGACAAGAACAACAAATACGTTCAGCTCATCTTGCACATTTTCGCATGTCATTACAACAATCAGCATTTCCAACTGCGATCAAATGAGCGATAATTGGATTAGGTTACCATTTCTAGTCACGAATAGACCTGCAGATGTTCGTGTTATTTTAAGAAAACATAGCAAAAATGTTTCATTGTTACAAATCAATCATCATCATCATCGTCTTCATGTTCGACCAGTGCCAAGTAACTTGTGAGTGGTCATATTCGGATTGGAAAATCGAACGAGCTTCTTCGGATCACCATGATCCATCAGGAAGATATGTGAGACCTGAAATGCTTTGAGAAAAAAAATGAGTTGATTTTTCGAGGAAAATTTACTTGGAAAAGTAGAGCAAGTGATCCGAGAATTGTTATAGTGAAAAAAATAACAAATTGCAGACGATCGATAACAGTTGCAATGGATTCCCATTCATCACGTATAGACTCGAGTAAAGCTCGACGCGCACAATCTGAAGCAATGATACGAATATGACTGAGTGCTTGTCTTAAATCTCGTCGCATTTCATTTATTTGACGTTGACGACCATTCGGATTTCGTACATCACCTTCATCAATTGGAGGATAAATCGGACGCGAGATTCTTTTCATTAACATCGTCGATGTTCGACGTTTATTGTTGATGTAAGATGTATCTGAGGAATCAGATCGATTTTCTTTCTAAAAAGCTATTTATAGAGAACAGGACGCTTTCGAGACATCTTTACCTTGACTTTGGCTTTCGTGTATATATGATGCAATTGTTCATCGTTGATACCTAAGGACAATTCGTATCCGACTCGCTTCTCGCGAAGTTTCGATGATTCCAACCAAAGGTATCTTGGAAGAATATTCAAAAATATTTCTCGTAACCAGTTCGGCATCGTGTCCGTCATCGACGTTCGATAATAGAAGTTCGTAATAATCACTGTATTGACTAAAAGAAATCTCAGTTTCAAAATCAAACTATTCTCTTCAATATTATCCTTACTAATCACAAGAACATTCAATGCAAATGTAAATAGCAAATACTTCGCTATTAGCGGAACAACAGCAGATGTCGGTGGTAGAATTTTCGTGACGAGAAGTTGAAAAAGATTCAATGCGAGAAGTATGGACATGCACAATGTCATTTTTTCTCCCGCAGCAGTCGGCAAACAGAAAACGATGCATATCAGAATCGTCATCAGAAATGTTGGCACGATTAAATTGACTGTATAATACAACGCTTTCCGTCGCATTTTAATAAAAACGACAATTTCGATATAATCCGGTGACAGATTGGAAGTATTGGAATAGTAATGTACAAATTGACTTGGTATCTAAGTAGAAATTGTCTGCACAATTCGAGTTCATCAGCTAACTTACACCAACGACATCCCATGTGCCACTTTCTAAATAATCATCTTTGTACAATTCATTACTTGTCGCACTGTAGACTTGCTGTGGCAATAGTTTCGTTAGTTCATTTTTCTTCTCGTCTTCTTCGGAGTAATACTCAAACATCACCTCACGTGCATTGTACGTCCACGATGCAAAACGCATTTCACATTTTTGTATATCGAATGGAAAATATTTTACATCAATACGACAAGAAGACTTGTAAATCGCTGGTGGAACCCAATGCACAATGCCTGTATGCATGAGAACTACTTTACATTTGAATGTCACTTCATAATTTCCATCTAATAATTTCCATCTAGAATTCATTCGAATTGTAAACCCTTTCTCCTTACCCGCATTATTCAATAGAACAACGTCCTAAAACATGAGCATGCTGTGTGTCATTTGAAAATAGTGGAAGAATATCATACCGGTGTCCAAACATGTGCATGTGGAATATTGATTTTGTCGATACCACCTAAATGAATCAGCTTTAGATGGGAAAATCAATAGTAGATTGTATCTCACCATATCGTTGAGGGTTCCAACGTAGTTGTGGATCGTACCTAGAACAACGGCTGTTTAAGTTTGATAGAAGAAAAGCCTAACAGACCATTTCATGTGTAACCACGTATTCGTTTTCACCACTTGTTCTTTCTCGAAAACCTAATGAGAAATAGTGTGATATTGGTTTTTAGTCGTAGAACAAATTCAGTTTCGTTTTACATGAATTAATTGCACTAGTAACAGTCCAAAGGATACGACCAATGTTTCATTCGAATATTGTGTTGGTCGAATCAACGGATTGTAATCTTGTTCAGCAAATAAATAATGTACTAACCGGTGTTCATCTTCGGATGTTTTTATCAATCGACATGAGACACAAATCAAAATAAGAATTACGAGCAAATTGACGTGCATTGAAATAGATTGTAAGGAGAAAAAAAACGTATTCCAATGACAACAGATTTGTTAAATGAATGATTACATCGAGTAATAAACAATTCAATTCAGCTTGGGTGTCAGCTGTGATTATGATAATCATAAAAATCACGTTCGATAAATGACATAGTTGACCAATGATTAGCAAGAAACAGTCGGTAGCTGTATGTGTTGCTCTAGTTTCTCGTCGTAAGTCAATGACAAGTGTCTTGGCTCGTCTCGAACTGTAGGAACAACAGTGAAAAGCAAAATGAGATAATTAAATTTGCCTTCGATTCAAACAATCCAAATCGATCCGAAAGGAAAGAATAGTTATGAATAAAGAAGATGCAAACGATCGATCATCGCTTGAACATGTGTACTTTCGACCGTTCACGAGATATAGAAATTGAATTAGGCTGATTGTTATTTACATACAATCAATAATTTGACAGAATGATACAAAACAATATGAAATTGATTCTCTCTCTCTCTTGCTTTTATTTATTATCAATCAGATTTAAGACAACAAAAGCTGAAATTCAGTCTATGAATAACTGCGTGGTGTATGGTTTATTCAATCGTCGATCGTGACTTTCTAAATAATCAGAATTAGGAAATGGAGTACTCGTTGGTGATTTAGTGCTTCCATATTTAAGAATAGCTGGTAATGTACAATAGTTTTTTAATGACTCTTCTTTATGTTTTCTTTCATAGATCGTTAAATTTGGACGATAATCATAGCTACCCGGAATACGACCATGTGTTGAAATTAATTGATTGTGAACAGCATCCTGATCGTATTTGTCCATATCAATACAGATGTGACCGTCGGAAGAAACATCTTTGACGAACCATGATGGTTCTTGTCCAACATGTCTAGCATTTGGAATGGCAGTGTACGTTGATGATTGGCAATGCGGACAAAACGAACAACGACCAGTTATTTCCGGGAATTTTATTGGAGTTCGTACCATTGGTGGTGAAGTCATTTTTCGGACTGGATTCTTAGATGATGAGGTAGATTTTCGAACTTGATCTCTCTTCGGTGTACCAGATTGCCGTGTTTGCTTCTTAGACGGGGAAACGGACGGTGCTAATGGTGTATATCTTTCGCTTTCACGAGTTTTGTGCGTCGGAAGCTCTGATTCGTCGCTAGAATCACTACTATCAGAGTCCGATGGACTCGCTACAAGTTGAACAGCAACATCAATGAATTTCATGAATCATTGTTCAAAATACGTACGTGGCGTTGGAGGTTTTTGAGATTTTCGTGACATGTCGTTATTTGGCAAAGGTCTAAATATCTCAGTAGTGGATGTTGCTGCGGGTGGTGACGTTCTAGGTGTGGCCGATTTTTGTTGTAAATTCTGACTTATGCGTCGATCTTGTGGATCTATACTAATCTTCGAAGATTGCTGTAATGTATTAGTCGCTGTTACCGTCGAACGAATAGAATTCGCTGTGCTCTGTTGAGGTACTGCTTGTTCTTCTGTCCGATGTTGTTGTGTAGTGTTTTTTCGTTCTTTTTGCGACGGCGCACAGCCCATTTTTCGCACTGTAATTCAAGAGTCAGATAAGTCTCTACGAATGCGAGTATTTCTTTACCATTATATCAGTATTCGATAAAGGAAAAGATAAGTAGAGCAACAAACAATTTACAAAACATATTTTTCTTCATGGATACAGCGATCATGTTGCGTTAGTCAACACAAGATTTGTTCTCATTTATGCGCAAATTCAATCAGAAATCTATTTTGACACATTGCAGTGAAATACATAAGTACCTACGTAAGAATCCGATTAGTTTCCACTCGATACTCATGCCTTCAAACAAATATGATTCGTACGCGTCAAAGATAAGCTATATTTGCGTCAATGAATAACAGATTTTCAAACAAAACCAATAGAATCTTTTACTGTAATTGAAAACAGAGAAAACGTATTAATAAGCGTATTTGTTCATGTATAAAGCGCCGAGTGTGATCATTCCAACAGTGCCTAGTAGACTTGCGTATCGTGTGACCGAAATTCGTTTTTGCGAATTTTTCTGACACATCGTCATAAAACCATCCCAATAATTTTGAGCTTCAAGCCATGTACGCAGATTAACATTGATAAAATCCGTTGTCCAGTCGATCATTGACGTCTTGGTCAGCTGCGCATCTAATCCGTGTTGAATGAGCCGGTCCGCCATCAACGCTGAGAATACAATCAATGTGATGATACGTCCCCATGATACAATTCCGTCATTGAATAATTCCAGCGCAATTTCCAAATGAAAAGTTCGTACATCAGTCAACGAGGATGACGTCGCTCGAAAATGAAATTTCGGTTGTTGAAGTTGATAATTTCTTTCACAATCGGAGGCAAGTCGACGTACATTGAGAAACAATTGGTTCGTCACATTAGATGTATTGTTTATGCGACAGTTGAAATAATCGTTGACTACTGCTCGTGTGGTGGCTAAACGATCATTAGTGGACATTGTGCTTAAGTGTTATTTCTTCAAATAAATGATCTTATATAGCGATCACCGTGACGGGCAGTAAGCGAGAGAAAATAATTGCTCTTTCATTTTTTCGTTCGTCCAACTTGTGCGTCGGAGAACAATGTTCGACGGCGAATTACGTTCAGCTGTTTCCTTCGTTCATCAGCCATCAAAGTGGATAATTTGCTAGATTACAGATACTTGATGAACGCTTTCAATGCCGCTATCGCAAATAGTTGTGATAATTTCGACAAAGGAATGTCAATAGCATTGCTCGAGTAGTTCTAAATCTGTTCGGTGCTTTATGATGGTACGATTGAATGCACTCGAAAGAAGATGAAGACAATAATGACACCATACTTATTAATACCTGCTGTTTAGTTACATATGAGTCATACTTTCATTAATCAAGTTGACCGTTGAGAATCGTCTCATGTCTTTTTCTTCGTAATCAATGAAGACACAGAAATTGAAATCGACTGTTTCTGCTGATCGACTACCTCGAAAATCAGCCGATTATCTATTTCAACCGATTACATCCATCGATCAACGAAAATCACCGTCGCCATTTCAAACCGGTCTTCGGTATCTCAAGCTGCTAAGTCAATCAAAACGACATAATGGAAATTCAATCAAACCATTCGGTCTCGATCGACTCGAACGCACATCCGCATTTTCAACAAATTACTATGCACCTCTCTCTTCTCGTCTAACAAACAAATCTACGCAAATTGATGTTCTCGATGAAGTATCGTTGAAATCGACAGTGACGAGTTACTGTTCATTGTTACCTTCCTATGAATTTATCGTCACTACTGCTTCGATTCTTCTCTTCATTCTATTCATTTTTCATTTACAATTCAACCCATATCCAGTCCACTGCCTATTACACAAGAAATTCTGGTATCCTATAGACTTCAGCACCGGTTTTAATTGTGAAAATACCAATGTTCAGATCTATTATATGGAAATTCATTCAAAATTCTATCAATTAGAACTTCAGAAGAATCCTCATGCAATGAACTGTCTAGGCTTTCATATTCTTTCTTGCTTACCTATTGATTACTCATCAATTCCTAAAGGACAAATCATTCGTCGAAATGATCAATTCACGCACTATTGTAATCGCACTCAGAAATTCATCTGCCAAAACCAATCGTTACATATTTTACCGTACGAATCGAAATGGAAATTGAGAAACAGCGAGACCGATACTTTGCCTCATTGTTCGTGCTTAGAAAGAGCAAACCAAACACGATGCTTTCATTTCAAAATTCGTGAACAATGCGATTTACAGATACCTTGGATTGATGTTTGTGTGAAATATTCCGCAACACAATCAACTTGTCAAGCATATGTGAAAAAATTCTAACAGAAAACATATGACGCAGTATGAAAACAAGATCTATTTGATTATGAAATTTCTATATTTAACTAATACATATGAACTGAATACACTTTACTGAAGAATGCGAGAAAAATATCACTTCTATTGTTTCAAAGTTAATAAGCTGCTTTTTGATAGTTAATCTTTGCAGTCTAGATTAATTTTTAAAATTCTACCAACGGATATGATCACAGACAGCTTCAGGTACTCTTTTAAAGAATTTCTTTTATGTATATGATGTTTTTCAGTGTTTAATTTTGTGCAGAATAACTTTAATTAAGATTATACACAGCTATTCGGCGATATAATTATAATCGGTTAATTGAACGGACTAATGGCAGAATTTTGTTTGTTCGTCGGTAACAATGTTTGAATGCGTCAGATAATGCTCTTCGAAATAAAGTCGATGTTAAACAGTGAACATAGAACGTCAATGAATAATTTGCGTTCAGAAATATTGTTAATATAGCAGTAATCAATAGGAATCTTTCATGCTCGACTGGATTAGTTAGATCAATAGAAGCGATTGTTGCCGTACGATATGCACCGTAAGGTAGGGTGCAGGTAAGAAACAAAATGATTTTTGAAAACATTAAAAGTAACATTTGTTTTTGAAATTGTTGATTACGATGACTGACAACTATGTTTCGTACTTTTCGACAGATAACTATCGTGGAAAGAATCATACATAACGCAGGTAGAAGAATATTGATGCATACTTGTAATAAAGTCCAAGCGGAATAATAGAAAACTGCGTAATTAGTCATGTTAATTCGTGGTGGGCCACAAACAACATGTGAAGTTGGGAACATTGTGGTGAACGAATTTTGAAGAACATGACTGTTGAATGCTATAGAGCAGGCAATGGTAAGAAATATGACAAGAGCAGCGTTTTGCTTCGTACACCAGGTCTTGTACTGATGTGGAGAATGAGCACGAATCAATCGATCGATTGCTATACATACCAAAAGCCATGGGGATACGGTTTGAACGAAATTAATTATAAATGTTCGGAATCGACAAAGAAAAATATAATTCGGACTGGTTTGGGGTAAATTGAGGTTGATGAAGAGAAAATCATAGAGACTCATCAACAGATAGCATATGTCGAATATAGTTATAATGAGAAAAACGATACTAGTTGAAGTCGAACGAATCTGCCGACGAGTGAATGTTATTAGATTAAGTATATGTCCGATAATACCAAATACAAAAGTAAATCCATAGCCGTATATGCTGATGTTCGCTGTTACTGTTGATACACGCATCGAAGTACTCATTGATGGACACCGACCTAATAGAATATGAAAAACTTAGGAGTAGTCTAATGAGAACTGTTATATGATATGTGAGTATACATATTTGAGCTAATGGAAGAAAAAAACACGCTTACACTGGGAGTATTAGCAACGACAAGATACACACTGACAACTCTTCCCCTTTCTAGACAAATAAAAAATAAAGGCTCCTACTAATCCAACGTTATCATTTTGTTATTAAAGTTGGTAAAAATGCCAAGATAATTGTGCTTTGTAAGGATCGGCTTTCCTTAAGCGAAAGAAAGATGAACGTATTATATGTGTATATGAATAGTTAACCAATCTGACGAGCAGCCAACAGCGGATTCTCGGGGACTCCTGAGTTTTAATTTTGTCGAATGACATACCCACACATAGATGATTATCTCACCACTATTTATTATTTCTGACATTCATAGAAAAAGATGCGAAAAAAACATTATTGTTCACTGTTGTTCGAAGTACACGTATGATTAACATACACACATAAGAAAACATATCGATCTGAGAAGATTGCAAGCAAAACATTGGAATGAGATATGGAATATCATTGAGAAGAAAGAGAAGCACTGATGATGTAGATTTAAAAGAGTCGTTTTTCATATGAATGCAAGTTATGTACACCACCTTCGATTTGAGCGGATGCTGTACGTTTTTCAACTTTAATTGCACCTGTATGTGATGCTTCATGTAATTGTCTGATAGATTGACAACCAATATCTTGTAAAGACTTTTGTACACCTGTATAAAGATAACCACCAATGAATCGATGCACACTGCCTTTATCAACCACGCTGCCTGATACACCTTGAGCAACTTTAATATGATCTGCTTCGGAATAATATCGGCTAGCAGCCGATAGTTCTTGACACGCATTCATCGCATCTAAACTACCCATACCGCGATCTAATTAAAAGAAAAATGGATCAATGAAAAGCAAATTCTTTTCTATGCGTACATTTTTTCAGACGAACACCATCTTGATAGTAGTAATCTCCAGGTGCTTCATGCGTACCAGCCAACAGAGAACCCATCATAACGCACGATGCTCCTAATGTTAACGCTTTGACAATATGTCCAACACATGAGATACCACCGTCGGCAATAACTGGTATATCGAATTGACGTGCATATTCAGCTACTTTAAAAACAGCTGTTGCTTGTGCTCGTCCAACAGCCATCACTTCCTGAGTGATACAAATTGATCCACTGCCCATTCCGACTCGTAGAGCATCAGCACCGGCTTCAATCAAGTTTTTAGCTTGTGCCTGTGTTACAACGTTTCCAGCAATAACTTGTATATGTGGATGGAGCTTTTTTATACGTTTGATCATATCGATTTGATAAATCGAATTACCTTGAGACGAATCAAGGACAACAACATCAACGCCAGCTTGAACGAGTGCATCAAGACGTTTTTCATCCTCTTTTCGCGTACCAATGGCAGCTCCACATAATAACTGTCGGCGACTATCTTTCGATGTCAATGGATAATCACGATTTTTTTCCAAATCAGTTCGCGCAATTAATGAAACAAGATTACCGTCCGAATCAAGTATAGGAAGTTTACCTAAAGTATATGAAAAGCGAATGTATCTATCATGTCCGAAACTTTAACGTGACAACTATCACAAACCTTTCTTACTACGCTGTAGTATAGAATATGCATCTTTAAGTGTAAGATCATCCTTTGCGGTGATTAATTCATCGAGTGGCGTCATGACTTGACTCACTGGTATGGTCGACCACTGATCTTTGCTTAAAAAATCAATATCACGAAATGTAATCAAGCCGAGCAATTTGCTATTGATCTTGCCGCTTTCTGTCACTGGAATACCTTTTTGATGCAAAAGCAACAAGACTAACAAGAAGCTTTGAGAAAAGACGTCTCTTACCAGAAAATCCATGCGATTTTTTTATGGCATAAACATCCGCAACTGTATTCGTTGGTGCAAGTACCAATGGATCGGTAATAAAGCCTTGCTCGTATCGTTTCACTCGTCGTACTTCACTAACTTGATAGTCGACGGGACAGTTATGATGAATAATACCGATTCCACCATTCAATGCCATCGCAACTGAAAATGAATTAGATAATATCGTCGGTTTCTTCATATAGAAGACAATCGATCTTACTGGCCATATTCGATTCTGTGACAGTATCCATTGGTGTTGAAATAAATGGTGTTTTGATAGTAATTGATTTCGTTAGTCTAGATTGAAGTGAAACATTATCCGACGAAAAATCGATAAATCCAGGAAGTATTATGAAATCGTTATAAGTGAGTCCTCCACTTCTGCCGAATAGTTCTTTTAGTGTTAATCCATCGTTGTCTGCTTCATTATCGTCAGTGAATTGGTTATGACCATTCGGATGCATGTCGAAGGCTTTTCAAATATGAATATGCAATGGTATGAAATAAGTTTCTACAATCATCGGATATATATGAAGAAAGGACGTGATAGAATGTTATTTTTAACATTGAGTGTAGCTCGAACTAGTTATTCGTGATTGGCGGAGGTTTCAATAGCTAAACACGAGTGAATCGAAACGAAGCTAAGGCAGACATGTTAATCTATATCGAAAATGAAGCACTTCACAACCTATTGATACGTATATCGTTTACTTTGTAAATTAGCAATAGAAAACAATCAATTCGACTTTGCAGATATCTCGACATTCTTTTACGTATATGAAAAGTAAATATGTCTTTATCACAGCATGCGACCAGGCATTGAATATGCATGTACGAAATGATATCGTGTACTTCAAAGATAAAATATTCATTTTGATAACTAACGCATTGGTAGAATGGAGGATAAAAAAAGATATTAATATATTTCTAATGATCAATAAATAACCTATATTCAGGACTATTGTTTCGATTCCATTGTTAGTGTCTGAATAGAAATGAATCGAAAGTTCAAAACAGAAGCCGTCTGTCTAGGATGTTCAAGGTGAACAATATGCGATCGTTTTGTTATTGTTCTAGAGAAACAACTGTTATTAAACGTCAGCCGATGTTCGATCATTATCGAAATCGATGCTTGGACCCACAACAGGTAGAGAAATAATATGGCAGTTTATATAGTTCATTCGAGAGTATAATATTTCAATCAGGCGTGCTATTCATTACCTTTCAACAACGACGTAAATACGTCATTTAGTAGGTAACATTATCTTGAGAAAGAAAAAAAAAGAAGGAAAAGAGTGTGATTTCCTCATAAAACAACTATTCGACTAAAGTGCTATGTTCACTATTTTAAATCTCGTTGTCGCACATGACAGTTATCTAAAAACGCTAATTCAGCAGAAATAAAAAGACTGCTCGTGCAGAGAGGAACACGTTCCTTTTTTGCCTAGAAATCCAACGGATTATTCTACCTATACACCGTATCGTAATGTGTGTTTGTTTCATCACATAACTTCGTCGCCTATTAGCAGTTGAAAGTCAACATTTGACATTTAGTGTTAGTTAAATACTGATAATGAAGTTTGTATAGTAACAAAATGGTATTTTGTCAGCGGAAAAGCAATTGCTCGGCGAATAAAAGATAAAGTTAATTTTATTTTCTTCTACTCGCGTTTGTGTTCTTCTCTTCCTTTTTCATATACACTATACTATCATTAGAAGGATTTTTATTGGCTGTTCAACATTGCCAATGATGATGTTTTTTCTTCTTTTCAGCTGTGTGTATTTTGAAGATCTTCTCTCTCTCGCGATAGTTCACAGTTGTCATTTGTTTGTGTCGGATAGATTTTCTTTAAAAAAAACATACGCACGATGCCGATCCCACTCGACAAAATTCAGGTAGTTGAAGATGAAATGGAAAAACTTCAACATGACGATCGTCGTCATCATGATGATCAGCAAATGACTATCACACCACCGACGCAAGATTTCTCTTTTCTAAACAAACCAGCACAAGCCAAACGCACAGTTCATTACGATATCGGACCGATCGACAGTCAAGAAGAACAACCATTGAGATCCATTCCGAATGCAGAACAACCGTCAATTGATAATATTCTTCGTCGACGGTACATCGCACATTGGGGCCTACCAGGTATGTTGAGAAAAAAAGCAATTAGCCGTATGATTATTTCTTGAAAACTTTCCTGATTGAATAGAGTGGCTTGGTGATAATCATTTTCTTTTACAAAAACATCGACCACCAGCCAATTCCGTTCGCGAATGTCTCATATCAGTTGCTTCGATTCATAGTGAAACAGTTAATATTTGGACACACTTGATCGGTGCATTATGCGTAGCGGTGACATTTACACTCTTTCTCATTGAAAATCATCGTCAAATGGATCTGAGTGATGTCATATCATTCAGTATTTTCTTCATATCAGCGATCTTATGCTTAACATTCTCGACTTTATTGCATATATTTATAAATTATTCACCAAGCGTTTTAGTCACCGTGTCTAAATTAGATTATATGGGTAAGAAAAGCAATTCTTTTATTTATCAAAGACCAGATATCTCAGTGAAAGAAGAACTTAGCAGAGCATAAGGGCCTTGATGAAGATTTACTTCCGGTATTTTTCTTTGCAAATCTCTGAAATTGACAGCGTCAATTATGGTTTCGGCTTACGTTTTACTATTTAACTAGTTTAATTTCCTGAGTCGTTTGCCTTCCATTGAATGAGGACGCGTATTAGTCTCACAATGAACACATTTGTCGTCTTTAGTCGTAAATTCTCTTCTACACTACACATCTGATCGACTCTCATACTTCTTTTCTAGGCATTAATATATTAATATTTGGCTCGATGGTTCCTGTTCTTCATTATTTATTTTATTGTTATTTTCAACTGAAAACTATCTATTTAAGTGTACTTCTGGTCCTCTCAATTGCTTCGATGATTGGGACAAGTAGTGCTGCTTGTTCAAAACCGCGTTTTCGTCCATTTAAAGCAATTCTATTTATTGCACTTGGTCTCTATGGTAATACTCAAACTAACTTTTCTGAATTTCATTCTCGAGTTCTTTTTCTCTTCTGCAATTAGGTGTCGCACCAGCCACCCATGCTTGTATTATTCATGGGCTACCACGAATGTTCGATATGGGTTTTTTATATTTATGTATTATGGCTGTAGCTTATATCGGCGGTGGTGTTGCCTATGCTGTGAGAATACCAGAACGATTTTTTCCCGGTAAGAATTTTCAATTTGTAGATTGCACGATAATTCCTCGTGATTTTCATAGGTCGTTTTGATATTGTTGGCCAAAGTCATCAAATCTTGCATGTCGCTGTCATTGCAGCTGTTTACCTACATTTCTACGGGATCTCGTGCCTATTCCACTATGTTATTCGAACAGAGCAATGTCTAATGCCAATTACTTTACAATTTGGTATTACAGATTTAACAATATCCTCTTAGAAGAATTTTGTTATTGAAGATAATTTTTATTCTTTGTGATTCGATTTTATCATCTGACTTTCCTTTCTTTTCGTGTCTTTCAAAATTATCTTTTTTTTTTCTTTCTACTACTCTTGACAATATGACCAAGTGGCAATACATTCGTATCACATATTCCAAATCGTTCATGTTGCAATGTTCGTTTTTTCTGTCATATTTCGATCCAATGCTTTTGCTAATGAATACAAAGAATATTTCTGATCTGATATTTTTTGTAACGAAAAAAAAAAGAAGAAAAATCCAAAATATTGACTCTCACTGTCTTGAATCTATCTGTTTTCCTTCACACATAGATCGAAGACGAAAGAAAAACATATAATAATATGTGCTATGAAACGAGAACGACGTCAAATACAAAGATTACTTATCAAAAGAAACAAAAATAGAGAAAAAGAGAGAGATAGGACGTGGTGACACAGTATCCAAATCACTAACTGAACTTTACAACTGAACTAAAATGAGCAAGAGAGAGAAAACGTGTCTATCGCTTTGGGTTTGCTGGACTGATTTTCATAAAAATGAGATTCGTTGCCGAAGAGATTTCAATTGCGATGAAACGTTAATTTTAAGCTTTCATTAAAACACCAGGTGCACGTTCGACACGGGCACTTGTGAAGCCTTTGGACTTCTCATCAGCGTTGCGCGGTTGTCGAACGATAACTAGTTTTTGACGAGTATTCTCATCGAAATTAATCGATTTCAGTTTGGTTATTAATCTATCAGGACGTTGAAGATTACTAAAACAAAGATATGTTGTTTAAGGCAATGATCTTTGATTCGAAAAGGTCGATATATATCAAAGAACAAAGTTGAGTAAATATCAACACATTGGATTAGAAAAATAACGAATGGATGTCACTAAAATACTTCTCATGTTTCTTTTCTCTAAATGTGCATATGGTTCGGAGAGCATTACTTACTTAATGCGTCGTAGTTTGCTAGCACATGGTTTGCCACTCTTTAGATTGTATTGAGCATAAAATTCGACTTCGTCACCGGCACGTAACTCAAACCCGCCATCGATTTCCGAATTGTGAAAAAAGATTTTCTTGTTTTCTTCGCATGCGAAATCAATAAAACCAAACTGAAATATTTTTTACATATGAACCAACATGCACGATCATCTGATTATTACAAACCTGTCCTTTAACTGTATCAACTTTTCCTTTGCGCACTTCATTTTCCAAGACAATATTCACAGCACGTTTCGAATAATCGAGTCCAACAGCAACAGAAAATGTAACTGAATCGTTCGGCAACAGGATCACACGTTTGTTTTTCACACCTGTTATACTATAGTTATAGCATTCGCCTGGCATACCATCGTCTGTCAGCTTTTGTATTCGCCCGATGACTTCACATTCATCATTACTGATCATTCGAACAGGAGATACAATGCGACCTCGATGAATCGTTGGAAGGATTGACTAAAGGCAACCATCGAACATAGGTTTCCATTAACTAAGTAATTGAATAGAATACTTACGTAATAATTGTCGATTGTTAATGGTACTTTGAGAATGTTTTCAGCAACGAAACGACCCGAAACTTTTCGTAGACTGAATTCGACTTCATCACCTAAATCGATTGATGCATTGTCACCTGTTAATGCATTGGTTGAAAACACCACAGGTTCCGTATTATCTGTTGCGCCATTTTGTTCGATAAAACCTTTGCCTTCACGAATGATTGCAATCCATCCACAAAGACGATTGCGTTCAATTAGTGTTACATTCGATGCAAATTTGTTATTCATCGTCATTGTAAATTCGACCTAGAAAAGGTTTTTCTCTTATCAAAATACATTTCGATTTATAATATAGTATTTGCTCGGAAAAGTATGGTCGATGCCGTTCATGATAAGATAACATGATAGGTGAAAGAAAACATGCCTCACCTTGTCTCCACAATACAGCGTCGAGGTATTGCTTAGGTTGCTGGAAAGGTACTGTATTGTACATTCGATTCCATCGGACACATATCGAATAATTCCTGGTTCTTGTTGACGATTAATAGGTGCCGTTAGCGCATCATTCCCATTGATTTGTTGTTTCATATCTAGTGCATCATTCGATCGACCATTTCGTTCTAAAATCACTTTTTTGCAATGTTCAGTTCTATTCCTTCAATTAGCTCTGTACCTAATCGTCCATCGTTAGCATCACGTTCAACAATACCAAGCAATCGTAATTCATTACTGTTTCCATTTAGTAAACTTTCTTTTGATATTAGTTTGATTCGAATTGCTTGCGGCATATCCTAAAACAAGAAGTCATAACATAGTTGTTTACATTCATCTTCATAGTCAGCATACTCCATTCGTTGGATTTGTGGCTAATGTAAACTCTAATGGATCACCTTCACTGATTTGGAAATTATCTTTCATGACTTCACTGAATCGAAATGAAACAATTTGATCTGATAATAAACATTTAATCTGACCACCAATAGTACTATCTAATTTCATCACAGTACCCTATAGAAAAATCGTATGTCTTTTCCGTTGTACTGATCGTGAAAAGAAAAGTTCGCATACCATTTGTCGTTGCTCTTTTGATTTTAAGAAACTTTGATCGAGTAATGCGATCTGGGTAGCACGCATCATTCCATCACGTTTGTCTTTGGCAATTGAAAATTGAACAATATCATTTTCTAATAATGTATATAGACCACAACGATCACGTTCACCAAAAGGTAATTCGGACATTTTTCTAAACGAAATCAAAGTTGAGAGAAGAAATCACTTGGAGATTCACTCACTTGTCCAAGGAGTCATATAGTAAACGACCAGCTAATGCGTCATCCGACTTCTTCAACTTTAATGGTTGTAATATTCGACCGATGTACGATATTTTATCAATTTCATCGAACTCAACTGTGCCCTTCGGTAGGATAGTTATATTACACGCGACTTCTTTGTTCTAAACAGAAAGGACGCATGAGAAGCCGAATAGAAAGAATTCGAGAACTCGTTCATTTACATGTCGATCTTGAATATCGAATTCGACTTCTACACCTGGTTGAACACTATTCGTTGCGATATTTGGTCCGAATTCCGTGATATGGAAGAAGATTTCTTTGAGCGCATCTTCACGTTCAATAAACCCAAAGCTGTCCTTCATTGTAGATATAACACCACGATAACGTTTGACATTTGATGATAACGGTGGAAGACATTTATTAAGTAAAGCAACGTTTCGTGCAAAAAACTGATTCGTACGACGATCTTGACCAACAAGAAACGATACCTATGTACAACACGATCATTAAGAAAATAAATTATGTCTCATCGTAACAGCATCTTTACCTGATCACCAACTTTGACTGGAATGGCAGGATCTTGAAGATCCGAAAGACCGTAAGGTAAAAAGTATGTTTCACCTTTTTTCACGTAGGTGACTTTACCATCTGGCATAGAATCGAATTGATTAAACTATCAACAGCAGAATATCGACAAAATAACTTCAAAGAAAAACGTTGGTTTACTTACACCATTATGTTGCGGTGATTGTTGTCGAGCAACTACTGCAATAGTTCCTTCCACTCGATTTTCTCCGATGATTTCTGGACTTGCAGGTGTAATATTAACAGCGACTGGTTTCTTTTTTCGTTTATCAATTGTTGTTTCAAATTCCACTACATCTATATACAGTCAAGTCAGTCACACACTGTTCACTTGAATCTTTTCCTCTTACCTCCTATTTTGGCTTGATGAATGTCATTTTTATATTCACTGAAGTGAAAAAAATATCGTCCATCTCGATGACAACAGTAGACAAATCCGTAAGTTGAGCAGAGCTTTTCAATAATACCCAATTCACGTTGTACTTTGATTGGCATCATCTCATCATTCGTATTGATCGTATTCATTGATGTTGTTAGTAATTTACTACTTGTGCCTTGTTGATAATAATCTATGACGGAAAGAATCCTTGAATGAAAAGTTTTGATGAGAAATTTGTTCTCTTACCATAATGATGATGAGGATGATATAATTCAGTTGGTACAGATGTCATTGAAATCAAGCAAGAAAAGACGAAGAAGAAAAATGAGAGATTGAACAGAAAGAAAAAAAAACTACGAAGAAAATAAACTACGACTATACAAATCTAAAAGATATCCATTGCCGATCATGTGTTTTTTGTAAACAAAGTCAAATCAATAAAAGAAATGTTTAAACACTTATACTTGTTTCAAGTGCACAACAATCGACCGACGGCGACAGCATACCAGGCTACTACCATTGAATTGAATGTCTTATATGCTTCTGATTGGCTGCTTTTTCCTAACTAATTAACATTCAAACTTGAATTTCGATATTGCATTGAAACACTTTTCCATTGAAGATTATTTTGTCAAAAGAATATTTGCTTCATGGAATATCCATATTCGAAATGAAAAACAGAGCAGATGTCTCTAATCGTTTACTGATAATTCGAATATGATATGATGAAAGAAATGAAGTCGACAAAATGGAAGAACCTTGTAGATATTGGAAGATGAATGAGCATATGGCTATTTCTTCTCACCTCATGATGATTTCCTCTTTGATTACTGTTGATAGTGGATAATTACATTATACTACAGACTTCAAGATCTGTTTTATACCATTGATCGATATATAGCTTAAATTCTTTGTCTTGATCGTTCATTTGAAATTCTATTAAATACACATTGACCGATAATTGTCAATTGATCACTATGTATATCTCGAGTGATGCAATCTATTTTGATCTACAAAAAAAGCTATATACATATATGACTTAATACCAAAAAATGACGTCGAGAAAAAGTTCACCGCATAAACAATCGATCGGATTTCTTTTCACTAAACATATGTTAATGAGGATAATTTTTCTCTTCGCTTGTAACTGAATACGAATATCCAACTTTCGAGATACAACAGTCAGTATGTTTCGCCTCCCATCACCACCTCGGTTTACACTTCCGCCTCCTCCAATGCTTCCGCCAGGTATACTCACTTTAGAAAGTCTTCAATTAACATGTTCATCTATCGAATTTCACCCAAAACCTAACTCGTTCTTACTCACAAGCATTATTCTGGTTTTGATTGTCATTCTTCTTATTCTTTTATACATATTTATTCGATATTTATTGAAATTACAATCTTCAACGAATAGCGTCCATCGAAAAGTCGTCTCTCCTATATCCAGACATTCGTCAATAGGTAGTTCTCGTTCTTATGAGACCATCTCATCTGGCATCTATCTTGAATCGGTCAATATCTCTCCAACAGCTGATTCTCACAATTTTATTCGTAGTTGTTATGAATAACGAACAGATCTCGACTGACACTTGATGGCTTTCTCTTTATTAATATGCGAGACCATTGAGAACAAAGCAATTTTTGATCGATTTATTTAGTGAAACGAAAATTTATAACAATTGTTTTATTTCATGCTTGTCGATATAGACAGAACGAGATATACAAATAAATTCTTGCTTGAATATGAAAAGAACATAAACACATTACGAAGTGTCATCATCAGATAAACACGGAGAAGTAATTGTAGGTTTCTTCTTTGACCGACGTTTAGTTTTTTCCGCCACACCTAGAACATCATCCATTAGTTTAGTAGTTTTAACTCGTGTTCGTTTTTTCGGTTGTGCTTTTTCAGGAATAGGTGCGTCGTCATCATTCTCATCCGAGAGAATTGCTTCTTGATCGAGCTCTTTTGCTTCTTGAGTTTTCTGTTTGAGTATGTTGAATGCAGCTTGTAAACGCGTGTTTTTACGAATCGAATGCGAAGTACTTTCAAACGAATAGGGAGCGAAAAACGAATCAATTCGAGATTGAACCTGTGAAGAAAAACCAGATGAATACACGAATGTAGAAAACAATAAATTCACTTCTTTCGTGTTCATTCGTTTGATAACCGGTAAGATCATTTCATCAATTTTCCGTCGATCCCATTTTAGTTTACTACCGATGAATCTATGGAGGAAATAAATAGAGAAATACAAGGAAAGTGATCATCTTTACTCGCGAATGAGTTCGAGTTGCGGCATTGCCCATGTAAATTTCGACTGATCATAGTCAATCTTTGGATTTACATAAGCATCATATACAGCTTTGTTCGGAAAACCTAGATATCACTGCAAAGATTATTTTCCATAGCATTATTGAAAAATTTACCTTCGAAAAGTTCCAAATTCTTCAGACGTTTCAACACTTTTGAATCTGTTTTATAATCCGGTTTCTGTGCTTTTTTCCACCATCGTCTAAACAAGCACGTCAAGAATAACCAAAAAACGTAAGCACAAAGATGTTTACCGAAACTTTTCTAGTCGTTCCATACATGTTCCATGAAATTCTTGTAAAATCTCTAACGCAGTCATAATACCCGCATTTGGAATGCCTTTCGTATAATCGGAGCCAACAATCATGCCAATAGCAATCATTGCTTCTCGATCCAAACCTACGTAGAATTAAACTTGAGATAAATCCACATCCAATATGGTATCATTCACCTGATTGATTCGAAATAATTGTTGTATCGTAATATTCAACTAATTGATTCTGACGGAAGAAATGTCGATAGACATGTGATGCGCCGAATAGCCACACATCACTATCATCGGTGATGACACCGTCACATTGCTTTGATAAGTCTAAATATGCACATTGAGCTTCGGCTTCAGTTGGACTGATCAAATATGGTATGCCAAATAAACGAAGTAGATACTACAGGGAATACGAATGAATGATGGAAGTTTTAAAGTGTCACGTACTTGAGTATCTTCATGCATTGTGTCAGTTAATGTGGCTGTCAAACGTTCATTTCCACGTGCTGCTGTTAACTGCGCAGCTATGTCGTCGACTATCTCAGTCTGCAGTTGTTCCAACGATTCCTACGATCAGACAACATGAATTGGCCATTTTCTAAAAATCAACGATGAACATCGACTTACTAGTTGAGAAGTCGAGGGAGTCTGTGTGTCGGAAACATTTACTAATGATTGTTCTTTTTCAGTGTCAATGAACATTTTAATATCTTCTATGGCCGTACTATTGTGACTACTCTCATCGTCATTGTCAAGTTCGATCAATTCCGATGACGTATTATTGTGACTATCTTCGACTGGTGAATGCGGAGGAAATATGGGTTCAGTGGATATTGGTATTGTCGGAACATCGATAAAATCGGAATCTGTGAATATTTGAGAAATATATTATTGACAATCTGCCATTTATCCGTTTCACATACCATCTGAATCTGATGATGAATCGTTTGCATTTGACTTAGCTGTGATTGATTGTTCATGTTGTTGTTGAACCTCTAAAGATCGTTTTATTGCGAGTTCTATATCATGTTGTTCTTCCTCGTCCATCTTTGATCTAACGACTGGCTCTTTTATAGAAGATTCCTTGTCATCATTGAATGACAAATCGAGAATAATCGGTCGGTCTTTTGGTGGAGACGGCTCCCTGACAGGTGATGGTTCAAGATTGCTCACTTCAGTGGTAACACTTTTTCGTTGAGTTAGTCCATAAACCGGATCTCGATTCATCATACTATCAGCACAAAAGTCATTGGTCGATTGTCGACTAAACGAAGACGATAGTGATGAGGTTGATGAAATTCGAGATAGCGTGGTTGAAGTATCCTTCGGTGTAGTATCAGATTTGATCAGAATGTATTGTGTGCTAGCATCGGATGCTAGCTTGCCAGCATAGACTCTTGCATTCGATTCCGATGAAATATCTGAACAGAAATCATGTTTCAGAGCATGATGAGAAATCAGTTCAGTACCAAATTTTTGACGCTTGATCGCCTTGTTCAATGAAGAGATCTTCTGCGAAACGCTATTTTGTTTCAGTAACTTTTGTACTTGATAATCAGAGAAGTCATCGCTTTTCTAAAATTGACAGTAGAACATGTCTGTTCTCCCTACGTAACAAATCTCTGCATGATGATTACTTGAGGCATATTTTCAATTTGACGGTGGCCACGTTTCAGACTTTCTTTCATATCAGTCTAATAAAAGTCAGATTGTACTACATAAATGTATGATCTCTTACTAGAATTTCATGTTGCATTTCAGTAGGTAAATTGTTCAATGCACTATTGTCCAGTTCGTCGAACTAAACAAACGAAATTTATCAGCAGTTCTCAACACAACGGAATACAAACATTCGGTAACACGTAATGATAGCTTGACGCATCGTTCGGACGTTTCTTTGACCATGTTGTTCTTTGCGGTTTCAATTTAGTCACCGGCTGCATGTCCGTATTTTCAATAATTTCATCTTCTTCGTCTTCCCTTCAACACAATTGACCATGACAGAATCATTCGAAGACGAAAACCTTACTCATGCTCATCATCGGGCAGTTGTGAACGTAAATGTGTATCGGGCAGTTCAAATAGATCTTGTTCATGTTCATCCATGAATGGTAGTGGTGGAATTGATTCAACTAAGATAGTTAAACTCTTGCGACAAATAGAATTCTTTAGTTCGAAACATACTTTGTTCACCTTTCAGTTGCTGAATAGCTAACATTTTCAAGTAGTTCGTTCGGATCTTATTCTTAGCTTCTGTTGCTTTTGTCGCCGCAACATCTCGTCGTTGTTTTCGCTCAGCCTGAACGTACGTGTACGAGAATTTTTACCAAACCTTCACTCCTTACCAATGTTCGTCGTTTTAATTCCGGTACTCCTCCATCAAAAATAAAGATTGGCTTGATTTTAAAATGCAATAATTTACAAATGCGATGTAACAACAAAATTAGATGTGGATTTTGCCGATCACGCATGCCCTTTGCTGCTTGATGAAGCCAGATGCTGATATCTGTTGGAAAGAAAGTTATCGAAATAGAACAGAAATGCTCAATGGCCCTGTTTAAATGGTTCTTACCAATAGCGAGAACTTTTCCTTCTAAGCCTTTATTCATATTTACAGGTCGACCGGTCGATTCGATCAATTGCCAGAAATTTTGAACTCCCATTTTTACTTATTCTTCTCTATAAAATCAAGAAAAATCTCGTTTGTCTT